ATACTAGCTAGTATTAGTATAATAAAGGTAAAAGTAATAGTAAAGGTATACCTTCTACTATATTACTACATTACTATAATTTAACTAATAGCTAACTATATAATAGGTAAAAGTTCTTTAAACTCCTAGGCTAATTATATAATAAGTAAAAGTCTTATAGACTTCTAGGCTAATTACTAAATAAGTATAAGTAGGTAAATTAAGTTATAAACGCCCTAAGCTTTTATTTAGGCTATAAGTAAAAGAACTAGAAACTTATCTAAAGTTTTAAGAACTTTACTAAAGTCCTTTAAACTTCTATAAAGTCCTATACCTATTAAGAATAAAGAATAATATATTATTTATATATATATATATTAGTTCTATTAATCTTAAGAGTAAGTAAAGGATTTTTACTACTTTATACTCCTTCTTTAAGCTTCTAGTACCTTTACTAATATCCTAAAACTAATACTTAAAGAATAATAACCTATCTTTAGTTAGTCCTTTATAGACCTATTAATATTTTAACTTTAAAATAAACCTACTCCTAATACAGCTAAAACTATTTACTTTAGTAAATAGAAAAATCTTTTACTATCCTAACCCTCTCTTTATTCTTACCCTCCTACTAATATACCTTACTAATATTCTAACTTTAATAATAAACCTACTCTCTACTTAGTTAAGCCTAAAGCTAAACTCTTACTACCTATTCTAATACCTCTTCTACTCTATAAAAGGCTGCCCTTAATCTAAGAAATAATAACCTATTTACTTATTCTAACTCTACTATTTATAGACTTATATCTAACTACTATCTTTTTTTTTAATTATATACTTACTTATACGTACCTTATTACTATAGTACTACCTAGTAAGCTCTATACGCTAAACTACTTCTATATTACTAACTACTACCTTCTCTTTTAATTATATACTTACTTATATATACCTTATTATTATAGTACTACTTAATAAGTATTATATACTAAACTACTTCTACGTTACTAACTATAGTAGTTCTATAAAAATAAAGAAGCTTATAAGTAGTAAACTCTTCTACTATAATACCTATATTAAGATAGTATATATATTAAATTCCTTTAAACTTCTATAAAGTTCTTTAAAGTTATATAAAGTCTTTTAAAGTTATATAAAGTTATTTAAAGCCCTTTAAGCTCCTTTTCTAACTAACTTATATAAAATAAATATTTCTTTACTTTAGAGTATTAGTATTCTTACCTACCTACTAGAAGATATAGCTAGCACTATAAGTATCTAATTAGACTTAGGCGTTATAAACGTATTATTTATTTAATAAGTTAGCCTTCTATTTAATTTAGTTACGTAACACTTATAAAGTAGTATTACGTATAGTATTATAGTTTTTTTTCTTTATAGTATAGTATAATCTCTACTAACTATATTAGTTAGGGATACGTTAGATTAAATAAGTAAAGATACTGTAGTAGAGCAATATAGGAAGTATATCTAAAGAAGTATTAGAGTAAGATTATGTAACGCAGGTTATATAATCTAGGATTAGTATATAGCAGTTAAGCCTCTAATAGGAGCTTAAGAGAGTATTAACTAATAATACACTTATCCTATCCAGTATTAAGCTACACGTGCCTAAAGAGGCGTTAAAGACCTCTCCTCTATAATACTAGCTTAAATATATATTATATCTTTTAAAGATACTTAATACTAGCCTAAATATCTAGAAAAAGAGTATTTAGAATATCTAAGTTAACCTAATTAGAAGTAATATATACCTATATAAGATTATAACTATCCTAAAGTATACTACATTAATAGAGAGTAACTAAGGTAGCTAGGTTATTATTTTACTATTAATTTATATCTACTAAATTTATTAACGCGCTAATAGGTAGAAACCTAGCTTAAGATACTTTTAACTTTTAACTATACTATTTCTCTATATAGTATTAGTTATAGTCTTTATATACTTTTTCTATAATAGTACGTAATGCTGTAATAAGTATACTATACTTACTAGTATAATTACACTTATTCTATACTAATAATACTAGGGCTTAGAAGTATAAGTATTTAAAAGTATTATTTTTAGCTCTTACTAAATTACTTAACTATATATTAAATACTAGTAAACTACTAGCAGCGTAGGCTATAAACAGCTCTAATATATAAGTTTTATTTAAGTAGAATCTAGCTAGTAATAGAAAATGCCTATTATTACTACTAAATAGCTAAGCTACTTTCTCTACTATAAATATAATAAGACCTTTTTATATATAGCTTTAAAGTAAGCTACTATAAATATAGATTAGTTTTAGTTATTTAGGTAAAGATATTAATACTAGTAGTAGATCTAAGTTATAAGTAAAATAGTATTAATCTCTCTCTATAAGTAGCCTACCTAGTACCCTAAGCTACTTATATTTACTTAGATTAAGTAAGAAGCTATACTAATAATAAAAGCTATTTACTATATCTAACTAAGGCTTTAGTAAGCCTATCTAGCGTATTATATCTACCTTAGTTTACCTTTTCTTCTTATTTATACTACTCTATAATCCTATTTCTTATATAGATAGAGGCTATAATTTATTCTAGGTTAGTTTATACTATAAGTTATTCTCTATATTATAAATATCTTTAGGAGTTATAAACTATAACAGCTAACTTTATAACTTTATTCTATTAACTAATAACTAGTTATAAGCCTACTTCTACTTTATAAGCAGTTTCTACTATGTATTTCTATTAACTATAGTAGATAATAATATATCTTTTAAGCCTTCTAAATTAAAGAGCTAATATAGTAGTAAAATATAACCTATACTAGTATAGTAGAGTAACATAGGAAGTATATCTAAAGGAGTATTAGAGTAAGATTATATAACGCAGGTTATATAATCTAGGATTAGTACATAGTAGTTAAGCCTCTAATAGGAGCTTAACAGAGTATTAACTAACAATATACTTATCCTATCCAGCATTAAGCTACACGTGCCTAAAGAGGTGTTAAAGACCTCTTCTCTACACTAGTATACTTTAGGCTATAGCTACTATACCTAAGCTATTACTATAGATCTATAAAACTTCTAGTAATTAGAATTTTCTAAGTAATAACGTATAATATATTAGGTATATTAATACTTATACTAAGGCTTATTATTATAAATATAATATAGACTATAGATAATAGCTTTAGGAACTCTTTATATATAATATTATAATTATACTAAGATATATTTATAGTAAATACCTAAACTATATTAAAAACACTATACTTAGCTACTAATAGAAATATACTATACTAGAAGTTAGTTTTAAAACTAGCTAATATCTAAAGAAGTATCTTTATTACTTATATAGCTACTTCCTATACTAACGTATAGCTATTAATAAATATAATTATCTTTAGTATTATACCTAGTGTTACGTCTTTACTATAAACTATATTACTAAGTAGAAAGTATAGTATATTCTATAATTCTAGCTTCTTTTAAAGTATTAGTATAATATATAAACTAATATTAGGCTAGTTAATAGATATCTAGATTACCTTAGTTTAGTATATATAGTTACTAACTTTATAAAACTTAGCTATACTTAAGACCTTATTTTTAGTTACTATATTAAGTATTATAGAGTATCTAAACTAGGTAATATCTTAGTAAAGTATTATCTATAGTTTTTCTAGAAGTATAAAGGCTAAGTAGAACTTCTTCTATTATAGAATAAAATAATACTTATTTATTATAACTAAACTAATCTTAGCCTAAAGGTCTATATACTTAAGTATATTTTAAAATAACTAGCTTAACACTTACTCTAAACCTAGTAGAATATAGGTAAACTTACTATTTATAACTTAAACTAGTAATAACTTTTCTATACCTTATATCTTTATATTAATTAGATATAAATATAAGCTATTAAGTTATTTAATATTCTTTAACTACTTATTTTTTAGCTTTATTAATAGTATTAACTAAAAGGTTATTAAACTTATTAAGATAGAATATATATAGAATATAAGACTCTTCTTAAAACTAGTTTAGGTAATAAGAAGTATATTACTTAAACTAAAGATAAGCTATTATAGTATATAAACTTACTTATTCTATAAAACTAGAATAGTAGTATATCTATAGAAAAGTATATATTATAAATATACTTATACTACCTTCTCTTATAGTTAGTAATTATTATACTTTTAGGCCTTATTAATTACTATAAGTAATTTAGTAAGACTTATATCTAGGATATAAGTAATATAAGCTAATAATAGTATAGCGTTATAAGCTTCTATAGCAGTATAAGTAGTTATAGCTATATAAGTATAACTCTACTTTATTTACTTATTAGTACCTTTACTTTTAGCCTTTCTTTTTTTTATACTTAGTATATTCTCTTACTTAAGGTCTATAGGAGTTTAAAGAAGTTTAAAGGTATTTAAAGAAGTTTAAAGAAGTTTAGCTATATACTATATATAGGCTTAACTATTACTAAGGTAAGTATCTATTATATTATAATAATATTAGTCTATAACTTTAAAAGAGTTTAAAAGTATTTAAGAAATATCTTTAGAGTTTTTAGGACTTTATAAGACTTTATAAAATATTATATTACTTATTTTCTAAGTAGGTAGGTATATTTAAACTTAAAAATATATAGTTTTTAATAGTATATATATCCCCTCTAAGTATAGTATTATTTTAATATATATAAATAAGGTAAATAAGATTTACCTTTATATTAATCTAATTATATACTAAAAGTAAAGGGTTATAGTAGTTATATAATAGTTATAGTAATCTAAATAAAAAATAGTATTTAAATTAAAGATATACTAAGCTAGAAACTATTTTTCCTTAGATACTTTATAAATACGTTTACTATATATTATATAAGTATACTTTTATTAGTGTAGGAGTTTAACTTTATGCTACTGCTGTAATTAGCTTAGGAGTTTACAGGAGTTTTGTTAGCGTGCAATTTAGGGAGCGCCTAATTTATGAGATAAACGGAAGGTGTATCTTGTACAAGCTCCAAAAAACTTCAGCAAAGTCTAGCAACAGCTTAATAACTACACATGAAGTTAACGTAAAATTTCCATAGCCTTCTGGCTGCTGGTATACGTCTGACTTACTTTGTTCGTCGCATTTGTTTCTGTAATTTCGTTGCGTCTTTTACTAGGAATAACGTAGCTTTTTTCCAGCTTTTCCACATGGCCGAGAAAGAAGGTGCATGAGGATAACGCTAACGGAGGAAACTTCTTATGAAAAGCGAATCTTGATTCTATCATCGAAATCACGGCGAAGATCGTGAAGGACGCAGCATCCGGTAGCAGTCTAAGAAGAAAAGTCGCTCGAAGAAAAGAACATGCAGAACATAAAGACCTCCAACTAAACCCATACTAAACAGCTCCCCAAGCACACCGAACTGTGCGACATACTGCAAACCTGGTTTTGTCTGCATCAACGTAGGAATGATGACAGCTGGCGCAAGAGCCGTAACTGATGGTAGCGTGTCTGAAATCTTGAATTGCAACCCTCTCTGTCCGAAAAACCTCTTCATGAACCACGTATTCCAGACGATGCGTAAGCCCATGTTGACCGTGTTTGCGAGTACCACCCCACTTCCTCCGAGCTGGAGTTGTCCGACAAAAAACCACGCGCTGCCAGCAAAGAAAGCGAAGAAGATCCCCATGGAGATGGATTGTGTGTACAGCTCCTTGTTCGTAGCAACGGCTGCCACAAAGGCCTCTGTCACACCGTTGATTGCTAGAAATGGTATGTAGTAACAATATGTGGTCAGAACCTTCGAGGCCGAGGTCGCGGACCATTTCTTACCTGCCACGATGGAAAGAAGAATTGGAGCGAGTGATGGTCCCAAAGTTATCGCGAACAAGGAGATGATTGTATACAGGTGTATGATTGTGGTCAAGATCTTATTGGCTTGTAAAAGGCTCTGTTGCTGATCCTTATCCTTCTCCAAAGTCTTCGCTTTCATGTCGTTGGCGTCCTCCGTGGGCTCTGCATTCGCGCAAAGTTTTGCGAAAAGATTGCGACTGCTTTCCTCAATAGGCTGAAACAGCATTCGTGCAACCAGCCCTCCATAGTTGGATGCCAGAGCATATGCTCCTTGATCCGCAAGGGATGCCATTGTCGTAATGAGCAGCGAATCTCCTTGGGTAAGGATATACTTCAAGGCGGACTGTAAAGTAAGTGATGCCGTGAGTCGTAGGAGAGGAGCTGAGAAATAGTTGAGTATGCTTGAGTCGTCTTTTGTTGCCGGTATTTGCTTTGGGAGCAGCGAGAAACGGTGCTCATCCGACACAGGCCATGTCTTGTACAGGTAGACCACAAACAGTGATAAGGCGTAGCTCAGCTGTCCTATCGCAAACGGCAGGACTCCAATGTCAAGACCAGCTCGGCTTGCCAAGATAGCAGACCCACATGTCCCAACGCAGCGGAGCACAGTACCAGTACTTTCCGCTGAGGCTCGAATCTTGTATAAAAGCTTATGTTGCACGGCTGAGAATGCCGGCTCAGTAACAAGTTCGACGATCGTAGCAAATCCATAGACGCTTAGAGCTTCCACGAAGTAGGGGACATTTGGCGTATCAGACCGAAGCCACAGATGAGCGAGGCCAAACGTCAACGGAACTCCAGAAATGACTGCAAGATATGAGAGATTGACAACAGCTTGGACCCCCTGAGCTTGGCGCTGAAGAGCTACTCGTAGACTCTCCCGTGCGAAGTAGAGCACAGAAATAGAGAACAGTTCGAGCTGAGCTGAGACGCCGAGAAGTTCAGGCGACAAGAATCTCAACAGGATCTGATTGACAGCGAATGTGAGTGCCCGAGAAGCAACTTGCAGGATAATGAGAAAAGTGGCGCCTTTGGCGGAGGCGGAAAGGATAGAGTTCGACATAGCTAGTGGTTCGTGATGTTGACAGGAGCCTTGAAGTTAATGAAGAGTCATGATGATTGGATAGCAGGCTGGTGATGTAGTGATGCTGTCAGGGGTGCAGTGACGCGGAGAGTTGTGGTTGGAGGTAGGTAAAGTCGGTGTTCAGAAGCAGCTAGCCGAATGGCTTCATCAGCACCAGCTCACAGATCCTGACTCTGAACCTCATTATAGCACACCGCATCATGGCTTCTCCCTCAATTTTTGCTGCCAGAGCTGGTGAAGATGGTAGTAGTCGACCCCAAAATAGTGGCTAAAACTGAAAGGTTGCTCATCCGGCCTCTTGTTATAGAAGATGCGGAGGACATTGTGTTGATGCGGGCGCATCCAGACGTGATGAAGCACACGTGAGTATGCTGCTTAACCTATATACACCGCTCTGACTTGATACAGATCTATTCTGCCCAACGACGACCTCGAGAGATCGAAAGAGTGGATTGCTGGGTGTCACGCCAGAGAAGACTGCTGGAACTTCGTGATCGAGCTCCTGCCCTCCGCAACCGGAAAGTCTCGCGACGACGTACGCGTAATCGGCCTCATAGGCGCAGTGCGAGCTCCTGAGGTCGGATACATGCTGAATGCGAACTATTGGGACAAAGGCTACGCGACTGAGGCTCTTCGAGCATTCTTACCCTTGTTCTTCGACTACTATTCCGGGGCAAAAGCCAAACGATACGAGTACGCGGAAGCGCTCACCGATCCCGAGCTTGTCAGTAGTCAAAATGTGTTATTGAAGGCAGGCTTCAAGTTTCATGAGCGGAGGGAGAAAGACTTTGAGAACCCGGTACTGGGATGGAGAGATACTATGGTGTACCACATGGCTCGCCCGGATGCTAAGAGCGAGGCACAGCATAAAGCGACTCAAGGCTGTGCGGAGGCTGTAGCAAGGGACGACATCGTGTCATGTCTCCTACATAATAAAGGAGTAACGTAATAGACGGAGGAGTCACATCATCACGTACATGCCACACGTTGTACTGTGGCAAGCCCAAAAATCGGCGGAATTTTGTACAATCACACAATCCTGTAACACTGTATGAGCTTTTTCAGTACAGGCTGCGCACGTTTTGTGTTCGCCTACAGTGATAAGCAAGGAAAGCCATTGTGGAGTCTTGCTGCCCAAGGATACCAGTATGTCGGTGATATAACCGATTTTGCGCTTTTACAAGACATGAATTAGACCACCATGTCAACTCGAAGGACTTTCGAGAGCCGTGAATATCTGTCCAACGCTTTGAGATGATAATATCATATATGCTAACTTTTGATGGGGTATCGAGATTAAAACTACAAGCTTCCAAAAGTTGAGCGAAATCATTCAGAGTCGTCTGCAGCATCGCTCTCGCTCTGACCATCGTCGTCTTGCGACTCGCCTTGAACGTCATCATCCTCATCACCATCGTCGTTGGAGTCATTCTCTTCCTCTCCATCGCCCTCGTCTTCTTCATCTTCCTCGTCGTCACCCTCAAGTACGACCTTTTGCACTGTTCGACTTGCCGCCGCAGCCGCCGCTCTACGTCGAGGTCGCCCACTGCTCTCTTCGCCTACTTTCCCCCACGCAGCTTCGCCTTCCTGGATGGCTGCTAAGTCTTTGGCAAACTCTCGCTCCTCCTTGATTTTGGCTGCCTTTTCAACGGAGTACTTGCCATCCATCCCAGCGTCTTTTAGCATTGCTTTCAGATGCTTGACCTTCTCCTTAGACGTGTCGCAAGTAGCCAGCTCCTTGAACCAGACCTTCCTTATGCCACATTTGACTAACCAGCCTTGTAGTCGCTTGATCTCGGCTGTGTCCGGATCCTCCTCACCTTTGGGCTTTGCCACGGCCTTTGCAGGCTTAGCCTCCTTCTTTGTCCTTGCTGCTGGTTCCTTCTTCTGTCGCTTGTTCTTCGGTGGCGAGTCGTCGAGTAGAACCGACATCTCACTATCTGACTTGTTGCCACTCGTGTCCGGAGGTGGAGTGCTTGGCTCCTTTACTGACGCTGCTTCCTCTTCACTCTCATCGTCCTTGACGACCTTCTTTGTCTTCTTTGTCGCTTGTTGGGGTGTCACATCTTCCTCCTCGTCCGAGTCTTCTGCCACAACCTTCTTCAAGCGTCGCACTAGCTTCTTTGGCGGTGGTTCGCTTTCTGCGTCGGACAGTTTGGCTTCAGATTCCTCATCGGAAGACACAGTCTTTTGTCGCTTCTGAGTCTTCTTTGCCGGTACTACAGCTTTTCGCTTTACACCTTGCGTACTTTCCGTCTTTGGTTTGGCGGTCTTCTTCTTTGCTGGCTTGACTTTAGGCTTATCGGCAGCCTTCTTCGTGGTAGCAGGCTTTGGCGAAATCGCTGGCTCTGGGTTCTCGGTACGATACTTGTCCTAGTGAGAGTGTTAGAGGAGTACTGATAACCATGCTACTAATGAGCACTCACCACAGCCTCATGAATAGTCTCTTGACTCTTTTGCTTCCACTCCGAGCTCTTGAGGAGGCCAGTGGCCAGGCCCAGCTCTTCCTCCGCACGCGCGCGCACGCGTTTTATAGTCAGGTCGTCCAAGTTGCCGGCCTGGTAGATTGCACTGACAACATCGCGAAGTTTGTGCGATATAGCTCCCTCGGAAGGTGACTTGGAACCCAAATCAGACATGTTACGCGTTGTTTGGGAAGTTTTCGATGTTGCTCGTCGACTACGCGACGCGATCGACTAGCTTTCCGACCTAGGCAGGAACTACCAAGCTTTGTTTTAGCCTACACGTGACAGTGTACCCCGCCAATTACGTCAAATGATTCTCGAACGAATGGTCGCTAGAAAGCAGGGCGAACTGTTGAATTCAGCCTCAGCGTCCTGGGTAGCCCAAAACTTGAAAGCACATGTTTGGCGAATTAAGCGCTCCCAAACTTTTACACGGTGCAGCTCACCGCTTGGCCTGTGAGCCCCGCGGTCCAATCAATATACGTCACATCTGAGTCCGCCCGTTTGCACAGCGCGCCTTCACCCCTTCAACAAAACCCGTCAGCGCAGCACAGCACCCAACTTGCATGCCACCACGCCCAACAATCTCTAGTATTAGCCTACCCTAAGCTCATTCCTTCTCTCCCCGCAGTGGCCTAAGGCCTGTTTTATCGCTTTCCGATCGACGAATCGACGAATCGACGAAGTCCTGAGAACCCACTCGCTATCTTGAGCGGGTCTGCCTCCAAAATCATCCTTTCGTCACCCACAGAGAAATTAGCCCTCTCACCGTGGACCCTTCTCGTCGAAAGCTTCGACCACTCCTGCTGGCCTCTCACAAACGCCCACGCAGTGGTCCGCTGACCCCTCGACCTCACCCTCTCGACAAACTTTGCGCCCCCATAATCAATCACACCACTCCTACCTCAAATACCCCGCCCTTCTACATTCAACTCTCCATATATATACACGGCAAAAATGGCGGACGAGCCCACGACGCTTGTAAGGAGGCAGACGAACGAGGGACGTCTGCTGCTCGTGTCGAACCGCCTGCCCATCACGATCAAGCGCTCAGATGAGGGCAAGTTCGAGATGTCCATGTCCTCTGGTGGACTGGTCAGCGGTCTGAGTGGACTGTCAAAGACGACGACCTTCCAGTGGTACGGGTGGCCTGGTCTTGAGGTTCCAGATGACGAGGTGTCCACGCTCAAGGACCAGCTTAAGAAGGAGTACAATGCGGTACCAGTCATGCTCGACGATGAGCTCGCAGACCGCCACTATAACGGTTTCTCAAGTGAGCGCACCCCAGTATAACATTTGCGTCCCCATATACCAAATGCTAATTGGCAGACGCTATCATGTGGCCGCTTTTCCACTATCACCCTGGAGAGATCACCTTTGACGAGTCGGCTTGGGACGGGTATACCGAGGCCAACCGCCTATTCGCGAAAGCTGTCGCAAAGGAAGTCCAGGATAACGACATGGTGTGGGTACACGACTACCACCTCATGCTCATGCCTGCTATGCTGCGCGAGGAGATCGGCGACACGAAGAAGAACGTGAAGATCGGCTTCTTCTTGCATACTCCCTTCCCCAGCTCAGAGATCTACCGAATTCTTCCCGTCCGCAACGAGATTCTACTTGGTGTACTCCATTGCGACCTGATCGGCTTCCACACATATGACTACGCTCGCCATTTCCTGAGCAGTTGTTCTCGAATTTTGTAAATATCACTACAGCGACTCAGTTTACACATACTGACTTTGTTAGGGGTCTCGCGACCACACCAAACGGCGTCGAATTCCAAGGCAAGGTCATTACGGTCGGCGCGTTTCCAATCGGTATCGACCCGGAGAAATTCGACGAGGGCCTCCAGAAGCCCAAGGTGCAAGAACGCATTGCGGCGCTCGAGAAGAAGTTCCAGGGCGTCAAGCTGATCGTTGGTGTCGATCGGCTGGATTACATCAAGGGTGTTCCCCAGAAGTTGCATGCGCTCGAAGTGTTCCTTACCGAGCACCCTGAATGGATTGGAAAGGTTGTGCTCGTCCAGGTCGCTGTTCCTTCCCGACAGGACGTGGAAGAGTACCAGAATCTCCGAGCGGTTGTCAATGAGCTCGTCGGACGAATCAACGGCAAATTCGGCACCATTGAATTTATGCCGATTCACTTTATGCACAAGTCGGTCTCTTTCGACGAGCTGATCGCCCTTTACTCCGTCTCCGACGTCTGCCTCGTATCTTCGACTCGCGATGGCATGAACCTAGTATCCTATGAGTACATCGCCACGCAGGAGAAGCGACATGGCGTCATGATTCTATCCGAGTTCACTGGCGCGGCGCAGAGCTTGAACGGTAGTTTGATCGTAAATCCTTGGAACACAGAGGAACTCGCGGACGCCATCCACGACGCAGTCACTATGGGAGACGAGCAGCGAACTCTCAACTACCAGAAGCTGTCCAAATACGTCAGAAAGTACACCAGGTAAAGTGCTCAGGTCGAAACTCAATCTATACATAACTAACACGTTTAGTGCATGGTGGGGCGAGTCTTTTGTCAATGAGCTGAGAAGAATGTCCGAATCTTCGGATAGGAAAGTCAAGTTCGACAAGATTAGCAAGTCAACGACCGAGGGCGGCGCCAATTCTTCCGCAGTAGAAGACCAAGCTGACGGCCAGCCTGCCAAAGAGCAAGATTCTGTCCCGAGCAAAGACACGGAGTCCGGCCCTGCGGCTGCGCTCGAGTCGCAGCAGGAGAGTACTAATGCTACCGAGCAGAGTCTACCTATCCAGACCAAAGAGTCTACCTCATAGTAGCTATGAGGTGCAATCAAGGCCACTTCCTTTCTCCTGAGATTGACTCCAACCCCAATTCCTATTTTCTCTTTCTCCATACTAGTGGCATAGCATGCAATGGACGTTTGGCGTGACAGGTATAGCCTGGGTATAAAGTGACGAGGATTATTTTCCCTTCCAAGGTAGACAGCATGCAGTGCATCTGGATCTCCTACAATGGCTTAGTGTAGCAATGATAAATACCCTGTTTGACTTCGATGATATTTTCCACCATCTTTTGTGCGTTTAATCTGTTCATTGAGCGTCGTTGGTTAGTTATCCGACGTTTGTGCATCAAAATAATTAATTAGTCATGTAGATGCTACACTAGACATTCTCCTTCCTCAGCTTGTCCAAATCAGTGGATATAGTACGCCTATTAGAGGAGAATCATCACTCCAATATTTCCACGTCTTCTATCAGGTTCATTTCGACAGTGAGCAGCGTCTTCGTCTGCTGTTCTCGCCACGAACCCTATTAGCAGTCGACACTCGACAAGACCAGCTCCGCTCCTTTTTGCCGATGTACATAACCTCGCACGCTCATGTCGCTCACCAAGCCTCACCAAACCTAACGTCGCTCCTCTGCCTCCCCCCCTTCAACACAGAATACGACTTAACCTCGAACCCATCCTCCATTAACTCCTCCTCCACATCCGCCCCAAAGTCCACCATCTGCATCATCAGCGTGACAAAGAAGCTCAAGCGCATCAAACGACTCAGATAGTGCTTTATCAGGCGCAACGTAGCGCAACGCATCGCGTCATCACGGTCTGGCGTATTCTTCCACAGCAGAACAAGGCTGTCGAGGAAACGGTCGAGTTCTGCGGCTGGCGAGCGGTCGTGCGGGTGGGGAGGCGCATTTAATACCGTAGACGTGCAAGCGAGAGCGTGGTCTAGATCATTGGCGTCGGTGATGAAGGCCGATCGCAGTGTCATATCAGCTGTGATGATGTACATTTTGATGGCGTGTTCGCACAGCGCGGCGACCTCGTATTTTGCGCCCACGAGGTACGCGTGGATGTGGTAGTCGAGCTTGGATATGTAGGGGAAACGCGCGCGCGACTCGGGTTGGAACGAGTAGAAGCCTTTGTCGATGAACTCGAGCATGGCGTGGACGGCGTAGGGGAAGTCGTCACGGAGGCGGATGGTGCGGGTTTGTGATTCCTGAGTGGTGTTGGGATGAGTAATGTGTGGATGGGGTGTGGCAGTAGGAAGCTTACCAGGAAGGGCCCGTCGAGAAGGTGGGTGAATACGCGAGAGGCGCTGCATAATGGGTACTTGTCGACTTTCTCGAACTTCTTGCCTTTGTCGAAGATGACGATGATCTCATTTGGCTGGATGGGTGTTGAGAAGATGCTATGTCTATGTTAGCAAATCCCTCTATACAAGACTTCGGATGCACATACTCATAGAATGTACTTGAAGGTACCACATGGACAATAGTACGATCTCTACGAGCCAAGCCTCTGAGAGGGGTTGATAGTAGCGATTGTTTTGGAGTGTCCAACAGAGACAATGTGCTGAACCCAAGTGCGCTTGGAGTCAGAGGGCCTACCGGAGTCAGATGGTCGCTCATCTGTACATCCAAATCCATGTAGACCGCCGGACCAGATCCGGGGTCTATGTAAGCGCCCAGGACTTGATCTAGAGAAGACGGAGAACTTGACGGCGGGCTGGGCGGATAGAGATCAAATAACGAGTGCTTCTGTACTGTCGGAGGCGTAGGTACTGTGGGTTGACTCATGTTGGGAAAGTTGGAAGAGAATCCGCCAGTGGGGAGTGACATCGTCTGGTTCGAAGCATACTGTTCGGCGTATAACTGTCCGGGAAGTGACTGAAGAGCATACGTGTAATTTGGATTCGGTGGCGGGGCGAGACCTGGTTGGAAGTGAGGGACCCGATGAGCAGTACCTAGAGTCCACATGCTCTTGTTTCCATCCTGTTCAAGCAAGGTCTCATTCTCTTTGTCTATACCGTAGAAGACAGAAGGTGTGGATAAGACGCAGGATGCATCCGTGTATCTAGTAGTCTGAATGGGGCGAGGGAAGCTAGTGTTACCTGCGACGGGCTGGAAAGCCTGGCTATAGGCACGTTTGCGTTCCTGCATTGCTGTGTTTGATGGTTCCCACACTGAGGTGGCGTCAGATCCTGTTGAGTTTCCGTAAGTTGAGGCTGATGCAGGAATCATGAGGAGAGGATTGCGTCTAAAGAAATCGAGGCGAATAAAGATAGAAGTGGGTATTGTCGAGGTGACTACAAGACGCGAAATATACACGTAGACAACGTTGTGACGCGCCGGCTAACGCGTTGTTTGACGGAAAAGCGGGAAGCGGATGGCCACATTTGGCCATCGTTGATGGTGAAAGTCGACGTAAACTGCGCTGTCGGAGACCTACTGATCCCTCAAGAAGATCAGTGTTTTGAGTGTATAGTCTCTCGTGTGAGTGCGCATTCACATATACACAGAAGAAATCGAGCACACAAGAAGATTCTCTGTGCTCAACACATAGTCAGGCTTGGGTGCGAACAGACATATCATTTCCACCTCTCTGCTACTTTCTCGAAAATATCTGATCTGAACTCCGGCAGCTCACCCATCAGGGTAAACAGTCTTGCCGCTGTCCGCCTGTTCCCACATGCGAACTTCTCAATATGTTCTGCGCACAGTTTGATAATTACAGGCCGGAGCTGGTCATCTCTTACTCTTGATGTTTTCGCATACATCCCGCAGATCACTTTGGAAAGATCTTCTCCATCGCTATCCGTGGTCAGCGTCGTAGTAGCAAGAGCCTCAAACTTTCGCAACGCAAGTTTCATCATGCCCGGAATAATGTACCGCTGCGCTAGCATGTACACATCGACGTGTAACTGCAAAGCGCAGCTATGAGCATCCGACTTTGGAGAAGAAAGCCCGTCCACGTAATCGAGTCGGTAACAATATTGCATCATTGCAGCAACAGCATCCGAGTTATCGGCACTGAGATCGATTACACATTTGGATGCCTTTCGGTACATGTCAGCGTGATTGAGCGGAGTATGGACAATTTTCTATAGAAGTAAATACTTACAGTCGTGGCCACTCTAGCGCATACGTTTGTAAACCACTGTGAATGGCCGCACACAACCGCGCGGTTAACATTGTATAATTCGCTCTTGCAACGGACCAACAAATCTGTACAGGATCTATCGGGGTAGGTTGGCGTGGCTGATGGCTGATTCTCATATGGCGGGTGTGCCTCAAATGCCAACGACGTACTTTGAGATTCTGCACTTTTTGAAGAGAAAGTCCTGAAATGTCGTTGTCGTTTTTGCGTGCTGGCAGTCGAAAAAGTTGATACAGAAGTTGAAGCAGTTGAAGCATTGGAAGACGTGCGCGAGAGTTGACTCGAAGTACTGCTCGAAGAGCGTCTGTGGCTGGAGTACAACTCTGAAGAGCTGAGTCTAGACGGTTGATAAGCACATCAACAATATTTGGGATGTTCAACCTGCTCACACGTTCCTGGTAGCTATCAGGGGTGTAGCAAACATCTTGATGGTGGTAGAATACTGAATGCAAGAGAGCCCAACACAATGGCAGCTTTCAGCAGTCTAATATGCAGCTAATCGTGCACTGAGTTATCCTTGATGTAAGAAGACGGAAAGTGAGCAACGTTCCGATTGCGCTTCTAACATTATGCTGGATATATGGACATAAACCAGCGGAAGAATTGCAAGAGCTAGGAGATCGACTGTAGAAGAGATATGAAGGAAAGACAGGAATAGATGAAGTATACTGCTTGTCTTCACATAAAGCTGAAGTGTATATGAAGTTTATCAACTTGACCAATCATCGCACCGCACATAAACGACTTTTGTGAACATGTGGCCTATTTTATATGACCAGAGCAATATATGAATAGAGCGAGTGGGGTAGCTTCCGTGCTTGTTCCACCGAAACACGTTTCGAACAGTTGGAAACTATGCAAATCCGAGGCTATGAGCTGCAATATACCTATTTGGCCTTCCAGTTATATTGCTAGATTGTTTCACGTCTTAGTATGAACCGGGTGCATCGATCCGACCGGTACATCGCATCCATTTGTAAACGTCGAAAAAAAGAATGTTTTGGCTGGACCGCTGCATCTAAACATCTAGACCCAGATGGTGGCGACAAGTCAGTCAGATACGATAGCCAAGGCTGCTGATGGATTTCTCGACTCCCCATACATCATGCAGTGACTTGAAGCAGCGCGCAGGCAGTGGTTCCAATAACAGCGCGTCAGTGGAGGGAACACACTGAGCAAGACGCACAACGTCAGAGTGATGTAGCCGCGATTGGACAAGCCATGAAGATGATAGATTTGGTAGTCTTCAAGAATGAACGGTGTAAATCCAATGTAGCTCGTATGATCTCACCGTCTATGTGACTGTGACATGGGCGCTAGGCATCTGCTCGAGTGAATGATGCTGCCGGAAGCCCACGCACAAGCGAAATGGCTTGGCCGCCCCTGCTTTGCAGCGGGTGGATCGCAACTTGCCTTGTCACCAGCGCCAACTGCCAGCACTTTGTGCCCCTCACCCTGTGTCCTCTGTATTCTCGACAGACTTTACAACAGAAGATGGGCCGTTCACGCCACTCTTTTTGCAATTTTCCAAACCCTCGCCTTCCCATGGATCGAATCCCGCGGTGCTGGGGGCCCCTGCGCTCCGAGACGATGCACGTCACGTGCCGGCCACTACGGATGGCTGTTTGTGCGCGGCGCGAAGACGGTTGCGCCCGCGCTCGGGACTCGATTTCTCCTCACGCCTCCAGCTCGTCTACCCACACAGCATTGTTCCCGTACACAAGTCCAGACACCGGCTCGCGCGTCTAGTATGCCGTCTTCACACTTCGGCCTCTTCCATCTCTCGTCAATTCATCTCGTCGTCGCCCTTTGAAGCTCGAGGAGCTTTTGTCCCGCCCTCTCCGCATCTGCAGCGTCATCTGCTCGCTCCAACGCTCACCACCTACGTCAGCCAGAGGGCAGCCATCGCGCGCTCGCAGGGGCCCTGCCATTGAACTGCGTTGGGTAGCTGTCCACTGGCCTCCTGCCAGCTCCCGTCTCTCGCTCCCCTGCCCGTCACCTCACACGACCAGACACCCTTGCGCGACCCGCACACGAAGCTGTCCGGCGCCCGAATCGCGTCTATCGCCGACGCGCTCCCTACGCACCGTTCCCAGGAACAGCGACAGCGATACCGACCATGTCGCCGCGTCGATCGTCGCGGGCTCGCACCACACAGCCCCCGCCCAGCGTCGCGACAGCACACAGCAGCACCTCATCCTCAGTCTCCTCAGCCCGCACAGACCGAGCAGCGAAAAACAATCAAAAGCAGTCGTCGCCGCACAAGTCGTCGACCCCGCACTCGCTCTCGTCAGAGGAGCTCGAAGACCCACCTCGCGGCGCGCAGGTGCCGCTAACCCGGCGTCGCACGCGCGAACAAGACAACGACGAAGACGAGTCGACAAAGCTCGATGACGATCTCGATGATGACAATGCCGAGGAAGGCGAGGTTACGCGGTGCGTGTGTGGTTTCCAGGACTACCCGGGCCTACCACCAGAATACGCCCAGTCCAGCCCTGCTCTGGCAGACTCTGACGCTCAGGGCGACGATGTCGGCGGACTGTTCATCCAGTGCGACTGGTGCAAGGTCTGGCAGCACGGTGGCTGTGTGGGCATCTTGGACGAAGCCTCCAGCCCTGAAGACTACTTCTGCGAGTTCTGCAGGACCGAGCTTCACAAGATCCTGCCAACTGGCAAAGGTCACGACTACTCCCGCTACTACCCTGTGTATAACGAAATGCACAATGAGAACGCAGACGAGTCTTCTGTTTCAAAAGAGCCTGAGAGGCACTCGAGCAGGGAGAACGACCGCAACGCCCGAGCCAGCGTCGATTCGTTTGGCAAACGCCGGTCGACAATGAACAGTCGGGCTGCATACGACGAAGACGAGGTTCTGAGGAAGGTATTGGAGGAGAGCAAGCATGAGGGCACTGCTCCTTCAAGTACCGGCAATCGCAAGAAACGAAGTCGTGACGACAGCGAAGAGTGAGTAGCACTCGCTGCGATGCCTACTCAACGAGACAAAAGCTGACAAGCTTTGCGACAGGGTCAAGCTAGAAGTCAAACGACAGCGCACAAGCTCACGTTCACCTAGCGGCTCGCCCGTCATCGAATCTGAAGACGAAAGCCTCAATGCCTCTGCCCCAAAACAGAAGCCACGCGGTGCTGCAGCAAGGAGTCAGCGCGACAAGGAACAACGCGAGAAGGATCGCGAGAAGGAACGCGTCGAAGCCGCAAATCGGCGGAAGGGACGCGCAGAGCGAAGAAAAGTAGACGGTATGTGACTGGCCCAATGACATCAAGCTCAGAGCTGACATCTACAAGGACCAGAAGCTCCAGAGCCTACGCCTACACCCACCGAAGAACCTATCACACTCCCCATAGTCTCCGAATCTGCGCCGCCAGAGATACCCATGACAGACCCCAAGCCCGTACCAGCTCCACGACGAGGCGGTCGGCCACCGCAGAAGTCTCGCGGCCGTCTTGGTCGGAACCAGTACTCACGCGACGCTATGCCCGCAACAAATGGTGTTTCCCCCGCACACGACATACCAAACTCGCCTCAGCCAAGCGCCACAAATGGCATTAGCAACGGACACGATAGCAGTGATGGGGCTGCAGGACAAAAATCTGCCAAGTCGAAGAACTGGCGGCTGCAGAAGGTTTCATGGAACGATATCAGACGTCCGGCAGGCGCTATGCAAAACTACATCGCGCAGCGGCAAGTCGAGATGGCAGGCGAGAAGCATATACCAGCTCCAGCTGTACGATCTTTTATCGCTGCTACAAACGGCGATCATAGCCAAGAAGGGACCAAAGACGACGACGTGGATGTCTCCAAGTTCAAGGAACTCAGCACCACACAGATGATGGACTTTCTGAGTCGCGACCTCGTGCACTGGCAACAGATGATAACCGAGCCAAATGGCAAATGATTGAGAGAGTTCTTTCATCGTTTCTTTACACTGTACGGTGCTTTTCTTTCGAATCCGAAAATACGCGACGGCATTTTTTACGGATTTCAATATATGGTGTCTCAACATCTAGAACGGCGTTTTATGGCTTTGTAACCGGAATGTGGGTTTGCGTACTGGTCTGGATACCCTCCGCTTCACTTTCACTCCTCATGTGTCGCTACGCCGCCTCGTTGTCGACGTATGCATTTCTTTTCTATTCACAATACCATCGTCTCATGTCCATTTCTAGTCTATACCGCAGGGTCTACACAGCAATGCATGGGGATCATAGCTGACGGCGTTTTCGAACGCGGGAGTTTGGGTTGCAATGCAGCATCGTTATTCGATATAGGACGTATCTCAAAACCTACTTCATCGTCTCTCACATTGAATCCCTACTCCACCTTTCCCACCTTAATCGACAGTACATCCTTCCCCGGCGCTCCCTTGAGCACCTCCAGCACAGCCGCGAAATTCCCCTCGTTCAAAATCGTGCTCTCGGGCCAGATGTTCGCGTCGCGACTGCTCATGTCCCACAGCACTTTGATCTCCTCGATCTGCTCCTTCGTCTCGGCTGACTTGTACTTGCCCATGAACTCGGCGCAGTTGGGGGACGAGGCGAGCGTAGAGGTTATTTGCGCGTTGAGCGCTTTGAGTGTGGGTTTCGACGTGTCGACCAGGATCAGCTCGTGGCGCTTTCCTGGGGGCAGCGTGAAGAGGAGGGGCAGAGACATGTTGGGTGGCTGCGTGGGGTTAGCATGAGGAGAGGAAAGAGGGGAAGAGGGGTGAGCTTACGAGGTTTGGGTTTGGGTTAGGGGTTAGGTGGGTTGCTGGTGTGGTTTGGTTTGGTGGGTAGCTTTAGAGGTTTAGTGAAGTTAGTAGGCTGGTCGTATCGCAGATGAGCGACCTGCGATGCGCGCGTGAGTTGCGCTTTTCAAGCTTTCGGCCAGCTACTACCTCGGATACGTCATCTGGCAGGGGTTGCACGACTTGTGGGTCGACGGTTGGATGTTTTCGCGAAGGGAACAGGGGTTCGTGAACGGTTCTCCGCAGTGGTGAGGGGAACATGACTGTACATCACATGTTTGAATTCAAGTGGTGGAAACGTTCGAAAGAAATCAACGTGCTTTGATGCTATATGCCTAGGATAGATCTTGTTCTCATGCATATGCTAGAGCTCCCGCACAAATATGCATCATGAGATGGGAAAAGGAGGTCTACCGTAACAAGGTCACTGAGACTGAGAGTGTCTACTACAATCACAATCCTTTAAGCTTCTCCTCAAGCGCGCGTTTGATAGCTATTCGCATGTCAGTATTCGGTCATCTTGCATCAAGGCTCAAAGACTTACCGTTACAACTATCATTGGCATCTCCAAATAACATCTTGGTATTGTCCATGTAGAACATGGGATTCGGCACGTCTGCATAACCGCTCGCCATACCTCTCTTCATAATCACAACTTGCTTACTCTTCCACGCATGCAGTACCGGCATACCAGCAATCGCAGACCCAGGCTCCAACGCAATCGGGTTCACCGTGTCATTAGCACCGATAACAAGAGTGACGTCTGTACCTGGGAAGTCGTCGTTGATCTCGTCCATTTCGAGAACGATATCATATGGAACGGAAGCTTCGGCGAGGAGAACATTGCATTGGCCTGGCATACGGCCGGCGACGGGGTGGATGGCGAAACGGACGTTGATGCCTTTTGCGCGAAGTGCGTTGACAAAGTCGGAGATGGCGTACTGGGCTTTTGCGACGGCCATGCCGTAGCCAACAACCTAGATGTGATTAGCTTTACGATGGTATGGCTTGTGATGGTGTGGATGCTTACGATGATGACATTCTCAGAGCTGACCAGAGCTTCAGCCGTTTCGTCGGCCGTCGTCTTTGTAATTTCTCCTTCGATCTTGGTTTGGGTCTGGGGTGTTTGCGCTATACCACCGAACAAGACGTTTGTGATTGATCTGTTCATGGCCACGCACATGATGTACGAAAGGATGGAGCCTGACACTCCAATCAAAGCTCCAATTGTAGTGAGCAGCGAGTTGTCCAACATGAAACCTTCAGCTACCAGCGCGAATCCAGAGTAGGCATTCAGGACTGTGATGACGACCGGCATGTCGGCACCTCCGATGGCTGCAGTGGTAGTATATCCTTTGATGAAGCTCAAAACGGCGTTACCCATAAGGCACGCAGCACCTATGAGGGGTGCTCCAGGTGCCCATGCAAGGAAAGCACCCATTGTTGCCACATTCGCGCCGAGCAATGTACCGTTGATAAGATGGCGCCCTGGAAGTGCTAACGGTTTCGAAGACATCTTCGCGGCTAATTTCAAGAAAGCGACGATACTTCCTGTGAAGGTTACCCCACCGATCAAAACTCCAAGGTATGCGCTGACCATGTGAAGAGTCGAGATATCACCATCATGGGCGAGAACACTGCCGATGCTGGTGAGCACAGCTGCAAGACCCACTACAGAGTGCAGTGCAGCTACGGTTTGCGGAAGTGATGTGGGCGTAATCCTCCGTCCGATGGCTAGACCAGCAATGGTTCCAATCGTAGCCAGACCAGCAAACTGTGAGAGAACTTCCGGTGTGAAGCCCACAACAGCCAACGAAGCGAGGATGCCCGTAAAGACGCCCAGAATACCCAGATAATTTCCGCGTCGAGCAGTAGCCTGCGAAGCAAGACCAGAGAGTGAGGTCATGCAAAGGATGCTGCTGACAAGATAGCCAGCCTGCACCAAGCCAGCCATCCCTGTCGAGGCTGCTGCAATGAACCCGCCGCCAAACAATACGGCGGGAACGGCATATAGCAACGGATATTCTGGAGGGTCTGTCGGACGTCGAAACATATCCAGCATACGCTTGCTGATAACGAAGCCTCCGGAAACGTTGACGAAAGCGAGCAAGACAGATAGAGCACCAAGAGTCTGGGGAATAGTTTCTGGATGATAGCCACCCCCCATCACATAAAGACCTCCAATGCCAACCATTCCAGAAATGGCATTAGTGACACTCATGAGTGGCGAATGTAGAGCAGGCGCAACGCCCCAGACGACTCGGTACCCGATCAGACTGGCGAGAGCAAACGTGAAAGCATTAGACATGAACAAGGGTCTATAGGCTGTTAGAGTTTGTCTTTAAGACTAGGATCAGATATCGTACCCTGTGAACTTTCCAAGTGCCAAAGCTGTCGTCATCCCGGCAGTGACGCTCGCAACCTGGCGCGATTGACTTTGCCAAGGCGTAAGCGCAACGATGTTTGCAACTTGATCCGCTGGTGAAAGCGCTGGTTTAGCCTGAGCAGGTGGAGGAGCAGGACGAGGAGCTGGGGGGATGATCTTTCCATTATGGGTGACAATGGCACCGCGAGTGACCTCGTCAGTTAAATCGACATCGTACGTCTGATCCGTCTTGTCTTTTGGTACCAATGAAAGCAGAAATTTGGTGATGTTGTTGGAGTATAGAGTCGACGACTGAGTTGGCAAGCGAGATGGAAGATCAGTGTAGCCTATATCATCATGAGCACAAACGTAGTTCGTCAAGGGGATCGTACCTACCAATTATGGTTACGCCATCATATTTCGACAACTTGCCGGGAACAGTAGCTTCGCAGTTGCCACCAGCCTCAGCTGCGAGGTCTACAACAACGGAACCGGGTTTCATGGCGCCAAGCATAGATTTTGTAATTAGCTTAGGGGCAGATTTTCCGGGGATCAAAGCTGTGGTGATGACGATATCGACTTCTCGACACTGTTCATAGAACAATTTCATCTCGGCCTCGATGAACTCCTTAGACATTTCTTTGGCGTAGCCACCAATTCCTGACCCGTCTTCTTTCATGTCGACTTCGATGAACTCAGCACCAAGCGACTGGACTTGTTCACGAGCTGCGGGGCGAGTATCAAAACCACGTACTATGGCACCCATACGACGAGCCTATATCGTATGTTAAGAAATTCTTTCCGAAGGGTGGAGGTCATTCATACTGTTGCAATAGCACTCAAACCCGCTACACCAGCTCCAATGACGAGTACTTTGCAAGGGGGAATCTGGGTTTCCATTAGTGTAGCTGTTGACAGGGGTGTATAACACTTACCTTTCCAGCGGCAGTGACCTGGCCAGTAAGAAATCGACCGAATTGATTCGAAGCTTCCAGGACAGCTTTGTATCCTGCGATATTGGCCATAGAACTTGCCCTGTATTAGCGACTTTCATGTAAAAGATTTTGTGGACATACCTCAAAGCATCGAAAACCTGGGCGCGTGAGATACGAGGAACCATATCCATGGCAAATGCGGTCGCTTTACGGGACGCAAGTGCATCGACCACTGGTCGATTTTGAACCGGGTAGATAAAAGATATCACAGTCGCTCCATCACGAATAGAATTGATCTCACTTTCGGCTCCGTCAATGCTGAGTGCTCGAACCTTGAGCAAAATATCGCTTTCTGAGAATACGCTTTGGCGGTCAACAGTCTCAGCACCTGCATGCTCGTATGCCTCGTCCGTAAACTGGGCTTCGATACCTGCTCCGCTTTCGATCAAGATGCGTGAGAACCCTTTCTTGAGTAGCAGCTTCACGTTTTGAGGCGTAATTGCAACACGGCGTTCTCCGGGATAGCTTTCTTTCGGGATGCCGATGGTAAGACTAGAATACTTTCCCGTAGTAGAGAGCGGTGACGTAGACGTCTCTTCACCTTGGGAAGCTTGAGATGCATATCGCGCGATACCTGTAGCCGAGACCTTGCGAACATGGTGCTGCAGGTACAGTGGACGCGGGCGAGTCAGACTTTTGACATCTGCAGTTGATCGCTGTGGCTTGACGCTTGAATGGAACTCTTGCGGAAAAGCAGGCGTTGGTCGAACAAAAAAGGCTGAGGGGAATAGCTTCAGACTGGACGGGCCGCCGTGATTGCCCCGCGTTCGACAGGCAAATGTTCTGTAGCCGGCGAGACAGTTCGTCGAGGAATTCATGGCGACGACTCGAACAAGGGCGGGCAAAGGAAGAACTCGGGAACCCGCATCTGCAAGTGATAACTGTGGGGGAAGGGGCTAGCGGAAGAGCAGGTACGCTGTAAAGGCACCAAAGGTGCCACGGTTAGCGAGAGCAAAGTGGTACAAGAGGTTGTACCTTTCAATCGTGCTCTCCTTCCCTTGCTCGGTGGTTTTATTGCCGGTGTAGCCAGCTTCCCCGCTCCCCGCACTCCCATGCTGCAGGGCGTCAACGTCGACCCCACAATATCCCCAGACGATGGTCACGCCATCTATCGTGTGCTTTAGGAACTTTCGATGAAGACAAGGTAGCCTCCCTCTGTTCTGCACTCTGTCACGAGAATATCCCACACATCGCTCGCTTTCAATTATTCTAAAAAGAACGCGTCGTCTGTTGCTCTTGTTGTCCCATCCATTCCCGGCTCTTCAGACTTTCACATGCGGGGTACCACTCGTAAACTGATCACTTGGCTACCCAGGAGCTCATGCAACAGCCCCGTCGTTGATTGACATGTTTAGCACAGCACGACGTATAGGGTTTTACATATCTATCTTTTGCCATCGATGGTAGCTAAAAGGCATGCAAACATAGTTCGAAGTCAGCTGCGCCAAATGCATGACTGGAGAACCTAAAGGAGAGCAAGCTTAATGCGAGTCAGTTCTTCCTCCAATCGTTCAAATCTAACGTCAGAGTCGATGCATGAGAAGAATTACACAAGCTAATGTAGTTGAATTTCATGGATATGGACTTTGGAGATATGGTTGATAAGGAATAAGATATTATTATTACGACTAAGAGCTCCGGAAATAAATGAAAGTCTGGCTTTTAACATAAAAGAAAAAAAAGAAAGGATGACAAAGCTTGGTCTTCATCAAAAACAACCCGCGCACCCGTACATGCCATATCATCGTAGGAGGTAATCCGTCGTCTAGTAACTCTTGCTACCCCAGTTGAAGCTGGCCTGGGAGTTTACGTCCCAGATGAAGGACTTGGAAACGCTCCACCCCGCGGCTGCGCCAGCATTTGCCCGTGTGTAGACACCAGCCTTTGCACCTCCAGAGAGACCTGCCTTTGCTCCTCCGGAAAGGCCTGCGTTAGCTCCTCCAGAAAGACCTGCTTTTGCGCCTCCAGAGAGGCCGGCACCCCCCGATAGGCCAGCGCCTCCAGAGAGACCAGCTTTTCCAGAAAGACCAGTACCTACACCGGCTCCTCCAGAGAGACCAGCGTTTGCTCCTCCGGAAAGGCCAGCGCCTCCAGAGAGGCCTGCTTTCCCGGAATGACCAGCACCCACACCGGCGCCTCCAGATAGGCCAGCACCTACACCAGCGTTTCCAGACAGGCCAGCGTTTCCTGAAAGACCAGCACCGCCAGAGAGACCAGCACCTAGACCAGCACCGCCAGAGAGACCGGCACCTAGACCAGCACCGCCAGAGAGACCGGCACCTAGACCAGCACCGGCACCTAGACCAGCACCGCCAGAGAGACCGGCGTCTCCAGAGAGACCGGCGCCTCCAGCAAGACCGGCGCCTCCAGAAAGACCAGCACCACCAGAGAGACCAGCACCACCAGAGAGACCAGCACCTAGGCCGGCACCTCCAGAGAGACCAGCATCTCCAGAAAGACCAGCGCCTCCAGATGCGCCTCCAGAAAGACCGCCAGATGCACCACCGGATGCACCTCCAGAGGCTCCTCCAGACAGGCCACCAGAAGCTCCACCGGAAAGACCGCCAGAGGCTCCGCCAGATGCACCACCGGAGAGACCACCGGAGAGACCACCGGATGCACCACCTGATGCGCCTCCAGAGGCTCCGCCAGATACGCCTCCAGAAGTTCCGCCAGACAGGCCACCGGATGCTCCACCGGAGAGACCGCCAGATGCACCACCTGATGCTCCTCCAGAGGCTCCGCCAGACAAGCCCCCAGAAGCTCCGCCAGAAAGACCGCCAGATGCTCCACCAGAAAGACCGCCAGAGGCTCCACCGGAAAGACCGCCAGAGGCTCCTCCGTGCGCTCCGCCAGATGCGCCACCTGATGCTCCGCCAGATGCACCACCAGAGAGACCTCCAGATGCGCCACCGGAGAGACCGCCAGATGCACCTCCAGATGCGCCGCCTGATGCGCCGCCAGAAAGACCTGCACCTCCAGATGCTCCGCCAGAGGCGCCACCGGAGAGACCGCCAGAGGCTCCTCCAGAGGCTCCTCCAGATGCGCCGCCAGAAAGACCAGCACCTCCAGATGCTCCGCCAGAGGCTCCTCCGTATGCTCCGCCAGAGGCTCCTCCGTATGCTCCGCCAGATGCGCCGCCGGATGCTCCACTAGATGCGTTTCCAGATGCGCCGCCAGAAAGACCTGCACCTCCGGATGCACCTCCGGAGGCTCCGCCAGACGCTCCTCCATACGCTCCACCAGATGCGCCGCCAGATGCACTCCCATATGACCCTGAGCTAATGTCATAGGTGGCCTGTGCGGGGGTGAACTTCTGGGTGAAGAGACGGCAGTGGGTACCGAAGCCCATGCCGTCCTTCATAAGGTAAGCGGCCTGGAATTGAACGCAGGCAGCTTTGTTCATGCCGAGCAGAGATAGAGCCCATGAGAGAACATCCGCCTTCCTGTTCACGTCGTTCTGCTTCTGAGCGTAAGCCGCGCAGAGCGAGGGATCGAAAGGACCAGGGAACGTGGACTGGCCCATGTTGGCCTGCGGCTGATTGATGAGCTTCGTGCCGCAGTCCTTGGGATTGCTGGTGTTGGGAGGATTGGCAGGAGTGTAAGTCTTCTTGTTGTAACCGTTGGAGCTGGTAATGACAACCTCGAAGTCGCCGCTGCCCGCACCAGTGTTGGTCGCGGAAGATGAATCAACAGGCTGGCCCCAAAGACTGCACTTGTAGTTGGCAACGGATGGAGGGTTGGTGCAGGAGCACTGAGTAGGGTTCCAAGCAGGATCCCGCTCGATGTAGACGTTGAAGCCAGTGCAGGTTGTCGTTAGATCGCACCAAGAAGAGCAGGCAAGAACGTCGTAGCTTTCTAGGCTCTTGTAGGCGATGTATCCGTTGCCATGGGTGGCAGCATCCAAGTTCACAAACGACTGTTCGTAACCAGCGGGCGCCGAAGCAGACTTGGCCATGTTGTGGTAGACTTTGTTGTTCTTGAAGTTCTGGGCAGTGTCAGGCACGGTAGGGGGACCGTAAGCGCTTGGCTGGGGGGCGCAAGCATCAGAAGGGTTGGTGGAGGGCGTGTAGTCCCCATTGTTGGACCCGCCAATGGGGGTACAGGTTGCAGACTGAGAGCTGGTGGGGGTAGCATCGTATGCTGCCTGGGAGCTAGATTGGCCGTATGGCGTGCCGTAAGTGGGCGTGGCGTATGCTGCGTTGGATGTGGTGTTGTATGATGCCCCGTAAGCAGGTCCGGCCTTCAGCTTGTTGGTGCGAGCCTCGACAACATCGGCATCTCTCTTCGCTTTTGGCGCAGTCTTAGGGCCAACCGCTGCGGCGGCGGCTTTAGTTTGTGCCTGGCCTTGGTTGTAGGCAGTCTGCGAGGCCGCACCAATACCAACGGGAGGGCCTTGAGCGATGGATGGAAGAGCTCCAATTGCGGCGGGATCGAAAGCCTGTGGTGCAGGAGCAGGAGCAGCGGCGACGAGGGCAGCAGCCCCAATAAGAACGTATGAACGCATTGTGTAAAAGAATGATACTTTGACTAGAAAGAGTGTGGAAGGTAGAAAGATTGAGAAATTAGTGAACGAATGGAAGTGTGAAGACTGATGAATGAGATGAGTTTTTGATTCTGCCTCGAGGATGTTTATATACTTGATCGTGCTGGCTGCTAGGCCTCGCTGCTGAACGAACAAAGTCAATGTTGGTGCCGTAAATAGCAAAGTGACCGACTTCGCTGGTCTGTTTGGCTTGCACCGGTGTTTCCGAAGTTGCCGAACATAGTTTCTACTGCTATACCGGACTGAGTTCTGACAGATACGCGATTTTAGGTAGGATGCTATGCAAAGTTTATGCGGGTGCGATTGCTGATCAAACCATTGTTCACTGCTCGCCCCCGAGCAAACACTGTTAGCCTGGCGTCATGTCAGCTCGCATTTGATACAAGGCTAGTCCGAGTATCGTAAAATCCTCATATCTATGTTACCCATTCATTGTTTCCAGACTCTGAAAGTCTTATTATTGAGGAATAGACGGATGAGCTAATCTTTGAATGACTGCTCATGGGTTGTCACGCGGGAATTTGCATCCAGGGTTAAACCAGAGAAAAAAGACTTGACCGGCTGTACGAACGCATGCTTGTGCTAGTCAGTTAGAGGAGTTGTTGTTGCCGATAACCATAGGTCGAGTAGACTGCGCCTGATTCAAACCTTCTCCACACACACAGTCGAGGTCTTCACAAAGTGTAGAGTTTAGTGGTCATAGCCCTGCAATCCATAAACCCACTTCTAGACAAACTTTTGAGTCTTCTCGGTCGTGCGTTTTGCTTTGTCAGGGCCATTTCTTCTCTGAGCACCCACTACTCTCGATTTGGTTCTCTTTCCTCATTCAATACTGGCCAATTCCTGCTTTCGGTTAGTGGCCGTTCAATGTTTCACGGTATGTATGTGTTGGGCGTAGTGGCTGAGGGGCTCGCATATGTGAAGCAATAGTCGAAAGTTAAAATATATGATAGCGCAGCCTTGCCCAGAAGGGTTCGACTCGTTCGCCAACTTCTATCGGCCTTGAGCTCCATTGAAAGTTGCCAGAACATACTTGCGCTAGGAAGACGATGAAACTCGAGACGGCTTGTTAGGACTGGCAGAGCAGCATCGGAAAACTTGTGAGAGTCAGAGTCAAGGGTTCGACGGATATTCACTAGCGTGGACCTTGTTGAAATTTCTTTCCTCTATTTTCAGCCTCATCTGAAACGAGTACCTACTTGACTACTGCGAGGGTGACAACCTCAGTACTTGTGAATTCGTTATGATCATACGTTATGGCCACTTGACTCTCAATTTTCATTTTCTACTGCACATCTGACTCCAGATTCTCCTTTCTGTCAACGCGCCTCAGCAGACATATGCCCTGCACTTTCTACTCTGTAATGGTCCATCGACGCCTCATCGATAAGGTAGAACTTGGAAAAGTCTGCGCTTCACCTTTGAGCAGGTACACAATCTAACTAGCCACCGAGGAGTTCAGCTTAATAGATTTGCAGCGAATTAGCATCAAGCTAATCAAAGCTACCAATGTTGGAGCTGAACATCAAGCCACTACAGCTTAGTCACTACGCTACGCCGTACTCCTACTCAGCTGCAAGCTATCAAGCAGAACTCTACGGAAAGACCGCGCGACCACAAGCACAAAGTTTACACTGGTCGGAGGGTTAGACGTCTAAAATTCGGACTGTTGTCAACATGTGTGATACTATTCATGACACTCATCGGTAATTTGTGATAGCGAAAGAAAAAAGGTTTATTGCGTTTTGCAAATACCATGATGTTTGCTATAGTGATAAATGACATGCTAATGTCTTTTGATGTGTACCAACACCGAAACAAACAATACCCTGCGCTCCAGAGCCATGCATTCGAACGTGCAAACCGTGACTCAACATGAATGCACTCGCTTCATGTAAGACTTGTTTGCTCCAGCAATATGACCGGCCACAAACCTGGCCAAGCCTCAGAATCCAGCTGATACATGCTTCCCAGAGATACAAAAAACTCCTCTAAGTATTAAACAATGATTTAACTCGCTACCACCCAAACATGAATCCGAAATTATAGCAGCATTGAGTGAAATGATATCTCTCTTTCGAAGTTCGTTTGATCTCGTGATTGCCGACGTCTTGATACTCTAGGAACTCACACATTTCGATCAGACCGTCACGTTAACGGGTGGCTACCATGTATTTACCGTTGCATGCAGCCAAGTTCGATGAAGGTCCGCTCCCATAAACGACAATAGGGTTGCTGTCTACGATCTGAACGGCAGACCCGCTTCCTGCGGATCCTGTGCGGAGTAGGGTGATTCTCAGTCGAAAAGTGCCAGCTTGACGGATCACTAGGTCTGGAAAGCGCATATATCCGACACCACGTGGGTCTGCCATGTCCATGGAGGTAATGGACCCATCGGCTTCGTCGTCAGCGAAGGGGTGGATGGAGTCAAACCGTCGACCGGCTAGAAGCTGGTTCAGCACGCTCGGGTCTGTCGAAGCTGTAGAGTTGGGACCGGGAATCAACGTGGCAACTGCAACAAAGTTTGGTGAATCTGCAACAGCATCATCGGGATCGGCGTTGGTAGTCCGTAATTGTACGATCAAGGAACCTGGTATAACTTGGCCAACACGTGCGGTTCGTGGCGGTTGGACCACGACATCCATGCCATATCTGATATCCTCCGGTGATATTGAATGGCGGCCAGATCTTGGTCGTCCTGTGTGTGTATTTCCAGTGTGATGTATTGATCGAACAGACCTGTTCTCCAGAGTCCTCGGTCTCGCGACGTCAGCCATTGATGATGTGGATGTAGAGGATTGCTGATCTGTTTCGCCGTTGAGTAGTTCTGCAATTCGAGCAGATCGTCTTGGTAACGTGTGGCTGCTGCGTGTACGAGAGGTGGTGTTGCGAGATATGGACCTATTCTCCCTGTTTGATGTGCTTCGATATAAATTTCTACCTCTTTCCCGTCGTTGACCCCTTGGCATATGATGTAGGGTGGCCCTGGGGGACATTAGTAAGGCTGCGTTCCTTGATATCTCCAGCTCTACAAACGTTCATGTCGTGGACAGGGGCATCAAGAAAAATGAAAGAAAGACAACAACGGTAAGAACAAACACAGGAAATGCATCTCGTGATGTACAGGTGCTCTTAGACTGCGTGATACACAGGGTCGCAAAGATATGGGAAATGAAGCTCTTCTGCTTCTAATGATTGGCGAGCATCGAAGATTGTTTTTTTGTAGCCATTGATTTTGAGACAGTAACTTCCGATCTCTCACATGAGCAACATAGTGCAAAGTGAGTACATGGTTAGGAATGTAACGTATCTTCGAATTCAGTCCGTTTTCGGAGAGCTCAGACTTTTGACGCGACAATAATGCGCAAGCTTAATTTCTGGCATTATTGAAGTTCAAAAAAAGACAGCGAAAGAAACGAGAAGATTGGACAGTCGTTTGGAAGGATTGGAGCAGGTGGAGTACCGTGCCGCACTGAGGGTACGAGTGGAGCAGGATCCAACAAGAACCAAGATGAGAAGGAATGCTGCGAAGCGAGATTGAAGACTGCTTACCTCTAAACTTATCGCATGAGCTAATGCTGCTGAATGTGACAATCGTATGTGACTCCTCTCGTTTGTTGGTCCGTAGATAATATTGGACACTTTTGGAGGTTGCAAGACGACGTTTGGAGCCGTTGATAATACTCGAAAGGATCAATCAACGTGTGACGCGATGGGCTACCCAGCGATGCGTGAGCCAAACGGTGCTTCGTTTCAGTGACAATGTGATTTGAAAAGGCGCTTCTTCGAGCCTTCTATCCTCGCGTTGATGTTAGCTAAGCTAAAACTTCATTCCAACCATTTCATTCTTGCTCCTACACAACTCTCTAGAACCGAGATCTTCCAGCGTACCTTTTAATGCTATGATGAATGGTATTTTGTACAAACAGATTGTCACGGATTTGATGTTTACACCGTGAAATGTCGTGAACAGCGAATAGGAAGATGGAGGGGTCTGGAACCAATACCTTCGCAATGGGATGGTCAATGTGAGGACGGCGGACAACACGTCTTATACACTTCGTGCTGGTTGCAGGCATCGAGAGTGCTCTTGCCTATCTTAGAGAGGGTTGCAGCTACCTTCCAGGGCGTGCCGCCTTCCGTGGTTGGCCTGGGCATCGTTTTCCTCTTTTTGGCAGCGCTTTGGCGTGCTTCCCCCCCATTCAGTGCTCCAGGTGAACCAAAATGTGGGGCTCTGCCCAGCTGCCCCTGTTTCCCATGGGCACGGCTCGATTGCGGCCGCAAAAAGAACACCGCGGCGTGGAGGATAGTGGACTTGGCCATGACAATCCCAACCATGGGCGTATCTGATCGCTCCGCATTCGTACAGTCACGATTACCGATCCGGGCTTTGAGTACAGATCTGGCGCCGGCCATCCATCGCCGTGGACCTGCCATGCGGCTAGATGTGTACAGAAAGAGCCACCAATACCGGGAACCTGGCTTCGCCATTTCACAGGCGATCATGTACTACACATGAGGCTGCCATCGGATCGCCGTCTCATTGGTCCCTAGAAGCAACGTCACTTACATCAGACATACATCGAGAACCATTGCCATGTACGTCTCGTGGCACGCCTCGCTAGTAGCCGCATCCCTGATAAAATCCTGCATATCTGCCGGAGCCAATGGATTAGATCTTAATATCTCCATATTCTGCCTTGAGCTAGACATCATCGCCGAACTTTTCCGCGATCTAATCTTCCAAGCTCGCGGTATCTGGCGATCCGATCCTAGCTCGACGGACGGCTACGTGCAGACGTGCATGCGCCGATGAGATTAGGGTCTGATCTCCAAGGAAAGGAAGAACTTCTTGTCAAACGACGTTATCGGTCCGCAAGACGTTAGGGGGTACTGGGCTGTGCACCAGTCGGCTTCACAATCCGAGCGTTGTTACGTCTACTGGTCGGGGGACGGTGAGAACTATACCTGGATCACGAACTGTCACGACCTATCAAACCCCACGTACTCTCCTGCTCTTGTCAAGATCACCGTCAGCCTGAAGGGGACAATGCAGAGTCTTCTTGTGCTATTTGTGTTTTCGGTTTACTCAACAGTGCGTCGCATGGGGGTAGGCATGGGTCTTCCTAGCGTCGGCACGCAGTCGATCTGTTTAGGCGACGCAGGATCTGGTTCGAATCTTTGAACACACAACCATGCTTTTGCGGAAGCGGGACCTACAGCCGGTTACCGAATCGCCGGGTCACACTACCCCTACCACTCACGAGTCCTCCAGAGATCTGGGTCTGGTTTGTTATTATCATCTCCTTTGCGTTACTGTCGGCGAAGGTCGACCTAAGTGCCAACTACCTCGCCGAAGTTCAGCTAAAGTCTCACTCCCGAGCATTTGTTTGAGTTGCCTGCAGGTTTTGCGCTTCCTTTCGCCCACCCCACGGTCCAAATCTGTAGTATCCACTCATGATCCTTTTTGCGATGGATGTCCCCGAGATCCAATGCGAGATGATGCGCATGACGAAGGACGATGTTGACTAGCCTTTCCCGTCCCACGTCTTTTATAATTGTGACGACTCACGCTGACCTAATTCCCACCCAGATGGCCTTCCACACCCACCAAGCCACCTGGACTCTCCTATTTGGTAACGAGGGCAATTTAGCCCTAAAAATTATCAAGTGTCAACAGGTTTCAGCCGGTGCAAGCCATATTCGCCTCAGTGCGATGATGGACTTAACTCTAGGTGGTTCTCCAAGATGCTGTCCGAGAACTGAGTACAGGACTTCCTGCTTTTCGCCTGTGTCACTTCCGCATTGAGAGTTCCGGCTCTTTTTCCTTCCACGATGCTGTTAACGCCTTTTTGTCCCACAGTATGCAACGCTGGTTTCTCCATGTGAAGCTGTCTTGGAAAGTTGAGTGCCTTGGAATTCCAGGGGTGGTGCAACGTCATTTACACCGCTGTTCATTGACGCACACTGCACTTGCTTCAGAATACCACCATGCCACACCTACAGTTCGGAGCCTGGCGCATGAAGTGTACGGAAATAGAGCAGGGCTTGGTATATTAACCCGCTATTTAACTCTCATGCGCCGGTCGGATCCCATGCGGTTCCTTGGGACACACCCGTCACCTGCAGAAGATCAGAAACGGTCACGGATCGACAACGATGGCCCCGGGATCGAATGTGACAGCGCATGACCGCTGGAATGTCCTTAGCTGCGTTCTCCGAGCCTCATTCTTTCTGCGCCGACCATTTCCCGAAAAGTTGGGTGCCTTCAGACAATTGCCACAGATGCACCAATGAAGGCGCCTGCCTCACTCTCCATCCCTGGCTTTGTGTCTCTAACTATTTTGTCGGCTCCAGTGAGCAGCCACTCGCGTTCTACTTCTGTGAGCGGGAGCAAAACCATCCCTGTTGTCTCATATCCTTAGATGTGTTCCTCTAGACGCGTGTCCGGTTAATTACACATACCCATCAAAGGAACGTGACTATTCTTCATACATCCCCCTAGGATTTTGGGACCGACATGTCCGCAGGATATCGAATGGCCTGATGATGGCCAGACCAGCCCTGTGAAATTTCAGAGAGAATACGGTCGGTACTTTTGAAAACTCTATGCATTCAGAACAATTTGTCAAGTACTTTACAAGGTATCATAGACTCCACTTGCGCCATTGGAACAGAGTTTGTATCAGTCAGCAACGGAGCAGCATTTCTCCAGAAGACCGCCTTGATAATCTCTGTTCACAGGTGGAACACTTGATGACTAGTTGTACTACCACCTTGTAAGTACGTCAGCGTATTGGCACGAACAGTGCAAAACTTGGATTCCTCACGGAGTAGTGGAACGTCTTTGTATCGGGAACTGTGTTCGCTATGTTCAGGCCGATGGTACATGCTCACATTAACAATCAGCTCGCTTGGTTGAGGATAATTGCACATACTCTTCTTCTTCAATAACAATTTGCTTCCAAAATCTTCTATAACAGTCATCCTTCTTTTCTATTCCTTGTCTCATATGAACTTGGGTATTCAGAACTTAACAACCAGCGTCTTCACAGAATTTCTGAAATCACGCAGTGAGTGTGAGGATTGCCATGCTCAGTTTGAAGTTTTGCGACCTTAGAAACATACGTACTGGTTAGCTCGCGCTGGCCAGGGAGAGTTTGCTCCCTTTTCTGACCATCTGAGCAACGCGATGGAATGGTAGGGAGAACCACCTTATGTCTTGCAACAAATGTAGTTATAGTGAAAGTCGGTCGCACATCTTCGCGCTCGCTTCCTGGGGACGCGATTGTGAACGAGCACGAGCTTGCACACTTTCACAAGAGCAAAAACGTCATGAGGCACCTTCACCTTGCGCGTGCTACCTTCTTCCCGTTCAACAAGCACATAGCAGGCAACACCGACCGTGACGGGGCTCAGCTTTGCTCAGCCTGCTTCAACTCAGTAGCTGCTCACTATTCAACATGTTCTACCGCCACAGTAGATTATCTGTCAAGCGGAATATGATTTATGCTCTCTGTCTTACCAGCATAACCATTACCTTCGGCATCACTGTATGGCTCTGGTCTCGGAGTTCTGGGAGACATATACCTATTCTAGGGCTCCTACGCTATGCACCAGAAGCGCGCGGATATCATCCCATTGATCGATTAATTAGGAGAGCTGAGACAACCTTCTCAGTACTACTGGCGAAGCAAACGATTGATCTACAATCAGCGGCGGATGAGTATCGCAAGCGACGAGGCCGCCACCCACCACCAGGTTTCGATATATGGCTTGATTTTGCGCGCGAGAAGAATGCGACAATCATCGAGGATCTCTTCGACCAGATATACCGCGACTTGCGACCCTTTTGGGGCGTTCCGGCGATGGATATACGGTCTTTTGCGAGGAACTTTGAGCATCGTGTCTCTGTGCGAAATGGAACGGCAGAGATGACTACGAATCACGCTGGCGGGACGGCCAATGATCGGATGGAGGCCTGGTTGGAGCTGACAAGGAGTATCGCGGATTATTTACCTGATGTGGACATGGCGATCAATGTCATGGATGAGAGCCGTGTCGTTGTGCCTTGGGAGGACATTGACGGGTTTGTCCGGAAAGAGAGCGAGTCAAGAAGAGTGATGGATGAGTATCGGGTCCAACATCGATTGCCTACTCTCAACATCTCCGCTGAGCAATCAGAACAACCGACTAAAGTGGAATGGATTGGTCCAGGCGAGCGTTTCTGGGACATAGCTCGTGTGGGTTGCTCACCCCAATCGCCAGCCCGACAAGTCATTGCTGTTACGAACTTCACTGGCCCTCCCCCCATGCCGTCGGGCTTTCCCGAGGGCTCCTTCGAGGGTTATGTGCAGAATTGGACTATGGTGAGGGACCCGTGTCAGCAACCAACTCTTCAGGAATCCCACGGGACTTTCGTCGAGCCTGTCTCTATCTCTACGACTCGCTCACTAGTTCCTATCTTCGGCGAGTCAAAGCTCTCTATGAATAACGACATCCTTATCCCACCTGCTGCATACGTGTCTGATGGCTTCTCTGGGGGTTTATATGCTGACACTCGTGGACATGGCGGAGAGTGGATAGATAAGATCGCAGGTGCAGTGTGGCGAGGTGTTGCAAGCGGTGGGCGAAACAGAGAAGAGAACTGGACGCGCTTCCACCGTCACCGCTTCGTTTCCATGATGAACGGCACTTCTGTAGAAACCGCCGAAACAAACAGCGACACGGATGACAGGGCTCCAAATTTCAATCTACCAAATCACCGAGCATACCATCTCATTGCCACAAAGGCCCAAAACCTTGGAACGTGGCTTAATCGCCTCACAAATGTCGGCTTCACGAACCTTCTCTGTTTTCCCCTGACTAAGGCACCGACATGCAACTACACGGACCCCTACTTCACCCTCGCGCCCAATATCGACATGGCAAGTCTATACGACTACAAGCTCCTCCCCGATATTGACGGAAACTCGTTCTCGGGTCGCTACCTTGCGTTCCTGCGTTCCACGTCCGTCCCTGTCAAGGCGACCATCTACTCCGAATGGCATGACGATCGGCTGATACCATGGCTGCATTTCATACCCATGGATAACTCCTTCGTGGATGTGTACGGGATTATGGACTACTTTCTCGGGACTGCCATGGGCTCCAAGACTCTAGATAGTGGGGCTCTGGGCGCAGGAGCGCGTGACGGGGAAGCAAGGCGTATCGCGGTCCAGGGGAAGGAGTGGGCCGAGAAGGTGCTCAGGAGGGAGGATATGCAGATTTACATGCTGAGGTTACTACTGGAGTATGCGAGGTTGTGTGCCGATGAGAGGGAACAGTCGGGGTTCGTTGGGGATCGAGTGGAGAGACCTGTTTTGCAGGGGCTGGCGGGGGAAAAGGGAGTGAATTGGAGGATTTAGTGGGGAAGTCTGTTGGAGTGGGGGTAGTTGGTGACAAGATTGGAGAGTAGTGCATATGCAAGGGAAAGACGTTTTGGGAAGATGGGGCGACGAGAGGAGAGATCTCTCCGTCTGACACGCGGTGTTACGGCGTTGGTGGCGAGGTGCAGATGGTATTACCGAGCACGAGCATATTGTCAACGGTTGACGCTGACTCTTGGATGCCATGTACGTGGCAGGATCAGGATGCCATATCCCTGCGATGCACGATCACAGGTTCTCTTGTGCCACGATCGATGGGGTATTCTAGGGATCAGGATTCGTAGTTTTCGTCGAAGGATCGGTCGTTTCATGCTGCCTTCCGATCATTCCGCATCAACTAAAAACGAGATGGTGGTCCGAGGAGCAGAATGTTGAGCAATCAAGTCAAAACTGAAAAATTCTTGACGAGCCAACAGGTGCAGGTGTGACCAGATGATTTTGGAACAGCCTGGTACTCAAGATGTTTCCCCTCCCGACCACTGATCAACTCGCCACCACGTCCTTGCTTTTCAGTCAGACTGACAAAATTTGTGATGTTACAAGCCAAAATACAGTTTGTCTCTATTGCGATTTGCAGCACGACCCTGTGAAATGTGCAGTTTGTGTTCGAAAGACGATCCTGATCATCATCGCAGGATAATTGGTGCTAAGTCATCGTCATTGAATCGTCAAAGTTCTTGTCAAGTAAGTCACTCAAACGGTGCAAGAGAGTGATCAGAAGAACGATGATCAAGGACACCATCTTCAGCCTCGTCTTGGCGGCCGTCTCTGCCCCTCCCAATTTTTTGGCACTAGCGTTGCTGCAACTCTCGATTGACGCATAGCAACGGCAACCCCACACTGGACTGGAATGCAGCAAACCCTTAGCCGCCATAGTGCCACACTTTTCAATTCTTTTTCTTCTTGTTTGCTGAGGCCGCTGGCGACTCATTGCTCTTCTTTGACTCATACACGCACACTCGGAACAGTCACACATTGCCCTTTGAAGCTCACTACCCCGCGACTGCGCACACAGTTCAAGTTTGTCTCACACACACGGCGCATATCACACGCGTACAAAGATTTCAAAGCTCCAAGCACGGAGCATCGACGTCACTACTACTCCCAGATTGACTCTCGACCCTTCAAACCATTCGCGAATCTCGACGCGTCGGCGCGTTCAGCAGTCAGCATGGAAGAGCTCACCAAAAACCTCCAGGCGCTTGGTCTCGACACTGTTCCCCAGGAACCCAACACATATCCCGCTCTGAACCCATTCGACATCTACAGGAGCCACATCACCGAGTTGTTCGCACAGGCGTCGGGTGTAGACAAGAAGATAATATACCCAACGCTCGCATGGACAGCAAAGCCAGAGCATGGCGATTTGCAGCTGGCAGTTCCCGCGCTTCGAATCAAGAAGAAGAAGGATGAAATGGCGGCATTTGCACAGGAGTTGGCAGACAAGTTTCCTGAGTCGCCGCTAGTCAAGAAGCCAATCGTCACAAACACCTCCATTGGCTTCTTCTTCAAGCCAGAACCACTCGTATCGCTCATCCTCCCTACCATTCTCAAATCTGGCTCGAGCTTTGGCTTCAACAAGAATCTTGGTCTCAAAAACCCGTCAGACCCGTCGTCGGGAAAGCAGAAGATGATTGTCGAATTCAGTTCGCCCAACATCGCTAAGCCGTTCCATGCTGGTCATTTGCGAAGCACAATCATTGGTGGTTTTCTTGCCAACCTGTACGAGGGAGCTGGGTGGGATGTCATTCGAATGAACTACCTTGGCGACTGGGGCAAGCAGTACGGTGTTTTGGCTATTGGATTTGATCTGTTCGGCAACGAGGAAGAGCTAGTAAAGAATCCAATTGGCCACCTCTACGACATCTACGTTAAGGTCAGCAACATTCAGCGTGAGGAGGGAGACCAGGTGAAGACGCTGAAGGCAGAAGTCGCCAAGCTGAAAGAGGAGGGCAAGGATGCTACCACACACGAAGACCAAATCAAGAAGCTTGAGAACGAGGGTATCGATGAGCAGGCTAGGAAGTACTTCAAGGGCATGGTCGATGGTGAGCCTAAGGCACTCGGCATCTGGAAGCGCTTCAGGGTGAGCGAGTCTGAAACTTGTAATCAGAATCCCATATGCTGACATGGACAGGACCTTTCGATTGAAAAGTACAAACAGACATATGCTCGATTGAACATCCGCTATGACGACTACAGTGGGGAGTCGCAAGTCAAGGATGAGAGCATGGACCTCGCCGCAAAGATTATGTGGGAGAAGAAGGTATGCGAGGATTCAGAGGGCGCCGTAATCGTCGACCTTACACCACACTCGAAGAAGCTCGGCAAGGCTGTAGTAAAGAAGAAGGATGGAACATCACTATACCTCACTCGAGATATCGGTGCTGCACTTGAGCGTGTGGACAAGTACCACTTTGAGTACGTTCCAGATGGACTTGGTGTCATTGAGAAATATAACTGACAATCAAAACAGCAAGATGATCTACGTTGTTGCCTCGCAACAAGATCTGCATCTCGCGCAGCTGTTCAAAATCGAAGAGCTGATGGGCCGCAAAGACATCTCGGAAAAGTGCCAGCACATCAACTTCGGCATGGTCCTCGGTATGAGTACCCGAAAAGGCACAGCCAAGTTCCTCGACGATATCCTCCGGGACGTCGGTGACAAGATGCACGAAGTCATGAAGACCAACCAGGCCAAATACGAACAAGTCGAGAACCCCGAGAAAACTTCCGACGTCCTCGGAATCAGCGCTGTCATGGTTCAGGACATGAGGGGTAAGCGAATCAACAACTACACCTTCGATATGGACCGTATGTGCTCTTTCGAAGGTGATACTGGCCCATACCTCCAATACGCACACGCCCGTCTCAACTCCATTTACCGAAGAGCCATTGCTGCCGATCCGTCATTGGAGAGCCTCGACCTCACTACCGCCGATCTCACACTACTCAAGGAGCCCCACGCCATTGACCTTGTTCGTCAATTGGCGGCGTGGCCAGATACATTCATCAACACAGTCAAGACGCAGGAGCCGACCACGGTCCTCACGTATCTATTCAGGATGGCGCACGCAGTTAGTGGAAGTTACGACCATCTGCAAGTCGTGGGTAGCGAGAAGAACGTCATGATTGCGAGGTTGGCGTTGTATGTTGCCGCCAGGAAGGTACTGAACAACGGTATGCGACTTCTAGGGCTGAGCCCTGTGGAGAGGATGTAGACAGTGAAATCTAAAATCGCAAAAAGACCAACTGAGGAGAAAGAGGCATTCGGCCCGTCGGCTCGTCGGGTATGGATGAGGATCATGTTGGCGTTGGGGACATCGTTGAATCGAAATGAGTGATGCATTTACGTGATAGAAGAGGCATTTTTGTAGCGCGGTATGGTAGACAAACACCACGTAGACATGGTTGTACAAAAGATCATCATTTGTGTTCAACCAGGTCGTCTATATAGGTGATTGTACAGCATTCAAGCTTCCCAGAAGTGTCACATTGAATCTAGGGAAGCTGTGGTCGTGTATGAACGGACTCTTGCTGCATGACGTCTCGTGCAACATAGCAACAAAATTTGTCAAGGGACGAGGCATCTACGCGTTATATCTACATATTATGCTAAGCGTGACGTCTGCGACGCTTGGTAGAAATACACAGTGATTCTGGCTGATGCTTCCCTTCGCAAGGCCAGTCTGATGCAAGCGTGTTGCTGAGGGCTAGCACATGCAGAAGTGACATACTAGAGAACAAAGGCCATCTTACTTTCCGTCCGACTTTCTTTCTGACTTCTTTTCCGACTTCTTATTATTTTGGGGTTATAGCGTCTTCATGCTTGTTGTACAAGCAGAAAGACGCAACACAGGAAGAATCTAATATAGTAACTCAGTGTAGGAGCTACTACCCAGCCCCCTTTGCACACAGGAAACTATCAGTAAGAGTACACAGTGATGGTACCCAGTGATAGTAACCGAGCGCTGATCAGCCGTCTCTTGATAACTGGCTGCTGAATGTGTACCAGTGCGGACGCGTGTTCGAGAGCCCAGGCAGCCGTTGGTTGAAGTTTGGTTCGGCTTTGTTTTATAAACCCACAAGTTGTAGAGACTTTTACAATGAGAACCGTGGCAGTCGAAGCGTGTGCGCGAAAACGCTGTGGTGACTGACGTTATACATTGATCCTCGTCCTCCAGGGTTTCCGAGTTCTTATCTTACTTTCCACTTCACTTCTTTCCTGGCTTCTCTTCTGACTTCTTTTCCGACTTTCCTTTCCTATTTTAGTTATCCCAAGTATTTACTTTTCCACTCCACGCGGCGCATCCCTCGCCGCTTCCCTCCTCCTCGTCCTAGTTGTTCCGCTTGAAACTGGGAGAGCCGCTCCCGAGGGTGGACACTCTCGACTCTCGCCCTTCCTTCGTGGACGGTTCGGCCGGGTCTGGACAGCTACACGATTGTTGAAATTCGGATGCTTGTTTCTTCCCCTGAGCCCACGAAGGTCCGTTTCTCGCGGTGGTACTCGCAATCCGCACGCATCTTGAGCACTGCCTTATTTTGGCATGCAGAACTTCCGATACGCGTGGACTAATTGCCTTGGAAATCCTCCGTGACTTCCCGCAATCGAGCGTGACCCACTCCACCGCTGAACACATAACCAGGGCAGCTTCGCAAGCAGCGCCGGTCCTTGGAAAGTTGCGATTGGCGTGCTTTCGAGCTGCTGTAGTTAGTGTCAACAATGAGAACGGATGAGCAATCGAAACGCGTGCGCAAAAACCACCATGGTGACGTAACACATTGATCCCCGTCCTCCAGTCCAGGGATGATGCGGGGTTTGTGATAATCCCTTGTCTTTGACGAAGACGCATCCCGAGACTGAAGGTGGATGTGTTCGCGATGGTTCTGCGTCAGCGTGTTTGCACTTTTTCCCTCCTCTTCCTCCCACCAGGTAAGACCCAAGGTCGCTTAGTTCGCATGTGAACCGAGGTGCTTGGTCTTCGCCGGACTCTGCAGTGGATTGCTCTTCACTGGGATCGTTGTCTGCTTCCCCTTGTCCAGTTTCAAACTCTCGTCTCGCGAGGCTTGTCCGTTTCCTCGCGGAGCGACGTACGTTGGTTGAGGGTCTTGTCTTCAGCGGAGCTGTAGCCATCAACTCCTCGTCCTCCTCCTCTTCATTCCCTCCTCCACGTTCTTCTTCTTCCGTTGCGGCCACCGCCCCGCTGAGTCGGTATCCTCCATCACTGTTTCCATCTGTTCCGCTTCCGCGTTGTCACGAAACGACGACTGGTTCTTCCAGGGGCCGTCCCGCGAGCGACGTAGCTAGTGCGTTAGCTTCAGACACAACACTTTTTTGCTTGTGCCATGATACGCCTGAGTTGTTCTCCCAGTTCTGTTCGAAGCGTAGGCGATATAGAGGATGATCCTCTCGCACCATACCATTCGATGTTGTAGAACGAGTTTTACGGTGCCTCCGACGCAAGGCACATGTGCTAGATATGTCGTCTTTGAAGTCGAACACATGTACCGGTGCGGGCGGGCGTATGGGCAAGGTACGTTTTCTCCCTGACTGGAGACCAGTGGGCTCCCTCGACAGGGATTGCTGGCTGGCAAGTATCATCTTGAATGTACTTCGTCTCCATAATCATTTTTAGTGTTGTTCCATTCTCTGCTCGCGCCATCAAGCACACTCAGCAGAACGCATAGACGAGGAACCGAGGTCAATGAATCTCGATCCGTAGGTCTTCGGGCGCCCGCCGGCGGTCAAGAAAGCATCGGGGGGCAAGGACCGTCTTGATCGAATATCGGCCGATCGCCGAGCACTGCCTTGTGGCGATCACGCTCCGTTCTCAAGATAGACTGTCAGCGAGGGAGAGGTCGTGGAGTAACAAGGAGTAAACACACACACATACATATCAATCGATCCACGGCAGTAGAGCACCAGTGTACCACCAGGTCTCAGGACAGCTTCACCCCAAGACCCGGTGGTACCTAGTAACATCAATAGACAGATCACCAGCGGAAACCAGCGGCGCTTTATATCTACGCGGCGTCCACATCCTTGGTTCTAGCGGTCGGGGAATTGGGTACACGTACACGTAGCCAATCTAGTGACAAGACAAGACAAGATTGGTCGATGATTGGGCAGCATGCCACGTTTCCCCTGCATAGGTGTGTATCGTTACTGGGGGGAGATACACCGCAAGTTAATATCCGATGCTGTTCTGCGCGTAGCGCCAAACTCTATGGTACAGGTGTGGGTTGGTTCTGCTGGGTGATATGAGGGTGTCGGCTTTGCGTGTCGGTTTTGTGTGCTTTGTATGCTATATTAACATGATTTTATATTCTAGGTGTAGAAACTCAACACACATCTTTCTTGACTCAAGATGCTATTCACTCACTACCCAGAGTTCGACAGCGTAACATTCATATTCCCCCACTTAGACACACAAACTTTGCGATACAACGCAACGCTCTCGCAGACAACAGATAACCCTCACATCTCCACCTCCAGCTTTTACCCACTTGCTCAATTGGCGACCCAAACTCCATAATATACATGTAGCTCATCGCACATGGGGGAATCTCTTCAAACGTAACCCGACCCCTACTGGCATCAAACAAACCGCGCCTGATTTTTTCCTTACTGCGTCTTCTTCACGCTCCGCTCAGTGGGCGCGCTGTACAGCCACACGGCCACAAACGCCAACCAGCCTGCAACCGTGACCCAGATCCCACCGATCCAAACCCAGGCACCGCTGATCTGCCAACTCCTCGGCCACTCGTCGTGGGCGAAGTGGCGGACAGTGACTTGCCTCTTCTCGTCGAGGTTGGTGAGGAAGGGACGGCGGTAGTTGATGCGGAAGTTGAAGATGCCGTGCTGATCTGGCGTCTTGAACGCGGCGCCGAAGATGGTGGCGTTTGCGGTTTGGGAGATGGGGGAGAGGTTGACGCGGTGGAAGGGCGAGAGCATGCTGAACTCGACTTGGATGTTGTCGTTGGCAGCGGGGACGAAGGGAACGAGGTGGCCGTCGGCGTACTCGGAGATCTCAACTTGGAAGTGCTGTCATGGTGTTAGCACTGTAACTTACCCAACTGAGTATGATTATAAACTCACGACATCGCTCTTGACGCGGTAGATGGTGGGGTTGTGCTCAGGAACAGCAGAGCTAGCGTTCAACTTCTTGCTCTCGCCCTCATCCTGATAATGGATAACCTTGCCGATCTTCAGCACGCCTGACTCCTTGAAAGTCCAGGCGGACAGCTTCTGGGCAAAGTCGCGGTTGGCAGTCTTGACGGCCTTGCCGCCAAGCTTCGCGTTCTCCGCAAACCAGGCGTTCTGCAGCATCTCAGCCGAGCCAACGACAGTCAAGCGTGCCGAGTTGTGGGCCTGCATCGCGGAGACGAGATTCATCTGCTCTCCAACCGCGAACGGGTCCTCGACATTGTCAGCCTCGTCCTTGGGGTTATAGCTGTACGCCGTGCTCGGGGCGCGGAAGATGGGCGAGAGGAGGGGTGATGCGTTTCCAAGGGTCTGGCCCACGGCGCGCGGCACCGCAATGTATCCCTCTCCGGCGAAGTAGTTCTTGACGTCCGACCTCAGCGCAGCCGGGTATGGGAGCAGCAGAACATCGTGCTTCTCGGCGGCAGAGGCAGAATCGTAGTTGAAGTGGTCCACAACCAGAGCACCCTTGTCGGAGGGGATGTTGATGTCGAGTTCGACGAGCAGCGACTGGACAGCCGTGGGCGTCGCAGACTGGCTGGACAGGGCAACGAGGAGGTTTCCGTCCTTCTTCACGAAGTCGAGGAGCTGGTTCGCAGTGAGGGCAGGGCCGAGGCCTTTCGACCTGGCGGGGAGGAGGAGGACGTGGTCGTAAGCTCGCTCGCCGTGTTTGAAGAGGGCGACCTTGTCAGACTTTGGCGATTCGACGGTTGTAGTGTAGCCTCGAGCTGCAGTCTGGTGTCAGCATGATGTACAACCTCAATTGACAGCTGACGCAGCTCCAGAGTCTGAGGAATCGCTCTCCAGCCCAAGCCCAGAGCACCAATTCCCCGCCCCCTCAGCCCACGCAGCTTCCCCTCCAATCCGCCCAAGCACTCACCCGTCAAATCCCCCAAAAACACGCTGTACTTCTCGCGCTCACTCTGCTCCTCCAGCACCACCAGCAGCCTGTTCCCCGAGAAACTGGCCGCGTGGACCAGACTCGCAATGCCCAGCAGCAGAACAGAAAAGAACCCCCGCATCGTCGTGGGATTATGGGTGACGTTGGACTGGACTCGACGCAGTTACAACGAGAGCTTGGATAGAGCTACGTTGCGGGAGACGGACGACGTATGCCACGCCAAGCCGGGACGCGACGCCCCATCGGGGAACCGGAGAATCGCTGCACGCCGACCCCCATCATCGTTCCCGAGCAACCTCACCTGCCTGTCAACCCGCGCCAGTAACGACGACGAGGAATTGAGATTGCAGTTGCGGCACGAGCTCTGGTGTTTGACTGCTTTTCACGAAAACACCTATATATACTGTATAATACCCCGCCAACACACCATCACCACATCCCAGCATCCTGCTGACTACGACGACAGCACCACACCACACCACACCACATAAAGCCATGTCCGGCATTGCCCCCGCCCCGTTCTTCTTCAAACAGCCGCTGCGCTACCTCAAGTGGGTGTCGTACAACAAGCCCGCCTACTTCTACAGCGTGGCTATTGGCTGCGTCGGCCCTGTGCTGGTCGTTGCCGTGCCGCCCATTCGGAGGTACATGGGCGACGAGAAGATTGCGCAGATTCCCATGACTTACCCAGGTAGGTGGTTCTGGAATTGTGGAGAGAGATTACGCCAGCGAATACTGGAGATGTGGATTAGATGGGCTGACGATTCACAGTACCGAAGGGAGCGCGACAGAAGCTGACGGGGTATGAGGACGAGTAGAGGGTGGGGAGGTGAGGGGGTGAGAGGAGGTGGAGTTTATATCATGGGGAAGGAGAGGGGGTGGAGATGGGAAGAGTGGGAGCAAACATCGGCAATGTAGATCCTCGGGACTGCGACAGTGTACTGCATGAAGCATATTTTCTTTTCGTCACAATCCTGGCTGGAGTGATTCGCATTACTAACACACACTACTTACATTTTGCAGAATAGGTGTCTGAAGAGTACATACCATGATCAAGAGCTGGGATTGCATCAGCCATCCAGGGGCCAGGAGGCATTCGTAACGCCATGCTAAACTTTTCCAACCAACTCCGGAAACCCAACCAGACGCCGCCAATCCGCAATGAGGAAGAAAGCCAATCCACACCCATAATACTCGGAACGCCTTTTATCTATCCTCACATGTCCAAGTGCAACCCCCGCCTACACCACATAACCCGAAGCACAATCCCACCGCCCTAACTCCAGCACGAAGACATCTACCTACTCATACCGACCCCGCTTGCTCGCCCGCTCAGACTGCCCATCCGACTCCTCCTCATACCGACCCTCCCGCAGCTCCTCCCCCTCCTCGCCGCTCAAACTCCGCTCAGCCCTCCGCTTCGCCGTCGCAAGATTGAGTCTAGAGATCTCATTCCCACCAGCCTTATACTCGCGCCCCATCGGCTTAGCCGCCAATTTCGCCGCCTCTCCCAACCACGGGAAATCCTCCCTCTTGAACACAACACAGGTCAAATACCCAACAGGAAAGCGATGCACATCGAGCTGGCAGTTCGACTTGAGCAAGCCATGCTGTTCAACGACGCGCTTCATGCACGCCTTGATCTCTAGGATGTGGTTCTCCAGGACATTAAGCGCCTTCTTCGTCATGGGGAAGCGCGTGTGGAACTGGGTGATGACGGTTTTGTCCAGATACGCGTCGCCGCCGGCGCCGAGCTGGCTGTACAGTTCGAACCCGCAGTCGGGGGCTGCGCGGCCCTTTTCCATGATCAGGCGCTGCGCGATGCAGTGCCGGAAGAAGGTTAGGCCCATCCATACTAGGATGTCTTTGGCGTAGGCTTCGCGCTTGATGGGCAGGTCGGCTACGGGGAGCCGCATGTCGCCGGGGTACAGCGACATGATGCCCAGCTCGAGGGCCCTGCAGGATGTGAGGAGCACGCGGTGGTACTTTTCCACTAGGGTGCGTAGTCCGGGTACGTCGCGGAGGCGCTCGGTTAGCGCGGGTTGCGCCTTGAATGTCTTCCAGTTGCCGACGAGGTGGATGATGCATTCTTTGAAGATGAGCTCGCTGCGGATGCGGTGCGCCATTTCGATCCACGCGTACGGCGCACCTTGGATGGCGCGGAAGAGGTCTTGACCATGCTTGAGCAGCGCGACTTCGATGGGCTTGGAGATCAGACCCGTGCAGCCCAGATAATCCGAAATCTGCAGCAACTGGTAGCAGTCCGAGAGCGCAGCGTGCATATCCGAGTCATCAATAGTAAGCTCCCTATTGTAAAAGGCGTAGAAGATGGATTCGTAGTAGCCAAACGCCTTGCCAGCTTGCGGGATGCGACCATTTTCGTTGACAATGAGCCCATTGCGGCCGTCGACGCGCTCGCCCGTAGTCGTCAACTCCTGGTTTCACGTCAGCCATGTTTACCTGGGAAAGTGGAGTGGATACCTCCACGCTGGTGTGGACAACGCACGACTAGCTCCAGACACCCCGCGGGATACTGGTCACATGGCAGTCGGCTCAGCTCGATCATCCATCGGATCTGGATACCTGCGCCTCTTGCGCGGTTGCTGAGCTTCGCGGCGTTGGGCTCGGTTAGCATGCCTGCGAAGAGCGTGGAGTTTCTCGCGAGGGTTCCGGAGTGGAATTTGTAGCGGCGTTTGTGGCCGAGGATGACCTCTACATCTTCTGCTTGGTTCATGTTGAGGGGTGTTGTTGGCTACGAGTGGGGTTGAGGTGAGTGGCGGTGGTAGAATGTGTGTCGTGGTAGAAGATGAGGAGAGAGCAGTGAAAGACTTTATACTTGGACGAAGAATGTTGAGTTGTTTCAGTCTAGTGGTTGTGCAGGTGATATTGGACGGTTCTTACGGTGTGTTGGCAGCAACGGGAAAGGTAAAAGGGAAAGCTTGGATGGGACTTTGTACTGCGAGGCGGCCTCACTCTATTGCGTTTGCGAAGGTGGGGCCTCGACGGACACCTGAGGCGACTATACGGTGTCGGAGGCGTAAAGTCTATGGCTTGATAATACACTGAAGTGCTACAAGGGGTTTTAGTTCTACCAGACGCAGTATGATCAAGATGGAAGATGTACCCAATGCCTGACGCTCAATCACTGAGCCATCCTGAAGACCGCTGAAGTTCAAATCATCATGATTGGATTATTCGGCAGTTGTGTTCGAGAATGGTGGTATTTAGTATGTCTATGATTGTCAAGATGCGAGGGCTGAAGCAAAAAGTAACAGAAATGGATTTAGATGCCGGTTCTTTATGTGGTGGCTTCCAGCGAGTCCACTTTCGCGCATCCATCGTAGGCTGCAAGTCTCTTCGAAGGTACCAGTCACATGTGTCGTCATCTGTATATGAGGTCGTGTCTTGATTCTCTTTCCCTCTCTGCAACTGCACTGTTCAGCCCTGTTATTCTCTCCTCAACCCCTTCATTATGTACCACAGGTATGTTTATACCCCATCAACCCCTTTCATTGGACTCTCATGCTTCGTCGTCACACCTGTAGCCTTCCCAAAGCAGAACCCCGGATGAAACATGTTCAGCGCCAGCACCGCCGCAATGATAATTGCACCCTCAAGCCCGATAAAATACCTTTGTGTCTTCATCAAATAACCTCCCCACCCATCACTCAACTCCGCCACTCTGAACACACATCTTGTAAAGACACACAGCGTAGAGAAAGTCAGCGCAACAAGGAAACCCTTGAACATTTTCAATTTCCGCAACTTCGAGTACGCAGGGTCCAGCGCACTGGACGCTCCATGGCGACAAACGCGACGAGTTGTCCGGAAGGCAAAGTCAACGGCTAGCAGAATGAAGACGAGTAGCGTGAAGACCTGGACTGCGAGGCCCGCGAGCATGATATCGTTTCCAGTTTTAGGGTCGTCGTCGTTGTGTGTCTTGACGCTAGCTATACCTCCACCGGTGGCTTGCAGGAGGAGCGAGACGATGTCGCAGGGGATGAAAATGCGTGGGTAGGAGAGCGGCTTGATGCGCGAGATGTCTGCGCCAAAGGCTAGTATGATACGCGAGAGGCAGAGGTAGATGCCCGCTGCGAAGAAGGCGGGGGCGATGGTGAGGCAGACGATCTGGATGAGGAAGGGGGTCTACGTGTTGTCAGTCCGCATGCTTTTAAAGTTGTACCATATCACTCTGCTCACCTCTTTGTATTGACCGTTGTGCGCCATGATTCGTCCAATATACCCGACGACCTCCAAAACACACCCCGCGGTCATGGCAATCGTGAAGCTGAGCCATCCCTTGCGAAAGATACCCTGGGTGAGAAAAGCTACTGTAGACAGACCGAAGAGGATGCAGAAGATCCAGTTTGCAGCGAGTGAAGGATTATAAGCCCAGTAGGACAACTCGGAGTAGGTCGGCTCTGGATAGGTCGGCTCTGGGTTGCACTGGTCGTAGGTACACTCTCCAGGCCAATCTTGTGGATCCATGGTGAGTGACAGCGTGAGTTGTGGTGGACTTAAGCTGTTGTGAAAAGTGAACTGAGAATTGACGAAAAGTGGAACGGTTTTGCTTTGAAAAGAGAATGGGGCGAGCCAAGAGTGTGGTGAAGGCACGATTTCACCGTCTGTGGAAGGAGCGGTACAATCTGGAGGTAGCAAAGAGGGAGTAGGTCGGTTTCAGTAATGTGATGTATGAATTTGAAGGAGATGTGAAATAGACCGAACCCTTTCTACACGACTGGCATATGCTCGAATAGCAGCAAGATCTAGTTGTATCCGTCTGAGGACAAAATAGCTGTGTGACAAACACACTCAACCCACCGATTTGGTCCATCACGCTGAACACACATCGAGGCCTCCGCGTCACAAATCCAAAGCTCACTAGACTCGCACAGTGCCAATACAAGGGCAAACGATACATCCACTATGGGTGTTAGTATGTCTGTCGGTTGCTATCTCTTTCGTAGTCATGATTTCGAATATTCCCATCTTTCTTCATTTCAGGATATACTGTAGTTGTCGTTATGGTCATCGCCAAATACTAATAGTGCAACGAGGTCCTCGAGACATTTCCACATTCCCGGGAGTCGCGACGGCGTGCAATCGAGAGTGACTAAGACGGCAATGTAAGAGGCCAACCAGTGTGACGGCCTCCTCTATCGCACAACGTCTCTGACAGGACCAAAGGAAATGACCGAAGGCGGCAGGCTTGGTTGGTCATTCGAAGAGAGTCGACATCAGTCGAAGGCCTATACCCCATTTGGCCTTGGGCAGCCAGCACGGCCACGGCAAGACAATATGCGCGTCAACATGGCCCTCGTTCCACCGTGCCACCCTGCGTCTCTTGCCCTCATTCGTCATACGTCCCACTCGTTGGACTGGCAGCGTCGTCGAGCTGGTACACTGCTTTGTGGATAGCGTTGGGTTTGGCGAGCATCCGGGGCCACATCGCTGTGTCTTGGCGTGGCGGGAGCGGTAATCGCTCGTCTGTGTGTCGACACCCTCCCCTCTGGACAGCTCTTGTGCGTATTTCCCAGGCGTCTTACGTCTTACTTTTGGCACTCTGGGCTGCTCGCTATTGGAACCGGCAGCTCTGTGGTACCGCTGCATCCCGTATCTTGTCAGTGCGATAGCGAGGCGTAGAGGGGTTCCGACGTCCGCTAATCGTCAGCAGTGCCGCAACCCACCCGGCGCACAACACCCCTCGTAGCAGGTGCGTAGAGCTCCCGAGGCCGCACCACGCGCCCCCAGATGTCGGCGAGGCGGCGACGGGACATGCTGGGAATGTGGCGTGGCGACGGCGGGGGATTTTGGACGACGAGGGTGCTAATGTGGCGCACGCAGGCACGACAGACGGGCAGTATTGACTTATTTGGAGCCTGTCTTGCACGAGCGGGATAGGCGTTGGCGGAAGACGTGCCACTATGGCAGCGGCGACTGCGGGTAAGTAGCATCCAGCAGCACTGCGGGCCCCCCTCCGCGCCCTCCTCGCACTCCAATTTTGCGCACCTGCCCAGCACATGGCCTCTCTCGCGCCGTATCTGACGTGGCTGCTCTCCCATGTAGGCTACGAGTGGAACCGCTCCTCGCCCCTGCGCTCCTCGCCCGACACGTCGTCGTCCATGTACCCCGACCGGCCCATCCGCCCGCTGCCCAGACGCTCTCTGCGCGACCGCCTGTCTCCCGAGCAGGCCGAGACCATCGTGTATCCGCACAACCCCCCGCCCGCCGGCCCGCTGTTCAACTTCCCCTACGCCGCCAACGAGCGCGGCAGCAGGTCGCTGCGCACGGGCGAGAACGACCACCATGCCTGCCACTGCGGCCACACCCACTCCGAGGTAGAGAGCGACGACGACGACGACGAGCGCGGTGCAGCGCTGCCGCCCTCGCCCAGCTACCGCTACAGCCGCGGCCTGTCTGGCAAGCCGGGCGCGTACCCCAAGGCGGGCTCGACGGCCTCGTCGGTCGACGGCTACGAGTCGTTTGAGAACACCAACAACAAGAAGAAGCGCAAGATCCCCAACATGGGCAGTCTCAGCCCCCACCACACCGCCCTCGCGGCAGACGTAGCAGGCGCGGGCATGGGCATGGCGCACGCCCACGAGGCAGGCGCCCTGGACGACGCGGACGGGCCTGGGCGGTACTACAGCTCGGCTCCCTCGACGCCCCAGCACGCCAGCACCACGACCAGCACGAACGCCAACATCAGCAGCATCGCGGGGACGGGCATCTCGGGCGCAGGCAGAGGCCGCTTCGGGCGCACGGCGTCGGGGCGCTCAGAGCGGCGGGTGCTGGCCAACTCGACCAGCCTCGCCAATGCCAAAGCGAACAGCAAACGTACGGCGCCACTTCGGGACACTCCCCTGTCTCCGTAGCCTCCACACCAGTCCGTGCGCTAACTAGTGATTTTCAGGACTTCCCGAGCAGAGCGGCATCATCTCGACGGCCATCGCCAACGCCCAAGCAACGCCCCCACCTCGCGGCAACGAGAACGTGAGCCTGCTGCAGCAGGAGGCGGCCAAGCACAGCGCGAACAAGACGCAGTTCACCTTCACCTGCGGCTCCGACTCGGCCAACAAGATGGTGTGGCCCGGCCAGGAAAACAGCCCCTACCCTCAGCCGCCGGGCGCCTACCCAACCACGGCCGCACCTCCCCCGCCCCACATGAACAACGGCAAGGCTGCCCGCCGCGCCCCCGCCCGCCCCGACGCCCCGATGGTGTCGACCCAGGGCACCCAGACGAGCCCCACCATGAACGGCGGCCACCCCGCGCCTGCAAACAGGAACCCGCCCCCGCACAAGCCCGGCCAGCCCCCGCAGCAGGCCCCGCCGCCGCGGAAGCCACGACGCAGCGCCTCCAAGCTGTACGCCTTTGCGGCCCGCAAGCGACGCCAGCAGCAGGAGTACACAAACTTCCACAACCCGCCCAGCCAGCCGTGGATCTGCGAGTTCTGCGAGTACGAGGACATCTTCGGCCATCCGCCCGTGGCCTTGATCCGCCAGTACGAGATGAAAGACAGGAAGGAGCGGAAGCGCCTGGCGGAGAAGCGCCGTCTGCTGGAGAAGGCCAGGATGAAGGGACGCAAGGGCAAGAAGGCGGGCAAGAAGTCTCAGAACAACGCCAACGCCGCTCAGCACAACCAAAACGCGCCGCCAGGTGGCTACGATCGGCGCCCTGACGATGGCTCGCTGGATCCGCAGGACGAAGACTACTATGACGAGGATTACGATGACGTTCCGCCCCAGCCTCCCACGCCCATCACGCATTGCAGCCATGGGTGTCAGCATCATCCACATCCCTCACACAAAATGCATAGCGTGCCTCCTGGCGATCCTCGCGGGCCTGTCGCTACCGGCGCCTAACATCTGGACACGACGGGGTGGGCCGTCCTTGTTCTTGCGTTGTTTCTTCTCCTTTTGTCTTTTAGCATTGCCTTTGTGGCGGGAGTTCTCGGAGCGTTCGATCGACTGAGAGTTCTTGGTGTTTATTCAGTCTTGGATCTGGTGGGAAGACTGTATCGTTGAGAAGGTGTTTATGGTATCCATCAGGATTATCACGGCTTTCTCGACCTCACCGACCTCTTCTCTTCCGCGGTTTTGGATAACCCCTCGCCGTCCGTCGATCACATCTTCGAACCCCAACCACAAGGCACCTCTGTTTTTTACTATTTTGTCCAGCGTTCAAGCATTCTATTCCAGCATTTTCAGCATAACCCGACCCTCTGTGCCCCTCCTCTCATGTCCTCCCACAAACTGCCATCATCACGACCCCTCACTTCCCGAACCACGAAGATCATGATTACATTCAACAACACCTACACCCCACTCTTACACAAAACGAAAAGAACCGACGTCAGCCCACGGGATGGATTGTACCGTGGCGTACTGCATCTTGTCTGCAGGTGGCTGGCAAGCTATGTCTGGACTGGCTAGAACAGAAGAGAGAAATGGACTGTTCAGCCTAGTCTACAACTATATGGATTTTTCCGCATTACATGATGTTATGTTGTTTGTGAGGCAGTCGGTGAACAAACTTACTCGTAGTGATTTCGCCATGTTGTGTATAGAGATGTTCACTTACTTGACATGCATCTGTTATGTGGCTGCCCTTGCACAATGTGGTTCTTACCTGCGCTAACTAACGGCCATCTACACCAGGACTGACCTAGATAGTATACTTTTCAGCCCCCCCTTCTCTCCCTCTTTTCCCTACTCTCCTCGTGAAGAACGCCCTCTGTTTTCCATGTCGTACGTTCATACTCGCAGATGCCGGTCTCGAACGCGCTGACTGCTCTCGCTTCGCGTGGCGTTGAGCTAGGCGTAAGATACAAATGGCACGGCAGGATGGAGGGTTTGTGGGTGAGGTTGTGTTGTGTTGGGTGGTGCAGTGCAGTGTGGTACGTGGCCTGGAGATGGAATAGGACTGGATGGGATGCTTAGATGCGTGAGTTGTGTTCATGGGAGTTTCGCGGATAAATCGAGGGCTTGGTTGTGTCGTGTCGTGTCGTGAAGTATTTTCTGACAAATTCTACTTTGCTGGAGGATTCAGTAAGGGTTCTAATACCGACGGGATATCATGGGGGAGTGGGTTTTACGTGGGAGCTTTTTGCGTAAGGGGGGCCGGAGGGAGGGCGTTTGGGGGGATATGGTGGCTTTGGTTTGTGGGGTGAGGTGGTGGAAGAGGGAGATGGGGTCTTTTAAGATGTAGTTATTTGTTTCTTGGCTTTGAAGTTGGGGAGCGGTTGGACAATTGAGAATAGATCTCTTTTGAGTGGAAAGATGAGTTGGCCTTGTGTGATGTGAGACTTTGACGGGGGTGTATAACGTCTAATCAAAGATTTGTAGAAGTTTCTATGAAAGATTGGTTGCTTTTAATAGTGATTATATGGACATTCGACAACGTGATGGTTACTTGTACAGATGGATGGTGATGCGCTCCTCTAATCTTGACGTACCGGAGTCATCGTGGCGATATGGTGATTGTCAATATATCTTGATTCTCTTCCACCCCGCATCCTCCGTGACCTGATCTATAAGTCTGTGAAACACATCTACTTCGAATGGACACCCCATGAGGCTTCGAACTGCTCTGCAGATAAGCCTGAAACCATCGCCACTACTGCGCAGGACAAAAGGCACAGGCGCTGTGTACAGTATCCAGACCTGGTCGTTGATAGTCGCAACAGATGTTGTGGAAAACTCATCTTTGTGCTCAGTCGAGAAGTAGCCAGTGGGGTCAAGGTTCTGGGAGACCTGTCGTGTTAATGTGCCTACATATATACCACTGGCTTCTAAAGTTTTCCCTTGATCTGAAAACTCGGCCTCTGGTATCACACGTGAAAGTCCTGTGAAACTGATAGTAGGCCCGAACGGAGATACGTTGCTGGATTGACGTTTACAGGTCCAATCCGGCACCCATGAAGGGAGAGTCGGCGACAGGTCACCACGAGCTGTTACAGCGTATGATAGCCCGCCGATGGTTTCATTGCCGAGTATCATTCGTCGTGCCGTCTCGGTGAATACAGCCTGGACGCTGTTTTCGGGGCGATAGTCAGGCTCAATCCCGTAAGCGTTTGGGAATCCAAGAAAAGCGTAAATACGATCTCGTTGATCGCTGGCTTCGCAGGAACACGAGTGGTGGATGAGCAGGTCCGTGAAGTCTCGTAACCCAAAGCGCTTGAGTGTCAATATGAAACTAACAGCGTCTTCGGCCTGTTGCGTGCGCTTCTCCAGAAAACCAAGTTGACGATTTTGGGGAAAGTCTCGGGCAGATACTATAAGCTCCTGAACTTGAAAATATTGTGAAAGCGACGTTGATAGCGTTTTCCAGTGTATAGATTGACGGCCGTAGATGAAATAGACATCTCTCGCTGCCGCAAATTCCTGTACCACCCAAGCCCTTCTCCACCAAGGTTGTTCTATCATCTTAACAACATCAACCCAACCTCTCATGAATCTATCGTCGTTGATATTCGACATACAATAGGCTGTCCGCTCCTCGAAAATCTTACGCCATGTCAACGAAGGACCGTCCGAGTGCTTAGTGACCTTCCATTCCATGTGTTGAACCCACTCAATAGCCAGACCGTCGACATGCTGAGTAGATAGACATATGACCACCTCGCGAGCGTGAGAGTATATGGCATACATGAAACCAACTTGATGCGACCTCTCCATTGGATTACTCTGGTTTATGCAAATCTGATCCGTCCAGAGGAGCGGCTCACTGTCGCCGTGTACTTGTAAGCGATAATGACAGATCTCGTCTATTGCTAGTGCAAGATTGGCGAAGGCATTGAATTGGATGCCATTCACCTCGAGAGACCGCGTATTCTTTGGATCGCCGGCGCAATATGAGATTGCAGTGTAAGTGTCTGCCTGTTCCAAAGGGATGGGTGGCATAAGTGTGAATCGCAGACTGCCGGACTGAACATCTCTCAAGACTTTGAGGAGACGGATTTCGCGTTTCGAGCTGTCAAGAGGCTGGTAAGGCTGTTGTTCGTAAAACGTGGCGTTCTCGGGTGAATAGAAGTTGTCAGTCGGGGGAGGCTCGCCTGGAGGCACTGAACGTTCTCCATCCCCAGAACTCATGATGAGCAGCAAACTGTTGGGCGAACAAGGAGATGTCTGAGGAACTCTCGAGACATCGTGAGTGTTGCCTGATCATGACAAGGCTGTGCCTGTGAGCGGATGATCGGGCTGAGGTGGTGGAAGGAAGGAGCGAAGGAGAGTATTCATCCAATGGCGATGTCAGCAACTCCGCCGATGACCGCCCTGGATTCCGCTTCCCCCATTCTGCCAGCCAAACCAACCCCACTTACGCCACCACAAGAGGAGGTTGGCATCGAAACTTGATCAGTTCCATTACTCTTGCTAGGAATAAGACATCTTTCTCGGATTTCTACATATCCACTCAACTCTCATCACAAGTCACGCTGCGTTATTTGACTTGGCAGACGCCACAATGGGATTGGAGGAAATCCATAAGTACGGCACTGACGATGGCTGGCATGGTGTAATCAAGGAAGGAGGAGATTTTCCACCTGAGAAAGACAGGTACCATCTCTATATTGGTACACTCCACTCCAATATCTTTCTCTACTTTCCTCCAAGTCTTTCTTAACATCTCACAGGCCTCTTTTGCCCATTCGCCCATCGCTCAAACCTGATCAGACACATAAAACACCTTCAAGATGTTTTACCACTATCCATTGTAAAGCCCTATCCAAAAGGTGAACCTGGCTGGCGCTTCGATGAAACATACCCAAATGCCACACCCGATCACCTGTTCAACAGCCGATTCATGCATCAACTGTACTTCCGAGACGACCCAGCATATAAAGGGAAATACAGCGTGCCATTGCTATGGGACAAGAAGACAAACCGCATCGTGAACAATGAGAGTGCGGAGATGTTGAGGTGGCTACCGGGTGCATTTAACTCACAGATCGACGACAAGAAAATTCGAGAGATAGACATATACCCATCAAGCCTGAAAGCTCGAATCGACGAGGTGAGCCCGTGGCTACAATCTCTGATCTGCTCCGGCGTATACAAAGCAGGGTTTGCGCAAACGCAGACAGCGTACGAGGAGAACGTCGTCCCACTGTTTGCAGCACTGAATAAACTTGAAGCCCTCATTCACAAAAACGGCGGACCATACATATTGGGTGACCAGATGACGGAGCTAGACATACTGGCGTATCCAACCATAGTCAGGTTCGATGCAGTATATGTGCAGCATTTCAAGACGAATTTGGGGACGATACGACATGATTACCCTGTCATCCACAATTGGTTCAAGAATTTGTATTGGAATGTAGAGGGGTTTAGTGCGAGCACAGATTTCACGCACATCAAGGAAAATGTGAGTGTCGTCAAGCTACGGTCGAGAACCTGAATTGACAGTGAACATAGTACACGAAAAGCCATGCCGATATCAACCCTCTAGCCATCACGCCACTGGGACCTTACCCGGACGTTGAGGAGAACTATGAAAGCGATTGGAGCAAGCTCAAGCCGGGTAAGGTGGTACATCCACGAGTGTTAGAGGTGATGAGCAAGTTGTGAGCTGGTGTTTCTGGCCAAATCAACTTCTTTATAGAATAATGTCTTTATCTAGACGCAACCTATACCTGCCGTTCTAACCCGTAACCCGCCTACGTATGTTGTGGTAGTGTATATCATTTGCAGCACTTCAGCTCTTCACATTCAACTCTGCATGGCAATGCGCATTTCTCCACACTTGTCGATGATGACCCTACGATGGTGTCGGAGTTCTGCCCCAACGATTCCTGAGAAAATACCGCAAGCTCGGGTTGTAACGTGGCAGAGTGGATACCATATGCGTGCAAACAATGCGAGAACGTATCCGCTTGCTGCATGAAATGCCTCAGATCAGGATTGTTGACAACGATGTGCGCACTCGCAATCGCTTTCTTCTGATCCAGACGCCACACGTGCAGTTCGTGAACACTATGGACGCCGGGAATGGACTCAAGGTCGTGTTTGATGTCTTCAATCTTGACACCTAGAGGCGCGGACTGAAGGAGAATCTTGCCGCTGCGCTTCGTCAAAGGAATGGCTGTTACGAGGATCATGACGGCAATCCGTAGGCTCACGGCAGGGTCTGCATAGAAACGCGAAGGCGACTTGACAAACCAGATGATGGCAGCTGCGATGATGACACCGATGTTGTTGATTGCGTCGCCGAGAACGTGGATGAGAACGCCCAGTATGCCTAGGTCCATGCCATGCTTGGTGGGCTTTGCGAGTATGTGCATGTGAGATGCATGAGCAGGGGTAGGGTACATCTCCATATCGTCTCTTGCAGCATGACTGTGGCCGTGATCGTGATCATGCTCGTGGAGGAACAAAGCACTGATGACATTCAAGAACAGGCCGATACAGCCCACGATGAGCATTAGCTTTGGATTCTCGACGTGCTCAAGGGAAATGAAACGTTCTATCGACTGTAGCAAGATACTCAAACCTAGGGCGAGTAGAAAGGCGCCGTTGAAGAAGGCACCAAGAAGCTGTGCTCTTGCCCAGCCGAAGGAGAGGTCTTGAGGGGATGTTTTGCGCTCTGTCACTTGTACGGCCAGGAGAGCAATGATGAAGCCGATGAGATCGTTCAGCTGTGGCGGTTAGTGTAGGAAAGGGTTGAGGCGTTGAAACCATACATAGTGGAAAGCATCTGCTACCAGAGCCAGAGAGCGAGTGTAGAAGCCAACTGTGTCGTGCATCAGTACAAACAAATTATTTCAAAACAACTCAAAGCTGACCAGATATCTCAGCTAGGAAGAAACAGAACGATATGGCAATCACAGCCCTCAGGCGCGTCTTTCGAGAAACTTGGAAGTGATGGTGGGCCATGATGCAGGCAGGAACGGAGAAAGGTCTCGAGGTCAAGGGCGGAAAGGGCAGATAAGCAGTGTAAGGAGTTTGTGGACAAACCGTGTCGTACTAGATCCAGCCTCGAAGCGTGTACACATTGATAGCATATAGTTTGCCCGCTTAGGTGTCACTCTGTACCACCTGCCTTGAATTCTCGAGGCTGACTGACGATCGCACCTCCTTGCGACATTCTATATGCGCGACACATGCGGCGCATTGTGGACGATAGTGACGGAGACGCGATAGTGAAGCTCAACAATCAAGGAAATGAGACACGTGAAGGCAGCATCACATGTCGTCGCGCGGGTGCCTGAACGTTCGCAGCCTAGCGTTCGGAACAATCATTGGCTTTCTGCAAGGCCAGACCCCTCCGCCGCAAAATATCTCTCCACGCCTGTCTGCCACGCTTCAAAATCGAGAAACTCCACACCGAGATCCACATACTCACGATCAAGCGACTGACGATAGCGACTAGTCACTATGGGTAACGGAGCCAAGTACGATAGCCGATTTGAGAATGAGAGGCAGTGATTGACAAGAACCCAGAGCACAGCAAAAGCGCGATCGCAAGGGCGAGGGAGGCCCCAAGGAGGCCAAGAGTCAGCTGAAGGCCGTAAGTGTTTTGTCGTGGATGGAGAATGAGAGATCGGAACTAACGGCAAGATTAGAACACCGCCGCCCAGACGATCAAGTGCAAGACGTGCTTCCAGACTTTCCAGGGCACAACGAACCGCAAGCTGCTCACAGAGCACGCATCGAACAAGCACAGCAAGCAATTTGAGGACTGCTTCAACGCCGACGAGGGTGTCTCGAAGTAAGGCTGAAATCGATTTGCACCATCTTCCGATAGCGACATGACGGCGTTTGCAATTTGCATGATATACCAATAGAGGGCGGAGAGTTTGCGGAGAAAACCCGCGCGATCACGACGTGATGGTGCATGAAGTTATGGGCGTGAATGCAATGGCGTGGAGTACTGCGCTTGTTCCTTTGAAAGACTGGCTGGGGAGGGCCCTCGGACTGCATTTTGTTAAGAACACACCATCGACTTGATCACGTCTCTTCTCTCGGTCTGGATGTCTAGATCCTTCACAAACGTCTGCTATCTGAGTTGAAACTGATGTGTATTGAAAATGTTTGGCCTTGCACATGGCGCTTCTGCTTGCGATCTATTTTGTCCTTGGTAGACATGTTTGTTTATGGATTGTAGATCGACTTTGTGGGTCAGCCTGGGCCAATACCATGGCGTTCCACTTGTAGCTCGTCACCTTACACCAGGCTGTGAACTATGATCTATATACCTGTCTTTCGAGAGCACGACGGCGTCACCAATGCTAACGATCTTTTTATTAATCTATCTACTTTCCCTAAGATGCTTATATTTATATCCGTGAACATGAGCTTATTAGACTGGGCCATCTTGAGGTTTCGTAACTCGATCTAAACTATGTCTTGGTTGACCCACAAGTGAGGATTGAATTCTAGATCTGTGTAACATAGCGCTTGTCAGTTCGTGGCCCACCTCGACCCCGCTATCGCACACTTGTGGTTGTTCGCTAGCCCGCCGCCGCAACTTCGTGCACAGATAGTATATCTCAAATTTTGCAGTTTCTCCATCAAAGAGTTCAACAACTCATCCAGTCGCTTTAGCTCAATTGGGAGAGCGCCAGACTGAAGTCTCAGTCACTAAATCTGGAGGTACAGCGGTTAGTACTCCTCAACATCACCAAACGAATTACCCGTCTAACATCTTCGAAGTTCGATCCGCTGAAGCGACAAAAGTCCGCGCCTGGCTTGCCAGGATTACTCGAACATCTTTTTTGCCGTTTTCATAGTTCGAGCCTCTTTTTGCCAATCGTTGGTGAGAAACTACACAGAACATATGCATTCACATTCTATTTGGGTCTATCTTGATGGTGACACTTTACCTCAGTTATCCCATGTCATCTCTGCCCACTCTTTTGTAGTCTCCCGTCTCCAAACGCCTTCACTGAAGGTATTCCTCGTGCCGTCCTCCCCCATAACACCCATCAAGACGCCCCCGAGTCTAGCAAGCGCCGTCCACCTGGCATCGTCAACTCAGCCACAGCAGCTATTTTCTCATTATGCTTATGAAACCCCTCGCCGTTGAAGCGCTTGAGTGTAAGTGCTGGCACCGTGTGTGGATTCGGATGTCCAGATGATGGGGTCGTCGCAAGCAGCTCCATATCCGTCACCTGCTCTTCCTGTGGCTGGAGTGGTCCACTGTCCTCTGAACCGGCAGCCTCGCCCTCGTCCCATATCCATGCGTCCCAGCAGTTCACGGCATTCCATGGCCATGTACGCATCTCGTACCGGTGCTCTAGCGCAAGAGCGCCGAGAATCATGCATCCTGCACCGAACAAGGTAACCAGTATGGTTGGTAGCCGCTTGACGGTTGGGAGGTAGCCTGGCTGTTCCCATTCCGCAAGGGCAAGCAGGAGGACGAACATGGCGAGCATACAGACACGGGTGGATGGATGCTGAGCAAGTCTGGCGAAGGGATGTGTACGGTCGGATGGGAGGGTGGGCAAGAACTCGTTGGGGAGTTCAGGGTAGCGTGCGGATGGCGGATGAGCATCTCGGGATGGGATTAGTTCCGGGTTTGGAATCACCGGAGAGGGCATGTCTACGGTTGGCTAGAAAGTTGGACGATTATGCACTGCTCTTGCTGTGTTCCTAGTTGATCGGTTGAAGTTGAGCTGGAACGAAGAGGCGAGATAGGAAGGAGAATGGGACGTAGGTGTGTGTGTAGGCTAAAAGGTCTTGGGGCGTGTTGACCTGCACGGTGAAACATCAAAGTGAATGTTCGAGATATGTGGCTGACCTTTTGTTCATTGATAGTTTCACACAAAAACCCTGCTCACTCAGGATCATGACCAAACGAAGGGTCGGGGTATTACAAAGAAGATATCATTCGTGTCTATGGAGACTGTGGAACGGAATTCGAAACAGGAAGACAAAGAATACCGAAGACCACCTTGGTGGTGAAGCCCACCCACGTCGAAAGACATGAAAATTGCCACTAACAGAATCTGTAGAGAGATTATCAAAGGAAAGTAAGCGTTTCCATGATGGAGGGGTAGAGAGCAGAAACCAGTCGATGAGAAGAAGCGGGAAACACTTGGGACGACAACGAATCTGAAGTACAACAGGGTCTGTATACAAAACGGGGTCGAATAAAGGGAAATACATGGTGGCAATAACACCTATTATACCCACGAATCAATTACCGTACTAGTAACTTGGTAGGACCAGTGTAACTCAATATAGGTCTAATCCGAGGTACAATATGGTTCAAATCGACAACCTCTCATGTCTCAGTAGACTTCGCTTTGAAGACACGATGTCTAGCCAACAATTGAGAAATCATGAAATGCGACACATCCTCGTCAGCCCAGTAAGCCAAATGGCTAGCTATGCTGGCGAGAAGGGAGATATCGAAAGCCTAGGCACATGTCAGCATCGGCGTACGCAGGTATCGCAGCGAGGAAAACGCAATGGGTAACTTACACCTTCTTGAATACTGAAATCCACCCGTCCGTTCGCATTCAGCGCTCTCACTTTCGCCTCCTCCTTCCTCAACTTCCGACTTCGCTCTTCCAGCTCCTGCCACTCGAGGTCCTTCTCTACATTCCTCTTTCCGTCTTCAGTCAATGCGCTGTTCTTTCTTACTTTCTGGAAGCCAGCAAACAGTGTCTCGATGTCAGACTCAATAAGGGTAGGAGGGTGCTCCCCTTCTTCACCTGGCGCAATGGTTTCTTGTTCCAGTCTCCTTCTCCGCTCGTCATTGATGAACGCGCTGGTAGGCTCGTTCGAGCCAAGTACCGCTTCCGCAGAATAAGTCGTGCTACGTCCAAGGGGTAGCCGTTGAGCAGTGCGGGGATTCTGTAAGCTGTCGCCCCCTCTTGTGGTTTCGTTTCCTGTGATACCTAAACTTCGATTGAGAAGCCCGCTCGCAATTCCCGAGCCAATTGATGTCCAAAAGTCGGTGACGCCCTGACCGACTCGCGCACCAATACCGGTCAGACCCTGAGAGGCAGGGGCACCAAAGATACCTTTCTTGGTATAAGGCAGCGGCTGGGCTTTCAGAGCGGACATGGAGGGTGAGATGAGAGGCTCAATGCGATAGCTGATGGGATCTGTGGGATGGAAAATGTTGAAGATTTGTTTGCAGAGGGGCGAAGAAGTGGTGATGTCGAAAGCGTGGTTTCGTTCCGCAGCTGTGGGTGAGAACGGGTCGTCGAGCGGAGTTGCTGGTGTCTCGGGCGGTACGAAAGCGTTAGATGGCCTGGCAGCGATGGTACGACCTTTCAACATCTGGAACAACCCGATCGGCGATCCCAGAGCATAGAAGTCTTCCACTTCGAAGTCAAGTTTCAACCCTTCCTCTACTATACGACGCTGGTGCTTGCTGGAATGCGACTCCGACCTGATCTTTGCGTCTTTCTGGATGCACAAGATGTCAAACATGATAGCTGATCCGAGTGAGTGACCGACTAGACTGACTTTCCCCTTGAAAGAGGGGTTGCGTTCCTTGAACAAGCGGTAAGAACGATTCATCTCATTGACCACAATGCGAGAGATGTGACCCTTGTAAGCCGGACTCTGGTACAGAAGGATATCCAGAGCAAGATCTGTCAAGAAGTTGCGCACAGCTGGAATACCTTCGACAGTAATATCCTCAAGGCTTGGGAATTCATGGTCCTCGTGATCTAGATCGCCCAGATCATGCTCCTTGCGATTGTGCTTGATACTCTGCTGGGGGAAATCGAGTAGATGCCTCCAGACGATCGGAATGACCTGGATGCGGCTGTTTTTCGTGTCTGTGTCCACTTCCGAATTCAAGGCCTGTAAGTCAGGCGAGTTTGCGTAGACTGACTTGAGTGCTTTGCGCATGGTATTTACGTCGTGGATGAAGTTTATACTCTCCATACGCATGCCTAAGCGCTGTCCAATGCCGTGAGTTACAAGCAACAGATGTTCAATTTCACGTCCTTGTTCACCCTTGTCTCGGTTCTTGTAGTCTTCGCGCATCTCTTTCTCCTCGAGTTTTCGCATCTCCTCCTCTTCTTTCAGCTCATACTCGGGTTTCGAGGAAGTCATGAGGCTCGAAACTTGTCTCTCGAGGTTTCTTCTCCGTGTCTGGGATGGTGATTCTCTCCCCCCTTGATCAACCATCTCGTCATCAGAACCGTCCTCTGACCCACTGGATATGGGTTGTCCTCCGTTATCTGAACCGTACGCCAATGAAGGTGTCAGAGGCCGCTCTGACTCCTTGCTGTTGGGGTCGACCGCCGCGTTCACTGGTTTCTTCTTCTCTTTGAGGTCTGTGTAGCCGCGCACATATCGATATCCAGCATAGTGCGCGCCTCCCGCGAAACGTTGGTACAGAGTGCTTCCCATGCGGGTCCACATGTCGTCTGTTAACAACCACGCTGTGTTTTCATCTTGATATGTGACGGTGGAGTTCATGTGGGCACCGAACAGGCGGTGCGTTCTGGACGTCTCGGGAGCGGTGGAGGGCATAGGTTTATCGTCTGGTTTTGTCTCGTCCTGTTCTTTACTTGCTTCGCCTCGGAGATTACCCATGGAGGTTTTCGGTGTGACCGGGTTCGATGACGAGTCTCGGTTCAGGCTTGCCAATTCTTTGCGGTATTCTTCGCCTACGCTACTTCCCATGGATGTGGGTCGCGCACGAGGCTGCGAAGCTGATCGTTTCTCTCCGTCTTTTCCAAAGCGCCATGGCCTGACTTTCAGATATCCTTCCTCCAGCTGCATCGCAAGTCCTTCGTCGACAGGCTCGCCGTCTGGTGTGAACCACGTTCCTCTTTTCACATCATACACAGGTCCTAGCCAGTAGGTAGGTGCCAGCTCCCGTGTCTCGATTTCTACATCATACAAGTAGTCCTCGTTTACAGGAACTTTTGTAGGGGTTGGAGCGTCCTGACTGGGCTGGTTTGGCGTAGCAGAACTACCGATACCCTTTCTCAGCTCGGCAGCGTCAGCTTTGTCGGCGGTGTGTTGGAAAGCAGCTTCGACGGCACGAGAGTCGTTGGTGCTGAAGGGAATCCATTTCTTTGGCTTCGGGAGAGGCTTATCAGGTTTGATTGCGTTTTCGGAAAACGGCTTTCTTTTTGGTAGCTTGTTACGAAGTCAGCTACTGAGAAGCGTGGTTGTTGCTGCGATAGGGTTTTGGGAGATATCCTTGTATTCAAGCTACTTACATCTACAGCATGGAACCATCTCACGGCAAGCGCAGGGCAGTCTTGGGGATATTTCTTCAAACTAAGCCGGGGCCTGCGGTCGACAATATGGTCTCCTCCCCTTTGCGATCCTAGTCCGCGTGTTAGAGTTTCCCTCTCCTTTCCCTTGTCCTTCTCCTGGTCTTCCTCGGTATCCCTCGGGGTTGGCGGGGGTTTAGGCGTAACGCTCCTCGAGCCCCATGGCGACAGGTTCGAGAGGAAGCCTGGCTTATTGTCTGGAGTGGACATCCTGTCGAATGGTGGGGCGTTACCGCCACTCTGCGACCAAGAAAGCCAGGTCTTGTATCGTCGTTGCGAACCTTGGGCGCAAGATTTCGCGACGCGACGTGGGTATCGAAGATGGCAAAGAGCGCGCGAATGTGACGTAGTTGACAAAGGCAAACTGAAGACAGGCAAAGAACGCGCAAAACAGCAATCAGCGAAGAAATAAGTGTCACGGATAGATTGCATGTGGAGCTCAGGCTGGTGACTTTGCGCACATGCGTCTTGCAGGCATCAGCTTCGAAACACTTACATCACTGCGGGACATTGATAGCGCGCACGTGGGACCAGCTCCGCGTGCTTGTTCCCATCTCATTCATCTCGGCATTATCTACACACCTCGCATACCTGCCGATAATGGATCCCGACGGTCCACGATCTTTCTTGCGTCCTCGTCGAGTTAACCAGAAGGCATGCTTCACGGTTGCCGACGCGGGACAGCTGATGTTGAAGCTTCAGGCTCTTGACGAGACGCTGCGGCTGACGCCTTTCGAAGACCATCCCAAGCTAGATCTAGAAAGTATAGACGTAGCATCTGGTACATACGTGATTGGCTCCGAGGATCTTTTCCAGGTTGTGAAAGGCATATCGTGTGCAGGTCTTATTCCTGACGTCTACATCGAGGCGTACCGCACCATGCTGCAGCGGCGGCCATATCTGAACCATTTCAGAAAATCCGATATAAACAAAGGCTACGATCCAACCTTCTCTGAAGTACGGCGCATTCTGGCCGACATAGATGCGTTGTGTGGTACAGAGCTCTACGGCTACATCCAGAAACTCGACCGAGATGGCAAGTACAGAGACGTATCGTTAGATTTATCATCTCTAAAGCCAAACAGTAAAGCCCTTCGCATTCCTGCGATTACCAGCTGAGCTCCGCCTACAAGTATACTCACACCTCCTGCCTCGCGAAGCCCACATTGCCCTTCTATATACGCCGCACCGCAATCACCAACTTTCTCGCCTGAATTTAGACATACTGCGCGTCAGCCACCAGCTATACGATGAATGCGTAAAGTACTTTTACGAAAACCGCACGCTGTGGATGATGGCGGGGCGAGACCAGACCGGAACCTTGACCGACGAGTATGTGGGGCGTGCCTACGAAACACTAGCCGTGATGAACACGCAAACACGACTCCTTTTTAAGAGGCTAGAAATTATGGTTCAGGTTTGGCTTCTGCCGCCTGCCAATATTCCTGCGTCGAGGAGGCATTACGGCATCCCTCCGGTCAGCGAGCCTATGCGCCAGATCTTTGCCCTGCTTCCCAATCTCGAGACAGTCCTCTTCTCCTTCAACCCTGTTAAGAACTCAATGTTCGAGCGCGGTATGCCTCGAGTCTACCGCATGCGAGAAGACATTCTGCTGTGGGTGCTCGACTCGATGCCTGAGCCGGCGCCGCGCATACAGTGGGACATTTCGCGGTCGTCGCCATTCTGGAACGACGAGCACGAGCGGGTGTTGAGACCGAAGTTAGAGGAGCGGACTGGCATGGAAATGGGCGAGAGCGTTCTCTCGAGACTTGGATGTTTAAAGTAGACAGCGGGGACGCCAGAAGGTTCTGCATGGCCAACGCGACGGGAAATGTATGTAGCCAGTAAGAGGGGTCTGTTTCGTAGTAATGGCTGGTTTGTAGACTCTCAAAATATCACTTCCTGAGATCAAGATACATGCATTAGCATGAACCATACTTGGCTCACTCGTATATTTCGCCTCAAAGATCGACGGCCACCATGTCAAAGCCTGTAACACCCCGCACATCTACCTCGGCCCGATTACACACTCAACCCATGTCTCTACCCCTCCAACATCGATACCTATCAACGTCCGTCTCTCCATTCAAATTTTTGTTCTCGTTCAATTACCAAAAGCTCGGGAAAACTTCCATCAAAAGATCTTACGGTGAGATGGCCGAGTTGGTTATGGCGCCAGGTTAAGGTCTCCCCTTAGCAACACTGAGCAATCAGTTTCCTGGTCACGAAAGTGGCGTGGGTTCAAGTCCCACTCTCATCAATATCGTCTGCTCGTGGAGCAGGTCGTCCAGGTTCTTTTTTGCTGGAGTTTTTGCATGCTGGGTGAAGTACTGGGCACGTGCTAGGGTTAAGCGAGTTGACTTTTATTGCTTGGCGATACAAGTGAGGGCATTTGGGTGTCTTTTGTGCTTTTTCTTTGTATTTTTATGCTCTTTGAGTGGTAGGGTTGACACGAGAGGAGTGTTGTAATGAGGTTGGTCGCTCCTGCCTGCATCGTTCGTAGGTTTTGCTTGTTCATCCACTCGTGCAGTCAAGCTGCGGAATCTATTACACCAGTACTTCTAGGATTGTATTTTCAAGAGTGCGGACATTGAAACAAATAAGCTCTATCGTCGAAATCTCCGTTCGATAGAGAAGTGTGCATGACTACAGAGCATTCTACCTCCTCATACAAGAACACATGTGCACACGATCTCCAAGACAGACAGGAGAAGGGTGGAACGTTGTATAGTTCTTCTCCACTGTCCTCCTCTCTATCGTTTTCATCATCATGACTGACGTCGGCCTTGTCAATCTGTCGCGCTTCGGTTTCTGAGACATATTGGACTGGGCTTGCTGAACGCATGGTTTACATGACCCTGGCGAGTTTGAGCCCAATTGAAATTCTCATGGGATTGGAGAGACCCTGGGGTGAAGTGCCTAAACTACTGAAGATGAAGACACTTCTAAAAATGCGCATTTGGTAGGCTCTTGGGCTGGTTATCTGCGAACTGGTTGTCTATGAGGTTGAAGTGTTAGTTGTTTGCTTCAATTGTTCCAACGGAGCAGCTGCGCCCAAATTAATGGATGGTTGATCAGACAATCATTCAGAGCACTCGCATAGACAACGACGATATCCAACTTGGCAACTGGGTCTTTGTTATAGTACTAGTTCTTCTATAATACTTTACGCCGCAATCTCTTGTGCCGCTAGTAGATCAGAAGAGCGCTTTACTGAGGCAAGTGTATCTCTCTGGAATACGTATAGCGTACACCTACCCACTAGGTTTGCTCGCAATACAATGATATCCATTTATCCAATAAAGCTGGATGTTGTCAATGAATCCGTAATCCCGGTCTTATGGACACAGGCTTGTATGCTCGAACGTAGGCTGTCGGTAGTTGGATGACCTTTCCCAGTGGGCTCTGCAATGCCAAAACCATCTCTATGTCTGTGGAAAGTCCGCACTCGTATGCTAGGGCGAAAAGTAGAGCTACAACATCGAGGTGCATTGGAGTGTTTCTGATAGGTAGTACTGTAAATCGTCGCAAACAACTCCCAGGAGCTATATACAGATTGGAGTAACTCTTACCACACGTGAAGGCTACCTGCACGTCGATGCCGTTGTCGACAATGAAGAACATCACATGTTCCTGTCGAAGCGGTCCTAACATCTTCCAACGTTCACCTGATAGACCCTTCGCCTTCTTGTGGGACTTCAACACTGATCGTGATCGCATGGTTGAAGCCCACGCCACTAGACACACGGTGTGTGTTTGTAACAGCTCAAAGCTTGAATCGCCTTTTACCGCGACATACAACAAATCCATCTCTTTTTCTGCGAGCGAAAGTTTCGGCGGCTGTGGTGATGCGTTGCAAACTCCAATCCCTGTAATTTGGCAGCAATGTAGTATTCGTGGGCATAAAGGAGATCCTTGAAAGTTTACTAGGATATCCCTGGGTTGTTTTATCTATAGTCTTGAATATCGATGCGTAGTTTTGCTGAGAAGAACATACCTTGTTTCCGGATGTTTCGACTTACCTAGAGACAGGTAGTCGCACCTGCCCTTCGAAGATACATGAAGTGAAACAGAAAGCGCACAGACAAAATTGTCAAACTTCACCTGCCTGTTTGACCCCACTCTAGACGTGTGACTGGACGCTACTTCTCTTGCTGTGCAGCTTGTCTTACACCGCTTTGACCTATACTACCATCTCAGCAAGACGCCTAACATGCCTTGCCCTGCGCCCAGGCAGCAGGTAGCACTCGATCGAACCGGCCCCAAACCAGACTGTCCTCGCTGACACCGTCCTCAGGCAAACCGTCTTCGATGAAATTGTCCCTGATCCAACCGCCAGCAAAGACGCCGTCTCCAGGAAAATGGCTCCTCGCAAGAGAACACACCAAGAAGATGCAAGCAAGACATCAAACGTAAGCGCCTTGTGTGACCACGATAGAACGAACACCAGACTAAAGACGCATTACAGAGAAAGAAGTAGAAACAATCTAGGATGTCAACAGATACTGCATCTCAAGCTGCATCTAACGCGCATTTGATGAGTCCTGCTCTCTCCAAGCCCGCCAAGAGAGATGTCGATATCGAGGCCCAGACGGTGCACATGCCCCATACGAGTCCATCGTCTTGATCATGACGTTATGTGGAACAGACGCGAACTTTTGGAAGGACACGAGAAAGCGATGTCCAACTTATCTTTCGCATGTTGCGCGTGTCATAAGCGCCCGTCAAATCATCCGCACCGTTCTGGAATGTTACCCGAAAGCATACAGACGTGTCATACTTCGCAGACTTGCATTAAAAGAAGCGAAATGCAACTGCCTTGACTCGGTGATTCGCTGGGTCGGTAGGGCGCATATTACGCCTTGTTGGACGCAAACTCCGAGATACTAATTTTACCTCCAGTGTGCCGGAATGACGGTAGAAACGCTCGACGCGTGCATCGATAACCAAAGGTTCAAAGCTTTCCCTAGCCTTCGATGGTTGAAGGGCTAACTTCCCGTGCAAGACAAAATCGTATTTCCGAACGGAACATCGCTTTTTGAAAACCAGGCGAAGGGCTCATGACGTTGGCGCATTTACTCACAAGTTGAATGAGTGTTTACAGGTGGCGCCAGCCCGGCCACGTGAACCAATGCATGTGTAGCACCCCACACCACGCATGTTGTCGTGCAGGTAGCATCTCAGAATTGTGAGGGAAGTCGTAAAGCAAGGGATCCATCCTAGCAGCACGACAACGGGTGTGGTGGAATGAAGATAGTTGGAACCATGTGGCATTATGCACGGCTTCGCTTGTTTTGGCAATACTATGCCGCCATGGACAGAGTCGCTAGGAAGCCCACCCGCCGTGCTGGAAGCATATTCGTTCGATGGCTTCTACGGTCAGTACCAGAATTTGGTGCCCGCAGAGACCAACCGAAATCGTGCCGCTCACCGCTGGAACGAAGAGCCCAACTTCGTATCTAATGCTCGGCACCTCTGAGTCGTATTGATCATCGTGCAAACGAGTTGTTGCTGTCGGTTTGAATGCGTCACACATACGATGGAAGTAATGCGGCAAGCTCTTCATCTCCGAAGGAACCTTAAAACTCGGGACACAAAAACGCCTGACGTACGTTGCCGACATGTCGAACATACCTACATTCATGATCTGCAACATTCGCGCTAGCCTGAGTTTCAAGCTCGCAGAAAGGATGCTTGTCGACCCGCCGATTTGGTCGGCCAAGCGGGCTTCTAGCATCCATCGCTTTGAGCTCGAGCACACCTTGTCTCCTACGCATACCTATCACAGCCAGTCTCGTTTCGCAAATGAAAGTACCACAAGCACCACGCCTTTTTCGACATCCGCCGCCACGCATCTGCCGCCACTTCTGACGAAGCAATTCGTGTTCTCCCGAAAATCATCATCCCTGGCGTAGAAAAACTACCCTGAAGCAAGAGACGGTAAGGCTGCGTCTCGTCTTTCGATACGATTGGACTATTCTGCGTCCATCTGCAGTCATGGTAAGGCATTCGTTGGCTAGAAGACTATAAAGTCCCCACTCATGTTCCCTTCCTCTTTTCCTTTCTCTGGACGTTCACTTGGCTCTAGTTTATCCCTTCTGTTTCAAGTAACAAGTCCCTTGCGCATGGATCTACGTTGTCACCGTCAATTTTACTAGCCTGCCACCATCTGTGCCCCACTAACGTCTATTTCATCCTTGTGGCATCCTTCTACGTTTCCGTTTTGACATTGATCATCTTCCCTCTTCGACTTCCTGTTTCCATGCTTGGGCGTTGACCATTGACCATGGGTATCAATGCAGATATCAAAGATTCAAGAGCAGGCACGTCGCCCATAGACGCAAGACCAATCCAGCCAACTACATCCAATACATCAAAAGCAGTAGAAGCAGCCGGTGGTCAGCAACAACGAAGCATCATGGCAACGATTGCTGATGATGATGATCGTTTGCTTGTGCGCATTGGGTACACTCCAGTAAGCGCTCGATGATGTTCTCTGAAACGTTTTACCAATACATCTCGCAGGTGCTGCAGCGACACTTTTCAAGATGGTCTACTGTCTCTTATGCGATTTCGATTCTTGGCGTGTTGGGTTCAGTACCAGCTACTTTTGGAGTTCCAGTGGCGTCAGGAGGGCCAGCAACAGCAGTATGGGCTTGGTTCATCGGCAGTATAATGGCATACTGTATAGCAAGTTCAGGTATGTGCTAGTGGGAAGCGTTTGTTCTAGCAACTAACACTACAAATCAAGTCGCCGAGTTGGTCTCTGCATACCCAACAGCGGGAGGAATGTACTATGTCACTAAACATGTTGTTCCTCCTGAACATGTTGCAGTGTGGGCGTGGATCATCGGTTGGTGCAATTTTCTCGGTCAAGCAGCAGGAGTTGCAAGTTTGGCGTATACGATCAGTCAAATGATACTAGCAACGGTCGTCATGCAAACCTATGACGAAGGCGGGTCTAATTTCCAACCGTAAGAGACTCCCTTTCGATCAACTCATCTCAGTTGATCTATCATATATGATCGTTACACGGACTTTTTGCAGAAACTAACTCTACACAACAGGACTTCGTATCAAACCGTTCTCCTCGCCATCTTCGTTCTATGCATGTTCGGGGCAATCTGCTCGTTCCCCACAAACTGGCTACACCGCATCATCCTCTGGTTCGCCCCCATCAACAGTAAGAAGTCATCCCACCTACCCGTAATTTCGACTAACACAAGCGAAGTCATCGCATCAATCTGCATCTGCATTGCCCTGCTTGTTCTCACACCAAACAAGCAAAGTGCGACATGGGTCTTCACCACAGTCACGGACAGCTCCGGTTGGGGCAGCCAAGGCTTCTCATTTCTCCTCGGGTCCGTCTGCATGATCCCAGCTTATGCCAGCTCACTAACTCGCGCAGTTTTCTCTCCGTAGCATGGACCATGACAGATTATGATGGTACCACACAGTACGTTCCCCGTTCCCCATGTTCCTCTTCGCCCCCTACGTCAGCCAATCTAACGTGGCAACACAGTATGTCTGAAGAAACGCACGATGCCGCGATCCGTGGGCCCGTCGCGATCCGAGCAGCGATCCTCGTCTCAGGCGTTGTGGGCTGGATGCTAACCGTGACGTTTTGTTTCTGCATGTCAGACTACGAGGGCATCATGAGCTCGCCGACCGGTCTGCCCGTGGCACAGATTTTCTTGAACGCCGGTGGCAAAACAGGGGGCACAATCATGTGGTTCTTCGTCATGCTCGTGCAGTTCTTCACCGGTTGCACCGCCATGCTAGCAAACGCAAGGATGGCCTGGGCGTTTTCTCGTGACGCCGCATTTCCGTTTTCGGGGTGAGTTGCATTGGTTTCCCCCAAGCGAAGGGGACACGCGATGGATAGAGAGAGCTAGCTGACGTGGTGCAGATTCTGGAGCAAGGTTAACGGGTTCACGCATACGCCTGTCAATGCCGTCTGGCTCGTCGTGGCGTTCTGCAGCTGTCTCGATCTGATTGGCATTGGCAGCACGCTGACCATAACGGCCATCTTCAACATCACCGCGCCCGCACTGGACATCAGTTATATCGCCGTCATCATTGCCCATCGGTGGTACGAGGGCCGAGTCGTTTTCCACCCCGGTCCTTACACAATGGGCAGATGGAGCAAACCGGTCAACCTGATCGCAGTGACATGGGTCATCTTCATCAGTGTGGTGCTCTTCTTCCCGACAATCAAGCCCGTCACGGCGACCAACATGAACTATGCAATCTGCGTCGCGGGATTCATTGGCCTCTTCAGCATGGCCTGGTGGTACGCGGGCGCCAGGAAGACGTACATAGGTCCACGCACAACAGACACTATCGATTTGCTTCCTCCCGAGGACCCAGAGGATATCCTCAGCGATTACGACTTGCCCTAGCGTCGCTGCAGGTTCTCGCATTGAATTACTTCTACGCCAAAGAAAACTACATGTGCATTTCGGTCGCTCCGAGGATCATTACGAACTTGGACTCAGCGTGGAGTTAACCCGGTCGGCGGCGTTTGTTCTCGGGCGCATCAAGGAGTTTTGGCGCATTCTACACTTTTCCAAGGCGTTCCCCAGTCGTTCCCGTCGCGTTTATTTTTTCTCGTTCGAAAAGTTATAGAGGTGGGAGCATCGTCATAGATCACGCATGTTTGTTTGCAGAGAAACGATACCCATAGATCTGAACGCACTTATTCTCGAATTGAATTTATTACTGGTTTCGTGGACACAAACGGCTTGAAAACCTGAGTGACGTTTAAGCTTGCACAATGTAGTGTATTTACTTGAAGACCTTGGTGTAAAAAGTGTACACAGCTAGATTGATAGTGACTACAACGAAAGCCAAGGGTATACGGTAATATGGTAACATAGTAGAAAGAAATGAAAAGAGAAATAAAAGAAATGGTAAGGAACGTAGTGCATCGCAGTGGAGCTGGTGTTTCTTGCCAGCTGCCAACTGCGACATGCCATCGTCTACCGGCTAGAATTGAATCATGTTTGCCGTAAAAATCGTTGCGTCGAATCCCAGCTCCGGGTATTCTGTGCTCTGGTGCTTGCGTGTGTCGCGTGCGACGACGTCAGACACCCCCTCGTGTTCTAAATACACGCCTATGCCATGTGTCGGCGGGTCGTGCAAACAGTGCGCATTCCCGTAGGAATGGCCTCGCTAAGTGCAGTCCGTTCTCCATCAACCTCCCCACAAGCGCTCCCCCATGCGCTGCCACTTCTCGGCCCTTCAGACGTCCACAACTCTCACGAGCGTCCGGTGGTAGCGCGCGCCATTTCCTTTATCCGCACAGCAGGCAGTTTGCTAAAGCGTTTGCTGTTTGTCGAGGAAGATGTTTTGGCGGAAGATGGTGACGAGGCGTAGACGTACTCGCCATCTACATAGTGCGCATCGCTGATGAAGGTGGTGCGTTTTTCGCGGCGAGTGTAGCGCTGCTCGAGGCGGTAGAGTTCGAGGCCTGTGTGGACTTGTCAGAGGGGCTGGTCGGGACATGCGCAGTGCTGGTGCTGCTCGGAGCAACATGACGTACGAGCTTGCAGTTTGTCGAAGAAACCCATTGTGAAGTCAAGATTATGGTCAAAGTCTGTGCGTGGTGGTTCTGTCCAGGAAAATGCTAGGCGTTGTGCGTAAATGTCACCAGCGTCTAGACAGCGGCCGGCGTGTTGATATGCTGCGAGTGGGCGGTGGTTGGCGGTGGATGACAGGGAGCGGGAACAAGGAACCGGCCGGCACGCTGATGCAATGGCAGTGTCGGCGACTGGATGTGCAACACGAGCGATTCGTTCAGAGGGATTGCGATCAGAGCAAGGACGGCGGGTTCTTGGCGCGGTTTTACGTATATGTGTAATGTGTAATGAAAGACGGCGCAGGAAAGAGGGAAAGAGCGAGCGACGGGAAGGTAGTGGGTGAGCCGCAGCGACTTCCTCCCGGGCGTTGTTGGGTCGCTCACGGCACCCATGGCGTTCTCTGCCTGTTCTCGAATCCCGCGGATGCGGTCTAGTCTCACGTTTTCCACAACCCAGGCGGGCCAGACGAACCTTCGACCCGGCCCCATAGAAGCCCCTCAATGGTGCATCGTCGTTGCTCTGCACTGTGCACGCCTCTTTCGCCACTGCCCGTCGCTTCATTTACTGCTCTTGCCTCGTAATTTTATGCCGCACGTCGCATGTGCACACTCGACTTCTCCGTCATTCCCCATTACATGAACTGCGTTGGTGACATCGCATCACGGCTAAATGCTGATCACCCAGTCAGAACACAGTCCGTCAGCCGAGTTACGGCAGTGCTCCAAGGAGCTCGCGTGGGAGTCGGGGATCTAGCCTGGTTTGTCATGGGCACCCCAGACGTGCCGCCGCCAGAAGACGCTCGTTCCAGGGGCATTAGATAATGGCCGGCGGGCTGCAAAAACAAGGCATCCGAAGCGAGTCATCAGCTTAGCGTCATTGCGCAACAGAGCAGAAAAGAAAGGGAAAAAAAGAAATCGGTACGAAGAAAAAGTCCATGTCTTGGTCAGCTACATTCACCAGATATGCATGGCATCGTAACGCCATCTGACGCCTCGTGTGTGATCATCATCCTGCCTCTCAGGAATCTGTTGCCTGCCCATGCTCCATGGCCCCATGCAGAAATGCTCGAAACTGTCTCGCCAACGCCCACGCTGCCCTCAACGCAAAGCACTTTTCTAACCTCGCGGCTCGGGAACCACCATATCTTCGCCTGCCACGATTCCAGCACTTCCAGCGTCAGCAGAACCATTCAGTAACGAGACGACGGAAATGACGTCGGAAGGCTCCACGAGATGCCAGCTGGCCAGTGTCTGCTTGGAACTGGCGCCGACCGTCACCGAGAAGACGTGATCTGTTGGCAACTTGGACTGTCGCAGCGAGCGGAACATATCTGGAAATATCAGTTTGTGCTCTCACTTGTCGCCTACCAATACGTACCTTCATCTGTAAAATCATCACCCAAGCATAGAACAAACTCGGGTGGCTCTTCGCCGTACTCAAGCACAAGCCTCTTTGCAATCTCGCCCTTGTTGACGAATCTAGGGCGGACTTCGAGGTTGGCCTTGCCCGTCATGACCTCGACATCGTATTTCTTTGCCACAGTCCTCTCCAACTGCTTTTGGCATTCACGTGCCTGGAACGCACCGTATTCTGGGTCAGCTCTGCGATAATGCCACGTAAGAGCAATCTTCTTGCGTTCGATGAATGACCCTGCTTCGTATTAGCTTTGTTGAATCACCTGTGCGGGAAACCCATGTTACCTTGCGTTCTCTCGGTGTAGTGCTGGAAGACGTCGATGACTTCAGACTGCCAGCTCATATCTTCCTTCTCCGTTAGGTTCTCCCAGTCTTCGCTTCGTGGATTTCGCATGAAGCTGCCGTGCTCAGCACTTAGACCAAGTTCGGAGATGTGACCCATCCATTCGTCCAAGAATGCCTGATCCCTGCCACTAATGATCCAAACCGAGTTGTTAGGGTCTGCTGCCAAAGTCTTCAAGGTGCGGATGACCCTATCGGAGGGAATAGCCGACTGGGGATCTTTGACAATCGGAGTCAAAGTACCGTCGTAGTCAAACATGAAGAGTCGTTTCTTCGCCTGTCGGTACTGGTAAAGCAGTTTGGCCCGGTCCAATGCCGGCGTGGCAAAGGATTGATCAAAAGAAGACAAATTAGTCATGAGCCTCTTCAAGTAGTTGTTGGTCCAGGATTGCACGTTGTTGGCAACGACATGCGCGTAAAGCTTCTCGTGCTGATTCTTACGCTCTTCCGGGCTCATCTTCAAAGCCTCGTTGATAGCTTCAGCGACGCCGCCCAGGTCCCAAGGGTTGATGTGTGACGCTCCAACAAGAGACCCTGCAGTACCTGAGAACTCGGAAAGAATCAGAGGACCATGGTTGTCCTTTTGGCAAATCACGTACTCCATACTCGTTGTGCTCATACCATCACGGACACTGGTGATAAGCCCAATATCCGCAATTCGTAGCAACGCGAAGTACTCCTCTCGAGATAGGTACTGTGGGAAGTGGCGAACGGGGGTGAAATCGAGAGAGCCATAGACACCGTTGATTCTAGCTGCAATGTCCGAGATGCTATTAACGATCTTCTCCTGTGCACCGTCGCCTTTGTCGGTGTGAGCACCACTGGGACTTGTGACCTGGATCAGCACGACCTTGTCTTTCCACTCGGGGTATTTCTTGAATAGCTGCTCGAAAGCCTGAAGCTTTTGAACAACTCCTCGAACAGCGTCAAGCCTGTCACGGCCGACAATGATCTTTTTGCCCTGGTACATCTCACGGATACCGTTGATTCGTTCCTGAATCTCCGGATCGCCAAAGGCTTGCCGCTGAGTCGAAGCTGCGTTGATGCCAATGGGGAAGACATCCACTGCAACATGGGCTCCATAGGCATCAACACCCGCGGAAGAGGAATCGAAGCCGAGGATCCTTGTGCAACAGGAGGAGAAGTGTCGCGAATAGCTGTAGGATTGGAAGCCGAGCATGTTCGCGCCCAACACACCTTCCAAGATCTCCTTGCGCCTGCTGAGACATCTATAGAACTCGCTGCTAGGGAAGGGGACATGGAGGAAGAAGCCAATGTAGATGTTCGGCTGACGCTGTCGGAGCAAGCTTGGGAGTAGTAGCAAGTAGAAATCGTGCACCATAATAATGTCGCCGGGGTTGTAGATTTCGAGTATTCTGTCTGCAAAGAGCTTGTTCAAACGATAGTAGTCTGCCCACGACTTCCGGGCAGCATGGCCGTCATCTGGTTCGTTTTGCTTGTAGTGGAACAGAGTGTAGAGCTCGTGCTCTGCGTAGTCTCGCCAGCGCTTCTGGTCTTTGACGACGTATTCGTCTTTGCCATCGTCGACCTCATCTACCAGCCACACGGGCACGATCTTGCCTCCATGGTCGCGTTCGAGCTGTGTCTCAAGTCGCTCCCGGTCTTCACGTCCGATGCGAATACCGGCTGGTTGTTGAGGTACATGGACAGGTTTCTTGGGGTCGACTGGGATTGGGGCGGCAGCTTTGTTCGTTGGAATCTGAGTGGTATCCTGAGCGGCTGCCTGTGCGCTTGTAATCTCGCCTGTCCAGCCCACGAGCGTGTGGTTCCAGGGAGACGAAGAAGAGGCCAGATAAGAGAAGGAGTCGAACAAGGCAGATGTTCCCCGTCGTGGATTCAACTCCCACACGTTGCCGGGAGAGTGTGCAACGTTGTAAGGAATAGCGAATGTAGCACTGATTATCCGGCCGCTGAGGTTGAGTGCAGGATGCGCAGCACGGGGGTCCACGTCTGCAAGATCGGGTTTAGTGGAGGGACTGGGTATGTCGTTTGACTGCTCCGCAGGTTGTTTTGCAGACCGAGCCTCAGTTGGGGTGGCTGCCCCGTCAACCCTCTGCTGATTCGCAAAGTATGAGTTGGCGCTCCACGAGGGCCCAGGTGTAGCCGTCTCCGGGTCGAAAGGCAGCTGCGTGTTCCTGCCGTCTGCAGTGGGCTCAAAGTAGGCCGAATGACCTGTCAAGTGCACGCCGGGCGTGACGGGCACGTTGGTGATGGAGGGGTCGAGCGCGGGGTGATCGCTGTTACGGGGTTCGAAAGCTGCTTTGGAAGCACCCGACTCGGCATTGGTTGGAGGCGCCATGATGTACACACAGCCGTCTTGCGCGTCGCGCTGTATTTCGTTAGAAGGTGGTAGGCTCACGGAGCAGCGGTAGTGATAAAGACGGTGTAGGTGATTGGCAAGCAGCACGACACCGGGGAGTCGGTGACCAGGCAACGCGACACGAAGCTTGTAAACTCACCTGGGGGCTTAGGTAGTGATGCCTGATTGTGTCTGGTGAAGGAAAGAGCGTGTGTGAGCTGTGCCTTCCACAATTGTAGTGCCCCACGCAGAGTGTCTCACAAGAACGGTGAGTGAGTGTCGAAGCAAAGAGCGACCGGCAGATGGCGGGGGCTAGAGGCTGGAGAAGCTTGTACGAGCGTAGTGGATTTAGTGGTGGTGACCCCGGGGAAGCAACAAGGAGGAAGAAAAGCTATCTTGGTGGGCTACTTCACATCCCACTTGCTTCTGATGTCAGGGCGGGACTAGGCCCATGCACTGCGACGCAGCAAGAAACAACCATAGAGACATGACCCACTGCTTATTCCGCCTGTGGAGCGACTTGTGTTATCGTCACAGTTCCTGAAGACCATGGAATACACAAGCCTTGCTGCACATCAGCAATCAAGATATGGCGCACGCGGTGGGGCTCTGTGAACCGATTCGATGGTATGCGTTCTGGTAATCTCAAGCCACTTGCAATTTACAGCTAGACGGACCGTCAACCTCACAAGCATATCTCTCAACATTTGTTTCAAGATATGGGAAAGCAATAGAAGTAAGAATAGCCCGCGGGGGTGTCTAGACTAGTCGACGATCACGTGCCATTCTCGAGATCTTCGTCCAAACTTCGCGACGCCAGCGACAGCACCAATCCCACTTCTGGCCCTGTTCTTGCCGCGAGTCGTCATCACCACGGACCTCTCATGCAGCCCTTGCGCAACCGACTCATATGTCGCGCCCATAATCGCTTCTCGCCCTCCATTGCCCTGTGGCAGCACTTTGTCGCACCCAGCCGCCCACTTCTCCTCCAGCAGCGCCTCTCGTCCTCCACAACCGAAGCTACACAAGACAATGGGACTCAAGACGTTGGGGGTATTGGCTCTCAAGAGGCGATCAAGATCAACAAATCGGGTGCCGAGTCTGGAGGGGAGGGACAGCAAGAGGGCAGGATCGATAAACAACCCCAACTGAAGATTAAGAAGAAAAAAACTCAAAAGGGCAAATGGTTTCCCACTCCAGTAGAGGCATCCATAGCCAAAAATATCCAGAAATCTATCGACAAGGGACCCGCCGAACACCGGGAGATGCTTGCTACTGCGAGAGCCGCATTCAACCAAGCCGAGGACTATGAGGGTGTTGTTGTGAAGCCCATATTCCATCCTAAACCTGTCTGGGAGAAGGCGCTACCTTGGTGTGTCAGTGAAGAGGAGATGCAATTGGATGGGATTGAAAGGTACACATACTCTCCAAGGCAAATAGAAATACGCACTGACTCTGGTACGACAGGCTGGCTATCGAGATCCCAAAATTCCACGAATATGTGACACCGAGCAAAATGCAGAAAGTCGCTCGGAAACACGTCATCAAACGGGTTGAAAAACACGTCCAATACATTCTCCCAAAACACACTCTCGAGGTGTTTGGTTCGGAGAGGACGGGCTTGGCTCTGGCTACATCAGACATCGATCTTCGATTGATATCGCCAGGGCAAGATAGGACTGCTGAAGCGGCCAATTTTCCACCCGTGCCTACTGTACGAACAGAGTTGCGGGAAGATCTACAGAAACTATACCGACGAAGTCTGCAAAAACACAAGTCGTACATATTACCTTCGATCCGCTGGGCGCGTTACCCTTTGATATCCCTACAAGATCTGAGGTCCGGCCTGGATGTGCAGATTGTGTTGTCAAACGATACGTCGGCCTCGAGGAAGATCATGCAAGAGTACATGAACGAGTATCCATACCTCGCGCAACTGCACACTCTGATAAAGACCATGTTCGATCTCCGAGGCCTCTCAGACGTTTTCCGAGGAGGCTTTGGGTCCTACTCGCTTTTCATGATGATTGTAGCCAGCCTTAAACACAGCCCGCATCCGCGCAACGATGCCGCAGGAGGTTTCATGAACTTCCTCAAATTCTACAGCGACTTCGACACTACGAAGAAGGGCATCTCCATCGATCCCGTCATGCTATTCGACAAGGTAGCCGATGCCCCCTTGACCGGCACAACCAAAGCCAAGCTCCAGGTGACCCATACCCCCTTCCACGATCCCCACCTCTTCAAACTAACAACCACCCAGGAAGGACTCAACAAACCCCTCCCGAACTACATGCTCAGCCTGCGTGACCCCGCCGACGAGACAAACGACCTCGGTCGCAAAGGCATAGCAATCAAGCATGTCCAAGCGACCATCAAATCTCTGTCCCGCCAGCTCCTGCACGACATAGGTCACAATAACCGGTTCAGCATACTAGCCCCCCACGTGGGCCCCTGCTTCAGGCTCAACGAAGGCCGTCACGCTAAACTCGAGACATTCGGCACCTTCCTCTGGGAGAAGATAAAGATTCGACTCGATGAAACAGCCAAAGTAGTACGAGAGGCCGAGAAGACAACACGAATGGCCAATCAGATCAAACGAAAGGCCGATCAGGCAAAACGAGAGGACGGTATTGAACAACCGCAGGCAGAGCTGGAGGAAAGAGCCGCGGCCAAGTCTGCATCCGTGCAACAGGAGGCTGTTGCTGAGGAAGTCGACTTGACGGAAGAGCCAGAGCCGATTGTCGATACGTCTGCCGAAGGGGCAAAAGAGTCGAGCAGTGTATGATAAGGACGACTTGGTGCAATGCATTGGCACAGCATGCTGGAGGCGCGTCTAGGGCACCTTGTTGGATGGACATGTATGCACATTTTGAGATGGCTACAGGCTTGGCCAGGAAAAAGGGTGTACTCCTACCGTTGTAAAGTATATTGCAGAGGCAAACCATGTATATGTTATCGAATGAAACGACGCATCAGTGGAACCGACCAACGACACGTGATAAGACACTGCATGTAAATCACTTTCCTGGTGGTACAAGATGGTCAGTAGTTAGTGAATATCAGACATCAAAACCATCAATCCAAAATAGAGAAGGAACGAGTCTGCCGAGGTAAAAGTGGTGATAGGCACTATGAACCCCATCCGGCATGCATGCCGAAACGCGCAAGGAAAACTCCATCAACCCGCCATGCCATAAGAAGTGTGTTCTTGATATTCATCATGCGACGGTCATGGGATGCCGTCATGAGCCGTAAAGAAACTACCGCCACCAAACTAGACTACCCCTAGATGGCATACTTCCGGGTCCACTCGCGAGCCGTCGATTCGTACCTGGATCGGTCGGTCTTGTAGACATGTGCGATCTCGGGGACGAGCGGGTCGTCGGGGTTCGGGTCTGTTAGCATCGAGCAAATGCTCAATAGCACTGCATTTGGTTAGTTTTCACGTCTCTCTCGAGGAGTCGTGGCCATGCGTACCCTTTGAGATGGTCAGAGCCGGGCTCCACTGGTCTCGCAGAATGTCCAAGCAAATGCTGCCGTTGGAGTTGATATTGGGGTGGTAGATGCGGGTGGTGAAGTTGACCTTCGGGGGCTTGAAGGGGTAGTCGGTAGGGAAGTGGATCGCGAGGAAGAAGACACCGCCGGAATATGGAGAGTCGCTCTGTTGGGCGTGTTAGTCTCTGCTTGCGTGCACGGTCAAGGACAAGGCCGGGTGCCAGGTGACAGGCGGATGTGAGATGTACGTACGGGACCCATGATGGTCGCTTGCCAGTGGAACTATGGCGCCGTCAGTCAGCACATGTCTTCGTGATGCATCTGCGCGGCCATGTTGGCCGAGTTGCCTCAGCCGCGCGAGTCTTCCCGGGGTGACGTACCAGATCATCTCCAATCGGGCCAGCTGAGCAGGAAGAGGGAGGGTCACTGCGAGTACCAAGTTAGCCAGACGTCCCCAGAAGCGTCGTGTTGCGAGGCTGCGATGCGGTGCCCGTATCACAGCGCCCCGCATCCGTATCCTGTCATGCGAGCACCCTCGCCGTCGGGAAGAAGAGGGCGACGTACCGGCCGAGGTCGGTGAGTTCCTTGTTGATGCGCTTGAGAGCCATGGCGACGTGTGTGTGTGTGGTTGTGGTTGTGGTGGTGTGGCGGGTGGTGGAGAGGTCGAAGAGCGGGTATGCGTTGAAGATTGTGGCAGTGGAGAGTCGAAGTGGGATGGCCCTGTTGGCGGTTAGCGCTGTTGGCTGGGCTGGAAACAAGCAGGTGCGGCGTGTCGGCGGGAAGAGCGCCCTTGCCGGCAACATACCAGCGAGTAGTACCCAGATGGCGAGAACAAGCAACCGAGAGAGTGTTTGCGAGTGTGCGAGTGCAGTGTCAAGAGGAAGAGGTGGAGGTGGAGCAGCACAGTGTGGTTTTATCGTCCATCGAACCTCGCCCTGCCACTGCCTGGAAAATTATTCACCGACAGACGCTTCTTCCCCAGCAATGCCTGATGACATGTGGCGACCTATAGAACCTCGCAGAATACCTGTTCCAACACTGCTGACATTCACATTTGCTTGTATTTCTCAGAGCTTCACAAGTATTGGTCACTGTGTGTCATGTCGAGGTGGCTTGCATTGCAGTCGATTGTGGAACTCTCGACGTTTGTGCTACGTTTGGGCTGCGCATGTCTTCTCTAATTTCATTCTAATGCATGCACAACACCGGTTAAGGGCGCATACGGTGAAGGCCAAACACGTGCTTGATTCTGTATTGTACTGCGCTTCATAGTCGTACAACAACAGCATCCCTGATCAAGACATATGCCATGTCTGACTTCACCATATCCTTCAGCAATCAGCAGAACGCTTGGAGACCCGTGATTGCGCGCCCGAGAATCAAAGCTACGTAATGTTAGTTAAGTCAAAGAGGCACACAAATTGGACACTCACAGTGGATATCGCTTTGGCCCTCGTAGGTCTGGGTCACAAACAGATTCGCCACATGCCTCCCAATGCCGTACTCATCCGAGACAGCGTTTCCACCAAACACTTCTTGGAGCCTGATCCAGGTCAGCTAACGCAAATGTACACAAACACGACTTGACTCACGTTCGAGCGTTGATCAATGCCCGGTCACAGTTCTGCCTCTTGATCATGGAGACCATCTCTGGGGAAGCCTTGCCCTCGTCCTTTAGCCTTCCCACCTGGCAGGCAGCCAGGATTCCGTACGCAGCGTCGGTGGTCGCATCTGCCAGCTTCTTCTGCACAAGCTGGTACTTAGCAATCGGATTGTTCTTGAACTGTTTCCTGTTCAAAGTGTAATCGCGTGCCCTGGAAATACAGTCCTCCAAAGCGCCAATGGTGCCCCAAGCAATGCCATATCTTGCCGAGTTCAAGCAACTGAATGGTCCCCGCAAGCCCTCAACATCTGGAAACATGTTTGCCTCTGAGACGGGGCACTCGTCGAGATGAATCATTCCAGTCAGGGAAGCTCGCAGTCCGTTCTTGTTCTTGATTGGTGGGGTTTCGAGAGTACCTGGCGGGCACTGATCTCGTTCGATGACGAAGCCACGAATCTTCCCTGTGCTTTGCAGCTTCGCCCAGACGAGGAGAACATCTGCAATGGGGGAGTTTGTGATCCAAGTCTTGGAGCCAGAGAGTGAGTAGTATCCTTTTTTGGTTGGGTGAGGTTTTGCTGTTGTCTCCAACGAGCCTGGATCTGATCCGTGATTTGGCTCAGTAAGACCAAAACACCCTAGTAGCTTACCCTTGGCCATCTTTGGCAGGAGTCGCTCCTTGAGCTCCTCTGTTCCAAACTCTTCGATACCTCCCATGGCAAGAGAGCTTTGTACTGAATAGCCGGACCGGTATCCCGAGTCTACCCTCTCTACTGCCCTTGTGATCAGACCAGAAGCTACGCTACTTACGCCTGCACATTCATAGCCCTGGATCGTTGAGCCTAGCAGACCCAATTCACCCATCTCTTCAATGATTTTCCTGTCGAAATTCTCATTGCGATATGCCTCTGCAGTACAAGGTCAGAGGAGAGTTATGATGAATTGGTTGACTCCGTACCTAGCACCCTTGGAAGCATACGCTCCTGGCAGTATGATTCTGCTGTCTCGGAAATTGCCAGTTCCTCCTCAGTGAATAAGTTCTTTGCGTTCAACGGGTCTTGCCAATCGAAAGCAACAGGAGCATGCATGTGCCGCCTCCCAATAACCACGGGACGAGTCGTGGCGGTCATGTGCCTTCCGGCGTGTCTGCAAAAAGGTCGAAGCATCTTGGCACAGTGTTCTTAAATCCGACGGATCTTTAAAGGGACGTGTAGAAAAGGATTGATGTCCGGAGAGAAAATACCCAAGGAAGACATAAGGCTACCCCACAGTTTGAAGCCGCGGTTCGGCACACGTCTGCAGTGGCAACCGATCAACTATGATACAATCATCCAGCAATAGCCGACTTTGACGCTTCGAGATATACATGCTCGATTGAGTAAGGCGGAGTTGCTCTCCGTGACGGTCATCTCTTTGCCTCTTTGGGTTCACTTCCAAATGGGTGCGTGGAGCTGCACCGTTGCCAAGACACAGGACCGTGATTGCGCGTGATCCCTGCACGCGTTCGAGACGTGACGTTCTCCAGCCTCCACCATCGCTGCCTGCACTCTTGCTCTGCACGCGCATTCGCACGCGACCCCTTTTGCAACCACTCTACAGAACCAAGTCAGTCACGGCGTCAAGATGGGTATCAAGCACCTCTTCCAGCTCATCGAGGAGCATTCCCCGGAGGCTGTCAAGAAGGGCGAGATCAAGAACCAGTTCGGTCGCAAAGTTGCCATTGTAAGTGTGCTAACTCTCCATGGGCTGTACAGCCTGCTAACTGATCCAGGATGCGTATGCTTGCCCTCAATTCCAAACCATGTCTCCCAACTCACCACGTCCAGGTCGATGAGTATCTACAGCTTTCTCATCGCCGTGCGCTCCGGCGGTGAGCAGCTCATGAACGAGACGGGTGAGACCACATCCCATCTCATGGGCCTCTTCTACCGTACACTGCGCATGGTGGACAACGGCATCAAGCCCCTCTACGTTTTCGATGGCGCCCCACCAAAGCTCAAGTCGGGCGAGCTCGCGAAACGATTTCAGCGCAAGACCGAAGCGCAGGCCGCCGCCGAGGAGGCCAAGGAGACGGGCACAGCAGAAGATGTGGAGAAGTTCTCGCGACGGACGGTCAGGGTGACGAGGGAGCACAACGAGGAGTGCAGACGCTTGCTCACCCTCATGGGCATCCCGTTCATTGTCGCGCCGACCGAGGCCGAGGCTCAGTGTGCGGTGCTTGCGCGGGGAGGCAAGGTGTATGCTGCCGCGTCTGAGGACATGGACACATTGACCTTCAACACGCCCATCTTGCTGCGCCACCTTACATTCAGCGAGCAGCGCAAGGAGCCAATTCTAGAGATCCACCTGGACAAAGTGCTCGAGGGATTGAGCATGGAGCGAGAACAGGTACATATACCTACCAGCCATCACACCATACTGTGCATGAGCACTAACCACACCTCCAGTTCATCGACCTCTGCATCCTCCTCGGCTGCGACTACCTCGACCCCATAAAAGGCATCGGCCCCTCCACCGCCCTCAAACTCATCCGCGAGCACACCAACCTCGAAGGCGTAGTCGCCCACATGCGCGCCAACGAAAAGAAGTACGCCATCCCCGAAGACTGGCCCTTTGCCGATGCCCGCGCCCTCTTCCTCGAACCTGACGTGCGGCCCGCCGACGCTCCAGAATGCGACTTCAAATGGGAGGCACCAGACGTTGAGGGGCTAGTCAAGTTCCTCGTGGAGGAGAAGCACTTCAACGAGGACCGTGTCCGCAACGGCGCGGCGAAACTACAGAAGAACATGAAGACGGCGCAGCAGAGTCGCCTCGAGGGGTTCTTCAAGCCCGTGGAGAAGTCGGCCGATGAGAAGGCCAGCCTCAAGCGCAAGGCAGAGCAGAAGCTCGACGAGAAGAAGAAGAAACAAAAGCAGAATGCAAAGGACAAGAAGCAGGCCAAGGCGAAGCCCAGGGGTTAGTCGATGGGCGAGGTTGAGAATTTGGGTTTGGCGCACTCTTTCACATGGGATGGTTTGCTAGGGGTTTCAACGGCGTTGCACACATACCTGTGGTAACGGTCTACATCTGATACATGGCGTCTTTTCACTTTGCTGTGTAAGTTTGCGGGGGTTTGTACTAGGAAGGAGTCTGTCTACGCGTAGAAGGTTACCTCCGAGATAGTCAAACCCGCCGCCGCGGTCGAGGCTATCTACTCATGTCATGATACCACTACGATAGTCAAACAACATACTATTGGTGATCACACACTGCGGTTTCTACATGTTCAGCACATGCTTCCCCATCCTACTCGCCCGTAGCATAGTATTGAATTGCAGGATTGCTGCAGTCGCAGGTGCTACATGGGATGTGTGTGCGCGCACACGCGTGGGATGGGCAGGTAGTTTAACCTAGTTGATGTTGATACTCTATCTACATCTTGAATTGTTATCACAAGGGCGTAATCGCCTAAGCACAGCGGTATGTAACACCCCACGCAGCGGTGATTGTGTCGAGCTGGACTTGCACTATCTGATATCCGGGGAAGACAACACGGGTAGGGTTTCTCCGTCTTTGATGCTTGCACCGAGACATGACCATGCCGTTGATCAAACCCTAGCCTTGCAGACAACCATCTGTATACTTCACGACGTACGGAAAGCACCAACCTAAGATTTCCATACAGTGTCTAATCAACATCAACATCAACACCTTATCCACACGGGTCATGCAACACGCGCCAAATCCCGTATCACCAGTCATGAGACGACAACGACAAGGACGACCGACGAAACGGCTCCCTCCTGACACACGCAGCCGCTAAAGAATCCCGAAGAACTGGCGGTGCTAGGTACATACAAGACAAGTCTTCCCCTACTCTATCCTAGTTTAGCAAACAAGGGCAATCCCCATGCAGCCACGTCAAACGACGATCTCTCGACGATCGCAACATCTCGAACCCTCAACTTCTGCTCGTGCGCGCGCCGATCAGCATGGGAATCCAACATGCGCGCCAAATTCAGTAAGTCAAGTGATCTTCGAACTTTTGGGGAGGGAGGGGTCGTCGAATTTCGGCATCCCGGTCGGAGTACTGTCCATAACTCTAACGGAACCAAAAATCTTGCACACCGGACGGCTGTCCCCACTGAATGGGCTTTCCGGTGAGAGTAGAAGCTAATTAATATATATTTTGGGCGTTGACGCAAAGAGACGTAAATGCAGCGTCATACCCACCCTGAACCGGCATGGAACTCTGTTCAGAAACGAAACGTGGGGCTTTGTTTCCTTCGATAACCTACGTGATGCTTGTCTCGCGCATTAGAGCGGTGGCCCTAGCTTGCTTCCGCCTCATTTAAAGGGATAGTGGAAAGCTTCCCAAGGCGGAAATAAATATGGATACAACAAGTGAGACGACCAAACAAAGTAGCTAGGACGTAATATAAACTTTCATGACTTTATTTTGCTCCCTAATGTCCTTGGGCGGGCTAAACGAAACCCTATCACTATGAACGATGCGGATAGCGGGTGAGACGGCCGATCGGATAACTTTCTCCATCATCGACCATGCTGATTCGTCGCAGTGGCGTTGGCACGGAACATGCCAGAAACTGTGTTCTGAGTTTGTGTCGCAAGCTTAAGGGGTGAGAAGCGGGATTCTGGTAGGCGCCGGTTTGCCTTTACACATTCAAGGACCCTGCATATGTCAGCGCTGTGTGGCGGTGCATGGATAGGTAGGTGTCGGTGTGACAACGTCGTGTATTGAAGCAAGTGAGGCGCATCGCATACCATTCAGCAGTCACAAACTTGACCGCTTTGCCGCCGCTTCTTGCAATCTCTTTTTGAATCTTGCTGGCAGCTAAGCCGCCGCCGGCACCGCCGTGCGCGTTCGCCGTGCCTAGGATGACGTGCGTGACTGATCGTCGGCCCAGTGCGATTGAATATCTGGCACCGTGTGATGCTAGAATATGCTTCATCTTATGGTCTGACACTAATGGAGCCGTCGAACCGTTGATATGGAAACAGAGTCCATCGAATACGTGCTTGTCAGAAGGTTTCGACGCGGAGTCGAGGATGTCGCCATGGGGTGTAGAACTAGGTTCTGATGTATTGTCAGCTTGTGAGTTTAAAGTAAAAGTACACAAGCACGAATTAGAAATCACATGTTATTTGGAAAGCTTCTGCAAAGCAGGTTTACAGCTTCTACAGCGGTTGGTTAGATAGGCGAACGTACCTTTGTCCTGCTGCACACTCTCTTCTGTGTGTATCCGGCGCGCTTCGGTCACTGATTCTTTCACCTGTGACAGTTTCTTGTTCGCCTTACTCGCTCCCCATGCCTCCACTAGACTTGCTTGACCATTTGTCCTCAAGCCTTTGGCACCCTTCTCCCACCCGCCATCAGCTCTACGCCCATCTTTGCCAAAGTCCTGACTGCCTGCACCAACTGTATCCGTAACTCTTGTCCGTCCTCCAGTAAGACCGCCTTTATGCTGCTCACTGAGCTTCAGGTTGCGTGATGTACGCCAGGATGTCGATCCTGAGAGACGGTTCTCTGCACGCTGGTGTCCGGTAGAACTGCTGTTCCATGGATCAAAAAACTTCCGGGCTGTTTGTGCTGTGATAGGTGTAGGGTCTCGAGACGCGGTTTGGTGGTTCGAGGCGGGGGCGTTTGTGGTGACCATGTTGGATATTAGTGGCGCTGCACCGATCTGCGTTATGCTCTGGTTAGTGGACTGGCTGAATGCTATAGACGATGCAGATCGATGCGAATCGACAGTCTAACGTCTGCGCCTCAAATGAGACAATAGACCAGTGGCTTTTGTGCCTCTACGTCAAGAACACTGCATCGACATGTCCACGACGTCCGTTCGCGGCAGATAGTGAATACAGCATAGTTTGACGACTACCGGCACAGCAGCGTGGGGAACAGCGCATCTCATACCTCGCGACTACTCAAGGTCTATGGATGAGTTGGGGTGTAGAGCGAAAACTGCTCTGTGGCTTGCGCGACGGAACTGACACTGCCAAGGCCGTCAGAACGCGTAGTCCCGTGATGTCCATGGTTTGCGTTACTCGGTTATCTCTAACATCGGAAGGCGCATGTTGAAGCCCAACCAACGGGTACAGCTCTGTCAGGCACGCATCGCGTTTGAAGATCTTCTTACAATACGGTCTAGACTAAACACTGGCGCATGCAAACTAAACACTACGGAAATACGCGCAGCTGAGCATGTCACTCAACACTTCACAATCAGGTCGCCGTTCTCAAGATGTGACATGCAACTTGATTGCATTTATAAATTATCGGGAAACTGCGCATGCACGCACACACGTTTCCCGTTAGCTGTCTGTAACCTGCAGAAAGAAAAAGTAAATCCCCAACCCCAGACACCGCGACTCCCAGCGCCTGTACCCATGCGTCCCAATCCTAAAAACATCCCATAATCACTTCCCATATGGTATAGAACATGCAAAGCTAAGCAGACATGACATGGGGATGAAACCAATGGTTTTCCGACCCGCAAAAGTGCCGACTCTGAAAGAGAAAAAACGCCCGCTGAATAGGAAGAAGTACTGTGGCCGGACTTGGAAAAGTCGGGTCCAGAATGAGACTGGCAACATGATAGAAAGAACAAGCATGTAAAGAAGAAAGGGAAACTGCGTCCGGATCTATCTCCGTGGCGTCTGGCCATTTTGTCTTCGTTGCGAAACTGCGCAACGGCAGTGGTGCCGAAGACTTCTTTTTTCCTTCCGTCCATGCATGAATTATCGTAAATCTGCGTTCCGAGACGGCGATATTGGCCCGCAATAAAAAAGTAAATTCGTTGGTCGTCATTCGTAACATCGAACCGCCTCCTTCGCACAACACGTCGGCGTGTTGTCTCTTTTTGTTTCACCCGCTCTTGTTGATCGAAGCGTCGTACATCTGACGGTGCTTCTTCATTTCTTTGGGGTTGAAGGCAGCGACATCGCTGCCTTTTCGGCTTACTAAAGATACCGAACTGCCGTTGCCGCGTAGACGCAGGCTGGCTAATGATCGGGCTTTCTTGAGTGCTTTGACCTTGTTGTCGGAAGATTGGGGTTGGTGATCGGCAGTGGTATCCTGGTTGATTTGGATGATTTCGTCTACTTCTGGCCTCGGCTTGACTCGCATGCGCTTGAACTCGCGGGTTATCCTCTCAATTGTGCTGAGACCCTTGGGAGCAGGTGCATAGATGGTTGGCGGCTCGGGCATTGGCGTCTCGTGCAAGCTCGAGTTGACGCTTGGTCGACGTTCTGATCCGAAGCTCACACCAGAGTCAGTCTTCTTGCCTTTCCTGGGTTCTTCCGCATAGCCCCGGAATGACTCCGGACCTGTCGTGGCCAAGCAATCGTCGATCATGTTCTTGGCTACTCTCAGGTACTTGTCGACTGACCTCTGTACAGCTGGCCAACCGGTCTCCTCATCTCCGGCTTTGTGCAAGTTGACAACCTGCTCAAGGACGGAAGGGCCTTTCTTCTGCACTTCGCGAATGTAGTCGAAGAACGCGTCTCGCTCATCTTTCAGCATCTCATGGCTCAACATGGGCGACTGAAGTTTTGCTGACGATTGCATAGGAGGCAACAGGGTGTTAAGCATGCCCACGCAGTTGAGCTTGTTGAAAGGCTGTATTGACAGCTCGTTGATCATGATCTGTTCCGAGATAGTTAGTACGTGTGTGGCATAATAGTAGACAAGATGGCTTACCCATCGTCGCAGTCCAAGGTACAGCTGAGCGTAGTAACCCTCAGCCTTCTTGTTTTTGCCTTCTACGTTTCGGACCCAAAGAGCGATGCCCGGGAATCGCTCAGCCATGTTCTCGATGTCGGACTCATATGTGTCTGCGTGAATGTGGACTCTCTCGAAGGCGGCGACCATTTCCCTGCGCCTCCTGTTCTCCAAGTCCCGCAGGTAGTCGAGAGATGTTAGTGCTTGAGGGAAGTCGACGAGCGCAAGGGAGGCGTGGAAGCACCGGCCAACAAAGTTGACGATGAAGGTTGGCGGTAACGAGCTAGGTTGTGTGGGCAGCGAGTTGAGGTGGGTCATGAGCTGCGACGTGAAGCTGACACTGGCAGACTCGGCGCCAGTCCAAGCCAAGCTCCCATCAACTGGCGAAGAGTCGCCAGAGCTGCTGGTGGGTGTTGGCGCGCGTGAAAGATCCTTGGGGAGAGGCTGGGCTCGCGGTACGCAGTTGAGTGTGTACATGGTCCGTAATGGGATCTCGTAGCTGGCTGGGTACTGTAATACGTGCTCGAGAATGTAGGACATTGACGTGGCAGTCGTGTCGTCCGACCCATTGCGGGAATGTGTCGAAGACATCGTCGCGATGTTGGTTGTGGGAAGTTGGGGTGTGGTTTGTTGTGACGGTGTTGGGGTAACGCCGCTAAGCTTGAAGCAGCCCGTGCCACAATACAGCAGAGAGAGACAACAGATGCGGTTGGAAAGGTGCTTCAGACAGGCCTGGTTTTCGAAAAAGGTGGAGGTTGAAGAGATGATAAACAGTCCGTGAGTTGCAGTGCACGCGAATGAGCGTGGGGTTGCTGGGATGCCAGTGGATTAGGGAAAGACAGAGGGCGTGACGGAGCGGCAGATGCCAGAAGCGAGAAAAAGGAAGAGCAAGTGTGAAACTGCCGTGTGAAATGCAATGGCTCTTGTCGCGTTCAAGTCGAGTCTGGTCGGGTGGGTGGTTGCGGACAGTTCGAGACGACGATCCCGGTCTGGCGTCCGGTTTGGGAATGGCAACAAACGCAGTGGGAGCTTGGGCAAGGTAGACCAAAGGAGGGGCACACGCAGCCGAGGGTGGCGACGTCAATTGCTGGTACAGAAGAAAAAGACAAAAGGCAGTCGCGGGCGGAATTCGGGGTGGTGAGGTTCTGAAGAGGAGTCGAGGAGGGTAAGCTGTGGGCTCGAAGGATTTTCTTCTGGACAAATGGTCTTCAAATCGGCGCCACACACTTGCAATCAACCGTAACGCGACGACCGCGCGCGGACCAGCGCAGGGATTATGAACCATGTGAAGCGTGGCAGGGGACGGGGAACGGGATTAGCGTTAGTGGACACGGGGAGTCTGGGATGGCTTCTTAGGCGTTGCTAGCGCGGCCTCTTTCTGCCCGCCTGCAGCTTCGAGAGACGTCGAAGCCGAAGCCGAAGCCCCGGTGCAGCTCAGGCACACCCATGACGATGTAGTTGGGGCATGGGGGCAGTCGTTTCTCATGATTCAGGCCTCGTCTCGTGCGATTCAGCCATTGTTTCCATGCGCCAGGAGTGCGGCCCTTCTGCCCTGAGGCTCTCATAAACGCGCCCTGCGTCTCCTGACACTCCGTTCTGGCCCTCGCAGAGCAGTACCGTGGTTCAGGCCGCGTGTCGGATATTATCACGGCCTAGCACCAGCTGAAAGTCACGTTCTTACGCAACTACTGTTCTTCGTCTCCACGCGAACTCTGGCCTTAGCTCCCACGCTGTTCGCACTTGCAAATTCGACGGCACCACTGGGCTACCCACCGGCACCGGTGCCATGACCGCAATACTGGAAGCCTCCGCAGTTTCTCCTGACCATTATCTGGACCTGCAGGCTAGCACCTACAGTGGAGAAGTGCGAAAAGGCACAGTAGCCCACCACTAACGGCTCAGGGAATCTCAATCTCGGCCAATGAGGTAAATGTGCGAAGCAGCCGGGGAAGCCTCCGAAGCCAAGAATATGAGGCCACGAGGGAATTTACACTATTTCGAGGCCGCACGGTCGCTCCTCCCACTCAGATTTTGCCCTTCGTATCCATCTAGTGGGGGTTCCCAAGCCTAGTTGGTTGTAAACTCTGCAGCCCAATATTGTCACAGCTGCTGAGGCAGCTGTACATAATAAGGTGGTGATCGAGAGGATTGCGGCCGAGCGAGGGCGTTGGCCGGCTCCTTTGCCTCCAAGTGGTTCTCACGCTTAGCCATCGCTACACGAAAAGGGTACCTTGCAGAAACGTACGAGCCAAGCCCAAAAGTTCCCGCGTATCGCACACCCATGATCGTGCACCCCATACCTATCGCACGAAGACACTGGTTTCTGGTGAGACGTGGACAAGAGAACACTGCACGACTAAATACCCGCGTCTTTGCTTGGGCAGACAGCTTCCAGAAATGTGTCGAGGTACTGCTACCACATCGTATGTTACGAGCATGATCCACTCACTCTGCCGTGCAAAAGCGTCGAGGCACAGAAAAACTGGGTAACCGCTGCCGGTTCATCGGACCAAGTCCGATGTTAACGATTGAAACCCATAAATCTGCCAGACAATAGTGTCTGTTTCTGGGCAAGGGGCGGAGGGATTTGTACCGTCATGGTATCCACGCCGCATTGCCAAGGTACCCTTGAACTGGCGATACCTAGCCCAGGCGGCGCGGTAGTTCTCAAACAAGGGCTACCGACAAAACGTTCAACCGAACCCCCTCGGCGGGAATCCTCATCGTGGCCAGCGGGAGCGAGCGAGCGTCTTATCGTAAAGATGATAGGTATCACGGGATAAATTGAGACAACGTTGCTCGCATCGTAACCGATGGATACAGCAAGGGTTATTACGCCCTCCCCACAATCCAGGTCCATAATTTTTCCAATAAGCAAAATCTCAACGTCTGGATGAGGCTGTAGTTGTCCGCAACGAGAACCCCGTGCCTCTCAACACCAGGTAGTCATCTTGCTCTGCGTATCTAGACCAAACACCCTCGCTAGGTATCATGCAGGTACCGAGCTGTGTGTAACTTTGGTGCGCAAGCCACCGCTCTGATCTGGCATCGCAGCACACGTCGCTTCGCCAAAGAACAGCACCATCCATGTTGAATCCTCTTACTCACTTAGTCATTCACTCACTCAATCGTCACCAAACATACATCCAACATCAACAATCTCATCGAACGGCGCCGTAATACACTTAATCTCCGACCCGATCTTCAACGGTAGAGACCAGGTACCTGGACATGCATCATGTCTCCCACCAAAGACCAGAACCACCAGGAACGCGGACTGCGACGCCCAGCCAATCGTCTGCCGGCCCGATCAAGCGACGTCCAAATAATGTAACGGCTGTTGCCCATTGGATGGGGGGACACGGCGACGCAAGATGTTGCGCAAGACTTGGTATAAGAGCAGGGTTGATGGATGCTGCTGTGCAAGGACATGCACTCTGGAAAAGAGGAGGCGCAGCCACAGAGTCGTGGGTATCTGTCGCACGTAAGCGAAGAACGCTGAGCGTCGTGCTCGCCGCGAATACGTAGTCATACAGTGAGTAGAGTGATGTAATGTCTTGATGTCACCGTTGCAAACTTGTTCGCCATGGATGGCTACACTATGTAGATGATAGCACTTGGAAGAGGATGATGAGACTGACGTTATGCTTGAAAATGTGGTTTGCATTATGTACTGTGACTTGGCTTCTTACAGACACGCCATATGCACCACCAAATGCTCATAGGATGGTCTTCGCTAACACAAACCAATTTTCCTGCACTGAGACTTTCTAGAACAAGTCTAATAGGTCTTGGTTGCTCTTCTTGCTTGGCTCACCACCCAACTGCTGTGTTGCCGGTGGAGGCTGGTTTGCCTGTAAACTCATGTCTGCAAATCCGTTCATTATGTCATCGTTGCTCATTGATGCGTTAGGAGCACCCGCTGCTGCACCACCACCATCTCCGAACAAACCAAGTAGGTCATCCATAGTTGATGGAGGTTGAACTGTAGTATTGGTCGATGGAGACGCGACGCGTTGTGGTGTGCCTGCCAAGCCCTCTAGACCCGATTGCCCTAGGACAGGTTGCTTTTGCAACGAAGCTGGTGCAGAGCCATCGAAATCGATATCCAATAGATTCTCCATATTTGTGGAAGGCGGTGCCTTTCCAGCCACTGCCGCAGCCGCTGCTGCGGCAGCGATCGGGTTTTCTCTTGCTTCTTCTTGTTGCTCCCTAAGTTGCGATCAGTACATGTCACGTTTGCTAGGCAGAGTAGAACATACTCGATCGCGGCGCGCTGCATAGCCTCGGCGCCAAATCGGCCTTGCCCGAGGAATGCTTCCGGCGGCTTGTGGTATACAGACGCCAGGGTGGAGAGTTCAGCCAGAAGACTGTCTAGAAGCTGAGGAGGATGGGATTTGATGGTAGATGTGATGGGAGGTTTATCAGAGAGTACGATATCCTGCATGCATTAGTTATAGACTTCATATTAGTCTTCAAAATACTCACCTTGGCTATTTGAGGGTCACTAGAGAGTAGTCGCCAATAGACATAAGCTCGGTCTCGGATGTCAGGGTTATCATTCTCTGCAGTCGCTGCTTGCAAAACCTTCGTCACCAGGCCTTGTGCTTGATCTGGTTTCTTCAGGAATAGTTTGACCACAGCCGTGAGGATCTGGAGTTGAGTCTGAAGACAATCAGCCATCGTTCTTTTGTCTTCCTCATACGAAGCAGCCAAACTTACCTGTGTAAACTCCTCCGCAAAAGTGTCTACAAAATTGGACAGTATTTCTCCAGCATTGTCAATCTTCTCGGCGTATTCTCCCACAATCCAGATCAGAGAGGCTCTGGCATTGGGCTCGTCAAGTTCATCGATGCATTGGCAGAGCGTCGGTATTATCCCCTCGTACCCAGGGTACTTTCGGAAGATATCCTTGATCACCACTACCGCTTCTTGGACGACGTAGTTGACTTTGGTATTGATCAGATCAAGCAGCGTGTTGACGCACTTCTCGCTAGCGCTCTCGATCTTGATTGCGACCTGCCCGATAGCCTTGACGGCTCGTCGGACGAAATCCATATCCACTTCCATGGCATATTCTTTCAATTCCGCAAGCAATTGATCGACATTTTTGTCGTTCGCTATCCGTACCATTATCTCAAGCTTCGTCATCTTCAGGTAGGGAGGGTCATTGTATTTGCAGAAAAATACTCGCATCTCTTTACTAAGAATGTCCGATTGCTTCTGGAGGAGGAGGTCGATATTTCGGAGGGCAACGTACTGGACTTCCGGCGCAGAGGACACGAGCGTGACTACAGCGTATCAGTAAAGGTTCAATTGCCACAAAGATTCAGACGTACCCAATGGCGGTGCCATCTTTTTGGCATACGACTTGGTCAACTCAGGAGGAATGAACCGCATGTGCAGGAAGACGACCTTGACAGCGGCCAGCACGACACTCGGATTGACGTGCTGGAACTGGGGAACAACCCGTTCGCAGATATGTTCCGCCTCCTTGACATCCGCAGCCTTGTAATCCGCCAAAGTTGTGAGGATGGTGACTCTGCCCCATTCGGTACATTCGTTGAGCGCCAGAAGCATCTTCTTGAGTGTCGCGGCAGTAATGGTAAGGGCCTTTGTTTCTGGTGCTGCCTCCTGAATCTCTACCAAGGCGGTGACCGAGTTTGCAACGACCATGGGGTTGGGGTCGCCTACCAACTCCTGTAATTGCTCTAAGAAGCCGTTCTCCAAGCATAGGGCGGGAGAGAGGTCGAACAGCTTAGCCACACACAGAGCTGCTGTTTTTCGCACGTATGGAGACTCATCCCTCAGCGTTTTCCGCAATGGTTCCTCCATGTAGTCCGTCATCTTGTCGACGCGAATGCAGCCCATGGTCCGTATCGCCAGCGCTCGAACCAGAGGATTTGGGTCTTCCGAATCTTGTACGAATGTATTGACGGCGAGGATGCAGAGGTCGGGGTGTGATTTCGCGTAATTCCTAAAGAGCTCATTAGCTTCTCACGCTCGCTGTCGTCTCCAGCGATTCTCACATAAGATACAGGTACACCAGCTTCTTCTGGTCCAGGTCTGCCGTTGCGATGTTCTTCAGTACGTCGGGGAACAGCGCAGACACATCCTTGCCCAGGGTCATGGACATGATGGTCTTTTGGATCGCTTCTTTCCTGGCACAGTCTCAGTAATGTCGTGATGCCAGTCGCTTTGGCGCAAGCGCTCACCGTTCGTAGGCATATTGAGAGCTGGAAGCGTGGTCAGTTGTGAACAGCCATGTCTAATGCTGGGGTAGCTCGTACACCAGACCTGCCCTCAGCTCAAATGTCTCTCCCTTCCTGGGCGCCGCAAAAGCACCTCTTATCCTGTTGACCGCCATCCTTGCGCTGCAAAGGTAGAGACCAACACCTCAGCCAAACCCCTCTTGCACCAGCAACGTCGATTCGTGAGGGTTCGACTCGTCTGTGGCGCGGTGGGCTTTCAGGTTTCTCCGATGTCTCAGGCCTTTAATTCAGTCAGGCCAGGGTGAACGTCGACTTCAACACTATCAAAGTCGTTGTTCGTGGAGCCTGGGATTCGCTGCATGGTGCCTGCCACATGGATGATGAGTGGGCCCGTGCGCCACCGCCGTCTGGAGCTTCTGCTCTCCGCCCTGGCATCGTCACGACATTGCAAGGCATCGAAATGGTGAGTGGATTATGTATTTGCATCTCCGACGTCACATCTGATTGAATCTCTTAGGCCTCGAACTTGCCCAATCTGCGGCGTCTTTTCGTCGAGGGTCGCACTGATGCGGAGGAGAGCGCATACTCGAGGAAAGCTGTATGCCTCTGGAACCCTGCCCACCATATTAAATGTCTACTAATACACACGACAACAGTTCTACAATCTTGCTCTCTTTATGTCTTCTATAGCAGTCTTCAGCCTAGTAGCCCAACGCATGACCTTTAGGAAAGTGGTTGGTTCTTAAGAGCGTCGAGAAGCAATCATTTTCATCATTTGAACCGTTCAGAGGATGTTTAAAAGGCAACTCGTCACATCCGCTGCAAACTCTTCCAACTGTACGACGGCGATGCATGTCATTGACTTTAGTTGGAAAGAGGGTACCAACCAGGACTATTGAGTCACAGTTTTTCAATTTTACAGCTTTTCGGAATGCATCAAGATGGATTTCTCCATGATCAGTCAGACCAACCTACCCTTCACAACACACAATCTCACCGCCCGCTAGTGTTGAATATTCTTATGTCGACCTTTTTGTTATGACGGTGGAAGGAAGGACATCCAGTGTTGAAGCGAATCTCTCACGAGGCCTAGACAATCCATTTCTGGTTAACCTATCGCTATTTCCAAGAGGGGCCAGAATCGGACAACAAGACACGGACAACAAGGGACGATATGATGGAAGGTAGAGTTTCGTACAAACTTCCTCTGCGACGCCAATACGATCGTAACCCTGTAGTAGAGACGATGACAACGACCAACCACTCTTCAACAGAAAATGGAATGAAAGGTACCCTAAAAAACGCCAAGTACGGGAAACGCTATCGAACATCGGTGGCTTTGGGTGGCAGTGCCCAATACCTTACTTTTGAGCGCTACCATATTGCTCTTGGCTACTATCCTCGAGACGAAAAAGAGCCTCCTAACGTAAACCCCTTGGCTGTGGCAACACCATCGTGTGACGTGACTGAAGGCGAAGGCGAATGCGAGGATCTCACGCCGGACGCTTCACAGAACGAAGTGGATACAAAATGTAATCACATGGTCGTGTGCAGGAGACGGTAGACTGGTTGATGTTCAACCCACCAGACGCTCGCTCTAGTTCCACGTCTCTACACATAGGCTATCTACGGTAACCGCTTGTAGCGCATCGTGATGGTTTTCAGTCGGCATCTCATCTGATTTGTATAGGGGGTATTAAGATTCCAACTGATTCGCCATACTTTCGCGTTCAATCTCACGTCTGCGCCACACCTCGCAGGTGGCTGGTGAGAGTCATTCAGGCACCCAGCCACGATGACTCGATCGATTGCCGCAACACAAAACATACGCACCACCCACATCTCATACGTTTGTTTTTCTTTCTTTCACCGACATGACCGTCAGCGGATCTATTGACACCTCAAACCTCGGTGCTATGCAATCCATCCCGCGGGCCTTGCCCACCGAACTATGGCTGCAAGTTCTCGAAAATGTACGCGATCCTGAATATCTCTGGACTACGGTGCGCCATGTATCCCTACAACACAAAGCCATGATTGAGCGGATTTTCACATCAACCTACCTCCCCGTTCTCTCCATCTCCTTGTCGCTTCCACGGCGCGATCCAACAACCGGAGCTCTACGCTGGCCCGGCGTGCCCATCCCGAAAGCCCAGATCACCATGGCGTTTAATCGCCTCAGTGCGGACCGACGGCACGTCGTCCTCGTATCCCCAGTGATACTTACGGATGGCGCAAACATCAAAAGTGTGGAGGAATTGAAAAACACGTCCGCACTATCCAAGGAGCGACTCGAAGCGGCGCCGGCTTGGGTCAGCATGAACAAGAACTCACTAGCAGGACTATCAATGCGCCTACCAATGTGCATTGAATGGGACGAGGTGCAGAAGATCTGGGTCTGGCAAGTCGAGTGGAGAACATTCGTCACGAGGTTCTACGAGAAGAAAAACAAAAAGAGACTCAGCGACGCACAAAAGAATTCGCGAGCAAACCATACTCCCCGGCATGGACGCAGGTAACTCGGCAAACCGATGATTCGACTGGGAGATTTGGGTGTTTGTTTACTTTTGCAGTCTAGCTAGACAATGACGCGGTGGTGGTGGTGGTGGTGGTGGGCTGTATTGTCTGGTCGGCAGCCGAGACGACTTGGCATGCTTCGGCGCTTCGAGGCATGTATGTCTGTGGCAGACTAAGACCGTGAACAGAGCCTGAGGCATACTTGATACTGTGGTGCCCCACAGGTGTATAAGCCATGCTCCACATCTCCACACTACGACACCCCACTCATAGACAAAATGGCGAATGACTTCTACACCTGCGGGGGCATCACAGTGCAGGCGACATAAAAACGCATGAGGCACATCTGAAACTCGCCTTTCGTTGACTGGGAAAGCTGGCAGTATGCTGTCCGTATATCACAGCACTAGCACTACATTACAGCCCAGACCTGTGGAGAATAGCGCAGTGATAAAAAAAGATAGAGCATCTACACCTATTAGCCTCGCTTGGACAGTAAGAGAAGCGGTGTGTTGGCACAAAAACTTGGGATACGCTGGAACTCTGGCGTTGCAGGTTTCCTAGTCGATCGAGAAGACTCACAGTGCGAGAAAGTGGAATTTGATACATTTAGCAAAGAGTTTATACGTTGAAAGCGCAGTGAAATACCTAAGGAAAATGAAGAAGATATAAGTTCATAATACTAGCCCAATGAAGCGCTTCACCCATTCTCCATAGAGTGACCTTTGCAACTCTGGCCAGCGTGAAGAGCACTGCTCTTCATAACCAGATCTCTTGTTCTGTCTTAGAGAAGCGCGATACCTGAAAGTTATAGGCACATGTCAGGAAGTTTGTTTGAACCAGCCAATATTACCTGTGTGTCCATGCTCTAGTGGTTGATAGTGCGCTCGGCGAAGCTGCGACGTCTTTGAAATACGCTCCTTCCACGTCCAGCTCCACGTCCACCACCTCCGCCTCCGCCCCTGCCGCCTCCCTGCTGTGCTTGTTGCGCCTGTTGTGCCTGCTGTGCCTGCTGAGCTTGTTGAGCTTGTTGTGCTTGCTGCTGACCAGTGTTGCCTTGAGCGGCCTGTCCCTGCGCTGCCTGTTGATTTTGACCATTTGCAGCAGCTTGACCCCCCTTGCCTCCCTTGTTGTTATTACCCCCACCAGCCGTAACCTGGAACCTAACGCAGTCATCTTGAGCTCCACGTTGAGCTACAGGCATGAGTACAGGCTGGTGGTTGCTTGAAGAAGTCATGGAGCAGACGCGATAGAAGCCCTCTGGAAGACCGTCGGCGAGATCGGCGCTGAGGAGACCGTTGCCATTACCAGCATCGTTGATGCCCTTGAAGAAGGCGAAGGTCTGAGCATCCAATGGTTTCGTAGGGTTGGCACTTCCGCCGAGATCCTGGACTGTGATGTGGGTGTGACCGACCACTTTGCCCCCCGTGAGGGCCTGGGGAGCGGAGTAGTATGTGTTGTCCGGGTTTGTAAATGTTCCGGCTTGCAGATTGGCGATTTGGACGGAAAACTTGATTGCGGTGTTGGGCGCGATAACCTGGTTGTTTTGTGGGTTGGTGAAGACGGCAGACACCATCTGAGTTGCGGATGGTATGTCTCCCATGGCTATAGCATAATTAGCAGCTATTTCATGTACGTGAAGGGGCGGACTTACGAATGCCGTTACAAGACCCTGCACGAACCTGGAGGCCATTTGTGATGGTCTTGCCGGTACAAAAGTTTATGAAGTTGGCATTGTCACTGGAGAGATTAGTACTCTGTACTTCGAACCGTATGTGTGTACGCTTACGTATCGGAGGCGGCTTGACCAGCCTCAGCATCTTTGTCTAGACCACTAGACTGACTACCAGTCTGCACGTTTTTTGGATCGAGTGTCAACCCCTGGCCCTTTTGGGTGCCTGTGGCGGCGTCCTGCTTCCCTGTTTGACCAGACTGTTTGGCACTTCCTGCTCCGGCACCTGCTGCTCCGGCACCTCCCCCTCCGAACTGAGTTCCCTGACCTGGAAACCCTCCGAACTGAGCTTGAGCTACACCGGCGACGAGCAGTAAAGATATCGTGGTAGAGAACCGCATGATGGTGGTGCAGAATGCGGACTAAATAAAAGTTAAGATGGAAAGAATCCGACTCGCGGTGTACTTGAAAAGAAAACAGATACGTTCAACGTGATCTGAGGAAAAGAATTAGAGGAAGCAAACAAAGGAGCGTAACCCTCGATCGACAGTTCTCAAGTACAGATGAACTCGCAGCTGAAAGTAGTGGGCATTCGAACAACATCAGCGAATACGGCATCATCTATAAGTCCCTTGGCGGCATTCACAAGCAAGGAAAACTCGGTAAGGCGGCAGGTGGTTCCTTGGGCCTGAAACCTGTCAAGGAAGCGCGATACGTCTCACGACCTGCCATGCAAGCCCGTTTAGAAGAACCCCACAGGGTGCGGGAGCCAACAGGCGCCATAATCTTGACTGAGGCCGTAACGGCAGCCTTGTGGAGTGAGGGTCTACAAGGCATTGAGAAAAAGTCGCTGGAAACTGGTGGTGTGTGAGGTCTGACGAAGATCACATTTGGAAGCATGCATTGTCGCGGGCGTGATGGGCTAGCCATATTAGGGAAGCGCTTGCCCTTTCCCGGACCACAACTTCATCTTTCGACAAGCACACTCAAACCTTTATGATGCCTGGCCATGTGGTCGGCGCCAACCGAACGCTTGAAATGCGTCTGATCGACGTTGTTACCCGCTGTTAGTGGCTTCGTTGACAGTCGGGACGATGCTTCACACACTTGCTCTCTGCTACGGCCCCGGGTCACGACCATCTTGACAACGATTGGGCAGACAGAAGAGAATTTCTTGCGCCTACTCATACACCCCTTGAAAATGAATATGTCATCAGTACCTACAAAGATTGTGACAGATGACATGACGGAGTATTCTGAAGCAGCAAACAGACACTGTGCATCATGGACAGACGTACTTCTTCCGTCTCAGAGAGATACAGATACGATCGCAGTCAATATAGCCTCATCGACGATACTGTAGAGTATGAGCTGAGTTTTTCGCCTCATAGAATTAGCATTGACCGACAAACTGGCTGAATATCTTTCACCGGTGAACAGATCTCACGGGGAGATCTTGACAAGTCGGTCTATCCCTACAATCTGCACACAATGAAGAGAATGCATTATACAAGGATCCAGAGACGATGTAAGTTTTACCCCAGAAAGACCTGACATCTGATAGATTGTCAATTGTGTAACAAGGGTTCACTACATGTGCCGCTGTTCGACAATGTGACGCCCCTTTCATACCGTCAACCGTCCCTCCATGACCTGCACTGCGCCGCCCTCGAGATACAGCTCCGAAACAGAACCATCCTCCTTAGTCACAACGTCGATGGATATCTCACTCCGCCTGCCCATCTCAACACCCTGCACCATCTCGTACCTGAGCGTCTTGTTCGGCCCACCCTCCGTCAAAGCCAAGTATGCAGCCAGATCGCTGGCCGCACTACCCGTTGCTGGATCTTCCAGCTGACCAATAATCATCCTGGTTCGCAGCCTCGTCACACCATCTTCACTCTTGCCTGTCTTGACGTAGAAGTACATACCAACGAGCGTCTCGGTCCATCCCGCATCTAACCTGTCGTTTGTAACATTCCGACCAGACAACGCTGCTGCACCGAGTGCCTCCTCGCTCTCGAGTTCAACAAGGGCAAATGTCATACCCTTGACTATGGAGACTATGGGATAGTCGTCCTTGGTCTGGATCTTACTCTGCTGCTGAGCTTCCGCGAGCTTGGGCTGGACGTGGAACAGCTCATCGCGAGTCAATTTTCTCTTGTGAATATGACTGTAGAAGGGATCGTCAGTTTCAATCCAATACCCAGCAAATTCAAGGCGAAAACGCACACATTATGAGGAATACCCGCCCTGGCCATCCCCTTCCCAACATCATACACCAACCCCACACTCCCAGCCTTGAGCGCGAACTTGCCCTCCACCACCCCATCCTTCACACCGCGTTCCCGCGCCACGCGCCCCAGGATATAACACGCCGTGCCTACCGTCGGATGGCCCGCGAACGGCAACTCCCTCGTCGTCATGAAGATGTCCACCGTCCACGCATCGTCCTGCGCATCTTGGCTCGCATCCGCGCTCTTCTCGTGCAGGAACGTCGTCTCCGAGAGATTGAATTCCCGGGCGATGGTCTGCTTTTGCTCCTGGCTCACGTGGACGCCATGAGGGATGCGGACGATAGCCAGTGGGTTCCCAGCATAGGGAGTCGAAGTGAAAACGTCGACGGTTGTGAAGTCGAGGTGCACGGGTGAAGACATGACGGCCTGGTATGACTTGATGGTGTTTGTGTTTTTGAGATGCTTGTACTGTACTGCACTGCACTGCAAGATGTCCTTTTAAGTAGAGTAGGGTTGACTCATTTCCCCGCCCGTCGTCTGCAAAGACTCATACCTAGATGCATCTTGGAATACGGGTAGATAGCTGCAGCGGCTGACAAATCGAGACTTGAACTGTGAGAGCCACATTATTCATGTCGTGAGGTAATTTGGCCTCTCACTCGTCTACGAGTGACTGCAAACTGATATCTCCTGCGACGCAATGAGACGTGCGGTTTGGCGTGGTGACGTAATTTAGCACCGAGTCTGGTACGGCCAAGCGCGCCTTTCATATTGATCATTTTTCTATGCGAAGATGAACGTTGCTTCCGCTCAGTATCTTCACATACGACCATAGGACACTGAAAATAGAGCTTCCCGTTCGCTCAGCTGTACTCAAGCAGTGTACCGGCGGATTAGTAATTTCGTGGGTGACCAGAAGTGAATTCCCGCTGTTGTATGTTTTTGCCATGTTTTTTTGCTCACGATGGTGTTATGGCTTGGGGAGTATCTTGTCCGAGGCCTTCTTCACGTAAATGCTAGGTTCTCGTATGTTTTGAACAGGTATTCTAGGACAGTCTGAACAAATTGGTGTAGTCCTCAAAAGCTTCAATTTTGCACTTGGTGATTCATATAGGGTTCAAGATGATGAAATAATGCTGAATTACTTGCCTATGCAGAGGACTCACCACAAACGAACACATTTGGTGAGAGTTTGATAGACAGAGTCAAAAGTGTTGGATGAATGCTGTACTGTACTTCCAAGTCTTGTTCTGACATCTATTCAACGAAGTCAATATCCAACCAAGCACAGTTCAATTGTGTTAGCTCATACTTCGATGCAAGACTGGGGGAGAGACAGGTTGAGGTTTGAAACATAGTTTAAAGTGGTATACATGCCCCTGCAAAATGTGAGCCTCCCAAACTGCTTTTCGCTTTCGCTCTCGCAAATGCCAATCCGCACACGGCGATTGCTTTTCGGGGGAAAAGGGCCATCCTGTTCGCCAAACGCCTCGCCAAATGACGTGTTTCTCTCAGTCTCGCTGTTGAGACGCATGCAACGGGCCTCGTAGTCGCGATGTGCTCGTCGTCTGTTTCCTCGCCCACATGACCTGTCTCATCTCATCCTCTTGCTGCAGCACACGGCCAACAATTGTTTTCCAAAATTCTCAAATAACCCATCGGTAACTCGCATATCGTCCTGCTGTCTCGGACTTGCGGATGATCTTGACCACGGCGCCTCTCCTAAGGCCCAGGTACTTGGCAACGGGGTCCGTGGACTGGATTCGAGGCAGCTGTGTCTGCTTCAATCGGTAGCGCGAGAGTAGCTGGGCCTTTTCCTCCTCGCTCAGCAGCACGTGCTTGGGTACTAGCTCGTGCTTGGTGATGTTGACCAGCAGATCCTGCTCGACAAAGACCTCGACACCGCCCCGTGGGCCCTCGCTCATGCTACCAGAGCCGCGCAGAAGTCGGATGGCCATGCCCGTCATGGGCTTCACGGTGACCATGATGCCCGAGTAGAAGTTGCCGTTGAGCAGATGGCCCATGTAGTCGCGCAGCTGTTTCAGGCCGACGTTCTCGTCGCTGTTGAACTCGACCCACATAGTGCCGATCTGGGGCTGTGGGTCGGACTCTTTCTTGGTAGGGACGGCGGTGTATCGGCGGAGCATGTCTTCGCTGGGCTGGCAGGAGAAGTTGAGGCGCGAGCGGCTGCGACGAGGTTAGTGACGCGTCTCGGAGGCCTGGCAATGGCAAGGAGAGGAAAGGCTGCAGCTGCGTACTCTGGCTCGCCGTCTTCGCGCGCATATCTCCGCGCAAATTCCTCCAGCGACATCTGCATGTCATCGTCGACAACCATATAGCCCTTGAACAGTGTCAGCGCGCTGCCGTGGCTCTGCTGGATGCGCATGTCCAACGAACCCGGTCGTGCATCATCTCCTTTGCTGTGCGCCAGACCCTCCACATGCGGATCAGGCTCGGTCCATACTGCGCTCGTTCGTCGGCCATGGTGGGTAGTGGCGCGTCGGGGTGCGTCGGGGTTGGGAGAGGAATGCGGGTTGGTGGGAATGGCGGGCGTCGAGTGCAAGGCACCTTGTCGCGTCAAAGAAAATGTTCGAGAGCCTCGCTCGCGGCTGGTCTTGGCTGCGTCCTACGCTACTGCCGCTTTCGCCTAGCACGAGTCGGAGCTCGAGCTCAGACTGCCCCGCCGACTCGGTCGCCGATATTCAGACCATGGCCTCCTCCAGCGAAATACCAAACCTCAAGACACTCCTCACAGCCCGGAGCGGAGGACCATCACGTGGGCGAGGACGCGGACGAGGTGGGCTGGGCAGCTCTCGCGAAGAACAGGAGCAGATCAGAGACAATGCCGTCAAGGGAACCGACCAAGATGCTGCGGGGAGCAGGGTGAGCTGCGTCGAGCTTGGCTACCTGCACGATCCGTATGCGAAGCTGTTCGCGACACAGCCTGCGACAAGGAGGCTGCCTCTGCTGAATAGAGGTATGCATCTTGCAGTGTCCTCTTTCGAGTGGGTAGCTGCTGACCTGCACAGGGTCCTATGTCCGTACTTCTGCCATTGACCTTCTGGTCGCAAAGTTCCTCACCACACATCCCTCGTCTTCGAAGCAGATCGTATCGCTCGGTGCTGGTACAGATACGCGCTTCTTCCGCCTCCGCGATGCCTACCCGGACACGCGAATAATCTATCACGAGATCGACTTTGCTTCAAACACAGTCCCCAAGATTGCAAGCATACAAAGGCACCCGCTCCTGCACCAAAAACTGCCACACGTGCCATCGAGCTCGTCGTCATACCACTCAGAGACGTACAACATCCATGCGCTCGACCTGCGCTCTCTCGCAGACTCCTCGCAAGAGACGCCGCTGCCCCAGCTGCCAAATCTAGACCCAAACACACCCACCCTGATCCTCTCAGAAATGTGCCTGATCTACCTCCAGTCCTCCACAGTACAGTCCATATTATCGACCCTCCTGACCAAATACTTGCAGCCCACGACTCCCGCCTCGCTGATCCTCTACGAGCCCATCCTACCCCAAGACGCATTCGGCAGGACCATGATATCCAACCTGCAGACGCGCAACATCCACCTCCCTACTCTCACCGCATATCCTACACTGGGCGACCAACGTGCACGGCTACAAGGCTACGGGTTCAAGGCAGGCGCAAGGGCCGCAGACACGAACTTTATATGGCGAAGATGGGTCAGCGAGGAGGAGAAGGAGCGAGTTGCGGGGCTGGAGATGTTGGATGAGCTTGAGGAGCTCGAGATGCTGCTGAAGCACTACTGTGTCGCCTGGGGCTGGAGAGACGGCGACGGCGACGTGTTTACGAAGGCTTGGGCTGATGTTGGAGAGCAAGGTGGAGGGTGATCGTATTGGTCCAAGAAAAGTATCATCTTAATAATATTTCTTCTATTCCCATCACACAATCAAAGTATACCAATCTGCATCTACATGCACGAGGGCCAGAAAGTGAATGGCACACACGTGCGTTCGCGACACGCTAAGCCCTAGGCGCTTTGTTCAGGCACCGCATTGCACTCCGCATTCGCAACAACCAACAAGCCCACGCCGTCGCACGCCTCTGCAAGCTTGCTCGTCCATACGAAAAATCCTGCAAAACCTTGAAAATGCTGTAGACACCTCTGACACGTCGAGCCCTGGACCCGCCATATTACTCCTAAACACATAGTCAACAACAAACAGACACGACCAAACACAATGGCGCGCAAAACATTCGAGCCAAGCTTCGACTTCTTCACCGGAATCGAAGCTCAACCTCCAGCGCCTTCAGTTCGAGAACCGTTGCGCGAAACATTTCGAACGACCTTGCGCACCACACAGAATGCGCCGCACACGGTCGTGTCCTCGGATCCCGCCAACGAAGAGCTGCGCGCACAGCTCAACACGCTGCGATATGAACTCGATACCGCGAAACAGGAGAAGGAGATGATGAAGCTGGAGCATGCCCAGGAGATTCGAGACACACAGAACCGCGCAGAGACCGACTTTCGGAAAGCGCAACAGGCGGAGACGGCGAACAATCTCACGGCGAAGAAGCATGAGGCGCTGGCAAGGGAGATGTCGGAGGTGCAGAGGCGCGCTGCGAACGAGAGGCAGGATCTGGAGAGGCGGTTGAGGCAGAGCCAGGAGAAGGCGCAATCGCTGCAGGAAGAGTACGACGAGGTCAAGGAGGACCTGGCGACGTCGCAGCGACAGAGCGAGCACAAATACAACAACCTCCAGGCGGAGCACAAGGCGCAGAAAGACAGTGTCGAGGACATGCAGTCTGATCTGGCGGCAAAGGTCAATGCACTGCAGACGGCGCAGAAGAAACTGGGGCAGAAAGAAGAGGAGGTTGGCCAGCTAGAGGCAGAGGTGCTGCGACTCAAGGCCATCACCGGAGATGCAGAAACCCTGGCAGTCATCAAACGAGAACTCTCCGACCAGGTCGCGCACATCAAGAAGCTAGAGATTCTGACAAGAGAGCAGAACACGGAGCTCAAGCAGTACCGGAAGCAGCACAAGGCTATTGAGGTCGTTGAGGAGGAGAAGAGGACACTTCAGACAAAGTTGCGAATGATGGATGATGTGCAGAGGCAGCTAGGGGAGTCTGAGCTGAGGCGACAGATCCTGGAGGAGGAGAGGGATTCATGGACGTCGTATCTTGAGAACTCGACCGAGACACATGGCGAAACACAGTTCGAATCGCCAGAAGATCTTGCACGCGCCTTTGTTCAGGAGCGTCTAGAGAAGACCGACCTCTTGAACAGACTGGGCGAGATCAAGCCGGAGCTCACAGTCAAAGAAGCCAACATCCAGGTCCTCGAAGACGAGAAAGCCAAGCTACAAGCTGAGATCCAGCAACTGAAAACCTCAAACAACAACAGCGCACCCAACGCCAACGAGGCGAAAGCTCGCGCAAGGTTGGAACGGCAGAAGGCTTTGGCGACGAAAGAGGTCGATTTCCTACGCGCTCAAGTTAAGGCATTCGACGATGAAGACCGCGAGATGCAGCCCGACACTTACGACGCCGCGAAGTCGGAGCGGATAACAGAACTCGAAGACCTCGTCGACCAATACCGCAAAGAAATCGACGCCCTACAAAAAGAATTCAACAGCCTAGAGAAACCAACCTCCGCCACAACAGGCCAGAAACGTCCCCTCGACACCGCCGAAAACGACGAACGCGTCGGCGAACTGCGCCGCAAGAACCGCCAGCTGCAAGACGACTTCGACACGCTACAAAAGAAGATCAAGCTCATCGAAGCCGAATACAAAGCCCAACACTCCCAGCTCAAAAAGCTCAAAGAATCCTCGCGCACACGCGTCCTAGAGCTGAAATCCAACCCCACGGCCGACGCCGAAGCCCTCAAACTAAGCACCGTCCGCACCCTCCGCGAGGCAAACGCCCACCTCCTCGCCCAGCTCGAAAACAACACCTCCCCCCCGAAATCCGTTCCCTTCGCCACCCTCTCCGCCGCGCACGACGAGCTCGAGGAACTGCGCTTCACGCTGGCGTCGTCGGAGAAGAAGATCTCCCGCCTCAAGCAGATATGGAGCGCCAAGAGCCTTGAGTTCCGCGAGGCTGTTGCGTCGATTCTGGGGTGGAAACTAGACTTTATGCCCAATGGGCGTGTCAAGGTTACGTCCATGTTCAAACCTGCGGATGATAGCGGCGAGAATAGCATCATTTTTGATGGCGAGAATGGCACGATGAAGGTCTCTGGCGGCGAGCAGAGTGTGTTTGCTGGCGAGATTCGGGATCAGATTGTTTATTGGGTCGAGGGGCGGAAGGAGATTCCTTGTTTTCTTGCTGCGCTTACGCTGGAGTTTTGGGAGAAGGGACCGGGTGGTATGACGTTGAGGGCTTGATGCACTATATGTGGGCTTGTATACTGAGATGTTTGGGCTGTGTTTATTTTCTCCTCTTTCCCAAAACTAGGGCTGTGTGCTGTGGGAGTTTTTGCATAATCGGTCTTTTTCTTGTTGTTCTTGCTACCAATATCATCTCACTTTCATGTCTTCAATCTCCATCCCCAGTCCAGCAAACTCACAAACCACCTCCCTCATCCCGCATACGCCCTCCCATCCTACCGATAATCCACTCCATCCACTCCATCCACCACATCAACTCCAATCAACCCACCCCACCACCCACGCGCCCCAACCCCCAACCTACCCATTCCAGCAGTTCCCTCCCATCCATCGAACACTGCACACCAGCGTTTTCCGCATCAGACGCGATCTGCAACGCTACCACCATCCACGCATATAACTAGCCAAATAGCCCATTGCGTCCCGTCCACTCAACAGCTCAATGCAAAGTATTGCATACGGATGACCGATCTCCCGGGGCAAGACGAGACGAGACGAGACGAGACGACACTGCATGGGAGGACGTGTGAAACGTCGTATTGGAGGTTGGACTTGTCAGCGTTGTCCTAATTCGGTTAGTGCGGAAATGGTCGTGCGCGTAGCTCCGTGCTGGGGTGGCGGTGTGGGATGGGATGGGAGCGGGGGTGGAGTGGATTGAACTGGACTATGCAGATGGGTTTGTTTGGGAGGTGAGGCGGGTCGTGGGATGAGGAGGGAGGTTTTGCGTTTCCTTCCTCCCTGCTGTTATGCGTGCTAATGTGTAACTTGAATGGGCATTGGGATCGGTGCAAAGTATGAAGGAGGATTGTAGCGGGAGAAGGGTTTCGAAGACGATGAATGGTTGATTTGGGTATAATGCTATGGCTAAACAAGAGGACGCCTAGCTGAAAGATTATGTGTATGATACAGAGAAGAAGGCTCCATCGTATTATACAAAGACGGACAGGATGGATACATGTGTACCCAGCGAAAGACGAATCCGAGAAACAAAAAAATGGCTTGTACAAATTCCTCAACACTGGCGTAAAGCAATTCGCAGCTCGCGGCAGCAACAAATGGAAACGAAATGGGAAACCGGAAAAACCTAGACATCGTCATCCTCACCACGCTCGAAATTCTCCGAGAAATTGATGAGTGACGTGAAGCTCTTGGGGGCTTCCGTGATGCCCAAGATTTTCCGCGCAGCCTCGTCTGCCACCATGGAAAGCGGCACCAAAGCCACCTGCCCTGCGTCATTTTTCACCAATCTCGTTTTCTCTCTCTCTGCCAGAGGGGGTGGCAGTTTCGCCTTGCTTGATGTCGTGATGGCATCTTTACGTCTGTGGCGATGTTCAAGAATGTCGACGTCGATTGTCCGCAACGCAGCGAAATGGTAAATGTGAACGATCTTTTTCTGGCCGTAACGACGGCTACGAGCCTCTGCCTGCGCCATGGCCGCATCGTACTGGTCCTGGCTGTCTACTAGTAGAGGAGCGACAAAGAAGATGTGATTCGCGTTCACGAGGTTGCTGTGCAAGGTCAGTAAGACATCATCAGAGTTTCCAGAGCATTACTCACATCCCCGCAGCAGATTCACCTCCCTGATTAAGAATCAAAGCTTTCTTGCGCTTCGCTGGATCTGTCGTCGTCTTGAACTTCTCGATATCATCGTCCGCAGTCTGGAACGAGATCTTGTGATGGCTGAAGACTTCCCGAAGGGCGCGGATCGTCTTGTCGTTTGGAGCAAATACAAGAGATTGGTCGTTGTTTGGTACGCTCTTGATGAGTTCGGCAACAGCGTCGAGTTTCTCACCAAAGCTCTTGCCAGACACCTTCTCGCTGGTAGTGCCAAGTTCTGAAGCCTGGATCAGGTTGCCTCGAAGGCAGACACCGCAGCCAGTGGCGACGCAACGTTCATCGTCAGTACGCGACATAAGGCAGTCATCACAGGCAACATGTCCACACTCGTATAGTAGCCGAAGTTGAGTGACGTTGGCTCCACCCTTGCAAGAGGGAGCATCACAAGTGAGAGACTCGGGGCCTTCTCCTTCCAATAGAGATGGAAAGATCCGACCTTTGATGTTGTTGACGAACCGCTCAGATCGTATTCTGTCAGTGAGCTCGCGGGAGCAGTCGCGCGCATCTGAGATACCTCTCCGGAAACAGTCTCGAGTCTTCTTCTCCAAGAAGCCATTGGCGTTTGGATGACGTTTGGCTTTGTCAAGAATTTTGCGTGCTACCAGACTGGCGTCTTCATCTCCAAGCCAATTCGAACTGATGTCAGCTTTCAAGCGCTCGTACACGTTCAAACTGTCGTCCTTTGCGTTGATCCCTCTGATCGACTTCATGAGCTGTGGACGTTGGAGGTAACCTTCAAATCCAATTACAAGTCGTGTCAACTCCGCCTCCGTCTCCAGCCGCTGGTTTGATCTGTCTCGGACCAAGGAGTCAAGACCTGACTCACCATCAGAAGTCTTGTATTGAAGAGCATAATGCAACAACGCCGCTTCGGCGGTTGGGAAATTGTCTAGGCTCTGGTTAAGTCTGTTCTGCCGGTCTGACTTGTTTTTGTTGTTCAATTTCCTGATCTGCATTCTCTGCGAGTCCAGATGCTGGGAAAGCTCGAGATAAACGGCGTGATGCGCGATATTCAGTTCTACCGGTCGTAGAGTTTCAGAGCATTTGATGTATTGCAAGGACGGCTCGTTCTGCCTGACGAACAAGTCTAGAAACATCTGTGCTCGGTCATGTCGGGCCTGGTGCCACTGATCCGACATGAGCTGTGTTCGTGAAAGGAACTTTTCTACACTGGTTTGATCCTTGATCAACCCTCTCTCCAGCTGGGTCGTGGCAGATCCGTCTCCAAAAGCATTTCGGCCGAGTTTGACGTCAAGAAATGAGGCGATTTCATTGACATCGGAGAAATTCGTAAGGGCAGGTGTCCCAGAAAGAACCCAGCGCTTTGGTGCGGCGATACACTTTACGCTAGAAGCTATCAGACCGTTCTCGATGTTGTTTCGACTGTTGAGATAATGGTACTCATCGACAACGATTCTGTTCCAGCGGAAGAGATGGAGCAGAGGCACTTGATGAGTTGCAGAACCTGAAGATTTGCGTTTCGGCAGAGATTTCCCGTTTGCTCCAGCGCCACGACCCTTCGCAACCGGGGGCGCGTAAGATTTATATGCTTTGCCGTGTTGGATCTTGAGAGGCAAAACAGCCTGAAATTCAGCGCGTCGTAGGCGGTCCTCGAGCAAGACATCTAGGGATGAGTCGAAGTCGTGAAAGTCCATATCTTGAAGATCCTCTAGCCTATCCGGAATTTCGAGCATAATTCGAGCCAAGCCCGCGTTGAACGCACGACAGTTGGTGGTTACTGGCTCTGGAATACCAGCGAACCGTGCAAGCTGGTTGATGTATCTGGGGTCTGATAGAACTTTCCAGGACACAATGATGACTCTGCTAGCCTTGAAGTCCTCTACTGTCAGTTTCTGCAAGTCTGTGAAACTTAGTATGACCTTGACATCATAGAGCTCGTATTTCTCTGTTCCCAAGAACGACCTGAATTCTGTCCGCCATTGTTCAGCGATGTGACGAGGGCAAACTATCAATGTGGCAGCTACGTTGATGCGGCCTGGCAACCCTGCGGTCAGACCGCGATTGTGATTAAGAATTTTCTTGGGGGTGTGCTGTTCAAACTCGCTTTGAATGAGAGCTATCGTCGTGACGGTCTTTCCAAATGACGGAAGATCCGCGAGTACTCCTCCACGAACCTTGACGTCGATCTGGGCTTGGGCTTCCGCTCTCCAACCCAACTGAGAATCAACCGCTTCTTCGACTTCCGTAACTGTCAAAACTCGGCCCAGCTCTTGGGATCTCATCCATGAGAGAGCCTTTGGCTGAGCTCCATGTAGGTACCCCACTGCCGGGATGGATTCAACGGCTCCGTCCTGGGAGTTATCCAACAATCTGAACTTGGGAAATCTCTTGGACGCCGAAGTCGTGTGATCAGTTATCAGTCTCCAGGAGGTCGTGACTGGTCCCAAGTGGGCGAGTCTGCCTCGGGCACGATGAATCAGAGAAGAGACGTTGACTCCGATTTCGATTCGAGTCGTCTTGTGTTCATTGGACGGCAAAACCTCGAAAATGTCACGTCGCGTCTTGATTGCGCGCTCAAATTTAGCAGCAGCCTGCCGCTCCTCGTGTGGAGTAGCTACTTTTTTATCAACACTCCAGTGGATGGGTGGTTGAGTTGGTGCACACATGCAGTCGCTGGCGGATTCGGACTGAAAAGGCTGCCAGGCTGAGAGATCGGGCAGTAATTTAGAGGCCCTCTCTAGCACCCAGAAATAGTCTGAGAATTTCTGAATGCGGATTCGTTCTTGTAGGTTGACTTCGAGCACGGAGAGGGCGTGGGAGCAATCATCTCGTAAAGGGGTAACAAATGCTTCACCTGATACCGTACTAGCGCTGATTGCGACGTGAGGTGACTTCAGCTTCATCACAACAGGCGTCCAAGTTCCAGCAATATCTGCGTTGACGTTATAGGCCTGTCCACTCTGGACATCTGATGGCCGCCATGCAAGATCTAAGCGGGCCATGGTGAGACGAACGTCGCCCCAGTACCTTCGACTACAGTCTTCACTGAACACCATGCCATTTTCCGGCCCAATAGGGTTGGGGTCAGAGAAGAGGTAAACATCAGGCTTGGCCAATCTCCTCTTATAAAGATTGTGAGATGCGGTCCCACAATGCGGCAGGTAGTCGTAGTCTCCCACAAATGGCTTTGCTTCCTTGGAAGCGCTCCACACAGTAAGCGTTTCAGGCACGGTCTCTTCACTGAAATCCGCAAGACCTTCCCGGTTCCTCCCGGAGCTAGTCCTCTTGGACGAGCCGCTGATCTGTACCATGCAGTTCATAGGATGGTGGATGAAAACTTCCCACTCAGGATCCATCAACGATGATTTTACCTTGCCTCTAGCAATCGGTTGCTCAAGCATCTTGCGAAGATGGCTGCTGCTAGGGACTGTTGGCAAGCATTTGACAAACAAGAGCCATTGGATATCTCTTCCAATTCTGAGCTCCAGTGTAGCTTCAGTAGAAGTATACGACATCTTCCAGACATTGTCTTGTCTGACGAGGTCGCCAATGTAAAAGTAGTCCAATCCAACTTGTGCTTCCTCAACCCGTTCCCAGAATGCTTTCGTGTGCTTGTCAGCTGGCTGTTTGCTTGAAGCAGGGTTCCGCAAATCAGGAAGTTGGTCGATCTTCAGGCGAGGCGGAAACTTCGATCTCCATTCCTTAATAAACATGTGGGGACTCTGGGTACGACCAGCTTTGAGATCTTGGTACTTGTGCCTAGGGTTGCCTGCACAAGCACTACATGCTGTATGTTTGCAGGTTGAACAGATCCGCACGGCCGAGTCACACAGGACGCCACTTTCCTCACAGTTGCAAAGGCGGGAACTGAGCCATCCATCGGAAGCGAGCATAGCCATGTTCATGCAGTCGAAATGCTCTGGGATGATACAGGTATCCAGTGAGCCAGGTTTGTCAAGCACAGTCTTGGAAATCGTCGGCATCTTTGCCGCAACGCTCTGCTGGAGAGCAGATGGAGGGTTGGTTCGGAATGATTTTACGCCGCATATGATCGCTGATATCAACGACGCTCCGATGACTGTTGTTGTCATGGCGTTGCCAGCCAAGTCTTGACAATCGCGTTGCGTTTCGTTAGCGAACAAGAGTTTGTCGACAGGCTGACCTTGCATGATCAAGAGTTGAGTGCCGTTGAGTGCCTGCTGGCGATTGGTGGCAAAGTTGCACCCTTTCGGCGTTATACAACCCAGAATGCCCAACTTGTCCTTGAAGCGGTCGACATTCTGGCTGACGTCCCAAGAGGCCATCTTGTAAAGGGAGTCAGAGCCGCTTTGAACAACTCCTTGCAGGTGGGCAACATCGATGGCGTCCCAGACTCTTGACGACTGCGAATTGTACCATTTTTTGTTAGCAAAGTCTGGTGGCCTGGACATAGTTTGTTAGCTTGTGGTGTAGAATACGATAAGGTCATAGTTTTGCATACCGGACAGTTCCGTTGGCACTCCACTGAGTGATAGGGTGCAGATTTCCCAGTCGCTCTTCTGAACGAATGTGATCGTATCTCAACTTGCATAGAGCCCAATCGGGCTCGGATATCCTGGCACTGTGGTTACTCGACTCTTGAAGTGTCTTCGTAAGAAAAGCTTCGTACGGGACACTGCACTTCCGTTGCAATTGCTGCATTGTGTCTCTCCACTTTCCGACAGCCTTGTCGACGTTTTTGCCGAAGAGCTCGCGCTTGATTGCGATCATGTACATCCGCTGACGCGTTTGCGGAATGTAGAAGTTTTTCGTATCACAATAGACCCATTCAGCTGCATACCCAACCTCGTCCCACATGGAGACTACATCGTTCCAAGTGTCTTCTTCACTTAGCACATTCTCAACAAGTACGATGCTCGGACCAAAGCGGTTTGCGTAGCTAAGAAGAGCGCGCCATGTATCACCAGACTCGCCTTTGTCGGTCAGTTCCAATTTATGGCTGTTCAGGCTGGACAGATTCTTGCAGACAAATCCAGCTATGACGATGTCAAGGCACTCGGGAATATCCTCTTCGGCTCCGTAGGCTGTAGTTGCCGTGGTGGCGTCATCAGGTATAAACTCCCGGACATCTCTGAACAATCTCGTTGGTCGAAAGTTTCGCTCAATATAGCTTTGCTTGATGGCCTCGATCTCGGCAGAAAAATGGTGTTCGAAGCGAATAGCGGGCAGTCCAGCCTTTTCGAGAGCTACGGAATGTGTTAGCTTAAGCTGTGATGTGTAACAGACATACCAACCTTCTGAGATCAGATTAATGGCAACTAGAGGTGCTTCTGTTCCAGAGCACATTGTACCGATGTTGATCGGGCGTCCTATGCTTTTCAACGCATCACAGAGCCCAAGCTCGACAGCGTTGGAAACCAAATCCCCAAAACACTCGTAAATATCGCTCAATGGCGGCAGATCCAGGTCTATCACTTCACCTAGCGGTTTCTTCAGATGCCTGCTAGGGCCGCCCTTTTTCTTGTCCTTCTTCTGCAATCTTGGGAGGGACACGCTCTCATCTTCTGTTACAACAACCGTTGGGATTAGTTTTTTTCGTGATTTGGGGCGAGAGTCAAGCTCATCGTCTTCGTCGTCATACCCAGATTCCTGATGATCCGAATCTGACTTTTCAGAGTCGTCCGGTTCACCGTCCTCGCTCTCACTGTCTGATTCCTGGGACTCGTAGGCTTCTTCATCGTCGTCGGCATCAGGATCTTCGCGCACATTGGAGATATTTCCTTCGTAGTCGACATTAACTTCCTTGTAACACTTATCCTGTGTGCAACTGCGTTGCGATTTTCTTCTGGTACCATCTTGTTCAGGAAACGTGGGGCTCTGTTGTGAAACCCTGACTTCAGGGCTTCTTCGTGAAGGTCTTGCTTCGACTTCAGTCATTTCTTCCTCAAAGTCTGACGGGCCTGTCGAAATGATATGATCTGCTATTGACGAAGCGAGAGCTGGAGAAGGCGACGTCTCGTTGCTCTCCACGCGAGTATCATTGTAGGCTCCTTGGGCTGCAACATCGAGCGAGTACGCGCCAAGTTCTTCTTTGTCTATCGGTAATATGGTCATTTCGTTCTCGTCGATGTCTTGGACCTGCTCGTCTGAAACAACATCTTCTTCCTGGTGTAGACCGTCAACTTCGTCGTGATTCGGATGCTCGTCGTGATGCGTATGTTCATCTTCGACGTCTTCGATCATGGACAGTACCTCCTCGTTGTCAACAGTCTGCAGGATGAGTTGCTGGCGCACCTCTCTGTCGAGTTTACAATTGTCGACCAAAAAGCTCGGCTTCCCTTCTGCTCGATCCTTTGCCTGTTGCTTAATGCAGCCAGCGCATGGAGCTTTCTCGTCGCAGTTCTTGTTGCCTTTTTCTTTGCACCTGGTGCAGCGTCTGTCCATTTGTGCAATGTCTTCGGCAGTGGGTTGATGACACCTCTTCTCGATTTCCGCGCCTCTCTTCTTGCATCTTCCGCATGCCCTCTCTCCAGTACTGTAGCATTCGAAAGCAGCGTTTCCACCGAGATGGAGGCATGGCATGCAGCAATCGGCCGTGACATTGTTCGCCCACCTAGTGAGAGCTGCTAACGTATCCTCTCTTGTGCGAGGATTCGATCTACCTCCACTGATTTTCTTCGCGGGTCTGAGCGGTATCGTGGTAGATTGATCTTTAACGTGTTAGCATTGGTCAAGCTGGGGAATCTCCACACATACCTCCATCATCGAAGGCGGACGCCTTGCGCTTGCGCGTTTTGGTATGTATGGATGACCTTCTAGCCGACGTGCGCCTAGCAGAAGTACTCCGCGCAGCTGTTGTAGGTGTAGCAACCACGTCGGTATCGTGTTCGGGGCTTGATAGTTCTCGTACCAATTTCCGCGGGCGCGTCGTTACCATTGTGTCGCAACTAACGCGCCAAAAGCGTGTTGGTATGGAGATATACAATAGCCCGCCCCAACATCCAAAAGCCTAATCAAGGTCAGGGTGGGCAATAGGAAGGAACAATATTTAGATGTGGGGGTGAGAGCATGTTGTGGGGGGTGGACAGGAAATAATAGAGGCTAAACAACGAACCCCTGCATGTTGCGACGCGTAAAATCACGCCACCATGTGATCTGATTTAAGATATACCACTCTTGCATCGAAGTCAAAAATAATAAAAGCCGGGCGCATTTGGAGACCATGCGCATGCTGTAATGTGACATGTAAGGTTGTATAACTACACGTGTGTGGTGAGATTGTCGTTTCGAGTAAGGCGCAATCTACACGCCCTCTGTATGACATCTCAGCTCGAGTCTAGACATGCAGGCATACGAAGAGGCTCGTATTTCCGGAACTTGCGGACTGTGCCAGACTAAGACTGGGTGTATCTCGAACGCAATAGAGGCCTCGAGAAGCTACAGAATCGTTTGCGATGTCCAAACAAACTCCTGTGCCAGTTCCCAGCGACAATGTGTTCGAGGACCTCAGCGGAATATCTACAACGGCTTTCAACAACCCATACGATGCCCTGATCGTAGCCTGTGGGGATGACCCGGTGGGTAGAATCAATCATATAGGTGACTGCTGATCTGAGAAGTCATTGCAGACACAGATGCAATCCAAGTACAACCTCCATCGAACGGCAAGAAACTCTCAACAAAAGGCGAAGCTACTGGATACCAACTTCTCAGGTGTTAGTCTTGATTCCGTCTTGTCCAGACTGAGCGATCAAAAAATCGAGCCGGGGTATGTCGACCCACGACATTGTCTAGTCTTCTGGGGACGGCCGACGCAGAACATCAAGGATTTGATCAATCGCGCCCAAAAGGAGCTACTGAAAGTCGCACCTAGTAGGTAACGGTCTTGGAAGTACACATGTTCTCAGAACCTAGTTAACATGACGCAGATCTATGGCTCATGCCTCAAGACTGTCTGCATATCACTGTTCTGGAAGTCACACACTCAAAGACAGCAGAGGAAATACAGCAACTAGTCGATCAAATTCGTGACGATGTGCCAGCCATCACTGACTACACATTCAACCATCGCGTACGTCTCGTCAAACCACTCATTGGTTATGACGCCTCGGCCCTCGCACTGAGCTTTGTTCCTGCGGCTGGCGAGGGCCTTCGTGGCGGTCGTACATTGAACGATGACAAGGTCACTTATCATCACCTCCGCCGCGACATTTACGAGCTGTGTGAAAAAGCAGGCGTTCAGGTCGATTCGCGTTACGTAGTTCCTTCTAGTCATATGACTATCGCCCGTTTCATCGATCCCAATGATTTTGCCGATGGCAATGGTTTATCGGATCCTCAAAAGGTGAAAGTGTTTGTCGAGAAAATCGAGGAGATCAACAGCTGGCTAGAAAGAGAGTTTTGGCCAGAGCATAACGAAGGGAGGATACCAGAGGGAGGCGAGTTCAACGTTGGAGAGGAGACAGGCCTGGTTTGCCGTATGGGAACCCTTTGGTACGGTGGTGGAGAGTCCGTCCATCAAGGCAAAGGGTTTTGATGCTCGTCATAAAGTTACATGCAAAGCGGTAGATACAGATGACAGAATTGTCTGAGGACGTCATCAGCAGAGTGTGATAGAACCATTAGCGATTCCGCTGAAGAACTTCTCATCTCGACGCTTGACTAGATGCATCACCGCCTTAACTTTCGAGTACAATGAAGAAACACAGGGCTTGATGAGGCATCTGACTGCTAGCTACAAGCCATCACGGCCTACTATTCGATGGAACTTTGCCCCTTAGTATTCAGAGTACGAGCAGCAAGACAAGAAAGTTCAAGCGTCAGCAAACACAGCTACCAGTTTGAAGACAGTCCAAAAAGCCTTGAGTATGATTAGACTGCCATGTAAAACAAGTGTAGAAGCGCACTCATGATATTACACCCCACCTCTGGATTATCATGTCGTGATGAATGCGTTGCGGAGCGGAGGTCGCCCGCATTGGTGGGGCGACGACAAGGCCCAAGCTGATGCGCGACGATCGCGAAGCTGAACCAGAAACAGCTATGATACAACAACGACTCTACGATTTTACGTCTTTTTGTATCTTTGACTCGGATATCGAATACCACCACTTGATTTGGCTTGCGATCACGGTAGCCTGAAAGTCTTCACACCTCAAAACCAAGCCAGTTCCACTAGCGGGGCTCTGGTATTGCCGCCTGTTCTGTCGCATATACGTGGCAGCAACAAATACCTGAGCTTTAAAGCTCCAAGTGTTCCTTGGTCGCAACCGCAGCTATCTCCACAAAATGTTCAACCGAGATCGCCTTCCAGGTCTGCCTGGACGCTCTCCACAACCACCGCCGCCGCATCACGACGGACGACCGCCGCAACAACAACAACAACCTGGATACCCCGATAGCAGGATGGCGGGCTACGACAATCGACAGCCTGGAGGGTACGGTGCTCCTCCCCAGCAGCGTGCACCTGCGCGAGGGCCACCTGGCGGTAGTAGGCAACTAAGGCCGATCAAGAGCCCTGGTGGTAACGCCTACGCCTTTGGAAATCTGTATGTATATACCAAGACACTTGTACAAACCATCACTAACAAATTTAGGGTCGCCGTCTCCCCCCAAGATTTCCCCCCTACGCCGGATGGTTCGGACATATACATTCTGCTAAACGGCAACTACGTCCTTTCCGCACGTCCTACCCAGGGCTGCCAGCCGGGTGAGATTGGTCTCACAGACGCTCAACGAACATGGGCTGCTATCTCCCTTGGTCCACAAGATGTTGTCTCGGTACAGCCCTATGATGCCTTCAGCCAAGGCGGCGGACAATCGTATTTGGGTTCGGTCGAGGTCGAGGTCGGATTCGCGGCTAGGAAGACGACAGAGACTCCTTACGATCAGGATGAGCTTGCCACTCAGTTTAAAAAGGTACGCTACGACCTCTGTTTGGATAGGGGAGCAGGGACACACGACTCTGGAGGTCATTTTGGCCAGTGAGAATACCGTTGTGTTGCCATAGAGCGTGGATGACGCTCCCATGAACGAAACGCGGTCAATGTTGAATGGCGAGGCTAACTTTGTACAGAATTTCGAGAACCAAGTACTCGCCCCTGGTCAACAGCTCCTCTTGGACATCAAGAATATCCCCTTAAGGATGTCTATACGTACCGTGCAGTTAGTGGATCTATCGATGGAAAAGTCAGATGATGGTGCACACCCTGTCACAGATCCACGCGCTCGTGGAATACTCACCAGACACACGACGGTCGACTTCTTCAAAGACGCTCGCACAGATATCAAACTCAAGTCGTCCAATAGGCGGCCTGCAGCCAACTCAATTGTTCAGCCAGGGTTCAAGTTCGAAGATATGGGCATTGGCGGGTTGGATAATGAGTTCAGTGCCATCTTCCGGAGAGCTTTCGCGTCTCGTATCTTTCCTCCAGGTCTAGTTGAAAAGCTCGGTATTCAGCATGTCCGCGGTATTCTTCTATACGGACCTCCAGGTACTGGAAAGACTTTGATTGCGCGACAAATTGGTAAGATGCTCAACTCCAGAGAGCCCAAGGTCATCAACGGTCCAGAAGTCTTGAACAAGTACGTTGGTCAGTCTGAAGAAAACATTCGCAAGCTGTTCGCCGATGCGGAGAAGGAATCCAAAGAGAAGGGCGACGAGAGTGGTCTTCATATCATCATTTTCGACGAACTTGATGCCGTCTGCAAACAGAGAGGCTCTGGCGCCGGTGGTGGTACTGGCGTGGGCGACAGTGTTGTGAACCAGCTTCTCTCGAAATTGGATGGTGTGGACCAGCTGAACAACATCCTTCTCATCGGCATGACCAACCGAATGGACATGATTGATGAAGCTCTTCTACGTTCTGGACGTCTTGAGGTCCATATGGAAATCTCCCTACCAGATGAGTCAGGACGAGCGCAAATTCTCAAAATTCATACAACTAAGATGCGCAACAACGACGTCCTCGGACCAGATGTCAACGTCGAAGAACTGGCCAGGTTGACAAAGAATTTCTCGGGTGCTGAGCTCAGCGGCTTGGTGAAAGCTGCGTCATCATTTGCTTTCAGCCGACACATCAAGGTCGGAACGATGGCAGCTATCAACCCAGACGTCGAGAACATGAAAGTTCAACGTGCAGACTTCATGGCCGCCTTGGAAGAAGTGAAGCCGCTCTTCGGTGTTGCCGAAGAAGAGTTGGGAAAGCGCCTGTTGAGGGGTATCGTTCATTTCTCGCCATTCATCAGGGATATCCTGGAGGAAGGGCGTCTTTACATCAACCAGGTCAGAAAACCAGACTCTACGCCAATCCTTTCTGTAGCGTTGCACGGTCCTCCAGGAAGTGGAAAGACAGCACTCGCCGCCAAGATGGCCATGGATTCGGAATTTCCATTCATTAAACTCATATCACCCGAGGACATGGTTGGATTTAGCGAGATGCAGAAGGTACAGCAGCTTGACAAGACATTCCGAGATGCATACAAGAGTCCTCTTAGCGTCATCGTGATCGACAATATCGAGATGCTTGTCGACTGGGTACCGATTGGACCTCGTTTCAGCAACAGTGTACTGGTTGCTCTAAAGATTCTGTTGGAGAAGCAACCGCCGAAGGTAAGTTCAAACAGTGAGCTGCTACCACAGACATGAGTTAACCAACCTAGGGTCGTCGTCTATTGGTCTTCGCGACAACCACAGAGCGCTCCGTACTGACGCAGCTCGATCTCTTCAGCCGCTTCGATGCCGAGATCGCAGTACCAAATGTCAATAGTCAGGCTGAGCTTGCACATATTCTGTCGGAATCCGGTGCGTTCTCGGATCGGGACCAGCAGCGTGCGATCGCCGAAATCGAAGAGATTACAGGCCGCAAAGAAATTGGTGTAGGTATAAAGAAGATCCTGACAGGTATTGAGACCGCGAAACAAGACCAGGATGTACCGGGTCGGTTCGCGAGAGTCATGTCTCGGGCCATTGCAGCAAACACGGGAACTTACAGTTAAGGGTCTATAGACTCACGCGCAATGGATTGGTGTTACTCGTGCAACCTACATCAAGGGCATTCAAGCCTCATGACGAAGTTCGAGCATGACATAGGCAAGCTACTCAAGACTGGGCTAGTTTATAGTTCGTCTAGATACATAGATAGAATCTAACCATGATACCTTGTCCTCTGGTTTTTGGTGCGAGGGATTTTAGATCACAAGCACGTTGAATCTCACCTCTGGGAGTTCCTAGGTCCATTCACTGAACACACAGCAAGCACCAACAAGTCATTCTCGCGAAACAGTCCCATTGCCCTGGTTTCTCCATCTTCTAGCGGTTCGTTACAAGCTCTGATATACCCGTACGGTCCCATGTTGTAGCACCACGTTTACATCCCACCCTGTTCCACCATCGCCTGTCAATGTCAGACCGCATCCACTTAACCTCACATTGACACTCGGCGCTAGGGTCCCACAATCTCGACCCTCTCAACCCTTGCCAGTCTCAGTCTGTGAAACATACGATTCCAAATGTACACCACTCCCCGCTATTGTAACGAAGTAACGAGGCGGTGAGTCCCCGAATCCTCGCAAATCCCATAATCCGACAACACCGTGTGAAACTTGGGCGCCAATGCTTCTTTTCGTCTGGAGAGAGTTAGGGTCTACGTCGTACTAACGGGGCTGGGATTCAGGGTCGAGCTGAGTTGTTGAACCGCGTATCGGCGGTTGATCGGCTGATTTTCCAACGTGTATGGATTGACCAAGGGGAGAAGCCAGGACCCAACATCGTCGTTTAGGTGGAAACAAGTTGCTACTTAGGCACGACAGCGGGTCAAAGTTTCAGGTAGCGAGATGGCTGCAGAAAGGTGTAGGGGGGGAGAATATTAGAGGGCGGATGTCCTGCTGTGGTTTTCATGCTGTTCAATGCGATGCATTGTCATGCTCGTATGCATCTTGCCGTTAAGCATGGTGTTGTGCTCTGTCACTAGACGACGATCATCTTGCGGGAAGATACTAAACTATCGTTTTTTTAGACCGAGGCAAAGATTTGAGTTGGTGGGCCGTAGATAAAGTGTATATGGAAGTTGATATACGGGAATGGTGATCCCGAATCCTGGGCACATTGATCTCGATCTACAATCACATGGTAGAGCTGAAATACTCATCGTCATATTTACACGACAGAGGTTTCGTCATACGACAGCACGCTTGTACACTGTTTCCCTTGCTAATTAGGAGTGGAGTCATTGGATGATAAATATTGATATACTAAGTCTACGTACTGAGATGCGCGTGAGTGAGCCTCTCTTTAGAAAGAAGCCGTCACTAAGGTGATATACAGGCCGTTACATGAGCAGATGAGTAGGAAGAACAAGAAACAGCAAACCAGATCCCAGTCAGTTCCTCGCCACTGTTGTTGCAGCAGCCACGTGTACCCTCGCCTTCGAACGCCATAGGAGATAAGAGGAACAGCCACACCCACGTCTCTGCCGGCCCCATAACCCATTGTCCCGCTCCAGTCGAATCAAGAGTGCCCACCAGTTCGCAGCCTCGCGCAGGAACACTGGACCGCTCACAAGAAGCCACGCTGCTTGCCGCGTGGTTTCCACTAGAAAAGCCGCTATTCGCTCGGTAGATATCAAGCTGCAGCGGGCCGTACCGCGTCATATTCGGTTGGGAAAACAAGATGGGGCATGGGCGCTAAAACAGCAAGGCCATGCGCGAGGGGTGGAGCGGAGTGGAGCGGAGACCGGGGACGTCAGTTCATGACCTCCCGCACATGCGCGGATTTAATTTGAGATAAGAAATGCCAGGAAAGCGAACGTAGTCCCAAGATAATTACTGACAGGAAATTGCTGAGCTTTTTCGTAGAAAACCGAAGAGTGTATAGAGGATCATCTACAATGACAGGAGGCGGGTTTGAGCAGCTGCTAACTTAGCAGTCCACTGGAGCTGGGTACCGACGTTGAGCGGACTCGTATTGCTCGGGGTATTTGGCTGCTGCTCGCTCGTTCAGTGCGCTGCGCAGGTAATTAGCTCAAAAGCTCATGAATCCGCAGTTGTGAGCCACTCACTCTACTCGCTTCTGCGTCCATTGCAGATCCTTCTGCACTTCTTTTGCGGCTCTCATGCCGTCTGCAAAGTTGGATCGTGCGCCTGCCAATCGTCGCTGGGCGAGTGCCTGGAGCTCGAGAAGTTCGCGGTGTTTGGCGTTCAGTTCACCAGATCTGAAAGGATGTCAGTCTCCATTTGTTCGCCATTGCTACACGGACAATGGTCAGTGGCAAAGGATTCCGGTAACTTACGTTTGTGCCTGCTTTACCAAACTGCGATCCAGTGGCATCGGGTCAAACGAGCCATTCAGGCGATTACCCATATACTCTAGGAGATCAATGCTGGCAGCACCGCTGGTAGGTTCGTACTCGCTTGCACTGCCGGCATAGTTGCTTGATGCCGCCGATGGCTCGTAAGATGGAACGCCAGAAGTAGTGATGCTATCGGGAGCCTCGGGTGGTGACCCTGATACGCGTCCATAGCTATGTTGAGGTGGGTAGTACTGAGCATAGCCCGGCTTTTGAGGCACGTTGATGGGATATGAAGTCGAGGGATAGGAGGTATAGTATGTAGCAGGCATGGTGAAAAGACGGAGGGAGTAAGATAGGTTGGAAAGTGAATTGAGTGTTGAGTATTGTGGGTCGAGAGTCGTAGGTACGATGGTCTCGATGGAGGATGTGTGAAGTGATAGTTTTGAGTGTGCCGGGGACAGATGAACCGTAGAACAACAGAGTAGAGAATTCAAGTCTGTGGATAGCTGAAGGAAAGGAAAGATGTCCAGACAGCACTGATGGCCTCCTTTTATACCTTTGTCGGCAAAGACGGAGTGCATGCTGGATCAACGGGTGTAGCATTGACCCCTTCATGCCGTCTCTTCTTCGTAACCCCGCTCGCTTGATGATAAACCTGCATAGCCTTACGTCCACTGAGGTCTCTTGCCGCTGGGGCCGTCCTTGAAAAGCGTCATTTAGACTGGGCTGGAAGAGTTCCCGAGCAGTAGACTGTAGTCGATCCAGGATGGCTCAGCGGGATGACTGAGTTCAACACAAAGTCAATTGGCCAGAGCAAGCAGCTAGTAAAGTAAACGTTCAGCCCGTGTCAGCGGGAAGGTTCAATGGGGCGAATTGGCGAACAATGGCAAAAAATTGGAATCTCAGAAGTATTGCCGTGGATGACCGGTAACACTGCATCGGTAAAGGCAGCAACGCATCACAAGCGCGGCAGATGCATACGCCCATGTCATAGCAAAAGCAGCGACGGAGGATTACTGTATGTGCATGGATAGTCTGCCTGACAGGCATGCTAAGTGTTGTCAAGTTGATGCGTTGGCTCGACAGCACGCCAGCGCCTTTGGGCATAAAATCTGGAAAAGGCATGTGGAGAAGCAGTATGATCGGCTTGCAAGCAGCAGACCGGTGGCGGAACCCGTTCGCGATAAATCATGGAAGATTGCGCCAGCTCCAGCCATGCAGCGTTCTCGGCGGACAACATCGCGTGCGTATGATGATTGTAGTCATGAATTGTCGTCGAGAAATGTTCGGTCCGGCGAAAGCCCCGCTATGGTGCGTCATCCTCGCAAGAACCTATACGGACGGAGCAAACAACAGTCAATTGGCTGTGCTGGCGAACACAACGCCTCATGCAGGCTGAACTTGGCGCCCTGATAGCCCAAGGTCGAAGAAGATCCCTGCTTAGAGCAACATTACACGACACCAAAGCTGGGGTCCGTACACGTTCCTATCAGAATGGCAGGTTCTTGCAGAAGTGGCCTCCTAGTGGCGGTGAAGAAGCCCGTCTAGCTTCAATTGCTTCAGGTGACCACTCCGGCATGCACGCAATCCCCCTGACATAGTGCTATCGTTCGCCATCCTGATTTCTTCCGACAGGGGCCCCTCTGGTGCGGACACTACTTCCAATGGTTTGGGTAATTTATATGTCGTGTCGCTGCGGTATTGCTATAGTCATTCAACACTTGGAGAGAGCGGGATCTGCACGAAAGATCGTCCCGGTTTGGCAAACGAGAGAGACTGCTTCAAAAAGGTCTAATCTATTGGCATGAAAGTGGCTGTCACGAACTGGTCTAGTGTTACAGATCTTGAAGTCGACCATGTGAACTGCGCGTGGTGAACCACAAGATGTACCGTAGTACTAACTTCCAACGTTGTGGGCGTTTGCCTTCGCTATGTTTTCTCCAATAGAAGGCCAGAACATTGAACTAGGTCTATTTCTACGCAGGAACTATGCACCTAACGAGCTGAGAGGCTGATAGCGTTGTGCTAGTACGGATGTGCTGCTGGGATCATGCGAACCAAAGAACCAAGGCCACTCATGCTCCACAGGTTCATAGGAAGGATGGCCCGAAAGTCAGGAATTGGATGCGAGGAGCTCGCCTAGCATTCCCCGAAATGGATAACGCTATTTCTTGACAGCGGGAACAAGGATATCTTGATCCCAGCGTTCAGTTGTTACACCTTATCCAGTAGTGAGCATGAAACACTGAGCTTCATCAGCACGGTTCCTTGAGCCGGACTTCTTCGATGGAATAGAGCAATCGGCCAATCTCTGATATCTCATCCAGGAGTCGACCTATTACTCCTCAAAATTGTTCCTGATGGGAAAACCAGGTCGGATGGTACCGAAAGGTTATCAGAAGCTCACAAAGTTACTGGTCAAAGTTGTTTCATGAATAACAAACGTGTTCTTGGTTTATAGAATGAGGGCTGATAAGTCTCAGGTGACTTGCTTCGTGCATGTTTGTGGCGGCATCCCAAAACAGTCGGTGTGATGCTTTGAACAAAGCTATTAGAATTGCTGTACGTTCAGGTTGTATTTCGAGGCAGGTGCGATTTGCAGGTTTCGTCCCAAGTCGTGTAGGGCGGCTCCAGTAAGTAGCAGCAATTGATTGATGGCTCCCTCGGGCGTTATACCAGTAGATAATACATTTTGAGTATGATGGTTTGGTCGAACTGTAGACATGAGAGCAATCTCAACCCACTTGGTTTATAGTAACGGGATGACTCTCTCCTAACGTGCCGATGTCCATAGCATTCAATGCTTAAAAAGGTAGAATGGCAAGTCTCGTTGGTGCACCATCTCTGTGAGAAATGTCTCGATACCGGTATGTTGGTGTAGCGCGCACAAGCCAAGCATGGTTAGATTGCGTGCTTCCGTCTATCAAAGCATTAGCCAATTCTAAGGCGGAGCCAACAGTAATACTTACGATGTGCCTTCACTTATCACTTTTCATAAAGTTTTCCCACGGATCCTCCACAAAACTGGGCAGAAAGTAGACCGTATCGCCCTTTTCATCCTTAACGCCGAACCGAAGAGTATTCAGCTCACCACGAGAGATTGGAGGACCACCAAAAGACATCGTCTCTGTAGCAGATGTATCAACCGGAGTAAAAGTAGTGGCTACGTGACGAGTTTCGCGAGGAATCTCTGGGAGCGTCTGACCGTGGGCTAAGAAACTAGCGAGACCTGTGGTGGCTGGCGGCTTCTGTGTGCTATGTGACTGGAGCAACGTCGCCTGATGTACAGAACCAGTGGCCGAACTAGCATGTGGAGTCTCAAAATCCTCATGTTCACTGCTCGCTGCAACCTTTGATCTCATTCCTAGTTTTGTGGTATTGGCTCCACTGACATCGGCCTTAGCTTTGGGTGAATTCGCCTGGTCGTATTTTCTTTTCTTGGTACCGCCAAAGGACGAAAAGCCCATGGCAGCGGCGATATCGTCTTCCTCCATGGTAGCGTTGTCGAAGTTTGCACTCGTCGCGCAGAGAACAAAAAGTCGGAGAACAACATGTCGTGAGCTATTGCTTAGGTAAAGACGCTAAGCATGGGCCGACCCACAGATCAGGTAGCTAGCGGCGTAACGTCCCCCGAAAGGAAGGCGCTCCACTTGCGCGTGTTTGTTGGCGGGTTTCGAAATAAACATTTGGAGGCAGAGGTCGAGCTTGATGATCAGTGTCCATGACAGTACCTATGTAAACTTGTCTGGTGCAGAAACCTCGACAACGTCTGGTGACATGACTGGGGCTCGGCTTGGCATCGGCGTCATCAGCACAGTGACTTAGGCAGGGATTTGAAGCAACGCCAGAGCGTCGCGTCGACTCTCCTCGTCCCACCGTGGTCAGACAGAATACCAGACTATAGTATTGTCGAACGGTCACGATGAGCGAGTCTCCGCAGACGATGGCAGAGCGCCGTTATCTGCGACCCAGCGTAAGCCTTCCTGGTCTCGGAAATATAGAGCTGGAAGTCTTCAGTTCTCTTTGTAGGGTTGATGAGAAGCGCATACAGTGTTCAACATACACAGGCTGCGCTATACATGATGAGTAATTACTGAACAAAGCTGACTATGTACTACAGCTGCGGTCGGCAACGATGATACAACCGAAGACTGGCGAGCGCGTCAAGAAATCATTCACACTTCGAAGATCGTACCACCGTCCAACCGAGTCTACCGAGTTTCTGCTTGCGCCAGGTCAACATGATCCTACACGACACGAAGACATGGGCAGAGTCGAACGTCTGCAGGAAACCTGCAAGTACCGAATTCGACAAACCTACGCGTACGCGACCTCTCCGACAGGTATTGGAATACTCAAGTGCTCGCTGGCATATATTTTGGGGTCGCTAGCTACTTTCGTTCCCCAAATTGCTGGGTTACTGGGGAAGAACGATGGAAAGCACATCGTGGCTACCATCACGGTATACTTCCACCCAGCACGGTCAGCTGGCAGTATGCTTGAAGCCGTTTTGTTAGCATTTGCTGCCTTCCTATACGCGGCCTTCATCTCGTTTTCTAGCATGGCTGTCTCCGCGTACTTTGGAAATCACCACCATCTTGTCCTAGGCCATGTCATCGTACTTATCGTGTTTTGCGGCGGAGGCCTGGGACTTGTAGGCTGGACTAAGCAAAAGCTGGGCAACCCACTCGTCAACGTTGCTTGCTCATTGACTTCTCTTGCGCTGATTACGGTGTTGACGAAAGAAGGGGCTGTTCAGGCCGCCAAGTTTTCGTATGTCAAAGTCTGGCAAGTATTGAAGATGATCATCATGGGTTGTACAGCATCCGCAGCGGTCTCTCTTCTTGTGAGGCCGACCTCAGCGCGGACTGAATTTCGCGATACTTTCATTCAAGCGACCGATGCAATGGCCGAGATACTCAATGGTATCACTCGTAGCTTCCTCTCTGGCGAACAGCAAGATCTCGAGAACGATTCGTTTGTAAAAGCCTCGAATCAAAGCAAGTCAACTTACAAGACGTTGGTCAAGAACCTGGGAGAAGCCAAATTCGAATACTATGTTCTTGGCACCGAGGATGAGTATAGAATCAACGCACGTCTGGTCAAGTGCCTGGAGACGTTGATTCAGAGCATCGGTGGCTTGCGAAGTGCTGCAGAAACACAATTCACGCTCCTCGCTCAATCAAGCACAAGCAGTGGGCCACTATCGGACAGTATACCTGCTAACGGCACAGTCACATCGTCCATATTCTCAGAACACACGATGTCTCAAAGCCCTCCTCAGATGTATTCCCCAAGTCTCAGTCACACAGAACGTCGGACTAGCATTCTCGCCTCGATCGATGAATTACCGGAGAGCCCTATGGAAGCATTTGCGGATGGGTCGGATGATGAATCAAGCCAGACCAATGATATTGCTGGAATACCAAGTTTTATCCACTCCAACAATCTCACGCCCGCTGATATATTCTCCATATTTATCGCCCAGTTGGGACCGCCGATGGTAAGCCAGAGCTCTCATGTCCATCTACTCAGCGTGTTGATAGTTACAGAAATCGCTTGCGTACACACTACGTGAAATACTTTCCGAGCTCCCTTTTGGCCCTGGACCCGAATACCACATGGCTATCAACGAGCATTTTCGTCACAGTCTCATTGACGCGAAGGCTCTTTTTTCTAATGCTAGACAAGAAGCTCTCTCCGTGATTTACCAGAGCAAAATACCGTCGAAGACTGGTTCGGCTGCAGTGGCCGCCGACTTCGAAGAGGTCGCTGCAAGCTGTGGCTATTTTAGTTCCTCATTGCAAGACTTCGCCGAAGACATGGTGACCTTTTTGGACATACTCGAAGACTTGAAAGCAAACGTAAATCTTCACCCGCGTCGAAGAACATGGAGCTGGCTGAAGTTTTGGCGTAAAAATAAGCGTTCTGGCGACGACTCCGGTAGGTTACACTCACTTGCTGTATTCGAGATTCCAAAGTGCTAATAGATGCCAGAGCAAGTGAATTTGATTAACGAGGGCCCAAGTCAAACGCCTGGTGGCTCACATGAAATTCATAACCCGATCTATCGAAAGTCAAATCGCGGCGACCCATACAAACCCATGAATAAGCAACCACTCTCATATCGCACTTGGGTAGCTTTATCTATTTTTAGAAGAGATGATCTCAAATACGCTGTCAAGGTCGGCATTGGTGCCGTGCTTTACGCCATGTGGTCTTTCATCAGGCCAACAAAGGCCCTTTATGGCCATTGGCGTGGTGAGTGGGGTCTTTTGTCATACATGCTGGTCTGCTCAATGGTACGTTCAAGTCCGTGGTTTTCGGATGCATTATGTCTAATACCACGATCAGACAATTGGCGCTTCCAACACAACCGGGTTCCAACGGTTTGCAGGTACCTGCCTAGGGGCTGTATATGCAATCGTTGCATGGATCGTGGCCGACGAAAATCCCTACATACTTGGGTTCTTCGGGTGGATAGTCTCTCTCCTCTGTTTCTACATCATTGTAGGAATGGGTAAAGGGCCTATGGGTCGTTTCATCCTGCTCACCTACAACCTCTCCGCGCTATACGCCTACTCATTGTCAGTCAAAGATGATGATAACGACGATGATGAAGGCGGTATATCACCTGAGATCTGGGAGATCGTTCTTCACCGTGTCGTTGCTGTCATGGTTGGTTGTCTCTGGGGTATCATCGTCACTAGAGTCATATGGCCAATCTCAGCACGACGCAAACTCAAAAAAGGCGCATCGCTCTTGTGGCTCAAAATGGGTCTTCTCTGGAAGCGCGGTCCTCTACAGACCTTACTTGTTGAGGCCAATAATGGCGACATACACCGGCCGTATTCGTACATGAGTGAACATGAAGAACTCGAATTACGGCGCTTCTTGAGTCATTTGGAAACACTTCGTGCATCGGCTTCGTCAGAGTTTGAACTGAGAGGTCCATTTCCGGACAAGAGTTTCAGAGTCATTCTGGACGCGACCAGTCGTATATTGGATAGTTTCCACGCGATGAACGTCGTCATCTTAAAAGACCTGAAGGCGTCAGAGGGAGAGAAGGAGATTCTGAAATACACGAAGAAACAGTGGACAGAGCTGAGCTGGCGAATTAGTCATTTGTTCTCAGGTAAGCAACTTTTCTTTCCTCGCCATTAATGTTTGATCAAAGGCTACCCGATGTGTCTCGCGCATTGGTCAGTCTGGTGACTACCATAGTGCGCTGTTAGATCTGATGAATCATCTGCTAACAACCCATAGTTATGGCGTCTTCTATGAAATTGGCATACCCACTGAATGATGTGCTACCCAACGTGGACCATACAAGAGATCGACTGCTAGCCAAACTCTTCGAGTTCAGACAATCTGGGCTCGGCAAAGTCATTGCTAAGGACGAAGACTACGAGTTACTCTATGCTTACGGTGAGTCACATATCTTGTGCTTATGAATCCATACAACGCCATATGACCTGTAATCTCTCATATACAGTTTCCGAACAGAAACTGGAAAGGTCGCTGGAGCTATTCAGCTTGTATAAAGCCGTAGCGGCTCGCCTGTGTCTCATTATTGCAGGAATACTCGCTGACAATATGTATAGCACTTGTAACTGGCCAACTAGCCCACGACCTCGGTATCATCGGACAGGAAATTGAAAAATTGTACGGCGTGTTGAATGAGGAAGACTTGAAATTGCAATAAGCGAAGATATCGTTAAAACTTATTCAAATTAAGACTGGCTACCAACCATGTATGCTCCCTTGAACTCAGAGTTGCTTATGAATTCCATGTATACGATAGAAATTCGAATGGTTTTAGTGTGAATGCGAATTGCATCACTTCGCTAACGACTGCTGAGTTTAATGAGATCAATTGGCCTGGCTTTGAAAGGTTCATAATCATTCAAGTTGTACAAGGCATATGATCTATTGCTTGAGTCCAACTTGGACGCAGTGCTGTAATCGTTGCCATTTAGGTAATTCCGCGGTGCCTCTCGTGACGACAGCTTAGTCTGCTTTGATCGCTGATCTGGACCTAGAATGAGTCACAATGACTCTCGACATCTGCAACAGGGTGCCAGTCGGAACTAACAAGAGGGAACCTATCGGTAACCGGTTTGGAACAACATGGTATGCAGTCGTGTAAAATGCTGTTGAGTAGTGAAGTGGTGGGCAATCGAGAGCTCAGACATCTCACAAAAGAAGGAGCTATGCAAGCTCAGAAGCTACCCACAGCCATTGTGAAAACTGACATGTGAGGGACAATAACAACTCCTACCAAGATCAATGACTAGAATATGCAACACTGTTTGAATGCTGTCGCAGGATGGCAGATGGCGTGGCACACGTGACGACGATAGCGCGGCTTGGCGGGTCGCTTAGCTGACAATCGCTGCGCACTCGAAAATACTCTCTCGTCACGGTAAGTCTCGCAACACCACCCACGACCACGGCCGACAACAGCATCGAAAATGTAAGAAATACGAATCTCTGCATCACTGCCCATGGCCGACAAGCAATTTCGCACCTCCAACACCCGCCACGCCTCGCGATTGCGTTCGACAAGCGACTCGAGACGTGGCGAACCCCTCTTTACACAATCTCTCACACGACACCCACGGCTCCAGCCAAAACACCATACTGACTGACATTGTCAACAGGGTCAACCTCCGCACTCAGAAGCGCCTCGCGGCCTCCGTGGTCGGATGCGGAAAGCGCAAGATCTGGCTCGACCCCAACGAGACCAGCGAAATCGCCAACGCCAACTCCCGTCAGACCATCCGCAAGCTCGTCCAGGATGGCCTCATCATCCGCAAGCCAGTCACCATGCACTCGCGTGCTCGTGCACGTGCCCTGACCGCTGCCCGACGAATCGGCCGACACCGTGGTTTCGGTAAGAGGAAGGGTACCGCGGACGCTCGTATGCCAAGGTATGCAACCTCGATAGCACCATTACAACACATCTGCGGGAGAAGACACGATGGAGTGCGGTGAATGGGTGTTCAGGAACGTATGCTGATGCGCATGTCTATAGCCAAGTCCTCTGGATGCGCCGCCTCCGTGTCCTCCGCCGTCTCCTCGTCAAGTACCGTGCCGCCGGAAAGATCGACAAGCACCTCTACCACGAGCTGTACCACCTGTCCAAGGGTAACACCTTCAAGCACAAGCGTGCTCTCGTTGAACACGTACGTTTGCCATGACATCATGACTATGTCCAACCCCGCTCAAGGCCTGGCAACTGACATTCACTGCAGATCCACAAGGCCAAGGCCGAGAAGGCCCGCGAGAGGGTCATCAAGGAGGAGATGGATGCCAAGCGTGCGAAGACCAAGGCCGCGAGGGAGAGGAGGCAGGAGCGTGTGCAGCAGAAGCGTGCTGCGCAGTTGGGCGAGGGCGAGGAGTAAACGATGGGCGACATGACGAACAGTTGGCGTGGGTCTTTTCAAGGTTAAAGGAGGGCGTCAATCTCCTTTCTATCTGGGGCATTATGGTCATGTTTCATGTACGTCTGGGTTTATGCAAACGAGCTCTTCTCCATGCATGCTCGACTAACAGGCTACCGTCTCCGAACATCGATGTTATGAATGTCCACACGAGGGATATGGAATGCATTAGCATCGACACAGTAGAAACGAGTGGTCAATCTTGGAGTTGGTCTTCTTTTCATGTGCTGTTTTCTTGCTTGCGTTGCTTTAGTGGTGATACTTGTGCGCTTGTACGTCAGTGCTCGGTGGGCAACCAGCCATGCCAACAAATATTTTCTTTATGAATGAGTGGCTGAAACTTTCCATACCAAACCATGTGGTGTCAACCTGTCCATGGGTATCACAAAACCGTGAAAAGAATATACCGATACAAACTCCCAACTCCCATACAAGTGTCGCTATCTTTCAGATCTGTTTCGTGTTAGCACATGCTCATACACACAAGTTCTTATACTACGTACCAATTTCAAAGCCGCGCGATGGACGTTCCTCGTGAAGTTGAGCATGGCTCGACTCTTGTTATTCCCCCTCTGTAACCTCCGATAGCCCTCCTGCACATGGCCCGGCTGCACGGGTTCCCTAGCCTCCTCTGGCGGATCAAACAGACCCCTCTCCCTCTTCCTCTTCAACCGATTCTGCTCTCCACCCGTGTTCTTCTTGTACAGATCCTCTGCATCTTTGACCTTGAGTGCCTCCTCGGTCAGCGTCTGCACAATCTCAAACGTCAAGAAGCCGAGGATATCGATGATATCATCCGACGGCTTCGAGTCAGTAATAAGGCCGAAGCCAGCCCATTCCTTAAAGCGCTTGCCCTTGCGGTACGTGAACGAGGCCTGGCGACAGTCGGACCAGTGCACGTATTCGAGGCGCGTCATGTTCTTTGTGCGTTCGTCTGCGTTCTTCAAGCGTTGCAAGGTCGCGTAGTTCATCTCCTCCTCCTCTTCGTCCTCGACGTCGTCTTTCAGCGGCGGGAATTCCGTGAAGAATGAGTGCACATCCCATACCAAGTCGACTTTTGCGCGCTTAGCTTTCTTGCCTGCTTCGGGGCCGGAGGGACCAGAGCCCGCGCCCACGACACCCGCGGCTAGATCGGCGTCCCCGGCTGCTACGTCGGCGCCGGCGTCACCGCCTTTGTCGTCGGAGTCTTTGACACTGCGCCGCACGTCTTTCCACTGCAGGAAATGGCGCAGGCGGGAGATCTTGGCGCGGTCATGTCGGATCAGCATGAAGAGGTCGTCTGTGGAGATTGATTTGCTGCCGCGGCGCGTGGCGAGGGCGGTGCATTCGCGTAGTATGTGTTGGACTTGGTCTTGCACAATGGACTCTATTAGGGTGGTGGTTTCGGGTGAGGGGTCGCCGGTTTCGCCGGAGACAAACATCATCTGTGGGCGTGGGAGGATTAGTGGTGTGCTGGTGGGGAAGAGACGGGAGGGAGATGAGGAGCGTGAGGTTGACGGGAGAGATGTGTATATGATGCCATGATTGGTAGACAAGATGCGTGAGAGAAGTGACAAGGTAGGAGTGCGACGAACGTGTTCCAGACGGTTGAACAAGAGTTTTGAAAAACGAAAGATGAGATGACAGTGAAAGAGAGTGCAGGCCAGATGATGGTTGATATGTGTGAAGAAACGGATGAAGTTGAGAGATAGCTCAGCTATCATCAAGACGTAAAGAAATGGATCGTGCAACATGCAGTGTATAACCACAATAGACTAGAAGCATTGACGAGTAACAGCTCATACAAGTCGTCGCCTAGATAAGAAACGATAGATCCAGTGATACATATAGCACAACTGACAGAAAAGCGACGTAGACGAGAGAAAAGAGAGTCACGACAGCATTACTCTCCGCATATGAATGAAGACTGGAAAACGACTCGACAAGGAAACGAAGTACGCGCGAGACCTACTGACCTGTTGAATCTCCGTCCGGTATTTGGCCATCTTATCCTTGTCCGACGACATGGCGTCACGCGCTCAGGACAGCTCCCCTCGCGACGGAATATAAATACGTTACGTACGCGGTAGAACGCACAGTATGCAGCGCAACAGCGGGGGTGGGGAGAGAAAGAGAGAAAGAGAGATAGTTGTTGCGACCGTACCTTGATGTCTCGTGTCTCCCAGCACGCGTTTGCGGTCCACTAGAACGTTTTAGTCTAGACCAATCCTTAGCTCAGCCCTACCACATCCCCGCCAAAGTTTTGTGAATTTCGACCACCCCCACTACGACTTCGATATTCACACTATCGCACGCTCACTGCTCACGTGCAAATATCAGGCAAATATGCTGTACCTCGTGGGATTGGGTCTGGCGGATGAAAAGGACATCACGGTCAAGGGCCTGGAGATAGTGAAGAAGGCGTCGCGCGTCTATCTCGAGGCGTACACGGCGGTGCTGCTCGTGGAGAAGGATGTGCTTGTGAGTTTTTCCCATGAACCCACGCACACATTGCTATAAGAAACGCAAGACTGGGGTGTTAATTGTCACGGTAGTAGGAAGCCTTCTATGGCCGATCCGTCATCATTGCCGACCGCGAAATGGTCGAGTCGTCCAGCGACGACATCCTCAAAGACGCAGATACAGTAGACGTCGCCTTCCTCGTCGTAGGCGATCCATTCGGGTACTTTCCCCCCATCCCCCATCCCCTCTCTCTCCCCAGAACACAATAAAACACAACCTAACACCCCCCCCAGCGCAACAACCCACACCGACCTCGTCCTCCGCGCACGCGAGCTCTCCATCCCCACGCGCTCCATCCCCAACGCCAGCATCCTAACCTCAATCGGCACCACAGGCCTCCAACTCTACAACTTCGGGCAAACAATCTCCATGGTCTTCTTCCTCGACAACTGGAAGCCCGCATCCTTCTACGACCGCGTGGCCGAAAACGCCGCTATAGGCCTGCACACCCTCGTCCTCCTCGACATCAAGGTCAAGGAGCAGAGCCTGGAGAATATGGCGCGCGGGCGGCGCATCTACGAGCCGCCGCGCTACATGACGGTTGCGCAGTGTGCGCGGCAGATGTTGGAGGTGGAGGAGGAGGATAAGAAGCTGGGGGTTTATACGAGGGAGAGTCTGGCGGTTGGGGTTGCGCGCGTGGGTGCTGAGGATGAGAAGATTGTGGCGGGCACGCTGGGTCAGCTTTGTGATGCGGATTTGGGGAAGCCGCTGCATAGTCTGGTGTTGTTGGGGTCGAGGACGCATGATCTTGAGAGGGACTTTTTGGAGGAGTTTGCTGTCGATAAGGAGGTTTTCAGACGGGTGTGGGCGAGGGATTATGAGGGAAAGTCGTAGGTGGAATCTACAGCTAGGCGGGAAGAAATACGGTGTTAGAAGTAACTACGTCTTCAATCCAAGTCATGCTTTCTTGATCATATCCGACTCCCCATCTACACAGCATAAACACCTCACCCCCCCTACAACCCCCTCACTTCACACCACCTCACTTCTTCTTACTCCCCCTCCCCCCCCTCTTCGCCTTCCCCCCATTCTTCGCCGCGCCCCCACCCCCGCCCTTCCTCCCCCCCGAAATCATAACCCTAACCTTCGCCACGGGCACAATACCCACAACCTCCAATTCCTTCCAATTACGAATGAGTTCCATCTCTCTTGGCCAAATACGCTCGACATCCTGCGCCAGCCGATCCGTAGCCTTTGCATCCTTACCCGCCGAGTCCCAGATGCCGAGGACCTCCTTGACGGCCTTCCCGCGCTTCGTGGAGCCGGGCTGGATCTTAGCTTTATATTTATACGCCGCGAGGGCGGACCAGGGCGCGCAGATGGGGATAGCGGAGAGGAGGTCGTCGCCTGGGAGGGGCCGGCCGGTGAAGGCGTCGAGGTTGAGGAGGTGGGCTTTTAGTGCTTCGTCGCCTTCGTCGTGGTCGTCTTCTGCTGCTGGTGGGGCGGCGTGGGCGGCGAGTCGGGCTTCTTCTGCTGCTTTGCCCGTTGCCTGGGCGCGGAGGTGTTGCTCGCGGCGGCGCTGCTTGTTTGCTTGTGCGTCGTCTTCTTTTTGGCGTTTTTCGAGCGCGGCGGTTTCGGCGGCTTGTTGGCCGGATTTGGAGCCTAGGATGCGCATGGCGAGGGCGCGGTCTTCTTCGTCTTGCTCGGCGTATTTGGAGGCGAGTTTCTTTGCTTTGCCGCGTTTGCCTCGTGGGAGGGGCGCTTGGCTGGCTTTGGTCGCTTTGGATGTTACGGTGCCTGGTGCTTTTGGGGGGGTGGTGGTGTTGTCTTCGGTGGGCGCTGCTTCATCGTCACCAGTGGGTGTCGACGCGGATGGGGGTTGAGTGGATCCTGGGAGCTGTCCCTTCTTAAGCAGTCGTCGTTCTTTCGCTGATAGATGACGGCGTGTTGTGGTTCCGTGGGTCTGCTCGGAATCGGCGACGGAACCAGCATCGTCTTCTGACTCGTCGTTACCAGACAAATCGTCTTTGCCTCCAGACACAGCAGGCTGAGAGTTGTCTTTTGTAAATGGAGTATCATCCTCATCGTCGGAGTCGGCCCGGGCGTCTGCGGTCTTTGACTGAAGAGGATTGGAAGGTTCCTCGGCTTCGGATTCGCGGTCACTCTCATCTGAGTGATCGATTTTCGCATCAGGGAAGTCATCTTCTGACTCGGACGCCAGCTTCGCATCTGGGAAATCTTCCTCCTCATCGCTATCGGCGTCTTTGCCATCATCTGAACCCTTTGCCTCGTCGGCCGCTTCCGGGGCAGGTTCTGTAGTAGTGGGCTCAACTGTTCCCGTAACACGATGTTTCAGGTGACGAGCCTTGCTCTCTTCGCTGATCTCAAACATGACGGCAAGACCGACAACGAGTTGAGCCGGCGGCAGATATTCCTTCTTGCCCTTGATGTCGAACATGCCAGGCCCGAGGAACTCGCGAGTCTGGCCAATCTTGCTGACTTGTTCGCTCAAAACCCACCACGCGGACATGCTCGCCTTCGAGTCCCACGCCTCGGACGTGCAGACAGAAAAGTTTCCGGCTTGCGACAATGTTGATGGCGGTATTGGGGCGTCTGGAGAATTTGGGTTATTCTTGATGATCATAGGGAATGCGCCCTTCAGATCAGCATGCACAAAGACATCCCCCTTCCGGAAGTATTTTTTGTAGATGATGTCGCTTTGTAGCGCGTCTTTGCCGCCGAGAACCAGATACCCGTCCGATGAGATGAAGTAGAGAAACTTCTCAAACCACTGCGTCTTCCGCACGGGGCGCAGCACTTCCTTCTCTTTCTTCAGCCCTTTCTTCAGATCCTCCGCGACCTTCTTCTCGTGGCTTTTCAATGCCATAGTAGATGCCTGAACTGTACGGTCTTCTTTCCCAGCGGCAGTCTTCTTCTGATCGAAATACTCGGTAGAATTTGCCCAGGCAGACAGACCGAGGTCAATGTCAATCGCCAACTTTGGCTGTGCGGCTACCTTGACAGGCGAGGCCTTTTTCTTTGTGTCGTCACCCTCGTCATCTGTATCCTCACTGACCGAGCTGGTCTCGTATCCTTCCTCATCATCATCTTGCTCTTGATCCCAACTCGTTCCATCAAGCAGCAGCGTGATGGTGTTCTCGTGGAGCTTGAGCGGCAGCTTGATGAGCTGTGCAACCTGGTTTCCTTGGGTTTGCTCTCGCTCGATCAAACGTGCAATGTCCACCCAATCCATGCCTTGTCTAACCAACCCATTGACAGCTTCAGTCGCCTCGGTAACTCGGTGCACGTTGGCAAGGATGGCTTCTGCTTTCTGGAAATTCGTTTCTTGCACCTGTTGCAGGCCACCAATCCGTTCTGCATGCTCCTTTCGGGCCTTTTCGAGCTTCTTTTTCGCCTGCTGCTCACGTTCCTGCAGTTTTGACTCGAGTTTCTGGCCCTCGATTGACGAGAAGAATTCGTCAACAGCCTTGTTGAATCCATCAAATTCCAAGAATGTGTAATCCGAGTTCTCAAACTGCTGTGGTCGAAAGGGGTGAAAATCATCATACATGAGCTTGGGTTTGTCGGAGGAGTCGTCCTCATCCGTTTTCGGTGCAGGTGGGCCTGACTTTGCCAATATATATCCTTTGACTTGGTCTTGGTTTGTGATGTCCTCGGTTATCTTTCTGGCGTCCTGCAATACCAGAAGAAGCTTCTCTAGTAGCTCCTCATCAGCGAGAACCTGGTCTGGCTTCAAGGTAGAATCGAAGCTGTTGATGTGCAGAGCGTGATCCACAAGCAGGGGAGGGCATTCAGTTATGGATACAGCTAGCGCTTTTCTCAACATGTCCTTGGTCGACTTCTTTGCCTTCTTCCCTGCTGCTGCAGGCTGCGCTTCTTGTCTGTCGACTGCCTTTTGCAGACTTGAGCGAATTCTGTCCTTTGTGAGCTCCGGTATGCCGCCATAGTTTTGCCGCAACGACAGGTTGTATTGCAATCCAACTCTAAGCTTCTCATGTTCCTCGCCTTCTTCCACGTTGCGCAGCAAGGCTAGGATGTTCAAATCGCCATCTGTGAGGACAATGTTCCCGCCAGCGTAGAACTCGAGGTATAGTTTGTACAGGCCGTCGGAGAACTGGAACTCGAGAATGCGATCGGTACCGATCTGAGAGATTGACGTCACTCTCCTCGTTTTTAGGTATTTTCGCAGCTTGGCAACAAAGGCCGAGGGTGCTGCTGCCGTGGTGCGCGCATATTCGGTGAGGTGGCAACGGAAGCCAGAGTCGACGAGTAGTTGCTCGCGGTGGTCGGGTTTGTGGAACTTGATTAGGAAGATTCTCTGTGGGTTTGTCAGTATGAGAGGCGTCTTCAACTATGAGAAGCTCGTGGCGCACCGAGGAGAGATCATAGACATTGGTAACTCTCAAAGAGGTAAGCGATTTGGATAGCTCGTGGGCGATGACCTGGGATAATTAGCACCAAGTAATCACGCATGTATGAGCAACCTGCCTTGACGTCCAAGCTGGAAAACCTCTGCTTCATAGTGGTGTCGTGTGCAGAGTTCTGTGGTGGTGGGGTTGAGGTGGGATGCGATGACGAAGTACGAACGCGCCAGTACAAGGATCATCGAAATGTTCCTGAGCTTAGTAACACGCACCCTTCAATTATGGTTATTCACACAGACCCTGATGTCCAAGCCAATGAAGAGATTGCGTGTCTTCAGCAGCTTGCGTAAAAGTACTTTCTATCGTGCCTGGACATGGAGGGGTATGCAATCGCCATGCCCTTTTGACCGTGTGAACTCCTCCAACGCCATATCCACGCTGCAACCCAAAACTCAAAGACCCTGCCGTATCCTCTCCGCCAGCTGCCTCTTGCCAAACTCCCACGCGTTCAGGAAGCCCTGTTCTGAGAGGTCGAGGTTCTTCATCGACGTCATGTCTTGCGCCGGGGGCTTGCTGACACGCGAAGCAACAACGACGGGGTCGGTCTCGAGGATGATGCCGTCGTCTACGAGCTCGTCGACGGCGAGCGACTGCGGGTGTTAGCACAGCTGGTAATGTCGTGTTCGGGGAGGTGGTACGTACCACGAGATCGTAGTTTTCGATGACGGTGCGCTTGTCGACGGAGTTTCTACGTGGGTTAGGCTGGGCTGCAGGCTGGGTTTCGGCGTTGAACTCACTTGAGCAGGATGTTGAGCGAGTCTCTCAGCGCAAGGACGACGCTGTGGAGTGTTAGCCTTGCTTCTGTGTGGTTGGTTGCGACTGCTGTACCTGTACAGCAGAACCTCGTTCTCCTGGGCGCTCCCCACGACGTAGAGCATGACGTCCGACTCCATCTTGAAGACGACGACCTTCTGGTCATAGAGTATGATGTCGGTCGTCTGCTTGGCTGTTTTCTCTGCGAGCTGGGTCAGACTCTGCCAAGACAATTCAACATCCTCCAGAAGTAATACCCAACAGTCCCTTCTCAAAAGCCTTCTGGTCCTTTACCGTCTTGTAGGCGATCTGGCCGGGGTAGTCGGACTGGACGCCGGCGGGCGGGTGAGGGTTCGCGTAGTACTTTGTGAGGATGCGGGAGCCATCGTCGATGGCGAGGATCAGGATAGCCTGGATACTGAAGAGGGTCAGAGGGCGCGACATGTCGGGTAGAGGTTATCGTCGTCGTCGGCGTCGTCAATGGGAAGCGCAGCACAGAGCGTGGGGGAAAGGTGTCTCGTAGCGGCGAATGGGCCAAGCACGGAGGTTGCTAGCGGCCGACGAAAAGTGCTGCAGCCGTGGGAGACTTTGACGAGAGCAAGTCGACATGGCACCACCCGCACCCGCCATGTCGATGATGTCGCGCACCTCGCTCGCCGCCCTGGTGTGCCCCTCGGCTCCGTTCCTTGCGCCCCGTCTGCTGCGCATCACCGCCCCCCTTGCGACCGCCGCCCCGCCATGCCTGCCGTCGCAGCGGGCCCACTATGCCACCACGCCCGGAGGGAAGAAGACGGCCAGGTCGAGTGAGGCCGAGGGGAAGAAGACAGCCAGGTCGAGTGCGCCCGAGGGCAAGAGGGCAGGCAAATCAGGGGAGGCAACGGGCCAGCACACGATGCGGCCGTCGTTCCTGGGCAAGGACAAGACGCTGCAGCGCGCCAGATACGAGTCGCAGCGCCAGACGGCCGACCTGGTCACGCAGTTCCGGCGGGCGGTCGACACCCGTGACATCAGGCAGGTCATGGAGCTGTACCCGACGCTGCTCGAGGCCCGCCTGCTGAACCGCTACGACACGCGCCGCATCGGCCAGGTGCTGCACGTCCGCATCCGCAACCTCAAGCACGCCTCCGATCTCGCCCTGCCCGACCTCTGGCCCTTTGTGCAGCAGTTCGTGGCCGACACGCGCAGCGGCGCCCTCGACCCGCACCCCTACGCCTTCGTGCACCTGCTGGGCATCTACAAGGACCTCAAGCGCTTCCATGACGGCCATGCGCTGTGGCAGTGGCTGGTGCAGCAGGACGAGTCGTTCGTGTCGCAGGCCGCCTACGGGGCCGCCATCGAGCTCATGGCCTACGGCGGCCTCATGCGCCTGCCCGAGCTCGAGGACCTGTACGCCGACGCCCTGAAGCGCTTCCCGGGCACCTTTGCCGAGTACCACCTCTCGCCCGACGCCATCGTCGCCGACCGCACCCAGCCCACCTTCACCACGGGCCTGCCCACGGTGCTGCTGCAGGGCATCCTGACCGCCCGCATCCTGGCCCGCGACTGGAAGCGCGCCTACCTGGCCCTCGACACGGCCCTGCGCCTGTACCCCGCCCAGACCCCCATGCGCTTCTTCGAGCTGTTCCTGGCCGAGCGCCCCGTCTCCGAAGCCTACGCCGCCCTGATGCTCGCCTGCCGCGCCGGCATTGTCGTGCGCCCCAAGCACGTCACTGCCCTGATGACCAAGCTGCGCGCCGCCATGGCCGAGTCCCCGTCGCCCGCCGACCGCCTCATGGTCCTGCGTGCCATTGCCAACGCCCTCTACGCCTACCTGGAGGCGGGCGGCCAGCTCGAGAGCATCCACGTCGGCTCCTTCCTGCGAGCCTTCGACGCGGTGCTGCCCGAGCAGACCCCCGGCCAAGACTACGAGGGGGACGCCGCACAGCTCCGCAATACCATCGTCGTGGCTGCACACGAGACCCTGTCAGGCCTGTTGCAAGCCGGCATGTCGCCGCAGATCCACCCCTTCGATTCGCTGATCGCCATCGCTGGCAGGCTGCGCGTCCCTGACCTGCTCCTCACTACTCTCCAGGACATCAACACGGCGCGTCTCGAGCTGGGCCCGATTGGAGTCCGGAGTGTGCTCACGGCGGCTGGTCTCGTAGGGAACAAAGACCTGATCGAGCAGTTTTGGTCGCGCGTTGTCTCATCCGCTGAAGCCGAGAGCAGGCAGATCCCCTTCGAAGACTGGACCACGCTCGTCAAGGCGTGTAGACGAGCGAACCATGTCGACTACTTCAAAGCACAGCTGCTCAGCCTACCGCACGCCATCACTTCTAGCATTGAGCGAACCATCACCTCCCAGCTGAGCGAGAAAGAAGTAGTGCCCAACATGCAATCGTTCGAATACCCAACCACCAGCGAACTCACCTCAGAAATGGAAGCCCTGAAGACGCAAATGAAAAGCATCCAAGCCGTCGTCATGTCCGGACAGCCTCTCGACCTCCGCAAATCGCCTTTCCACATGCATCTAGACCCCAGACACGGGCAGCTGGGCAACGACGAGGCCATGCGCGCCGTCTACGAAGGCTTCACAACCGACCCCCACCAGCCACCACCGCCCCCACCCGCAGACGGCAAAGCAGTCCTAAGCCCCACCGGCATCCCCCTCGACGAACTCCGCTACCAGAACTGGGTCACCATCCTCGAGATGATGGACCAAGCACAAGCCTACGACACGGACATCCAAGCCGCCCTCGACGCAGCCATAACAGCCGGCAAGCCCCTCCGCAACCCATCAGACATCCTGCGTCTGCGCCCTAGCTCACACACAACCACCCCCCTCCACGACACGGCCGCCCTCCGCCAGAAGATCAAGAGCCTCCGCGCGCAGGGCCCCGCGCCCCTGCCCTTCCGCAAAGTAACCCCGCGCTCTCCTGTTGATGACGTGCGTAGTGTTAATCCTCCCAGGGCTTCTGAGCACGTCAGGGATGTTCTGCGCGAGAAGTATCACGCGAATGAGATGAGGCCGGTTGAGGGTGCGTTGCGGCTGAGCTATTATGTTGGCTTGAAGTCGGATCATGATGCGCCGGTTAATCCGGAGAGGAATTTTTTTAGGGGGATTAAGGTGGGTGCGAGACGGGGTGTGGGGAAGGAGGGGCGGGTTCGTGGGGAGGAGGGTTAGATACCTTGTGGAGTGATTGAGGTGTTTTGATATGTGTAGATTAACGAGATTATATGATGTGTTGGGCGTGGGAACTGTAAGATGAATGGATTCGTTCAGGATATCGTCTCGCGGTGTTTACTATGTCTATATCATATCCCATCATAAACGTGTGGTTGATCAAGACTCTCCCCGTGTATGTTGATGTTGATATCGTAGATAAAGAGGGGGCAATATATCACTGCTATTCATCTACCAGATTGTGCTGTAACGACAAGTTGCACTACGAATAACGAGCGATCATCGAAGTAAAATCTATAATATAACATAATCTCATTACCATATACTCGTTATTCCAAAACAGCCCCTCGTAATCCCCAAGTCCACTAAACTCAACGTGAAGTATGATATCGTAGAGTACCCATGCCCAACCCACATCCCCATCCCGATCCATACAAAAAATCATACAGAAATACAAGAAATAACCCCATTCAAAAAAAAAAGGCGTACAACAAACTGTACAGCGAAAGAAAGAAAATCGAACCCCCAAACCCCCAAACTCCCCCATCCCCATACCCATACCCTTCCCTTCCCCTAACTAACCGCTACCCCCCGACTCATACCCAGAAGAACACGTCGTACTCGGCGACGCAAACGCGTACTCGACCGGCGACGGCGGCGGCGCAGGTGTTTCGCCCACGACAATGGCGCCTGTGCGGGAGGAAGGGGCGGAGGGGGAGGCTTTGAAGGCGGCGCTTACGTCGTGGCCGAGGGTTGAGTTTGTGAGGAGGGAGAGGCGTTGGCGGGGGGGGGCTGTTGATGGCATTTTGATTTTTCTTCTCTTTTCTGTTCTTGGAGGGAGGGGTGTGGTTGGTGTGGGTGTTTCGTGGAGAGGGTGGTAGTAGTTGGTTGGGTTTTGGTGTGTATCCAGGTAAGAGTGAGAGAAGCAACGAATGTCTTACACCGCGTTGAACAACGAGAGTAAAGCGATAGAAGTTTGAAGCAAAACAACCAATATCAAGTCCAAGGTAGATTTAATACTTCAACTTTTCGGCAACACCGGGAGAAAATCGTCTCGGCCCGCTGTGTGACGCTGCGTGGTGAGATGTCACGTCCCAGAATAGAAGGAAGGCTTGCTTGCTCTCGGATGTAGGCGCAAAGACGGGCAGGCTCTGAGTTGTTCGCGGCTGATTTTCTTCGCTGGCAATTGATTGGGTTCGGCTGGCTTTTCTTGTGTTCCGGGGGGCTGGGTGCGGGATCGCTGGTGTGGGGGAGTGCCGAAGAGTCTAGGTAGGATGCGAGTCAGATGTAGGTTTATTGAAGGTGCGCGGTTCATGTGTGTGGTGTGTGTGTGTGGTGTGCATGTGCGTTGGCATGCGTTGGAACACGGAACAGAAAAGAAAAGAAAAAGATAGGAAAATTGGGGGAGCGGCATGTTGGTGCGTTGGGGGTAAATTCAGATTCAGGCTATATCTGGATTGAGGCTTACTTACGTCTTTGTGATTGATTTTCAATGCGCGATGATGTTGTTGTTTATGGATGGTGTTGAGAGGTTGCCAACACGTCGGAAGCGAGAATGTATGTCTGAAGTCGGACCGTGAAGGGAAGTGATTCGGTTAGGACACGAAAAGCGAGTGATGGGGCCGGAGAAAGTGAGTGAGTGAGGAATTCAAAGTCGAAATGTATGTCTGAGATATGGAATCTGAGACCGCCGCGACCAAAGGCGGCACCTTTCTCTTATAGCTAGCAAACAAACAAGCTTCGCTATTCACCGCTGAATCCTGACTCGGAAACGGCTAGACTCTTGTCTTGCCGGAAAGAACAGACGCTTTGAGCAAAAACAAAAGATTAAATGCGCCGAGGCGTATACGGGGATGCGGACGGTTGCGCTCCTTGCCTCCCCTCCATCGTTGCACATGGATAGAGCTGGTTCCACCCTCCGTCCAAATCTTTACCTTCCAAGGTTCCAGAATTGAGGAACGTCATGGCGTCCGAGGTTTCAGCTGACACTGTCAAGATTCGAGCATGCAAAGCGAAGGTTTGCTTGTGACGAACAAGGCCAAAACAAGCTGACTCCATCTGTGACATCCCACGCATCCTTCTACCTGACTTTGCTGAGATAATAACACGGAAGAAGAAGCAAACCAATCCCTAGCAGCCGTCCGCGAGTAGCAATCGCGGCTGCGTGGGGAAACACGGTGTCTCATTGATTCGCAACAACGGCAATATCGATCCGTGATATCCCGGATGGACAGCTTATTCCCTGACCGCTCCTGAGGTGCATTCATCCTACGCGTAAGGCTTGTGAGGATGGGGAAAGTGGATACCACGGGCTGCATTCCCCAGACCAGTACCAGACGCTCGGGATTGGTCCGTAGGCGAGGGCTAAACGTTCTCGAAGCTCTCCTGTCCCTGATCAGCAACATTTGTATATTACATGTGCACCTCCAACTCTCTTTGCGCAACAAGTTGGCACTACCCAACGGTAAACACGACGGTTTGGAGCCTCGCATTGAGAGTCCGTGCCGACAGCTTGTCGCACAGAACCGAGATGCGCACCAACAACAGCCAAGACGGTGCTGCGGCGAGGCTTCGAGAAGCGCAATCGAAGGACGCTCGTACCAACGGACGATGATCCTTGGGAAAGGATTCCTCGATTCGTTGCATTCGTGTCCGTGTTGATGTTCCGCGTTACTCTCGATAATCGGCGCATGTCCGGAAGAAGATTGACACCTTTCCTCGCCCTGACTTCTGTCTTTGTCGTGTCTGCCACATCGAATGATCGGCGATTGGTCAAACGCCTCGAAACAACAACACGTACATTGCGACGAAAAGCCACCGACGTGTGTGGACTGCAGCCTTGCAATTCATGCGTTTGGTTTGCCGCTCGGAATCCTACACCGTAGCGTACAATACGGTCGCTTTTCAGCAAGATAGTAGTACCGGTACGATGCAGCGGTGTGTCAACTCAATTGCTTCTGCTGTGTATTAGATAGAGTCAAAACGTCCCTGTCCATCGTATTGTGTCGTCGCAAGTAACACCAAGGCATCTCCTGCGTCTGCACCCGTAGACTTGCGGCATGTAACTCCCCCATATTGCTCCCATCGCAAGACTGGCCGCTGACCGCTCTCGTATGAGAAAATTATTCCTGCCCTTGCTATATCGTAAAGTTTTTGTGTGATGGGTTTACCGCTAGCTAGTCATTGCGCTGCAGTTTGATCCTGGCTAGCGGTAAACCTATTACACAAAACCTCTACGGCAGAGAGTACTATGGGAACTGACGTCCCTACGGCTGTTGTGAGATAACATCCAAGATGAGCAAGCGGTACGGTACAACGTTCCGCGTTATTTGGGAAAGACGGGCATCGCGTCTTCGGTAGGCGGTCCCATTGGTGAACCGTGCTTTGCTTTATGCGCACACTTTTCTGTTTTTTTCTGAACCAACGCGCCTTCCCTACCTGCTTTCTTTGGTTCTCACCGACTGATACCAAGCTTTCACCGCAACTTGCTGATGATGACGCATGGGGAAAGAGATGGATGCAAGATGGCGAATGGAAGGATGATTGTTCTAGAGTGTGTGTGGGTGGGGAAGCAAGCGCGTCTATGGCATCTTCCCTTGATTGTTGTCAGACATGCAAACATCAACTTCATCTTTTGAATGCATCTCTCTATAGGAACGCGTGTTATGTTGTGGGGTCCTATATCGGTAACAACGAAGGTAACTCTTGGGCGTCCCAACTCAATATGACAGTGTGAGATGTTCCTCATCCAGTATGCAGATGGTCTTTAGTGGAAGAACGTGGGTAGTATTTCGATTCTCTGTGGCAAAAAGGTGGAATCCTAAGGCATCTCCATACTTTCTCTATCAAACGCGTTCATACACTTCCTAAATCTGATATGCACGACCTTCAGGTATGAGTGCTTGTGCGGCTGCCCATACCATACCCCCGGTCTACGTTCATGTCTCAGGAGGCCAAAATGATCTGCGATGTTTCCTCAGGTGCTTAGGATACCAACCATCTAGTAATTGTTTGAGCTTCAATACCAGTCCTACCAAACATATGGAGGCGGGTATCTGGCTGCCTTGGAGGTCTTTTCACCAACCCTTTCGGCAGTTTGCCGTCAGTGAGAGTCATAATGCGGGCCAACGATTATCCGATATAGCAAACGGACGGAAAGTTGAAATCAGTTTGCGTCGGGGAAAAGATCTGCCTGTTCCGTTTTACACATTCCCTCTGTTGACTTCGCAACTTCGGCAGCTTTCTGCCCCTCACCACTTGCGAATTAGTTCTCGACCTGAATACGACACTCCTCTATTGGCCTCGCAGCAATACTGGATAACATCGGCAACGGCCCCGCTCATGACGGCGATATCTTGACTCTCCACATGGTCAGCGCCCACCTCGGAGTCTTGATCGGTGGTGTAACCCTCGCCATAGCTTTCCTAAAGCTAACGCGCGCCATGAATTCACCAACGCAATACCGAGTATGGCTGGATTCGCTCAAATCAATGCCTGAACCGGAAGCGGCTGAAATATTGCGCAAGGCACTGCTTAAGGGCAGCGAAAAAATCACGTTTTCGAGCCCCAATGTATTCCAATATTCTGAGCAACTGCATCAATGGTACGGATGCCAGAGCGACCACCCATGCAACCACGACGTCGTAAGCATCCCGGAACTTTGGGAGTCGATGATCCTCCCCTCTATCAAAGACATACAGACATCACTCCCGCTTCTGCTGGGGAGGATCGCAGACGCATGGGCGATACTATCCGACACCGTCCAGCGACATGAAGCGCTAATCCGAAAACGCTGGATGAAGAAGACGCAAGCCCAGAGAACGTCTGTTCTTCTTGAGGTTGATCCTAAACTGCCTCGAACGCATCGACCCGATATTGACAGGTTTCTCTTAGATTCATGCCCACATCGTAGAGATATGCTTGACTTCGAAAAGTACGTATGGCCCTACCTCAATATCGAAGACCTGGTGAAACCGAAGTCTCTGTTACTCCTACTCAATGCCCGAGGTCGTCATTCCCCCGAAGTGTTTGCATTCTCGGATTTCGAGCTTGCACCGCTATGGAAAATCCGACCAAAGCTTCTAGAAGCCAGGCAGAGCAAGTTTACCATGAACTTCATCGGATCCTCGAATGTTGGAGAGTATGGGTCTTTAGTCGAGTGGTCAAGTCCCGCAGCCGCCAACGAGTCGATAACAAACGGTCATACCGTGCATCTCAATCACGGGGTACAGATCTTGTTGATCCAAGAGGGTCTGCTCAAGTTCCTCAATCGATGCTGTATAGCAATCGTTCCCGAACTGTTCAAGGACATCGGCGGCAACCGTGCATATCCACCCGAGCCGCCATCACTTTCGGACAATACCGATGTTTATAGTACGCTTGAGGTCATAGCTAGAGAAGCACCTTACCGAGTGCCTGCGTGTCTTGACTTCAAGAAGCTCAGGGACCTGGTATCTGCCACGAAGGATCTAGCAGAAGATCATATCTGGGCCCTTCGAGAGGATCCCAGCTACTTTGCCGACCATGTTCGAGAGTACAAAGAACATCGACCAGAGACACTGCCGGGCGACTGCTGCGGTCAAATCGCACAGAGTGGACAAGACCGACCTCTGTATAACCTGGTGCTGAAGAACGTCGTTACTGATGCTTACATTGAATACTTCGCCTGGAATGAGATCCATTGTAGGATCTCTAGGCTTCACGCCATGTACAAACAATACCAAGCCGCGATTGATCCTCACAAGGAGCTCCCGGCACCTATGTTTGAGCTCCTCGTCGAAACGCGTTTCTTCCTGACAGCCACGATTCTGGAATTCATACATCGCATGAGGGGAGGCTGGCCAGCTTCTCCTGCAGTTCGACGATACTATGCCCGAGCATGCAACCGACAATATGCCGGGCCCCAGGAGTTCATCGAACTCAGGTGTTCTAGGAAGAAGACGGGCGACAAAGAGCTAGAGGATATCCTCCAGTTATTTGAGTGGCTTTGGGAACCTAGCGTCCGCGAGACACTAGAAGTGCATACGCTCGTAGAGTCAATAGAGCGCATGCTGCAGAACAGCCCCAGGGCAAAGTCTGTCACAAGCTATTGGGTATCGTCGTATCTCTCTCAGTTGTCCATCGCAGCTGAATGTGCTCATCAACTCGACATCTTCCAGCCTTGGGCTAAGAAGGTTGCGTGGGCCGTGAAACAACGAAAGACGCAGCTTCTCATCGACTACGCTACTGTGTTCTCCTGCTGGAACGGCATCTTGAAAACCAGTTTCCAAGGACAAACGATGGTCAATCTGGGTAGACCAGGGTTGAAGTTCGAATACCCTGTCCACAAGCGTCGCACTCGCACCAACGTCGAGCATTTGAGAGCTGCTGAAGCCGCCTTGGATGCATTTTGGGCGGCAGCAGATGATAAGTTCCTTCGAAAAGCCGGGACAACTCCCCATGACGTCGTCTGTGATATTCTCAAAGCCCGGACATTGCAGCGCACGCCTCCCTGGGAAGAATTTGAGACTGTGCAGAGGACACCCAAGCACTCTGAAGCTCAGGAGTATGTCTACGTTCCGCTCTCGGAAACCATTCACGACCCCACAAAACAGATTACAGGAACCTTTGACAGGCTTGCTGTAAACATCAACACCAAGACCAAGACGCACGGGTTGGCACATCATGGACTCAACTCGATCGATGAAGTATTGCAGACGACAACACCTAACGAAGATCACCAGCCAACTTTCCACGTCGACAAACGGGCGTATAGAGTCTTCAGAACATTGTTCCACTCTCCCCTGTCCCGCGATCAGCCTGGTGAGATTCCTTGGGTGGACTTTTTGCACGCCATGGTTTCGACTGGCTTCGCTGCTCAGAAACTTCAAGGATCAGCCTGGCAGTTCACCCCGAAGAACCTGGACATCGAGCACCCCATTCAGTTCCACGAACCTCACCCATCCTCCAAGCTTCCTTTCACTTGGGCTCGGCGCTTTGGGCGACGTCTGTATAGAACGTATGGCTGGAAGGGGAGCATGTTCCAGCTTGCCTGAGGAGCAGGAAGTGCCGTTTGCGGACCTAAAGTCTCTCTGATCGCCTGTCTTTTATCTATGTTCTGTGTTCTCTCTCTTTGTTTGTTCTTTGTCCATCATGGAATCCACTTCCAAACACGTTTTGTCGCCAAATCGATGGCCAAACTACGAAACTAGGATGAATTTGCAGTTTAGGCAAATTCATCAGGGGAAGTTCGTTTCTATCCAAGCGCCACGTTCCTTCTTCACCTGGCGAACCGATTTTTGCATTATGGTGGAGCTACGCCCAAGTTTCCAGAAAGTCTCTAGTGACTTGGTGAGATATTGGACATCATCCCATGCGGTGTTTGGATATCTGGTCTCTTGATTTCTATGCGTCGTCACTTTCGTCCCATTTCCAGAGAAGTTATTTCCTCTTTTTCTCTCAAACCTTTGTATTCTCCACGTATAAGTAGTTTCACATAGTATATGACGTCCAAAACACTCTTGAACTCTACTCAAGTACGAGATATGGTAGAGGTGTTATACTCCTTCGCGCAGGATGAAACAATACAGCCCAATCATTTTCCTGCAATTGCTCCCCGCAAACCACCAAGAGAACCTAATAGTCTTGACCCCACAGTCCCTGCATTAGTCTGCCTGTGACGCCATCGTTATGTTAACAAAGCATCACGCGTCAGAAACGCGAGACTATTGGACGCGGGATCAGTAGATAAACTATGTAGCTATTGCCGGAACTCCTCCCATTTCCCGCTCCATTATACTTGCCTTAAAACGTTTGACAAAGTAGCCATTGAACTCCATCATTTATCATGACTGAAATCAAATCATTCAACCCCGAGATCCCGAAGGAGGAAGTCGATCGTCTGTTCCGCAAGCTGGCAGATACTCGTTTACCGAAAGAACCAATTGTACCTGATGCAGGTGAAGACTATGGTGGGACAACCTCTTCGCGCTTATAGAAACACGACGCTGATCCATCGCAGGTCCCTCGCTAGAATGGACCAATAAGCTCTACAACCACTGGCTGCACAAGTACTCCTGGGCTGATGCACAGGCGCAAATATCCGAGTGGAAGCACTACACTACCTCAATCGAAGGCCTGAACGTCCACTTCATCCATGAGAAAGCGCGTGTGCGTCAGAACGAAGCAATTCCACTACTCCTCATCCACGGCTGGCCTGGCACATTCTTCGAGTCTGATCCTCCCACCCTATTCTCAAATCTGCGCTGACGAGTCCAAGATTCCAAAACGTAATGCATCCTCTGCTCTCGCCCTCTGATCCAAAATCTCCCGTCTTCGATCTGATCGTTCCCTCCCTCCCGGGCTTCTGCTGGTCTCAAAGTGGCCCTCGTGGCTGGAAGCTCCAAGACACAGCGCGCATCTACGACACGCTCATGAAAAGACTGGGCTACACATCCTACGCCACACAAGCAGGTGACTGGGGGCATTGGGTGGTAAGAGAACTCGGCTCCGGCCGCTACAACGCATGCAAAGCCGTACACACAAACATGTGTCCCGGCGCTCCTCCTCCCGACTACAAGATGAACGAGAAGGAACAAGCATCCATGGACCGCGCGCAGTGGTTCATGGGTGAGAAACTGAATGAGGGACATATGAGCTATGCCATCTCCATGCGCACACGTCCGCAGACGATTGGAATAGCGTTCAACGACAACCCCGTAGGCATAATGATGTTTGTTGGCGAGAAGTACAATGAGCTTGCTGACCCGCATCTCGGGACTGCGACACTGGAGAATGAGCAGTTTGTAAACGATATTTGCACTACGCTCTCACTGTATTTTTTTACGCCGCCGAGTATCATGACGAGCATGCTGTGCTACTACAACAATGTGCGGCATGAGGAGTATACCGAGTTCGACGCGAAAGAGGAAAACCTGATACGAGTACCACTGGGAGTTACCACGTTTCCGTTCGATGCGTTCCCAGCCCCAAAGGCTGGTGTTGAAACCACGACGACAAATTTAAAGTTCTTCAAAGGTGAGTGACTGGAGTTGATAAACGAAGTGGTGGGATTGTGCTGACATGTTGGCAGAGAGGGAGTCTGGTGGGCACTTTGCATGTATGGAGCGTCCTAATGAGATGGTTGAGGATATGCGCGAGTTCTTCGGAAAGTATTACGAAGCGTAGAGATCGGAGCATTGGATGTTCGATCTGGACAAGGCGAGTTTGATCGGATATAGATGTGTATAAGTAATGATGGATTTATAGGGAATGAAATCGTTAGTAGTATGCAATACTTCATCTGAGATGGATACTTTTTCAGATCGTGTCACGTCGTCTTCATTACTACCAGAAACATCATTTGCTCACCGCTTCCAAGGATGAAGGCATGCGTTCTGCGCGTGACGGAACCCGCACCACTTCATGACATGTTTTTCCACGTTGGGCCATCTGGTGGTAGCGCTTTCGTCCTCGGCATCCAGTCACTGATCCCAAGGCCCCAGTTCCACGGCCGGGTCTCTCCACCAAAGTACCTCATCGATATGAAAATCAGCTCGGATGTATATGGACTGTATAGCAAGGTATAGGAGAAGGATCAGAAGCCGCCACGGAGGGCAAGTACCAGATGGAGCGTAGCGCCACCTTCGAGCTGGTACTCTGCTGCTGTCTTGTCATCTGCCCTGTTGAGTAGTGTCAGCATGCCGATTTCCATACAGATGTAGAAAGTGGCTGCAAGACGTACATCTGCTTGCCTCCATAGATCAAACGCTGCTGTGCTGGTGGGATGCCTTCCTTCTCCTCGACGCGCTCCTTTATCCTGGAGACCTGTTTTGTATCAGCCTGTTCTTGCCAAAACCCTGCTCGTGTGTTCGAAGATGCGGGAGGCGGTGTCGGGTGGAAATCGTACCTTGTAGTCCGCTTCGATGTCGAGCTCGATCTCCTTTCCGGTGAGAGTTCGTACTCTGCCATCCATGTCAGCCTGACGCCTTGCTATACCCTGCCATCGTTTCTAGACATACTTGATCTGCATCTTGGCTGCTGCTTTGCTACTTCAGCGACTGCGATGTATTACTGGTTGTAGCTTCGTCGGGATTTAGTTTAGATGTAGACGCGCTGGAGCTGCTTTTGAGGGCGCAAGGGAGTTTGCGTGAGGATAACGGGGAGAGTCGTGTTTGGGGTTGTTGTTTGCGACGAGGTGAGTGAGCGGTCGGCGGCTGTCAGGCACTCGCCATCGTAGTGGGGCACTTAAAGCAGGCAGGCGCGACACGAGGCGGGGCAATCGTGGCTTGTGGCTTGTGTGTCTGTGGCTTATGTTTGTGTGGCGCACTTCTGTCCGGCGAAGTCAAGAAGAAAAGCAAATGCATATACTAAGTTCTAGTGCAACTCCACCTAACACCATGCTTCCAATGGACCCGGTATAGCTTCTCTCCTTCTGCATATTTGGTCTAAAAATTCACGTTGACGACAAATACTTGTTCGATTAGTGGTTCAAATCAAAGCACATGGCTGGTCGAAATAACTCGCAATCGAAAGCAACAGAGAATCAAGTTCGAGTTCAGCAAGGTTTCGTGATAATTCAAAGTACTTGAAGGGCTTACGTTTCTAGAGGACTCCTGTAATCTTACCTGACCACACAATCAGTGACGCTTTGTAGTATACAAGAAGTATCGAATATGTTGTAATTTCCATCATAGACGCACAACAAACTCGTGTGAAAGCACGGATGATGGATGGCGTAGTCAAACTGATAAGTCATAAGTTCTATTAGAGATAATCATTCCAACCTAACCCTTGTATCTTGCCGTATTAGCTACAGCTGTGGATCGGTGTGACTCCATCAATAAACTCAAAGAGTCACGTCAACCCCGTAAAATGAGTGAAAGGATTCAATCAAATACCTCACCTAGTAATCTCCCGTCACCGCTCAGTCAACCTCCTCGAATCCTCGACGTCACAAACGCACGTTCAGGAATGCCACCAAGCCCTTTCCAACATGTAGCCTCAACTGCACCTAGACCTTTTAACGGTCACACAAATCTTTCATCACTTTTCGCCCCCACCAAAACGCCACACTGCATCCACAAGCCAATCACTCAGAATCCCAATGTCCCTACGCGCCCAAACCCACAGGCCCGGTATTCCCTTCTACTATGCCTCGAAAGCTGAAACACATCATCACACAGAGCACACGTGGCAAACGTTTGACTTGGAAAAACAAGACATCATGCGCTGGCAGGGTGATAGGCAAGCTTGCTTGCTACTTGCATTTCCTTCTACATCCGGACTGTAGTGTACATAAGCGGGGCCGCGGTCACCCCATACAAGCCCGTTCCTTCCGCATTGGTCCCTGAATCCGAAACCCATCCCTAGAAATACAATGCCGAAGAAAGAAGATGACGACGAAAACGCCAGATAGCCGCCTCTTGGACGATGCCCACCTAGATGTGGGTGCTGGGGTATATAGTGAACATTCTGTAGCCAAATGGAAGCCCGTGAGATTTCGTAGAACGAGGTAACATAACAAAGGAAAGAAAAGGCCGGTTCGACGACCGAGCTGTGTCAATACAAAGCCAGTGTCCTGCATGCGAATTGTGATGCAATGGAAACACAATGACGATGGAGGTATGCCAGGTACCAAGAAAGAAGATGAAGAAGTGCCTGACTCCAGACTCCAGTATGCAACCAGTATGTATAAGCCTTCGCGGTAACCAAAAAGTAAAAAGGAAGTCAACTCCAAATGCCAAATAAGACCAAAGACCAGCCAGTCTCGAACTGGAAGAAGGGACAATGAGTGAACCCAGCCGGCCCCCAGTACCGGTGACGCGTGGTACAACACACAAGACGAAGATACGATGTCTATCGCAATAACTTGAGTGGGCACAGTTTTGTTCGGTATAAACTGTGCTGATTGCAGCTTGGCAGTAGAGCTTTAATTTGATAACGTGAATCCAAGGCTGGTCGAGGCCGATGTTCCGAAAAGCCCCGGTAACTCGAACGTGTAGCACCAACACATGTATTCGAACACGATCAAATACGCCGCGTGTCCCAATACCCTGGTCATCCAGATTCGGTGTGAGAACAGATGCTGTGCTACGGCTGCTCGTCAACGGAAACAGCTCTTTCAGCCAGCCGGAGAGTGGGGAGGCGAGGAATAGTCCGCCTTACACAGCCTGGTAAGAGCTGTCTGTGCCTGTTATCTGATCAACGCGGCCATCGTAAAATCATACGCGTATTGTCTTGCCAATGCAAGCGGGCCAAAGCACGATGCGCGGGGATGCTGATGGCGTAAGAACAGCGATGGACAGTTCCAGCCGTGGATCGGAACCGTTCCGGAAGAAGCCAACCTCCAGGGTCTGTCTCGGATAGCGAGCCTGATAGAATTGGGCAATACGCAATCAAGATGCGGGAATTGCAACAACGTTGCCGTTGCAATTTTATGAGATGAGAAGGCGTTGGATCTTTGGTGGGGTTGTGGGGACCGTGCGCGGAGTTCGAGATGAGGGTCTTCCGGGTTGTGGAGCGGGCTCATTTCGCTTGCAAAACCTAACTTGCGGAGATGTTGTTCTGCGAGAGACCGACAACAACTTGGCGTCCGTTGAGAATCTTGTGTCTTGTGAGGACAGGGCTGCCCTGTTCGCATTCGCTTTCGAGTGATCCGTAATTTGCTTGTCCAAATCGCATAACAAGAACAAGGCCCGATATGGCTATCATGTTGACATCAAGCTTCCGATCTAGTGGTCGCCAGGTTCCCGCTTGGGAGATGACATATACCCCCATGGGTGATGAGGCCCAGGCTTTCGCGTTTCAGTCTGACTTGGAGCAGAAGATGACGCATGCGTTGGTGGACCTTGCAATCGACCATCATTTCGAAGTGGTGGCGTTGCGTACACCTGGTCCAGGTGCGGTGGATGCTTGCCTTCTGATCCTCTTGCTGGCTCATGAACATCCATCTGTCGTGTTGCTGACCCAGATACCGTACCGCGACGATTCACAGCACCGCCAGAGCCTTCTGGTCCTCGTGCAGAAACATCTGAATGGGCTCGGTGGTGTCCTCCTCGTCCTGGTGTTGAAGTCGATGAAGTCGATACATACGAGAACGATGGCGATGTGTGGGATTGGAGCGTCGATGTAGGGGGCGGTGGAGCTGGGTGCGGGCCTTGGGCCTTCCGCTTCTTGGGGGAGCTGGTGTATTCTAGGTCAGACGCGTGAGATGTCGCACGTTGACGGGATAGATATGAATTCGGAGCTTTATATTTACCTGAAGGCGTTGCTGGCGGAACGCCACTTGAGCTCTTTTCCTGCTGTGACGCTGGAGGGACCCAATGGTGAAAGTAGATAGAAGGCGAAGAATGCTCTTGCTGTGCCGACTGTGACTGCTGTTGTAGATTTGAAGGTCCCGCTGGAGGCGGCTCGATGTTCATTTCGTTGGTCGTCAACCTAGGCAACTGGGACTGCGGAGGACGTGGAGCAGAAGTAGGAGGACCGCCAAAGCCAGAAAACTGAGCTCCTCGTGTCCTTGGAGACATCGGTCCACCACCATACGTAGTAGGTGGAGCGTGTTGCGATTGCGGCTGCCCGAGTAACACAGAAGTAGGGGGAAGAATCGACTGTGGCGTTTCAGGTTGTCCTCCGTATGTTGTTGAGTGCGGCTGGCTAATCACTCTGGCCTCTCTTCTCATATTCGGAGAGAGCTGAGCTTGAGCTTGGTGTTGTTGAGCAGCTTGCACCTGAGCGGTGTATTGTTGAATCTGTTCAGCGCTAATGCTCGACAGAGTCCCTCCTCCAATTCCGGCGAATATGATGGGAACAAGATGAGGTGGAATCCCGCCCTGCATAGATTCACGGAGCAAGAGCAGCTCGATTTTGCGCTGCTCCAACTTTAGGTTTTCCTGTCTTGTTTTCTCTTCCTCTTGCTTCCTCTTTTCCTCTTCGGTCTTCGCTGCGAGCCAGTTCTTCATCCCATCCTCAGAGCCTTGCCATTGAGATGGAGCGGGAGGTAACGCGCCTAGTGAATGTGAAATTTGAGAAGGACCCCGTCCTGGATCTGGTAGCGTCATTGCCGAAGGTGGAGGGAGACCCCGATGAGGTGTACCCATGGTGTGCTGAAAGCTAGCTGATTGAGATGATGGTGGCCCGCTGCTGAACTTTGGCGACTGTCTAGCGGTCGTAGATGTTGAGAAAGTTGAAGAGTAGTCATGGGGCTTGAATTCAAAATTCAAGTTGGCTGGGTTGGAGAGTGTGAGCAACATGGAGGGTCAAAAGGAATGACACTGGAGAGACTCTAGAGAAGCATCGACATTGAAACGAGCGGATGAGGAGGGGCGTCAAATCTCAAGACTCCAGAACGAAATGGAAGAGGATACATACTTATTCAAGAAGGACGTTCCGAGAGCAATGTCCACCAAAGACCCAGAGCTTGACAGGCCGTTGCCTTACGGGCTAGGGTTGGTGCGCGCAAGCCACAAGAGCTTGACGTGATTTGCGAACAAAACAGGGCGTGGAAAAGAAAACTGGACAGTAGCAGGCAAAACCCTCCGGGGCGGAGATCAAGGCCAAGTAAAGGCTCGCGTGGCCGCGTGGACGATCAGGCCCAGATTGTGAGAAAGGGCAAGAGAAAGCGGGCACAGGATAGGAATGGATTGTACAGGAAGAGAACAGAGTCGGCTAGAGTTAGATCAGCCAACGAGGATGATGGTTGCGAATCCTTGACTAGGTAGAGCGGCACGCCGCACGACAAGGTCAGCCGGGTATGTGGCGTTAAGCGGGCGGCAGTGGAGAGAAGTGTCAACCTACATATGCATAAACTGCTGTCAGCAAGTAAAAGTTGGGCAAATGTCCGCGGTTCGTATTCTCCACTATTTGACGTGCCTGAAGATAACTAGCTGCCCTAACCCATAATTGTGGTTCACTTCCTTTTTTGAGCCTCGCAACTAGGAAAATACAGGCACTACACCGCAAGGGCATGATGATGTTGTCGTTGTGGATGCTTCAAGCCCAGTCTAAGCGGATGTCTTTGCAACCATCTCTCACTTGCATGCAAGGATTTCTTCATCTACATTGTCAGCGAACACGGTATCGTCCACCACCGCATCGCTAACATGTACAAGTTGAAGACATGGTACCGGCTCCATGTTGACGCATCCAAAAACGTATTCTAGCAGAGAGTACGTATTGCTTTGTCCAAACCTTGAAGCCGTTTTTGGACTCGGAATGTCATTACCGGAATGACCAGTTCGGCATGGCTTGCATCGCTCTTGAAATCTCAAGAGCAGAGCCTAGAAGCTCAAGCCGTCCACTAGCGATAAACGTCCGGGAGGAAGCGAGCTTGACCAGGTGCGAGATGAACGCTCATGTTGCACGGGCGCTGGCATGGTTCTTTCTGAATTTGACGTTACATGAGGTAGCCCTGAAAGGAAATGAAGGGTCGCCACCACCCAGTTTTAAGCCGTGTAAGAACCCAGAACGGTGCGTAGGGCGAGATGAGGTATGCGTCCCAGTGTATCAACACGAAACTGTGGAATTGGTGGAAATGCGTAGGACACTTTCCCGCTACCTAGTGTGATGCCGAACAGGGAACCAAGATGCCGTCATGGCATCTTTAGAGGCCGGCGCTACTTGACGGAGAAGACATTATGGTGGATTGGGGCAAAAACACCTTGCCGAACGCTGAAACCTGTCAGCCTTGGAGAGCCCCTCCAGATCTGCCATAGCGCAACGACCTCACAACCAATGGATAAGAACTACGAACACCAGAGCATGTGCCGAGCTACGTTGCATTACCTTTAAGAACATGCAGAACGGCAAGGTTGACGAGCCCTACATTTCATATTTTGCATGTGCCAAAATCTGGCGTCTACTGGTATCTGTTGCCGGACGCAATATGCGCGCATCAGACAAGTTGCGAAAGAGACGCGTTGCATATCTACCCGAGCACCTGGTACGTTTATGGGGCTGCGGCTGGATTCCGTATCTGAATTGGGATGGACGTGTCTGAAATTCGAGGCGCAGGTCTCGTGCACAAGGTAAAACACCCTTGGGCTGGGGCTTCGGTGGTCAATCTTGTGGTATCGGCCAATCAAAGCAACTCGCGAAGAGATGAATGCGTACGATAGATTGTGGCAAAACATGCAGTGTGTTGGAGCTGAGAAATTCCATACCAAAGAAGATGGTACACTACAATACCACATCCAGTTTGGTTGAAAGTGCAGTCTCACCTGGATCTGTGAGACAGGCAAAAACGTGGTCATGCAGGATGGGTGTAGATCCGCTCAAACCCGATCTGGACTTCTTCTCCTCGTGTCCAGCTGGGTGGGAATCACGATATCTCTCGCAACTGGGCCCAATCAGTTTTCTCTCCATGTGGAGTAAGAAGGCGTTATTTACTACCCAATGCCAAGCACTTGCAATGTGGTGAACGACGTGGCTTGTAGCAAAGAGGAGGAACGTGGAAGTAGCCCTGTAGCCTCAATCAAAACGGCACAAGATCGGTATCTACATCGGCGGAGAAAGAGTGTTCAGATGGTGTGAATGGTGAGCAAGGGGAACCGAAGTAGGTGTGGCGTCGATACTTACTGTGTAATCGCAAGATTCCGGGGTAGACGCCACTTCAGCCGCGAGTGCAACAATGCAGGGAAACGAACAACCCTCCGGCAACACTACACACCTCGCAACCCGACCCCATCTTCATCTGGCGTTGCATTGTGAAAACTCTGAACTCTCCAGTCCTGAATTCAGAAACGCGTCCGATCCGCTGCGTGGCGTCCTCCAGGCCAGGACTGTCCTATCCACACCACCCTGCACCTGCATTGCCGATCAATCGCCTCATTCAGGCTGCAAATCAGCGTTGACCTGCTGGCATGGATAGATCGGTGTCGATAGCCGAATGAGTCTCAACAGGTTGGAAGAGGCGAAGTAAAGGCACAGTCTGGATCCTTAAGCTGCTCAAAAAGTGCATGGTTGCCGAACGACCGTGCTTTGAATGGCAAGATCAACGCGCAAGTCTGGGGCGATTGCTGACCGGCCCCGATTCAAGAGCAAGAAAGCAATGTCGACGCGAGCGTCTCGGATCCGTTGTTGTTGGGGCTGCAGACTCTGACGAAATTTCGCCACCGTCGGTTGCCTATTCGGGACGCACCGTAATCTATCTTAGCCGTCATGAACATGTCACTTTCAGACCATAGTCGCCGATCATTTCTTGAAAAAATATCTAGGTTCAAGACTTGAGACAACGACATGTCATCTTGAATTACCAGTGTCACTCGGTCACTAATATCACCAACATCCTGTGCCCAATTACCTCAGCATCTGGCAATGATAAGTTACGTAACAACTTTGTAAGTGTTTAGCAGCTACCATAGGTACAAGATGGCTTCTCGTGATTCCTGAGGACGTTTGTAGGCCAATGACTCGGTTGTACTATGACGATGTAAGAGGTGTAAGTTAAGACAACATGACACGAATTATCATTGATCAAATGGTAATAGAACTGAAAAACTGCGCGAACGCTTACATTATTCTTAAATTTGCCTTTCACACCTCCAGAATCCTGTCATCATGATACGCCATGCTCAATCAAACCAAGTCCCTGCCCTCAAATCATCAACCCAGCTCTCCCAAGAACCATAGACGCCTACCTACCCATCATTCCCCACGACAAATTCAATCACTATAACACACGCCAACAAGTACCAGCACGAGCATAAGTATCCTATTTCCATCTCCCCAATGTGAGATCTATTATCATTTTAGGGTTATAGCGTATTCATGCTCTACTCAGAAGCAGATCGACGCAACACAGTAATAGTCTAGAAAGATAACTCGTAATATAAGCTGATACCCAGCCCCTTTACATACAGTGAATAGCAGTAAGAGTACACAGCGGTGAACACTATATATAGCATACATGCACCCACCACACCTCCCCTACAAAACTTTATAAAAGTCAACAACCCCTACACGCGAAGCATCACGCCAACACAATCCAACTTCGCAGATATTTAGGTGTCTGATATGTTTGCGAGAAACACCTCTTAAGAAATGGAAATCCATACGCCTATTCATTTGCTGGTACAAATAGTAATGGAGAAGACAAACATAAATTGCAAATACTCGAGCAGGAGAATAATTTCAAATGTTCTGGAATAAACATCCTAACCATCATCCAGACCAGGAGTTGAACAACCCTTGAGAGGCGCAGTGAACGGTTCGCTATCATATATTGCCCATACATACATACATACATACATACATACATACATACATACATACATACATACATACATACATACATACATACATACATACATACATACATACAACGAAAGCCAAGTCAGACAACATATAGAATCTCTGCGTTAAATGCGCATTAAATATTACCTACTACTTCTACTTCCTCTACCTGCAATACGAATATATGCGGATACCTATGTCAACACCCACAGCTAGGTACATACATAACATGATAATCATCCCCTCGAACTAATCCGAGACAAGAACAAAAACAGGAAAGAAAAACGAGGTATCTCCAAAAACAAGTGCCTAATAACCCACCTTACCTGCCGAGGTTTTGCGCCTGCAATCCACACACCCTACTTATGCCGGTCATGCTCGGTATTGCGACAAAAAAAGAAAAGACGAGAGAAGGATATTCACCGACTATGCAGATGCCGTGACATGTAAAAAAAAAGAGAGCGCAGGCTTTTGCGCGAAGAAACTGTTTTAGAACCGGTGAGCAAAACACGTCTATCGCCGTCGTTCGATTGGTGACGACACCGAGAAAAAGGTAGTATGTTGGGCCTCGGAGTATCATATCAGGGTACAAGCCCGAGAACCCAAAAAAGCAGCTATTGTGGATCTGCAGTGTCGGAGACAGGCGCCAGCCCACGCTACCCGCACGCGCGTCGCATCGCGATTGCCATGGCGGACCCAGCGATGTGCAAGCCCGTTAGCTGCATTGCATCCCGCCGGAGCGATACCGAGGGGGCGGAGGGAACGAGCGGAGATGCAGCCTGACTCAAGCATTGGCCCGTTTCTTGCGCATCCTATATTCGGCCTTTGCCACGCGCATGAGGAGTTCTTCGTCCTTGATAGGGATCCAAGACGTTAGGACCTTCATGGCGTTTTCAAAGTCCGAATCGAGCAGGATCTCCCTCGTAGCGTCGATTAGTGCGGCAGATGTGGCATGCAGCACGTCTAGGTCGCCGCTGAATTTGGACGTCGGGGAGCTCGAATAGGAACTGTCGCCCAACAGCATGAATACGTCCCAGACGCGCAGCTGGGCTGGGAACGGTAGCGAATAGTTGAACAGAGTGAGATACCACCGTGTTCCCCATGCGGTCGAGTGGATGTCCAGCTCCTCCTAGACACTTAGTTAGCGAGAGTCCATGCAGCCGCAACGAATGGACTAAGTTTGCCAAGCCCCCCAATTCAACATATCTTGAGAAAGAAGCGGTACGCTAGACCAAGACGGAGCAGATGCGCTTACCAGTTTTTGAGCAATGTCACCTCCACGTAACCAGTTTTGCTCAAAGTCTTCCAAGGCGTCTGTCAGGCCCGAAAAGCCTGACTCGTAAAGTCGCTCAAGGCCCCGAAGCATCCACAAGCGGACCAACATAACGAAAGCTCTGTCCTCTTCGTAGTAACAGAGCAGAGTTGCAGCGAGCGCGGCCATGCCCTGTACGTAACCTGTCTCGGGCAGATACAGGGACATGGCGTGGAGTACGCGGAATAGCAATCGTTGTCTGTGGATCGTCAGTCTCATCCAGAGTGAGCGCAATTACCAAAACTCACCCTCCACGATACCGCCTCCTAAACATGATATGTCGATTGATGGTCCTAGGCACATCCACATCAATCTGCACATCTTCTGCTGAGCTCTCCGCTTGTAGTTCGTAGAAGCTCGCAATCAGCTCCTCTTCGCTGGGGCTGTTTGGGTCGTTTTTGGCGCTTGCAGCGAGGAAGGAGTACCATGCAGTCGACCTCCAGCGATCCGGTATCCCTTTCCAAGTGCGGGAAACCACTTTCGGATCTTTGACGTCGAACTCAAAGAGCATGCCGCCTATTGGGGCGTCCAGTTTGACCACCTTGGCCATGTTGCGCCACTTCTCGTCCCGCTCAATCTCTTTTGTCCTCATTGCCCGCGCTGCCCTGCCTCCCTCTCGCTGTTCTGCAACCTCTGCCAAGCCAGGTGGTAACTTGAGCATGTCGCTCGCCTCGTCCAGCATCCGTCGCTCTCTGTTGTGTGGCAGCTTGTTGGCCGCGTGTCGCAGTGAGGTTTGTGTGGCATGTGTACCTGAGGTCTGGTTGGAGAAGATGGATCGTGAGGGTCTGGCAGACTTCCATGATGCCCGCCGCCTAGAGGATTCTGTTCGGGGGTCCAATGATCGAATGGATCGCGCTCTTGATACGCTGCGTCCGATGTGTCGCCGCCGTGGTTCCTGTGCTACGAGCTGTAGCGACGTCGTCACGCGCTGGAGACGCGGCTCGTCAGGCCCATCCAGCCCCTCGCCATTGGCCGTGTCTTTAGATCTTACTTTCTTGGGGACGATGAAGCCATAGCGATCGACCTCGTTGCCTTGCAGATCGGTCCAGTCCTCCAGCCCCCCAGCTCTTTCTGCGTCTGTTTTCACAATGACACTCCCACGCCGCGAGCTCACAAACGACTTTGCGTCCTCGCGGTTGCCGTCCACTGCCAAGGACGATGTGTTGGCCGGTGTGTTGAGCGTGCTGCAGTTGTCGAAGCCGCTGGTGTTGCCGCTGCTCGCCTCCTCGTCTGGCGCGTCCCAGTCGACAGCGCTCTCATTGCCGTGCTTGTACATGGTGCGCACCTTGCGCGACAGCATCATCTCGTCGGTAGAGAGCACGCGCCCACTGGTAGACCTCCCGCGGACGCTGTAATGCAAGGGCACGCGTGGCGTGAGATGTGACGGGGCGGGTGGCGTCAGCTCCTGCTGGTCGGGGTCCTGGTCCTTGGGTTGCGCCTGCCCGACCGAGCGCGGCGGGGTGCTCGGCTCGGGTGCGCTCGCGAGGCCGTAGCCCATGTGTTTGCTGCGCCTGTTCGCCTTCTTGCCGCCCAACAGCATGCTGCCCCGCTTCGTGAAGGAGACCTGCGAGGTCGAGGTGAGGTCGTCGAGGCTGCCGGTGGGGATGATGGTGTCGAGGCCGGTGAAGGCAGCGCCATGGCCCAGGTCGAGTGAAGCATGTGACGAGCGGGTGGGCGCGGGCGAGAGGTCGTCGTCGTGGACAACTATGGCCGGCAGGCTGGGCGTCTTGTGCAGGCTGTGGGGCGACGGCGGCTCGTTGGCGGTGCACAGCGACGACGTCAGGGCCGAGTCCCGGCGCGTGTCGTCGTCGGACAGCAGCGTCCCCCTCAGGGCAGAGCGCTTGGGACCCGGCGACGTCCTGGGCCGGCGAGCACTAGTGAGCCATGCGCGCGGTGCGGGGCTGCTGGACGAGGGTGCGGCTGCAGGTGCAGGCGCAGGTACGGCGCCCGAAGGAGCCTCAGCACAATCTCTCATGGCTGGCGGTCATCAAACGTCGTCGTCGGCGGCGGGCGGCGTCGGCAATAAGCCAGGCGAAATGAGAGGGCGCGAGGCGGGCGGCACGGGGCGAGGGCGGGCAATGCAGTCTGTCGTGTGTTTGAGCGACGGGGCAGCGTCAATGGCAAACGGCAGCGCGACTGAATGAGACGGGACGATCCTTACACCATGGTCGCGGCCGGGGGATAGGGGTCGACCCTCTCTATACGGATCTAGGGTTGCGTCCTACAGAGTAGCGGGCGGCCTTTTGCGTCGGAGATTGTCGCCTGCTCGCTGCCCTGGACTGCGCCTGCCATAGCGACACCTCGACACAGCATTGCCTCAGCATTCGCCCTGCCACCCGACGCGTTGTTGTCGAGATGACGCTTGGCAAGCCATGCGAACACGATCCCGAACATCGTCCTGAACATCATCCTGAACATCCGTCCCTATGTGAAACCCCCGGCCGGCAGCCCACCTCCAAGCACCCGCTTGCCACTTTCGGCCCCCGCATTTGCAATAACCGTCGACGTCCCGGATGAACTCAATTATATTATGATGCAGCTTCCTCTCCATTGATCGTCTCATACGATGAACACGCTCCCATTGCAACAGCCTGAGCAAGAGCAGGAACCAACGTGGCCTCATTTCATCGCTATCTGCCTCGTGCCTGCCACACCTTGCACCTCTACCATTCAGGAAGGTGCCCCCCTGCGCAACCCTCCTCCCTTGCAGCCTGTGCGACGACACAGCCCTGCACCGCCCACCTAGCGCGCTATTCTGAGCAGCTTGCGCAGAACGCGTACAACCTCCAACATGCACCCACACATGACCAGATCGCTTGTTCTGCGCATGAGTCGAGGAGCGATGTGGGGGTGGAAGGAGCTGGTATCATCTAACAGACCAAGATAACGAAGGCTCTCATATCACCTTCGCCAGATGAATGCAGAATTATCAATACCTCTAGGCTGCTAACACGTTAAAGCAGCTGTGCTCTCATGCCAGAGCAAGCGCTTCCTACACAATCCTTCCCGGTGACATTCACTGATTTCCGCAAAAGCGCTCGTGCACATGCATCCGACGCCTGAACATCCAAAACCCAAACCACACCACATCCCAAACAGCCAAAACCATCACAACCCAAACCCCCCAAACCCAAACGAACTATCCCCTTGAAACCCCCCATCGAAGATCCCAATCCCAGCCGTCACCAGACTGTCAAACTGGCCCCAACTCGTCAGATCCGCCATGATATCATTCGACGGCATGTAGTTTGGGTTGAAAACAGTGCTCTCAGGTGTAGGTGGCACATTGCCCCCATAGAACGGTGCGTTCATCGCCGGACTCGCATCGCTCTGCGGCGTCTCCATGGGCGCACGCAATTCACCCACATCGCTGTGCTTGTGCTGCGCAGCCGCCGTCCCAGAAACAGGCATAGCGGCCGTCTTGACAACCCCGCTCCCCGTCTGGCGTACGGCCTCGAGTCGCAGCTCTTCCAGCACGAGACAGTAGCGTCTGGCTAAACAGTCGGATTCGCTCACGCTCTCCAATTGCCGCTGGCACTTGACGCCGGCGTCAAAGTACCCCTCGCATTTCCCCGGCGTGACAATGTGCTGCTGGATGCGGTAAATGTACAGCACGACGACGGCGCAGAAGGCGTAGTACTGCGTGAACCAGAAGGCGCGGAATAAATTACTGCCGGTGAAGACGTCGTCGACGACTTTGACAATGCTCATTGCTGCTTCGAGACAGGCTGCGATATTCCCGCTCGTGTCGAACTCTGGATTGAGATCTGGGTTGATGCTTGGATGGCAGGGTATGTGTGTCAGCGAGGCGAAGTTCGAGAGCAGAAACGGCCGGTGGATAAGCAACATCGCGTGGTAGTAGGCGAGGTTCAGCACGGAGCGTTGGCGCTGGTAGATGGGGATCAGCAGGTGCGAGTCAATGGTGTTGGTATCGTTGAGGAAGCGGGAGAGAGCATGGCGCCAGGACTGGAGGTCTGTCGTGTATTTCTGCGAGAGGGAGATGCGCTGCGGGAGGTTGGGGGGTCGGATCGAGTACAAGTCCCGGAGTACGAGGGAGACTATACGTGTGAGTCTGTAGGCGTGTTAGATAAGCGTGTGATAGAACGGGAGGGGAGAGAAGAGTACTTGATATGTTCTACCGGGGCCATCATGACGGAGTGGGATTTCGAAGGAGTAGGATTCATATACGTCGGATGGAGGTCGTTATCGTTTACAATAGTCGGAAGTTCCTAACACCTGTTAGCACAAATGACACCCAAAGTCTGAAGAAAACAAGCCCTTACCTGATCGATATCCTCGTCTCTGAACGTCCTCGGTCGGCCAAGAGCAGCGGAGAGATACTTGTCCAACGAATACGCACACCAAAACAGCCGTCTCCGACTCTCCACCTCCACATAATCAATCGTGCCCGAAGGATCACACCTCCTCCCTCTATTCAATCCCAGTGCAAACGCCAAATGCGCCGTCGTCCCAAACAAACTCCAACAATGATTCACCCGCGACCGCGTAAGCAGATACACACACTGCAGTAGCCGGGCCTGCACGCTCGCCAACCTCACCGCACCGCGTTCCTTGGACAACTGGTGCTCTGCAGCAAAAAAGTACCTAGCACTGCTCATTTATCAGCCACCCATCCTCCCATTCAGATAAACTCATAGCATAGAAATAAAAACGGAAACACAATCACACACCTATCATCCAACACCGTACTCCCGGGCGGCATATACGCCTGCGCCTGCGCAAAAACAATCAGCAGCAGCGCCGTCTTGGCCGGCGCATCCTCCCTACTGCGCATATCGCCCTGCGTCTCATAGAACTCCTCGACCAGCTTCTCAATCGTAGGGCGGTGCAAGAACCGATGCGTGGGCGCCGCAAAGTCAAAGTACCGTTCCACGAGGCGCTGCGCGTCTGCTTTGGGCGGGAGCACGAAAAACGTCGTGTCGAATTCTGGCAGGGGCGCGTCGCCGAAGGTGAAGATGGAGGACGTCTGAGATAGGGAGGACGTACTGTCTTGGTGCAGTCGTCGTTGGATGCGAAGGAGGAAGGAGACTGCGGAAGAAGTGCCGACATAGTGGCCTTGTTGGTCTGTTTGGCCTTGGGCTGGTTCAGGAGAGTAGTGGGGAGGATCTGGGGCGGTGCTGGACGTGTGTGTGTCGAAGGCGTGTTGGGTTTGGGCAGGCGAGGCGGCGATTCTCTGGTAATGCATTGTTGGTCCCATGGCTTCGTAGGGGTTCCTCTTTGGCACTGCAGTTTGCTCGGAGATCCGCGGTTGTGGGCTTGAGTTCATTGCAGTTTCGTCGACTAGAACTGAGGGTAGCCTGCCTCGAGTGTATGATGCCGTGAACTCGCATGGGAGTCCAGCGCGTTGGCATAACGCGCAGGGACATCGACCGGTGCATCTTGTCTTCTTTCTGTCTCGATGTCAGTGAACGCTTGGAGCACGTGGGCATTGATTTCCGTGTTGAAAAAAGACTGCAGTGCTCGGCTGTAGTATAAGTTGTCCGCCACCTGCCGATATCTCTTCGAAAACTCCAGACTGACCAGACAAGCCTTACAAGCAACTTTTGCGAACGAACGCGTAGAATCATACCCTGTTAAGAAACACAAAGCAGAGCGTGGCTTATACTCCAGAATAGGCACCACAAACGCATCATTCCACAACTCATCACAAGCCAGCACAAAACTCACTTCTTACATCGATCACACGCCCTGCTGACTCTCGACCTCTCCTTGTCTTCTCTCCTTCTCTTAGCCGGCGGCGATGTTTGCTCGCTAGCATCTACATCTGCATCTGGTGTCGTAAGCACGATTGGAGTTTCCACCACACTACCATCCTGGTTGGCGGACGCCCACTCCGGCGAGGGTTTGCCCTCCGCCTCTGAGGGAAGGTGATGCGAACCGGGATCGTCCATCAATCGAACGGATATCGCAGCACAGATAATAGCAGTTGCTGGAGTTGCGGAGTCAAAGTTCGGCAAGGCGAACGGAAAAGCGGCGGATATGCACATTCATTGATTGGCTAGCGAAAAGTGGAACTCTCGTATCTATCATTGGTCACTTAGCTCATTACCACAGAATGATGCTTCTTAACAAATATTCCCGCCTTTCCTCTGTATTCCCATTTGAACACTACAGCTACCCAACTCAAGTTGGTTTTGAACTCCAGACCCCGATATAGACGGCTTTACAAATAGATACAAATAACGCGTCGCTCGTGAAAACTCTACAACATAGGCTTGATCTCAGCTGCCTCCTTGAATGGAGCGCCCGTCTTGGATCGTACTTCGTCAACTGTGACGCCGTCCGCGAGCTCAATAAGTGTCAAGCCTTCTGTGAAATCGACGTCGAAAACGCACTGTTACGCGAGTTAGTTGCAGTCTCAAGATTACGAATTTGAGGTGAATACTTACAAGGTCTGTGATGATTCTGCTGACGCAAGCCTTGCCGGTCAATGGGAACTCGCACTGCTTGAGAATCTTGGGTGTGCCCTTCTTATCCGTGTGCTCCATGGTGACAACGACCTTTGTCAGTGCTGGGTTCGACACCAAGTCCATGGCGCCACCAAAGCCCTTCACCTTTCCTGGCAACATCCAGTTTGCCAAATCTCCTCGTGCGGATACCTGCATGGCACCCAAGATAGTAAGGTTGATCCTTCCAGCACGGATCATGCCAAACGACTCCTCAGAGCCAAAGCAGGACGCACCCGGCAGTAATGTGACAGTCTCTTTGCCCGCGTTGATGAGATCAGGATCCTCCAGACCCTTCTGTGGGTATGGCCCAAGACCCAAAATGCCGTTCTCAGACTGGAGTTGGACCTCGACTGATGAGTCGACAAATGAAGGTGCCAACATAGGCATTCCGATTCCGAGGTTCGCGTACATGCCGTTCTTGAACTCCTTCGCAGCTCGGCGCACAATGCGCTCGCGTTTGCTCGCTGTGTCTCCCTTGCCGAGCGCGCTGACCGCGTCCTTGGGGTCTTTGGCGTTAACAACCTTCTCGATACCCTTGGGCGTTGTCGACTGGACGACACGGTCGACGTAGATACCCGGAACGTGGACAGCGTTAGGTGGGATCTCCCCAGGCTCGACGATGTTCTCGGCCTCGACGATTGTGACCTTTGCGTTGCGTGCCATGGCACCGTTGAAGTTCTGTGCGGCGAAACGGAACTGGATGTTTCCTAGACGGTCGGCCTTGTAGGCCTTGATGAAAGCGTAGTCGCCCTTGATCGATTCTTCCATGATGTAGCTCTTTCCTGCAAAGACCTTGACGTCGCGGGGTGTGGAGTACTGAGCTACTGAGCCGTCCTTGTTGTGTCGAATTGCAAGCTCGCCGGTCTGGACGACTGTGCCCATTGCAGCGGGTGTGTAAAAAGCGGGAATGCCAGCACCGCCGGCACGACACCTTTCAGCCAATGTGCCTTGTGGTGTGAGTTCCAACTCGAGCTCTCCAGAGAGGTACATCTGCTCGAGCAGCTTGTTCTCTCCCACGTACGACGCGACCATCTTCTTGATCTGCTTGCTCGCGAGAAGTAGTCCGAGACCTCCTCCGACGATACCGGCATTGTTTGATACAGCTGTTATACCTGTGATGGATGGCTTGGCTTTGACTTGGTTGATGAGGGTGTCTGGCACACCGGACAGACCAAACCCACCGACCAGAAGCGTGCTGTCAGACTTCATGTCTTCGATAGCGGCCTCTGCGGAGGAGAAAACCTTGTTGATCTCATTGCGGCGCAGGGATGAGCTGAAGCTGCGCGCGACGTTCAAGTATATCTGACACGATCAATTGGTGTTCTTGGTTAAGTGGAAGGTGCACACGTACCTTTGTGCTGCTCCGCGAGAAGGTGCGCGCAGTGCGGAATGTGAGGGCCATTGACGGCATTTTGATAGCAAGAGCAGAAAGCTACAATGTCGTCTACGTGATTCCTGAACTAGAGAGATATGGACACACAATTAAACAAGAAGCTGAGTGAGAAGAAAAAGTGCGGAGAGGATGACGCGACATAATAACTTTCAAAATGGCTCGCATCGGCTACCAAGCACGGCACCATGGAACGAGACCGAGCGCGGAATGTGGAGTGGTGGGGTCAACTTCGAGGTCTCGGCGCGGAGAAGCTGTTCACGTGCCTTGGCCGCGGGACGGCTGGGCTGCTGAGTGGACGGAAATGTTGCGCTTATACAAATCGCGGATTCGTTATCCATCAAGGTTCGGAACCTCACAATCATCAAGCAACGCGCACGAAAAACCCATCAACTCTTATCCGTCCCAGCCAACAGGCAACTCCGTCTCGAGTACGTCAACGGATATGGCATTGTACGACAAAGACACCACTCTTTTACGTGTTTTGCACTTAGCTACAACCCCGCAATCTTAATCAAGTTCTCGCCTGGGCTGATGTAGATATTTTCTGTTATTTGCTGTCATCGCAAGTAATCGGCAAAGCCAATCGACTCAACACAATCCCCTTAACATCCATCCGCCAGCATCTCCTCGAGTAGTGTAATTCTCCTCTGGCAGCGTTCGCATTCGAATACTCGCTCCCGATCCAATCCCTGACAATGCTTACACGTAATCCATTGCATATATCGCCCTGACTCTACTAAGAACGCAATGCGTAGATTTTTTGGAAGCCTGTATTTAAGTCCCGCAAGCTGTAGTCTTGATTCAAGGAGCTTGGCCAACACCCTGATCATAGTCTCACGCACACCCGCTAGATCGAGATCAATAATGGCATTCGTCATGGCCTCAAGGCGTTCCAGAGAGTGTGATTCCCCACGCAAAACGGTCAGAATAGCCCTGTGGTGCGTGACGAGCTGAGTGAGCGAACTTGGAAAAGATGGAAGATAGAGGTAGACGTTTGTCATTGGGTTCCGTATGCAGAAGTTTTCGACTTCGTAGACGCTCTTATGTGCTAGTGCGGCTACCACTCGCTGCCTCAAGAAGATGCATTCGGGAAGGCTGAGATCGTTGATGTGAGAAAGGTCTGCACAAATGTTGATTCTGGCGACAGGATAACGACGAAGGATGCTCAAGATCGGCAAGAACGCGGTAAAAGTCGTGAAGCCGCGGAACGTAAAAGTGTTGTTGAGATGAAACACGAGGCCACGAGTGTCGTAGTATAGTTTGCGACAGACGAACTTCAGCGGATTGGCGTGGATCATGGTAAGGCTTTCGGGCCCTCCGTTTCTGACCTTTGGTGTTGCCCGCCCAAGCTCTGGAAACCCTTTACTGGCAAGACCGTCCTCGTAGGTAAGCGCGAACCCGTAAATCATGTTGCGAATCTCACTAGGTAGGGCGAGGAGACGGGAGTGCTGCATCGGCGTAGGATCCGCAGGCAGGATAGGCCAAAGTTCTTTCATGTGCAGATCCGTTCTATGAGAAGACATTACCGTAGTAAGAGAGCGACACGGAGTTGAAGGGGGTCGTTATAGGACTTTGAGTGATGAAATATACAAGATAATCGGCGGGTTCTTGATATTTCTGCTTCTTCTTCGACTTTGTTTTTTCTTAAAAAGAGACGGAGCCACGAGAGGGAAAATCTATAGTTCGAGGTCCCGGAAGTAAAAGTATATTCCTTGACATTTACACGAAAACTACAACCGTTTGCTGTTTGTTGTTTGCTGTCTACTATATCGCTCTTGCGATCCGCTGACGAGAGCTCAGAGTGTAACAGTACAGAGTACGACTTAGCTTTCTCGACATCGCCTACCAGAATCCTGATTTTGGGTTTCCAGCTAGTAGTAGTAGTCACAATACAGCTAGTGAGATCCGTCGACTAGAGATAGCGGCTTGTATAACTATCTTAAGACACACCAACGGAGGGGTGTCAATTCGGGGTCGGATTTGACATCGTCAGATTTATCACAATTATCAGAATTGATCTTCGTCACTTTTGTAATAGCTATGAACACTAAAATCAGCAGCACAAGTGACGTTGATCGCGCCTATATAGTAAGCATCCAAACGGTCTGGAATAGGAATACATCTTTGCTCAGACGTCGTACGCAGTGCAAATATAAAATTTAGCAATTTGACAATTGTGATGTCGCAACAGGATCGCAATGGCTCTGACCAGCACATCACTGAGATTACGAGCGAGTCAGTCTCACTCATGGTTCTCATCCACTGGTTACATTCTACTGATGAGTAGACTGAAGTAGCCAAATATGAGAGAAGTGCCGAAGTATAGATCACCGTGCCATCGCATTCACCCAATCTTGGTCGTACATGTGTGGCCGAGGCGGAGCGGAGCTCAATCGTCAATCGTGCGTGGATGCGACTGGTCATGTCCACACGGCGTTCCAATGTATTTTGACCCATGCGAACTGGCAGAGATGCGTTGTGTTAATATCTAGTCTACCTGTCTGTGCACTTGACGTGTCGGCTCCATCAAGATCAGGTCCGAGGTACGATCCTAGTGGTTTCTTGGCGCTACCAATGAAGAGACAGAACATGAAGCCATCCCAAGATCTGAATCGACATGTGAATGATAACGTGCCTGCGTTGCATCCGTGTTGTATTTGTCCTCCGAGCGGCGGATCGAACGAATAATTTGACGACAGGTTTCAAATTAGAAGCAATATCTGCAAACTTACAACACGTTCTTGATCGTCATATACTAGGTATCAAAGATTGATGCCTGAATAGGAAAGGCTTGAGAGCATCAGTACCAAAATGGTTCATCTGACGAATTGGCCTCACCATCTCCACCCGATCCACCCTATGAGCAATATGTTTCATCGAAATGTGGTAAGGTAAGTTGGTTTCATGATCCTCATGTAACCTGACGGCGTGAGTTTTACGTGTTATGAAGTGCCGAAATAGACGAGTCATTTGGTACGTTTGTGAGGATCATGGCAATGTGTCAAGATTAGTAGCTTTCTTACGGTCAACAGGACACACCCGAGGTGAGTATTGCAGCAACTGGCCCCCCTAAACACTTGCGGATATAGCGGCCCCTAATACGCCTAAAATTGGGGATAGTCTGGGTCTCATGCTGTACTACAGCTCATTCCGGGGTCATTGTGATCATGCATGTTCCTGAAAAAAAAGGGAGCTCTCTATCCAATCAAGGATTTCTGCTGCCGAATCAGGCAGCGCAGCTGTGCTTTGGGACGCACCTATTGGCGTGTGACGAGCTGCAGGTGAGCGGCCGTTCTTGCAGCCAAACGTGGGAAGCCAAATGTCAGTGTCCTTGTCTTGATAAAATTCGGGACAGACTTGCGGCCGGAGGCTGGCAGCGATTTACAAGCGTCAGAACGCAACAATGATGGATTGGCACATTGGCACCGGGAGTGCCTGACAGCAGTGACGGGAGAGTCATTTTGCAGTGCAGGTTGATGAGGAGGTGTGGTGCAGTAGCTTCAAAGCACGCCCCGCGGCGGACTTGGACATCGCAGCGAATGGAAGAGCTTAGGGTGTTCTTTTACGAGCTGCTTCTTGTTCTCGGCATGGCGGTGCAGCAGCCAAAGTGGAGCATTGCAGGGAGCGAAGCCAAACAGCATCTAGGATTTGGAGAGCCGTTGCGCGTCTGCGCCAGAGGCTCGCATTTGTTGGCAGCGGAAGAGTGGGTGGGAAAAGCGGTCGTGGCAAGTGTTCGTGCAGGATGCGTCTGCAGGGGAGAAAAAGGATGGCACGGGCCAAATCGTCCAAATCGAGCAGCAAAACATCGCGTGCGCGACGCGTCAAATCGCATTTACCTTGGGAATCGCAACAGCTGGCAGCATGAGGCCGAATGCCGCGCCGATGTCTGCAGTCGAGTCAAGTGTTCTGTTGCGTGGCTGGGAAAAAAAACCGCGTGGGGACGAAAGATGCTGGTCTTCGGTTGCAGCGCCAGCTCCTTGGAGGTTTCGCGTGTCCATCGTCGATCCGTTTTGTCCTAGCGCAAGCACTATCCGCGTAGCTTAGCCAGCCGATATCCTGGTGGTCTTCACCGCATCACCGCATCACCGCACCACACCTCCACGACTTCACGACTTTACGATCTTGTCGACCCGAGCGCGCGCGTCGCACTCCAGTGCGCCGACGGACGACTTACGACAACGATTTTTCGACGACTGTTTCACGCGTTATCACGACTTTCTCCTTCGACGCCCCTTGCGCCTGCCTTTTGTTGTTTGTGGAGAACTACCTAACGGCTCTCGCGCCGCATTCACAACTCCACAGATCGCCAGACCTTGTCCGCGGCGCGTCTTGCACCCCTCGCGCGCATCTAGGAGACTCTGTCTGACCTCGCTCGCTGTCCCTGGATTTTCTGTCGCGCATTTGTTCATCGCGCGACTTGCTGTTCGCGACTGACTGCTACGCGCCGTCGTCTGCACGGGTTATCCACGACTTTTTGTGACTTACGATTTCATTGCGACCGCTTCTACACCTATTACACGTGCATCGAGGTGTGCGCGACGCTTTGCGACTGCGTCGTCGATTGATCGAAAACAAAGCTCCCGCCATTCGTGGGACCGAATCGTGCAGGCCGCACAGTCGCGTTCGCAGCGTCCCAAACAGCTGCCGGCACCCGATATCTACCCAGCCGACCACCCTGCATACGCCGAACGTCACCGCCGCAGCAATTGGACCCTGTCACCAAAGTTAATGCGTTGAGCGTCCACCGCTTTTGAATTCCTTCGAACCTCCTTGCGGCGTACTGATATTGGCTCTTTGGAGTTTCGCAAGCGAGAGCACAAAGGACACAATAACCTTGAAACGCTACAACGCATCCCTCGTTCCGTAACCATCACTATGGATTCCGAACGTCCTCACTTATCAATCACGCTGCCTCGAAACTTCATGTTTCACTATCGTGACGGCCCGGCTCCGCAGACGCCAGAACCTGAGCCGCAGCCGGAGCAGTACCAGCCACCACCACCACCACGACAGACACTCAGAGTTCGCCGTCGCCGCACTACTCTGACCAGGGGTCAAGACATCTTGGAGAACTCAATGGAGCAAATGCCGATCCCGACCATCGAAATGTCAGATGTTCTTTCGGAGGCATCAACAGCTTTGCCTGTGTTCCCGCTGGCTCAAAACAACGCCTACCTGTCCCCAGGAATGAGCTTCCCGCGGTTGTTGTCTCCACCAAAGACGCCAGTTGCCCAGATGAGAACTATCAGCCATTTGGATGGACCCCGCGATTGGGCAGACATCAAGCAAGCAAGCCAGATTGAGACCACTAGCAGACCGACATCGTCTTCTGGCTTTTCTGAATCCTCGATTTCGTCTCGAGGGAGCCTCTCGTCCATCATCTCAAGAGGTGGTAGTTGCACAAGCCCCGAGGAAGAGGTAGACGACCCATTCTCGTACTGCTCGCCAGTGAGCAAATACTCTCAGCCTACTTCACCTTCAGCTGCGCATCAGCATTCCCGCCCTAACAAGAAGCTGAGATTGAAATCAACCTTCAACGAAGACATGGACCGCCACCTCTGGATGACCTACATGAAATACTTGCAAGACCCCATAGTGACTCCCTTCAAAGCCCTCCCGAGCACCATGCCTCCCAATGGAGTTTGCCATCGTGTAGCGAGGATGGCTAGGAGAACATGGCAGGGACCACGGCCGTCTCGTGCTGTGGCTGGACGAACCGTTACCCAGTATGGTACTCGATGCGGGACCCCAAGTGCCTTGAGAGCTTTAAGGAGTGGCAGCAACACCCCTATCGCCAGGCCTAGCAAATCGTATTTGCGGTTTCCCACAGAGAAGCAGTGTCGAAAGCGATTGCGGGATTTGGCAAAGCAGAAGCCAACACTTTCCGCTCATTATCAGCGCATGCTTCATCGTTCACCCTCGCCGTTTCAATCTTCACCGCCGGCCGAACCATCGCAGCCGCAACCTCAACCTCAGGCTCGCACACTGTCTTCTCCTTTTGCAACGGAAGCTCAAGTGTTCTCGACCCGTGATATGAATGTGTCTTTGGCAACCAGCACTGCTGAGTCTATGCAACTAGGCAACCCTCTGTCACAATTAGCAAGCGACATTACACCTCGCCCAGCTGAGAGGAAATATCGAAGCATGCGGGCTTCAGCACATCAAAAGTCGCAATCCCTACACATCGGACTGGGCCTTGGTCTTGGAAACGTACTTGGATCGCCGTTTCAGGCCAAGTCTGCGGCTGACATGCACATGCATCGTCACAACGCGCAGACCTGGCATGCACCATCATCGACGCAACCACCTCGACTTGGATCTCCCTTCCAGTTGCACTCGCCACGACCTAAAGCACGAGCCTTCAAGCGTCGTGCTCTTCACAGCAGCTTTGAGGACAAGTCGCGCAACCGCGGCAACAGCTTTGTGGATGAGCTCTTTGGCGCCCCTGCTGAGTCAAGTCATCGTCGTGTAAGGAGTCGTGGTTTTAGCTTAGGCGATATGATGGACGGTGCCCGGCGGCTGCCGCTCTCTACGCATGAGATCAATCCGTTTGTCAATATAGCAGCAGCGTTGCCGAGCCCTGCTCAGACCTCACCTGTCGGTCCGACAGAAGCTCGGGGCCAGGCTACGTCCTGTCTTGGGTCACCTTTCGGCGGTCGATCGAGTAGAACGTTTCCTCGAGCATCTGCGTCGTACAGTTTCGAGCCTCCAGCATCGTTTGAACAGCGTTTCGCCGGGACGCCGAGCACACCAGCACGTTTATCACGCTCGTAGTTTCAGATTTTCCCTTCAGCAATACATGGACATTGGCGTTTGGGCCAGCATCATCGGCGTTGGACGGCAGCCTTGGGCGTCGTTGCGGCATCCTGACGTCGTATCGTTGTGAGTATGAACTCACCATTTGGCCCTTGGCCTATCACCTGCTGCACCTGAACAGTATCTCCTATGTTTTGTCAATATTTCGACGTGCGTTCTATCTTTGGGCGACTCTACTCTTTTGAAGGGATGGCCTACCTCTAGGTGTTTATTGTGGATGACTCCATGAAGAGTCACCCTAAAGGTTCATCAGAGGGTATCCCTTCCTTACTTATTTCTTCTTTCTTGGCCGTTCTTTCTTGGTCGATGACGAGTAATGCTGATGCGGCTGCATGGGCCTACCATGTTATTTCAACGGCATGACTACATGCTTGGGACGACATGTGCGAAGGTTGGGTAGGGACAATATTGCTTGTTACCTCACAATCTTTGGTGGAATGTGTCAACAGCGACGCCTCTTCCTTACGTGTTGCGGCTGAGACAGCTTTTGGTTAAGCTGCCTTGAGCCCGTGTCCGTTCTTTATACATTCCAGCATCTACTGCAATCTTATTTCCTTTCTCTGGCCCGCAGCTCTACGTGGCCTTTATCACACTCTCTTGTCTTATGCTTCATTTCTTTATCATGATGGGATGATGGAAGTTGTATCGATCGGTGGGCTCTAGGCTCTAAACTTGCGTTCATGATGCCATGAGTTGGTAACGACAACAGACCTTTTCTTCGTTCTTGGCGGGGGTTTGCTCTCGGTGGAAGATCGGCTGGAAGAAGGCTTCGACGGAATAACGGAAGAGGCCTGTACACAACAATAGGTCAGCTGGTTTTGGAAATGGGCAACGAGCGAAGTTTTGAGCAGAAGAGCTAGTTATGAATCAAAAGTGACAGAAGAAACAAGAGTGTGAAGAAGCAAAACTTCAGGTGCACCCCCGCCCCGCGAGCCGACGCCTGTTTCGTAATGTGCTGAGCACAGGCGTCATCATGTACTGTGCCAGGCCTTGGTCCGCCGTAGCTTCCAGCCGTAAAGGCTGATATTCGATAGTCCCGTGTTTGATGACGAAGAGCAACCGTGTAAGTACTGACCTGAGCGTGCGAGCTTGCTGTTCCCCTTCGCACTCGAGCAGCCGCGGAAATTGCTTCGTTGCTGGAACCACCGTTCGTTCTGTTTAAAAAAACTCGAGCTCCAAGCAAAGAAAAACTGCAGTGGGTGCCCATGTCTGTTGATCGAAAAGTCCAAGTTTGGCTTGGCGCGTTATCTTGCCGGCCTAGACCCACTTGCTTGGGCTGACCGGCTGTTGCGCCCTGCAACTCGTGTATCGGGCGTCATGTGCTCGCGCGTCTACGCGTAAAACGCGTCGCGGTGTGTGATGTTTTTTCCTGTTTGGGGTTGGCGTTGTTAGAGCTGTAATAGCTTACGCGGATAAGACTGTTGGTGGTGTGTTGGGACCTTGGGCTGCGACGATCGGTGCGGAGGTGGTGCATTGGGGGCGGCGGATGCTGCATTGAATATGTATGCAGTGGTAAGGAGGAATGCGTTCGTTTGGTGGAATTTGCTTATCATGTGGAGGAATGCGAGGCCGAGTCGCGGTCGTGAATTGTTTGGCCGTCATTGGCGATGATGCCTTCCACAACAGTACTTAATCACGACATTTTGGCACCCACACTTGCAACTTCTCCGCCTTCACCGGATTACGTTGCTCCTGACAACGAGAGCTAGGAACGTTACTTTTCGTGTCTTCCGCGTTTCGAAAAGAGGGGGTGGGATGCGGACCGCGGGAAGAAGGTTTGACGGCGTCTCGATGTCACACCAAAGGCTGGCGCACTTAAGGGCCGTTATTAATCTGTGGGTTTCATCCTCGGTTTGCAGTTGATTGCTGGGTCTTGGGAAGTCCCCAACGTCGTTCCTTTGAACAATCGAACGGACCTTTTGTGCCGTTTTCAGCGAACCGCGGTAACCCCTTCTCCCCGCTCATTCTTGAACGCGATGTCCAAATCAGCATATCCCTAGTTCTCGCTACACAGTCATTTGTTAGCTCTATTGCTTCCTGCCAAACCGTGTATTTCTGCTTCATAGGTTTACCGCTAGCTACGACTAAGCTACGGCGCAGTGACTGAGCCATAGCAGCTCGATGTTCTACTGCTTTGCGATTGGTTGGCTTCAACCCACTCTAGTTAGCGGTAAACCTATCAGGCAGAAATCTATGGTACGGTATCTTTAGCTTGGCCCCATGAAGACGTAGTTTTGGTGAGGCAGCCCTTTGAATTCCTGAGCCAGTTTTTCATGTTGGAACTAGTGTCCAAGGATATGTCCACGACGGCGGTGAGCTGGTCGGAGTTAATTCTCGGCCTGCATATCGACTCAACGAAACCAAGGGTCGGAGCCTTTGTGACTTTTATCATGCTTGCAAGCTCAGCCCAACTCGGTCCCTCTTCTGCTTCACCGATATTGTATCTATGTATTCTTGACAGAATCTGACGAGCTTCAAGCTGTCATGTCCAATCTATTGCCTGATGTTTTCAGACGCACGAACAATTTTCCTTACGTCCAGAATGGATTGGCACTTGAGTACTACCAAGTGGCTGATTTCCAGTGACTGATCAAAAACCTACCGGATATGGAATCTAATCACCTTATGAACATCTTGCAGAGCTTCTTCGAAAGATGCCTAAAGATGCTCCTGTCATCTGTTCGGATCTCATGTACACCTGACACGCTTCAATTAATTGCAGGCTGATAGTCAAGACTTCATTCCTGCCCATTTCTCATCCTCTTCTGCTTTACGGAGTAGTATCTCTTCCATCCAATCAAGAACGCTCGAATTCATGCTTTCCCCACGCTGCGGGGACTACCGATCAAGCTGACAGTGGAACGAGTCCAGGCTGCAAGCATAGCCCCACCATGAAACTCATACTTTCTCTCTCGTAGTACCTCCTCTCTGATATAGTTTGTTGCCCATCTGCATTCAAGTACACCCCCACAACTACTCAATATGGCGGAACATGCACGCGACAGCCACGCCGCATCTACAAAAGCGTAAGACGTCACACATAGAAGTAGATTGCGGTGTTACTAACGTTCGCGTAGCCTGCTTGCTTCTGGCAAGTATTCAGATTTCGTCATCACCTGTGGTAGCGACACATACAACGTACATAAAAGTGTTGTATGTACTCGGTCTGGATTTTTCGAGCGCGCTGAGCGTTTCGCTGTTGGAAAGGTAAGTCAGGCTGTGGCATGTGCGATATAATCGGCACTGAATTGCTATGTGGGCTGGTGCTGAAACCACAATCATAGGAGGCAGCCGAAAGCAAGGTTGACCTACCGGAGGACGAACCTCCAGATGTCAAGTTACTCATCCAGTATATGTATGAGAGCGAATACGAACCGACTCTCGAAAGCATGACGGAGCAGCTGTCAACCTTTCAGGGGGTGAAGAAACTTGGCTACCACTACCAGTTTCCTCACACATGCACACCTCCCAACTGCCCGGACGAATATATGGTGTGTCCACACCATGAGTGCAGGCCGAATAGTTGCAATGAAAATTGTGTCAAGTTTGTCTGTGCTATGTGTTGCCAAAGCACGACGGCGAAACCTGGATCTGCATCGCAAATCCTGCTTCATGCTAAGATGTATGAGTTCGCAGACAAATATGATGTAAGTGGCCTCAAGGAACTTGCACGCGAGAAGTTCTCAAGCGCCTGCCTTCGCTACTGGGACAGCGACTATTTCGCCCCGGCTGCTCACCATGCCTTCTCAACCACGCCCGAAGAGGACAAGGGGCTCAGGGATATTGTTATCAGCACGGTCTCAAATCACATGGACGTTCTCAACAAACCCGCGATGGAGGCAGTTTTGAATGAGTTCAATGCCCTCTCGGTGGGTTTGCTCAAAATGCATGCGAAAGATCTAGGTTGGACGCTACCTCCTGCTCCAATCATGATAACTCGTGTATAACAGTAGTGCTTGGAAATGATGAAGATCCTCGAGGCAGGCCTTTTGGAAGGAATGTTTTTATTGGATGAAGAAATCGTGATTAGTCGGTTTGCTGTCCGAGGATTTGATGATTAAAGGCTCGCCGACATTTCTCCATGACACAGCCCGAACCATATTGTACTCCCTTCATGAACACACCAGCACCATCAAGTACGACCATCACGAGCAGCTATTTACCGAACATCATTATGGGACTGTAAAGTACGCACAATATTGTTTAATAAACGAGTCGTGTATAGATAATGTTTGCAGGCATATGCACTCCGACCACAACCAAAACCCCAGCCTTGACTCATCCTCGAATCACATCACCCCTCTGGCTCTCCTCTCCGACCAGCTCCTCAAAGCCCTGCCCATCCTGAATCGCCCCCAGCATCCCACTCAAGTCCGAATACGGAGCCACAGAAACATTATCCCAGATGATCTTCCCAAACTCATTGAACCACCATATCTTCACGAGATTCTTCTCCACTGCTTCGTCATCAACCACATACACGAAGTTTTGTACATTCAATCCAAGTTTCCTGATCTCCTCGAATGCTTCGTCTTCTTCGGCGTGTTTAATAGCCCCAGGGTCGTTCTGCCCACTTCCATAGAGGAGAAGACTGCCATCTCCATATTCATCCACAACACCATGAGCATCAGTCAAACAGGGGATTCGAAGCAGAAGTTGGTCCAGGACTTCTTGGTCCGAGCCTCGGAAGCCGTACAGTGAAGACTCATCTAGGACGTGATCCGGGCTCTCGAGGCAACCGACTTCAGCCCGAGCACCCATTGTCTGTTCAATCTCGCGATACTTCTGGGTTAGGGAGGGTGAGTAGCATGTCCGTAGCCAGACTGTGTTCCAGCCAGAGCAGAACTTTGCACTAAGATTGCATTCCTGAATGCTTTGATGTGGGGCAAATATGCGGCCGATTTGTTCTTCGGTGGGCGAAGGAAGAGGCGCGGCACCCCCTACTTCACTCAAGGCGTCCAGTACCCGTTTGTACAATGGCTGATCTTAGTCAGTTTGTGTATCGTGGTGGGACGAAGTAAAGGCTTTCCCGCACCCATCGCTTTATGAGAGGCAGACTTAGATATCGCCGTGCTAGTTCATCCCATCGCTGCTGAGGGGTGGCTGGCAATGCAGAAGTGGTGCTTTCCCAATGATCCTTGAGCGCCAGTCAGGTGGATCTGTAGTCAGCGTTCGCACGACTCACCAGAACAAACAGATCAAAGGGAAGGCAACCGTAACCCGCATTCCACTGTAACTGCATTGACTGGCCGAGGTTCGCAATGTCGATATGATGAGAGGCGTGAAGAATGTGCTTGGTGAAAAAAAGTCTATGAACAGACTCCAAGAATGAGAGTGGGAGAAGAAACGACGAGACGATTATGTCAGCTCACGTTTTGAGGACGGCAATGTAGGCAATTCATATAGATTTGGTTCAAGCAGATACATATTACACCAAATTGGAACCGATGAGACCGACTAAGAAATGCACCTTGAACACATGCGACGCCAGACCAGACATGAACCAAATAACCATAGAATATCGCTCATAATGCTAAGCGTTCATACATGACAACCACAACTTACTCGCGGGCAACACGGGCCTTGAAGTCGTTGAAGAGGCTCTCCATCTCCTCGGCAACAAAGTCCTCAATCTCAGACTCGAGCTTCTCAAGCTTGCCGCCAGTGCGACCAGCAGCAGCCTTGGCCTTCTTGTACTCAGTCTCGATGTTCTTCTCGATCTCAGAGACGGAAGGGATGGTGATGGTGAACTCAGACTCCTTCTCCTCAGCGGCCTTCTTGACGGTGTAGCTGCCCTTCTCGAGGATCTCAGTCACGTTGGACGAACCTCCACCGTTCCAGGCGAGGATGTTCTTGGTGTTGCTGGGTACGTCAGACAGAGCGCCAACAGTGGCGACGGAGATGAGGTTGGCCTTGAGCTTCTTGGGGGTGATGTCCGCGACCGAGTACGCAGAGTCCTTGGCGGGCTGGAGCGACAGGTAGTATGCAAGGAGACCGGCGATATGGGGGCTGGCCATCGAAGTTCCACTGATGGTGTTGGTTGCGTGCTCTGAGCCGATCCAGGTGGAGAGGATGTTGAGTCCAGGGGCGAAGATGTCGTTGCACTTGCCGTAGTTGGAGAAGTAGGCACGCTCGTCGAGCAGCGTGGAGGCGCCGACGGTGACGGCGTTCTCGGCAGCGGCGGGCGAGTAGTTGCACGAGTCGGCGTTGTCGTTGCCGGCCGCGACGGCGAAGTGGATGCCGGCGTCGACGGCGGCGTTGACAGCCAGGTCGAGCGTCGTCGACTTGCCACCTCCCAGACTCATGTTGGCGGCGCTGCCTTTGAACCCCTTCTTCTTGCCGTCCTTGGCCTCCTTGACGGCGTCGATGTGAGACGTAGCAGCATACTCGACGCCCTTGACGACGTCGGACATGGTGCCCGAGCCGTTGGAGCGGAGGACCTTGACGGCCTTGATGGTGGCCTTCTTGGCAACACCGTACTTCTTGCCACCGACAGTGCCGGAGCAGTGGGTGCCGTGGCCGTTGCCATCCTCGTCGGCGTCGCCGTTGGGGATGGTCTTGCCCCAGTGGGCGCGACCCTCGAAGTCAACGTGCTTGACGTTGGTGCCGGTGTCGATGACGTAAACCTCGACACCCTCACCGCCATCGGCAGAGTAGAGGTACTTGTTCCATGTGCCGAAGCTGAGCGAGTCGCGGTGCGAGATACGGGCAAGACCCCAGGGCGCGTTCTTCTCCGTCTCGTAGTCATCATCGCCCATGGTGTGGACCTCCGAGTCGCGCTCGATGTAGTCGACCTATCATGACTCGTTAGCATGGGTTCGGGCGGGTACCAGCGGGTACCTGAATGAGCGCTGGTCACGTGTGATTGTGACTGGTCGCGTGCGGAGTTGGTGCCGGAGATAAGGGCTCAGCCACTCGCTGGGCAACCAGGGTCACGCGGACTGCCTGGATACGAAAACGCGCTCGGCAAGCTGCTAGCCGCGCCGCGCAATGACGAACGGGACCTGTGGAGAGCCGCTGGGCTCGATCGGCGACCCGGACGCGCCCGCCTAGGCAGCAGCATCGAGTCGCGCGTTCTCCAGCTCGCAGTGCTCCAGAACGGATGGGGGCGATGAGATGAGATGAGAGCAACTTACATCTGGGTGCCTGCGGATGGCCTCGATAGTCTCGTCGTCAAAGTGACCCGAGTAGCCCGTCAACCCGCCCACGATGTTGTATGTGTGCTTGAGGCCGTCAAAGACGCCCTCTGTGACGGGGAACTGGGAGCGCTTTCGCAGCTCCATGCGCTCGCTCTGGCTCTTAGTGTGGATGCCCTGGACCCAGTCGTGGTGCTTCTTGGTGTCCTTGACGTGCTTCTTGAAGACGACCATGTACTGGTTTGGCACAGCCTTGGCCTCTGTCGATGACAGAAGGGGAGCTGCGTCGTTGTGGATGGTGCCGACATGGAGAACGGGCGAGGCGGCAGCCAGGGCCGGGAGAAGTGTGAGGGCACTGTACTTCATGGTGTTGGTGGCTCGCACAGCGAGATGTGAGTAGATGAAGGGGAGGTGTAAGAAGATGAGAGAGGATGTAGAGGATGTAGGAGAGAAGAGGAAATGCGGAGAGATGGGGGAGGAGATGGGGCGGTAGCTATGGCGATGGAGCTCTTATCAATGACCAGGCACGGACCCACCCGTCCAAGTGATCAAGTGACGACATGTGATTCGAGTGAGGCTGGGGAGGCGGCTAGGCTGACGGGGGTTAGACACGGATGCTCGCCATGGAAGGATGATCTGGCGACAGAGGTGTCGATCAAGCATCAAGTATAGCTATCTACAACTGAGCAGGTAATGTAGTTGTGTCTGCTCAGCGTGGTGATGTTGGCGGTTGATGAGGACAGTTGGTGAGCACAGTCGACGAGTGACAGCCTCGCTATCGTGTGGTAGCTGCCTTCCGCCTCGCGAACGCCCCAGTCAGTAGCTCACCAGCGCGTGAGACACACGGGGAAAGACGCGAGCTATGCACATTGCCACAAGTCGGATGACCTGCATATCCATGTTCATTCATGTGCATTCATGTTCATCCATGTATATTCTTAGTGCACTGGTGTATTGGTGCATATTCTAGTGGTTTGGTACAGGTGCTGTCACCATTTCCATGGTACAACAGCTGTGACAAACGTCAAGCTGCCAGTTGATTAAATAGAAAGTATCGCTATCTACATGCTGAAACATGACTGTGTCTGCCAAGCGTGGTGATGTTGCAGTCGATGAGTGCAGCCACGCCAGACTATGAGCGTACGAGTAGCAGCTTCAGTCAGCAGCTCACCGCGCGCGTGGGGAAGACGACGAGAGCTATGCACAGCATCACAACCCAAGCTCCCAACACAACCACGCCTCTAGTAAACTCCAATCCATACACGTCATTCTACATGTGGAGCACTTCTCCTACAGAGACATGATTCTGCACTTCTTCTCACGCCCTCCTTCCACACACTCCCGCAGCGGCGGCCCCAATTGAATATGGCCACCTCCCGGCCTCACCGCTCGTCGACCGCGGCCTCGAGGGTCCCGCCTATGAACAACCAGATAGCCGAGCTGCGCAGCCTCGCCGACGAGCTTATCCGCGCCTCCGAGTCGTCCCCGCCGACCGCCCCCGTCTTGCAGACGCAGAGCAACGCCTTGCGCCGCATGCGCCAGCTGCTCATCGACTCGAGCGACCAGACGCACACCAAAGACGCCTTTCGGCACGTGCGGGGCTTCGATGTGCTGCTCCTCACGCTGCGCTCGCTCTCGGGCTTCTACGACCCCGCCAAGCTGTCCACGCTCGACCGCATCGACTTCTTCGAGGTCATCAAGGCGACGCTGGACGTCTTGTCGGACGCGCTGAACGAGCATGCGGGGAACAGGCGCTTCTTTGCGAGGCGCATCGAGCATGGCGGCTGGGTTGCACTGGAGCAGGCCCTGGCCAGTACGGGAATCTTCGGCGGACCGTCCACGGACACACGGGACGATGCAGGCCAGGAGCAGCTGTTTGGCTGCCTCTTCGCCTTTGCCCTGGGCGACGAGGCCATGACGCGCATATTCAGAGACATTGCCAAGACCACTGGGGAAGTGCCGGCGAGGCAGGAACCACCTCCCCCACGAAGCAGCGACCCTCCACACACGACCGAGATCGTCGTCTCCAGCCCGCGGTCGACATATAGCGAGCCGGATATTGCCCTCGACCCGTTGCGTGCTCGGTTGAGGACCGTCTTCAGTGGGAACGAGGTGCTGCAGAACCCAGACGTCATCCCTATTATCGTTCACTTTTGGCAGGGCTTGTCTGGCGAGAATGCACCTGGAACGAAGTCAAAAGCGCTCTCTGTCGCTGTGTTGCTTGCCATCATTGACATCACCGCCCTGTCTTCATATAACAAGGCTGCTCTGCACGTCACTGGCATACTCAGCTTCATCCTCCCCTTGTTGTTTGAGAACAAATGCGCTCCCACAGAAGCTGGCCTCTTGCGAGACCTGGCAGACAGCCTCGTCGAGTACGGCATCAATAGACTAGACGATGCCTACTACCTCTTTCGCAAGGCGGCCACATCAGACCAAGCTGCCGAGTTCCTCCACCGTGGCATGCGGACGTCTCGTGGTCCACATTTCATCCAGTTCGACTTATCTCTGCATGGCTTCAGTGCTGTCGAGCTCCCTGACATTGGCCGTCCTTTTCCTCCCATCTCTCCCGGCAGCGGATACACATTTGCTACCTGGATACGAGTTGATAAATACGACCCCAACTGTCATACCACACTCTTCGGCGCGTATGATGATACACAAACGTGCTTTTTGATGGCTTATCTAGAAAGAGATACCCGCTGTTTCATACTGCAGACTTACATGGGCCACTCGACTGGCATCATCCCCAGCGTACGCTTCAAAAAGGCTCCTCGCTTCGAGGAAGGAAGGTGGTACCACATTGCTGTAGTTCATCGGCGAGCAAAAGGCATCGGCGCAGGGAGCCACAAGGCTTCACTCTTCATCGATGGCGAGTTCACCGAGACCATGAAGGCCCACTACCCATCTCATCCCCCTGTTTTGAATAGCAGTCAGGAAAGTTTCACATCCATGTCAGCTAGTATCTCAAAACACCATATTCTTGCCTTCTTGGGCACCCCACGTAACCTCGCCCCCCGTTTAGGTCGCAACGTTCTCACCTCCAAGCTTTCAATGGCTTCGTTTCATCTGTTTTCCGAGCCGTTGTCCGACGAGTTGATCGCCGTGTACCACAAACTCGGACCACGCTACTGTGGCAACTTTCAAGACAGGCTGGGCTCATTTCAGACCTATCGCACGTCTGCTGAGCTAAACGTTCACAATGAAATATTGCACCCTGGCAAGGAAGAGCGATCAGAGATCGTGTCGGCAATCCGAGCAAGTGCAAGACACCTAATGCATGAATCGAAAGTTTTACTGAGTTTCTCACCTACCTCAGTCATGGATGATGATGATAGAAACGCCGTGGACGAGTCCCAGCTCATTCGATCACTCTCAAAAGAGTCCGCGAAGACGCTCCAAAAGTATACTAGAAAACACAGCACGCCTGTCATCATCAATGCTGCCGTACCTTCAGTGAATGACGCTCTGTCACAAACATGCGGGTTCGGACGACTATCTGGCGATCCTGTGGTAGTGGTGCCTCAAGCTCTAGATGACGCAATATGGCGCATCGGTGGTTGTGCTGCAGTAGGTCTGAAGCTGGTACAGGCTGCTCAATCCTTGGACGGTGTACTACGTGCTGTTAAAATCCTCCTTGAAGCAGTGGAAGGCAATTGGCGCAACTGTGAAGCCATGGAACAGAGCAATGGCTTTGCTATCCTTGCTGAGGTGCTGCGTCAGAAGATTGGATTTGCTATGGGCGGTCTTGTCATGCGAAATTCCTCATCGCTCGATGTCACCCCTGAAGATTGCGAATTGTTTGTGGTGGAGTTGCTTCGAGAGATACTTCGTTTCGTTGGCTATGACGAGCAGCATCCTGAAGAGTCACTGATCATCAACCCGCTAGCATATCGAGTCCTTTTGGTCGATCTTCAAATCTGGCGCAGGGCAACAACACTGGAAACGCAGAAACTGTATTATACACAATACATTCAGTTTGCGAAAGGAAGCAAGCATCATCATTACAATGCGAAGCGCTTCCACAGGATAAGTATGTCTAATCTGGGGTTTGTTGTGATATAGGCTGACAATCTTTGCAGGAGTCGTCAAATGTTTGACAGACGCGTTGATGGGTGAGACCTTCACTCCACAGACTTTACCGTTCTTCATCGACGCGTTCAGGTGCCTTCTGCAAATCAACTTCAATGGTGAGAATGCTCGATCGTTATCATTGTTTGTCACCTACGCTTTGCACGATAATCGCGCCTCATATGCTAAACGGACATTGCGACCCAAGGTGAGCTCTGTACGACTGCGACAAGGAACACCTCCTGTCGGATCTCCTGGAGATACGCCACGTCCTAGTAGTCCAGCACACCTTGACGCGAATGCATCGCCGCTCTCTCTCACAGATCTCGGTATTGCCATTCTCGGCCTTCTGGCGGAGCTTTTGTGTGACCCCCAAAACCCCAATGAGATCGTGCGCTTTGCCAAGAACGTGACTGGAAAGTGGCTCCTCTACCTTCTAGCAGAGCCTGACCAGCGTGTGGTGGTGCTCGGAGCAAGGATTCTTGCCCGTCTTCTTGTTGTAAATGGCCCACTATTTGTTAAAAAGTTCTCTGACAAGACAGGTGGGTTTACTCTGATGAAGAACCGGCTACGTAATTGGTGGAACACACCCAGTATCTGGACAATCTGCTTCGCTATTCTGTTCGATCGCGATATAGCGTCGATTGACTTTGAGCGAGACTTCGACGTCTTCAATCTGGTCGATATCTTCATCGCACAATCACCGCAAACGAAGTTGAGGATTTGTTATCCAGAGATCTTCGCGGTCATTGCGGCTATGCTAGACACCGGGTTGCGCGCAATCGTTCGCGATCGAGCTCAGACTACAGTACCAACTAGAGGTTCTCCGTCAGAGAACGGCAACGCTCCTACAACTAGAGGACGACGAAGAACAATGTCGTTGAAAGCTGAGTCGCCGAACATAAGTAAGTTGAGTGTTCGAACAAGTCAGTATGTGACTGACGCTGTCAGGCCTCAAAGCCCCGCAAACAGAACGTTTAAACGACTACGCTGCCGTCTTGAATTCAGCTATCCAATTTCTCTCAGAACTGCATGCACGCTCTGAGGTGTTTCGTGACTATGCCAGCACGTCCAACTATGTCCAAGAGTTACTTTTTGTTCTCTATCCAGTCATAGTCACGTCGGATTGTGTCAGCGCGGAGACAGAACTGCTCTCGCGCGGTTCAGCCTTGACATTTGAGGGCCATGACGTTGTGATTCAGCCATTGTCGCTTACCAATAGCCAACAAACTCCCATCATACGTACGAGTAACGTCAGTACGTCACCCTCACCGTCCTCGCGAAGAGTCATTCCCTTTCGAAGGGCGTCTTCATTCGTGCTTGTGTCGGCAGACAAGGTCAAGCAGGCCACCAAGCCACAGACGTTAGAGCCCATACTCTCGCCCAGGACATCTGCCCCACCTACAACGAAGGTGGGAACCTCGGTTGTTGAAGCCACACTCGAAGTAGTTTTGGATGTTTTCAAAGACCAGCTTTTCACGCGAAAAGATTTTCCGGGCTTTGGCCTCTTCCTTAAAACCCCACCTGGTTTCCAAGAGCATCAAGCGTACTTTGAGTCGTACGTTCTCCGACAAACGTTGTCCTCGGTAACGAACGCTCTCCGGTTAGACCAGAAGCTACTCCATGAACCGCGAGTGCTCACAAACCTCGCGCGATTTGTGACCCATATATCCGAGGCCGTGTTTGAGGGTTGGTTTCTGGATGGCGGAGAGCCGCTTCTCGACTTCACAGGTTTTATCTTGGAATATCTGGAGCGCCCGGACATTGCCAAGGTCAAGACTGTCAGACTATGCACCCAGGCGATTCAGACGATCCGATCAGTGTTCTTGAGAGTCGCCCTTTTACGGCTTGCAGAACCTGATGAGTCTGCAGGCGCATCCAATACGACAGCAGCTATCGAAAAGATGGTGTATTGGCAACCGATCATTCTTTCTTCGGCCAACAACGAGTCATTTTCACTAAAGATGATTTGCTATCTTCTCTACACAAAGTTGGCCTCTGAGCATGAAGGAGTGCGCCTCGCTTCTGTGAATTTCTGGCGACTCCTTCTTGTGCAAAAACCAGAAGAGACGGCTGCCCTGCTGGCTAGCGTCATACAGTCGGACAAGAACCTATATGATGGCTTCCAGAAGCTCATGGAGCTTGATAATGAGACGTTTCTCCATTGGTTTGAGAGGAACAAGACAGAGTTAGACAGCTTTTTCTATGGCTCCATGTCCAAATTGTGGGAGGATTACGCTCATGATCAAAACAAACGAACCGAAGAAAGCTCCCAAAAGCGAATAGCGAAGCGTAAGGAAAGGCTGAAGCAATGGCAGTCCGAAGAACTGACCACAGAGAACATCTGGAACCACCACGAAAACTCAACTAGCCATTGGCGATCTAACATTCATGCTTCGGAGCGGCTCAAGCATCAACGAGTGGTGCAGGACCAGCAAGACAATGCGACGTTCCTAGCAACGGTACTAGCAAAGCATGACCACCAACTCAAAGGTCCGTGCGCGCTGTTCGAAGATAGCCCACCAGCGAAGTGGAGACTTGACGAAACAGAAGGCCGTGATCGCAAGCGCATGCGCATCATCGTCGACAATACCACCCGGGAACAACAATATCAACCTAAGCGGAAGGATACCGATCCTCGGGAAAGGCTCAAACTAGATACAGCTGTTCCCACCATCTCTACGAAGGATGCTTTGGCCGTCACGCCTACGGGTGGTCGAGGTAGAAGGTCGTCATCCAATCTGGTCACGAAAATGGAGTCCAACGATGACGTGAACTCGGATAGTGAGGAAGGCTTTGAGATGGTCGAAGCCTTGTACGAAGATGAAGATGGTTTCGAAGACAAGAACCGCAAGGTCATGAGGAGTCTGAGGCGTGGTGACCAGGTGCAGTACGTTTGCAACATCTCGCGAGTTGTTGGTCTGGAAGCTGTTGAAGGGCTCCTCATCGTTGGAAAAGATTGTCTATACCTCCTGGACGACTTCTTCCAACGGTCTGATGGAGAGATTGTGCGTGTGTGGCAGGCACCGCCTGATGAGCGCGACCCTTACGTACAGGTCATAGCGGGCAAGGAAGCCGTCACCAATCGCCGACCACCGCCCAGGACGCAAGAGGACTCTGCGAGAGATTGGAAGTGGAGTGAGGTGATTAGCATTTCGAAGCGCCGATTCCTCCACCGTGACGTTGCAATCGAAGTCTTCTTTGACGATGGACGTAGCTATCTGTTGACAGCAATATCTGCACAAGCTCGGAACGACATCCACTCTCGCGTCTTGCAACGAGCCTCACACGTTGTGAACCCGGAAAAGCTGGTCAATTCTGAGATCGCGTGGAGACTCGATTCGTTGCGCAACCCAGATGAGGCACCACAGACATTAGGTTCACGATTTGCATCAGCTTTCAGTACTGCCTCGTCGCATCCAGCGACCAAGAGGTGGCTGAAGGGTGAGATTTCGAACTTCCACTATCTGATGTTTGTCAACACATTAGCCGGACGTACGTTCAACGACCTTACACAATATCCGGTTTTCCCCTGGGTCATATCCAATTACCACAGCGAAGAGTTGGATTTGTCTGACCCGAAGAATTTCCGCGACTTGAAAAAGCCGATCGGTATTCAACACCCGAAGCAAGAGGCTTCAATTCGAGAGCGGTTCAACTCATTCGCTGAGATGGGTGATGCGGATCATGCCTTCCACTATGGAACCCACTACTCTTCGGCTATGACCGTAGCATCCTATCTCGCACGCCTACAACCCTTCAGCGCCGCATTCTTCCTCATCCAAGGCGGCACCTGGGACCACGCAGATCGCATGTTCTACTCCATCCAAAACGCATGGGACTCCGCGTCCAACAAGAACATGGCCGACGTCCGCGAATTGACGCCAGAATTCTTCTTCCTCCCTGATTTTCTGACAAACGTCAACGCCTATGATTTTGGTCTCCGCTCCGACAACTCCAGCATCGATAATGTTCAGCTACCTCCGTGGGCAAAAGGTGATCCTGCCATCTTCATTGCCAAACAGCGTGAAGCCTTGGAAAGCCCACACGTCAGTGCCAATCTACATCACTGGATTGATCTCATATTCGGGTACAAGCAGCGCGGTGAAGCGGCAATCGAAGCCGCGAACGTCTACCATTGGATGACCTACCAAGGCGCCATCGATCTGGACTCCATTACCGACGAAAAGGAACGCGCGCAGAAAATCAGCGTGATCAATAATTTCGGCCAGACCCCCACACAGGTGTTCCAGCGTCCGCACCCGCACAAGGAAAACGTGGCGAAGAACGCGAAACTAGACACTGCGGCGGAGAGCCTGCATCGTGTGCCCGGAACTCTGTTGGAAGCCAACGACCGCATCGCGTCGCTGAACTACATAGCGCGAAGCGACAAACTTCTCTGCTCGGCGCCATTCCGCCATAATATACCACCCCTCTACGACAGATACATGGAATGGGGCTTCACCGACGGCAGCGTGCGCTTCTACGACTCGCACAGCAAGAAGCTCATCGGGCTATTCGAGCACTTGCATTCGGGACAACTCACCACAAGCCTCTTCGTCGATGGGCGCACTCTCATCACCGCAGGCACAGACTGCACGCTCGCCATTTGGAACGTCATCAAAGCAGACAAAGGCCACATCGACCTACACAACGCCACCACACTCTTCGGCCACAAGAGCCCCGTCGTCGCTCTGACAGCAAGCCGTGCCTTCTCCGCCTTCCTGTCCGCCAGCCTCGACGGGAAGGTCTTCCTGTGGGACCTCAATCGTAGCGAATTCGTGCGCGAATTAGATCTTGGACCGAGACATCGCGCGAATCCGGTGCCGGTACAGGCCGCAAGGATTAATAGCGTTACGGGACATATCATTCTTGCTGTTGGGAGGCGATTAGTTATTACAACGCTCAACGGGGATGTCCTGCTCGACGAGGATGTGTGCGATGGGGATGAGGATACGGAAGGGGTGACGTGTGTGAGTGCATATGAGGGTGTGGGGAATGAGTGGTGTGAAAGGGAGTTGGTGTTCAGCGGGCACCGGAGGGGCGTCGTCAAGGTATGTTGCTCATGTTTTTACTCCCTATTCTATCGTGGTTTGTTATGGTTTGACGGCACATGCTAAATCTATCTATTTAGATCTGGCACCTTCTCCCCGCGCCTACTTCCACAAATACGCGCTGGACTATCACCCTCATCAACGTGCTTAACCATTCTGATCAGATGACTAGCTCGAATGCCGCACCTATTACGTGTATACTGCCCATGCCGCATCAGGTGTATACGGGCGATGAGGAGGGTAGAGTCGTAAGTTACCGTTACTCCTATATAGTGGTGGATGGTGGCTAACGTAGTGCAGTATGAATGGGATTGTGTGCATCGGCAGCGTTGAGCTGGTAGATGTGTGGTGTCAGTGTTGGTGGGTGTGTCGATACGCAAATGCGTGGGGAAATGTTGTGTGGGACATACAGACGGGAAGTGTATGGATAGTTACAAACCCAAACGCGGAAACGATACACACGATATGTATAACGAATCTCAACTTTCCGATGTGTCAAGATCTGTGTCACTCTGTTATGTCGTTATGTGTGGACACATTATGGCCCGTTTCAGAAGCCGCACCGAGGATAAGTGAGATCTACCGATTTGTCGAGTAGCTGGCCTCGACCGATTTTCAGCGCCTGAGAAGATTTGAGTGTGGTCAATGGCCTAAGGCTTGGGAAAAGGGACGATAGCGAGTATCCAGGGGGGAGGCGCGTGTCAATTTGTGGAGTATATGGATGAAAATGTAAACGGTGAAAAAAGTGGGTAACATGCTCTGTTACACTTATAGGTAGTCATATAACATAATTATTTTATTTCAACATGATTACATGCATGAGGGTTGGAGGGTATGGAGTAACGAGAGTTCTGGCGGAGGGTTTGAATGGATGTGAGTTTGGGATAGGGCATGTGAGGAAAGGCATGTAAGTAGAGAAACATTGTGTGAGCTATAGAATGGTTGCTTTCATCGAGGGTAGTGGCAGGGTATGAATATATGTGTGAGAATGTGGATGTAATCAAATCCTTACACTACGCAGTCGAAGTTTGACCTCTTGATTTTGCTCTTTGTTTTCCCCTCAATCATCGGCTTGTTCAACTGAAAATCACGAAATATGAAAGGTTTTCAACAAGTTCTGCTCACTTCTTTTTGCCCCATCCATGTTCTTTGATCTTTTCCTCCAGAATCCCAAGAGCTAGGCCGTTGAACTGCGAAAGTAGGACTTTGATCTCCGGCTTCTCCACTAGCTCGATGTGTTTGGAGATCGTGGTGCTAACTAGGTCGCGCAGCCCACGGTCGTTTTCCATGGTTGTCGAGAAGGCATAGTTTGCTGCTACGGCAAAGTCGTCGTGGTCCCAGAAGTGCTCGCAGGCGCGGCTGAGCTTTTCGACAGCTAGAGCCTTGAGACCGACGACGTCGTACTTGTCGGCCATTTCGTACACCTTGGCGTGGGTTACGAGCTGAAACGATGTGCCATTGAGAGCAGGGAGTGGCAATTGAGGGGGGCTGCAAATTTGGCAGGTGAACATGTTGCATGTGTACCTGCAATTTGTGCCGCATATGTGATGTGGACAAAGGCGGGGATAGTTACAATAACCATATTCACAACTATGGGGAAAGTCGTACGTCATCGGAGCCTGCCCATATCCTGATGTCGATGGGGGTGGTATGATCTTGGGCTGCGCAACCTTACGAGGAAGCGAGCCTTCTGAGCCATCCGTGGGCAATAGAGGTTCGTATTCGCCTTCATAGAGATACTGGATCAGGAGCTTGATCACATCAGGATCGTCCTCGGGGAGATCGATAGTGCGATTCTCCGCCTCCTTCTCATTGTAAGCTAGAGCTAATCTTTGGTTATGGTAAGCCCTCACCTGCCCGCCAAACTTGATAGCGCGTGCGAAGAAATCCGCCCGCTCGCAGACTATCACCCGATGAACCTTGTACGAGTCGTCACCGCAGGTCACGGTGAGATCCGAGTACGCGCCAGATTTGAGTAGGCTGAGAGTCGGGTCAGCAGACAACACAACGCTAAGATATAAAGCCTGATGATAATTGTGGACTCATACCCTTTGAACGAAGCCAGGAGTTGTTTCTGAGAAACGTCAGCCATAGTTGGTTAATCGCAGATGTGGGTCGGCAGGGGATGACGGGAGACTACCGTAAAACTCCTGCTCTTTCGTTTACTGCTAGCAGGGGGAGTGAGAGGCTCAGCACGGGTACTAAGCCTAGTAAAGGATAATGGTCCCAGAATTTTCCACTTTTCCCCGCAGTCAGAGCAATGTCTAGCCAATTAGTGAGGTTGTGCTAATCTTCAGCCGCTACACCCCCCTGCTAGCAGTAAACGAAAGAGCAGGAGTTTTACGGTACAAGTGTTGCGGGAAACCCGTAGTTTACCGAGTCCGTGCAGTCCGTGCACAGATTCAGCTTGTGCATGCGATCGCACGGACCATAACCGTGGATATCCGTCATTGTAGTCGATCCTGCCCGTGAGGCGAAGCTACGGATGAGTTTTCATCGTACCAGGGTACATCAGGCCTCCAGGCTCACAAGGTTCCAACAAGCCACAAGCTGACACCCAGTTAGGGTATACGTGTATACCCGGCGGTATTAATTACCTCTGTTGGAAGGGGTGATTCCCTGGTCTGCATTACTAGTTTAAGACTAGCGCGCAAGCTATAGAGCTCGCGCCTCCTCTATAGTAATTCTATAACTTTTACACTATATACTACGTTTTATAGGTTATAAGCCTATGCGCTTTACACGTTATAATAATACTTCTATATTATTCTCTTTCTTAACTGTATCTATTATACATCCTCCTCTTCTTATTACTATAGATAATAGCAATCCTGCTACTTTTAGAGGCTTACTACTATACCTACTACTTATAATAGGCTAGGCCTAGTAGAACCTTAGTAAGTAAAGCCTTAGAGCTTAGTAGGCCTAACTACTAATACCTACACTACTGCCTACACTTTAGAAACTCTTAGTATACTACTAGAAGAACTATAAGTAGAGGAAAACTAGTACTATAGATCCTTAGCAAATTTATTTAATTTATACTAGTAACTACTCTTAGGGTTAGCCCCTTATATTTAAATTTACTTATAAAAAAAAAATATACTCCTAGGTATTAGAAGTACCTTAGGAACTACTAGTAGCATATCTATTAAAAGAAATACTATAGTTACTAAGCTAAAAGCAGAAGCTTTATAGCTAGCAGAGATAGGCTTTATATAGAAAGTAATTAAAATATGCCTATAAACTATAGTAGAATAGAACTTAGATAAATAGGAAGTTTTACTAAAACTTTAGCTAGTTTCTTAGAGTTTCTAAAAGAATAAATAATAGATAATAAGGTTTATTAATATACTAATCTTAATAGCTAGCCTATTATTAGTAGTAGCTAGGAAATAACTAATTAAAGAATCTAATAAAGAGTCCTCCTTAAAAGAACTACGTAATATGCTATAGATACTAACCTAGAAGATTAACCTCTTTAAAAGTAATATACTACTAGTACCTACTCTTTTTAAATAAAGAGTTTAATAATTAAAAGAAAAGGTATATAGACTAAGAGTAGTCCTAGAACTAACCTTTCTTATAGTAACTACTAGAACTTATATAAAAAACTTTAAGATACTAGATCCTAACTACTTTAATAGTAACTAGAAGGACTATTAGAGGTTCTAAACCTAGATAAACTATAAGCTAGAATATAATATTAAAGGACTAGAATTAGGCCCTAGGTATATCTTTAACTAATTAAAGAGGCCTATAGCTAGTATTACCTTATTATAGATAGATTATAATAAGATAGGTACTATAGAAGGCCTATAAATATTCTTAAATAAATAATTTATAGATAACTTATATACTAAAAGGGCTAGGTAGAAACTTTAAACTTTTTAGTAAAAAAAGCTTTCTTTATAATACTTTAATATAGAATTTATAAGGCTAGCCTTTAAAGTAAGAGAGAAGAGTAATATTAATAACTTAAAAATAAGGTATCTTAGTACCCTATAGCTTAACCTATAAGACTAAATAATATCTATAGAAGTACTAAGTAATTAGACTATCTAGTTACTAATAACTTAGGTAGTTACTATTAAGAAAAACCTTTTTAAGGCTAAGATTAGGTTTACTTTCTTATATATAAGGTCTCTCTAGAATAACCTTATAAATTAGGAACTCTTAAAAGCTTACTTTAGTTAGGTAATTAAGGTAATAGGTAAAACTTAGAATAGAGCTAAATAGGCCTTTAAAAAAGAGTACTTTCTTTATAAGGAAAAAAACCTATATCTATACTATAAAAAACCTAGGTACTATACTAATAAGTGCTTTCTAGTGCTAGCTAATTATCTAGCTTAAGCTACTCTTATAGTAACTTATAACCTAGAAGAGTCCTTAAATAAGGAAATAGTAGGTTTAAAAAACTAAAAACTCCTATATATAGACGTAAGTAGGGGTATAAGAAACTAGATTAAGAAGAAAAGTAGTTCTTATTATTTTAGTAAAACTAGCTAGATAGAAAACTATTAACTATCTATATAATTATAAATAATATAGCTGTAGTATCTACCTTAATTAATACTAGCTATTTAACTTATTTAGTTATCTTCTTTAAGTTTATAAGAAATAATAATCTAAAGCGTACTATAATTATATAAAGACCTATTATTAGAGTAGAAGGGAAGTTCTTCTAGATAAAAGTAGCTATCTAAATATAGATAAATATAAATAGCTATAAGAAAGAAATATAGGCCTATAAGTTAGGAGGAGATAAAGAGTATAACCTTATCTTAGAAAAACCTTAGATAAATAGATACTAGGTAATACTAGTGCTAGTAAAGAAATCTATATTTATCTATAGTAGCTAGACTAAGATATAGAGCTAAGAAGGTAGAATACCTATAAAGGTTTCTAAGGCTATTAGTATATAGGCGTATTTAGCCTAGGCTAAATAATTTTAGAAAGATAAATAGATCTAACTATATTCTACCTTTATAGTAGATATTAAGAAAGTGCTAAAGAAAAAGAAAATAGTTAACTTTTAAAAGAAGTTACTAAGCTATCTATAAAGTAAGTTTAGAACCTTTCTAAGGGAGAAGGCTAATAAGCTTACGCTACTAAGAGGGGCTACTATTAACTACTCTATTAAGATTATAAAAAAAGATAGTAAGCTAGTAAAAATTTTATAAGGGCTACTGTATAATATATTAAGAGAAGAACTACTAGTATTATAAAAAGAACTTATATTATACCTAGACTATAGGTTTATTTAGGTAAGTAAATCTAGTGCTACTATCTCTATTTTATTTATAAAGAAATCTAGAAGAGAGCTATAATTTTACATAGACTACTAAGCTTTAAATACTATTATATATAAGAATAAATATCTTCTCTTACTTATCTATAAGATACTATTTTAAATTACTAAAGTAAAATAGTTTATAAAGGTAGATATTATCTAAGCCTTTTACTAGATATACGTAGTAGAGGAGGATAAATAGAAAACAGTATTCTATACCTAATTTAGGCTATATAAATAGCTAGTTACTTTATTTAGCCTTACTAACACCTTTAGTATATTTTAATAATATATTAATTAGGTACTTTAGAAAGACTTAGATATATACTACTTAGCCTACGTAGATAATATACTTATCTACTTAGATAGATTATAGAAGAATTATAAGTACTAGATTAAAATAATTATTTAAAAACTTAAGGTAGTAGGCCTATAACTAGATATTAATAAATATAACTTTAGTGTTAAGAAGACTAAGTACCTAAGGTTTATAATAAAGGTAGGTAGTAGTATTTAAATAGACCTAGAGAAGATAGTAGTAATCTATACTTAAAAATAGCTAAAAAGTATTAAGGGTATTTAAAGTTTTATAGGATTTACTAACTTCTACTAATAGTTTATTAAGGGATTCTTAGAAATTATTACCCTACTAACTAAACTTACTAGAAAAGAAGTAGTATTCTAATAGAGGAAACCTTAGGAAATAGTATTTTTTAAACTTAAAAGTACCTTTATTTTTAAACTAGTATTAGCTAACTTTAACCTAGACCTAGAAATAGTAATAGAATATAACGCCTCTAGATAGGTAACTAGTAGGGTCCTCTTATAGTTTAGAAAAGATAGGCTACTTTATATAGTAGTATACTACTTAGTAAAGAATATAGTAGCTAAGGTAAACTATACTATATATAATAAGAAGCTGTTAGCTGTTATAAAGTATATTAATTAATAGAGTACTAAACTCTAGTAAGTCCTAAAGTTTACTATTATTATAAATTATAAGAACCTAGAGTATTTCTATACTATAAGGCTACTATTTAAGAGGTATATACGCTAGTTAAATATACTTAGCTAATTTAATTTAACCTTTATATACTACCTAAGAAAGGTTAATAGAAGAGCTAATATACTCTTTTAAAAAGAAGAGGATCTACTAATAAGCTAAAATAATAAGTATATAAAGATAAAAGAATTTTAGCTCTTATAGTTATATATAAGGAGCTAACTCTAACTTAAAGAGAAGAAAGAAGTAGGTATTTTATTCTACTACTAAATATAAAGTCTATAGCCTTAGAAACCTAATAACGTACCTTTAGTAAATAATAACCCCTTACTAGAACCTAATAGTATACCTATAAGAATTACTACTAACTCTATTCTAGCCTATAATAGCTTAGAAAAGCTTAAGAGAATATAGAAAGTTATAGCTAAAAATAACCTAACGTATAAGAAAGTAAAGGAGGCTATAGAAATAGGTTAGAGAAAGTTCTTCCTAAACCTAAACTTAAAAGTCTTATTAGTAGAGTATACTATTAATAAAAGAAGGTTTCTACGCTACTAAGAGTAAAAATAGGTACTAGATTCTAAAGAACTATATACTAAAATTATCTTAGAAACCTATAAATTCCTAGCTATAAGCTATCTAGGCTATAAAAATACCTATATAATCCTAGCTTATAACTACTTCTTTTTAGAAATATTATTTATAATAAGGTAATTTATCTAAAACTATAACGTATATAGAAGAACTAAGCCTTAGAAGAAACTAAAAAGAAAACTACTAAGACTACTTCTCCTTCTAGATAAAGTATAGAAGAAAATC